ACTCTGGATCTTGGTCAGTAGTCACTTAAGTCAGGGAGTCTTGGTCGGGGAGTCATCTCCCTCATCCTCTTTAGGAAATTGGCTTGGGTCACTGTGTGTATAATTTTCAGGTTCCTAATGAATCATTTTTTAAAACCCCAAGGAAAAGGGTTTGAGAATCTTCTGTAGAAGCCTTGCCTAGGTTATCTTGCTGTAAAGCTAACAGGAGAGACTAAAGCTTACCGCAATTTGTCGGGGTGACAGAGTGAATTAACCATTTCTGAATGGGCTCCAATGCTAAGTTTGTCCTGTCTTGGGTATTGTCTTGGCTCATGCATTTGTTTTAGCTGAACCCAACGCCAGCAGATAACAGATGGTGAATTCCCAACACTTTGTATAAAACTTAGCCGCCCAAAGAAGTAGCAATGGTGCTTCCATTTACTGCTGCAGCAACTTAAGGTCCTATGTCTGCTAAGGAGCAGGAGACGGAAAGAGGCATTGCTGCAGGAAAGCTTAAAAGCATATGCTCTCTCTCTCTGTGTGTGGCTTGATAGCTTATCTGCTTCATTAAGTCTAGCTGCTTGTAGAAGGAGATTACCACCCCAGCAGCATGGAGCCAGCAGAGGCTGCAACTCAAAAAATGGCTTGAGTTGAGAGGCGTAGATGTTTGCCTGCATCTCTTTTGACAGTGTGATCCTACCACCTAGACATAATGGGGCCTGACTCTCCCTGTGGACTTCCACCATCAGCAATGACTGTTTTTGTCATTCTTGGACCACTCACAGCCTTATCAATACAGCTTTGCGAACCAATGTTCTGCTTTTGAGAGAGACGGAATGGGGGAGGAGAGCTGTTGCTGTTCTGTTAGAAGGCCCTTGAGTGCTGTTGCGTTCAGGTCTTGCTTCTGCTCTCTTCGTAGGAATCTGGTTGGCTGCTGTGAGGTGAGGATGGTGGATCAGATAGCCTATGGCCTAATAATAATAATAATAATAATATTTTATTTATATCCCGCCCTCCCCAGCCGAAGCCAGGCTCAGAGCAGCTAACAACAGTGAAAGTAACACAGTTTACATAAAATCACAATTAATTGAAATACATTCTAAAATCAATTCAGAATCAAATTAATGGCAACCATTGGGCTAGAGTTCTATGAGGATTACCAAAGGAGGGGGTCACACGGTGCCTTGGCCAAAGGCCTGGTGGAATAGCTCTGTCTTGCAGGCCCTGCGGAAAGATGTCAAGTCCCGCAGGGCCCTGGTCTCTTGTGACAGAGCGTTCCACCAGATCGGGGCCACAGCCCAAAAAGCCCTGGCTCTGGTTGAGGCCAGCCTAACCTCCCTGTGGCCTGGGACCTCCAAGATATTTTTGTTTGAAGACCGTGCGACGTACCAGGAGAGGTGGTCCTGTAGGTACGAGGGTCCTAGGCCATATAGGGCTAGCATATATAGCGCCATATAGGGCTCTGCAGCCCTCTGATCCTGCAGAGCTCTTCATATATTAAGATGGGCTGCCGCAGTTTGCTGGCTTACGTATGTTTCTATCTTATTGTGTTTTCTACAACTATTGGGCATGTCAGGTCCAACCCATTTTAACTGGGTATCACATTTTCCATCCAACTCACTTGTGAAAGAGTTCCAGTGGGCATAATCCCTGCCCTCACTTGTCATCCTCACAATAACCCTCTGAGCTGCATTCTCTGTCTTCCCTCATTCCTATGCATAGTTCACTACACTCATTGTTCCTCAAGCTCGGGTCTCTTGCTGTTGTTGGACTACAATTTCTATAAACCCTGACCACTGGTCCTGCTAGCTAGGGATGATGGGAAATGTAGTAGGAGGGTATAAGAGAAAGAGTCAGTCAGTGTAGACAATACTGACCTAGAGGGACTGGTATTTTTACGCTGTCAACTGCCCTGAGATCTACAGACGAAGGGCAATATACAAAATGGTTATTATTATTATTATATTATATGGTGGCATCCTAGGTTCCTGGGTTTTATGGCCCCAAAAAGGAGGCAATGGGAAGCTTATATGGATGAGAAGTGTGATCCTGTAGCGTGGTTGAAGAGGCCACTGTTAGAGAACTTGCCAACATTTTCTGCAACCTTGTGGGAAACAAGTATACCTAGTCAAAGGTCTCAAGAAAAAGGAGACACACAGACTACTAATTATGGACCAGCTGCTAATTATAGACAGTGATACCATCTTTTAGGCTAGCTAGGCGTCAAGTTAAAAAAAAAAATCACCCAGAAATCCTGTGAGCATCCCCTGGGGGAGGAGAAGAGGTGTATGATTATTTCTGTTACATCAGAGATGGCTCATATTGCCAGCAGCGAAGAGGAAGGAAACATTGGTTGACAGCCCTCAGATGAACTAGTTCACTGATAGTTTAATGCAAGTCAAATCTGTATCGCTCCCAAGTCCAGACTCAGCATTTCCAGATGTTCGGGAAGTGTATTAACTCAGCTGCCTGTGCTGCAACATGAGTATTAGCACAGATTTCCTTACAGGAAATTAATATGTGGATTCTTGCAGCTTGCTGGATCCGCTGCCGTTACTAAGGGGCTGCGATGCAAAGCACTCTTCCCTTTGAAAGACCACTGCTAATCCCCTATTAAAGCTTATCGAAGTTGGCGGTAATCACCACAGTTACGGCATCTGCTTTCACGTGGCGGGCTGAAGGCCACGAGTTCAGGTGGTTTTAAAAGGGGGTGAAGAAAATGCATTGAGACCCGTCCATGGCTATTGGGAATGACGGCTAGCTAAATGACCCTCCCCGTTCAGAAGCCATATTCCTCTGGATACCAGTTATTATCTGTTATTATTGATTACATTTATATTTCACCTTTTCTCCAAGATACCATATTTTTCGCTCTATAAGATGCACTTTCCCCCTCCTAAAAAGGGGAAATGTATGTGCGTCTTATGGAGCGAATGCAGGCTGCGCAGTTATCCCAGAAGCCAGAAGAGCAAGAGGGATCGGTGCGCACTGATCCCTCTCGCTCTCCTGGCTTCAGGGATAGCCATGGAAATCCTCCGGAGTGCAGCAGGATTGCTCCTCCCGCTGCGCTCTGGAGGCTTTCCGTTGCTTTTGCTGAAGCCAGGAAAGCGAGAGGGATCGGTGCGCACCGATCCCTCTTGCTGTTCTGACTTCGCTTCGCTGGAGAGGCGCTGCGCAGAGAGGGAGAGAATATTTTTTTTCTTGTTCTCCCCCTCTAAAACTAGGTGCGTCTTATGGTCGGGTGCATCTTATAGAGAGAAAAATACGGTACTCAAGGAGGCGTATATGGTCCTTTCCCCTCCCCATTTTATCCTCACAATAACTCTGTGAGTTAGGTTAGGCTGAGAGACGATGGTTGGCTCAAGGTCACTCACCCAGTTTCCAGACTGTGTGGGGGTTTTGAATCCTGGTCTCCCAGGGCCTAGTCCAACACCCTAACCTCTACAGTACACTGCACTGCTACCTCAGGTGTTGAAGGGAGGTACATTAGGAAAAAAGCTGTTGACCTCGTGCCCTACCTGTGGGATTATAATAATAATAATTTTATTACTTGTACCGCACCCATCTGACTGGGTTGCCCCAGCCCCTCTGGGCGGCTTCCAGCGTATATAAAAACATAATAACACAGACACTGTGTTCTCGATTAGCTGCATGCTTGTAATGCTTCAGAACAACATTTCTATGTATAATTCCAGACACTGCCAGAGGATGCGGGAGCAAGCAGAGGCATGGCTGTGGGTAGTTGCACTGCATAGCTGGAGGAGATTCGCCGTGGGTGCCTCTAACTATCCATTCTACCAGCTGCTTCTGCTGTTGCTACACACACCAGAAGGCCTCTCAAAACACATGATGGCTGGTTCAAAGGCTGCCACATGAACTGGCTTGAGTAACACTGAAGTCATTTGGATGTCAACATGGATGGGGCTGCCCAGGCATAAGCAGTGAGCTTTTGCCTGAATTTTACCTCCAGTAGAATCTGGCAGAAACACTACCCTGATCTTATCTCCAGCTGAGCAGCCCACTGTGTGCACCTTTTCAACAGAGAAGAACACACTGACCTAGCCAAAATGGTGGAATCATTTTGCTTCCCCAGAGGGGCCTGAGAAGGGAACCTTTTTGCAAATTAACCCTCGTTCAGCCTTTAGAGAGGGGGGAGCACATTTTCGTGGTATCTACTGTCAAACAGCTGTTCCCCTGCTTTATCAAAGCAGTCTCTGCAAAAAGTACAGCCTGTTCTGTCAGAAATATCACCTCAGACGCGAGGAAGAGGGTGCTGTCGTAACTAAGAAAGCGTTGCATTACGTCTCTCTTCTAAAATAGGAGATAAGGAGCACAGCAGCAAATGGATTATCTTTTCAACAGCATTGTGAATTAAGAGCAATATTGTTTTCTGTGTAAAGCTCTTGAGCGTGAGCTAAGAACAGCTACTGGTAAGCAACTGAGGCAGATTGGCGTCTGCTGAGGCAGTTTCATATTGCTTTGACATGCTTGTGCATGCCCAAGTTCTTGCAAGGCCTACTGGTTTTTCTGTCACTTTTTAAACTACTAAGATGTGCATCCGGGAAGATTTTAGGTAAGATTCTGCTGCATCTAATTCCACCCGCCCTTCCGGGAATAATTATAGAACACTGTAATTGCTATGCTAGCCATGTGCTGAACACCATTGCTCCATGTCTCATCAGTTCCCTCTAAAATTAACCACTTGATCTGCACAACCCTACATAAGTTGACTCAGGAATAGGGATGGGTGAATCTGTTCATTTCAGTGTCTCATTTTTCCACGTTTCCATATCGATTAACCTTTTTAAAAAGTCCTTGTAGAAATCTTTTTCGCATGTTACTGCAAATTTATCAACCCTGCCTGCTAGGCACACTTTACAACCTTTCTCCTTATATAATGCATTTTTGTACACATAACTGGAGAACTGCATTGACAAAATTTAGAGAAGTGTGAATTTTGAAGGTCACTGCATTTTGATAAGTGTACTGTTTTGGGAAGTGCAAATTAAGTAGGGTTTACTCCTACTCAGTATTTTATTGAGTTTTCAAAGTTATTTTGACAGACATATGTAAGAAAAAAATACTTTAGCAAAACATATCCAGAAATAAAATAATACAAAGTTTCTTCTTTTTTGTTGCCACAAGTAGTGAAGGCAGATAAATATATAGAGAGTCAGACCTGGCAATTGTACAGCAAAGTGGAAATAAAATTAGGTGTTGAATCCACTTGATAACTGTCTCTTAAAATAAAACTACGAAAATGACCACCTGTTTATCTGTTCACAGATGCATTTTAGAACCAAGAACTCAGAGTAACACCTACGGATTTCAAAACATTTGCATAACTAATAAAACTGTGAGCATCCATGGGTTTTTATGTTTGTATAAGAAACAGAATCAAACCATATGGCAAAAAGTAAGGTTTGCTTTTAAATGTGAACTGAATCAAATCCCCCATCTCTACTTGAAGAATAGGTTCCACTGAGTTCAGTGTTCCCTCCTTACCTTGCATGTTTACTCAGAAGTAATTTGCACTATGTTCAAAGGGTCTTTCTCCCCTAGAAAAAGTATGTTTAAAATTGCGGTCAAAAGCATGCTTAGCATTCTAGCTGAACCATCAAATTCTTTGCATGTTTGCAGACAAGTAAGTTTCACTGTATTTAGAAAGGCTTACTACCAAATAACTGTATGGAGGGTTCCATTGTGCCTTCTATACTATTCTTCATATTTTATCTAAAGTCACTAGATACCATCATCAGGATATGAACAAATCTATTTAACTCAACAAATGGAAGCTAATTAATGTGTCCACTGTTAGTCCTACTCAGGGCAAACCCACTTAAATTAATGGGCTAAAGTTAGCCATGTTCATGGATTTAAATGGGTCTACTTTAAGTAGGGCCAAGATTGGATATAGTATCACCCACAAGTTATGAATTCCCCGTCATTCCCCCCCATTTGTTTGCTATTGTTTTCAACAAAAAAATTCTCCAGGAACTCATCCACAGCTGCTGGGGGGGGGACTCCCTCCCAGTAACAGCTGCCAGAGAAAGAAAGGAGGGTGCTGTTTGCAGGAAAGATGCCAGCTGCAGACAGCTGTGCATCGGTGCTATCTGGACAAGTCAGCTTGCATTTTATCAGTATATACAGCTTCTGTTGGCAAACACTCCCCCTGCTGTCTTAAGAGTTCCACCACTTTTCCATTTGCCACCTGGATGGGGGCAGAAAAGGTTTGGCCTGCAGCCATTCACTTCATTATGAGGTTGTGCCAGCCTGATGCAAAAATGTAGCTCCTGAGCTGTAGGTGTAGCATCCAGAGTCTCGCAGAGCTGAAGGGGAGCAGATGCTGTCCAGGCGCAGGGGACTTTTTTGATTTCAAGGGCCTCATTCCCTTCTGCACAACCTTACAGGGTCCACATGCTTTAGTTGAGATTCCTGCATTGCAGACGGTTGGACTAGATGATGATGATGATGATGATACTGATACCCCGCCCATCTGGCTGGGTTTCCCCAAACACTCTGGGCAGCTTAGAGTACATAAAAAATTGTAAAATTTACATAGCTGTCATTCACAGGTGACTGCAGTTATTGATCTCAGTTCTATATTTATAAATATATAAAATACAGGGCTCATGTGCTGTGCTTAGAAAGCACAAGCCCTGGCAGTTTCCTGCTTGACCCACACTTTCTAAGCATGGGTCCAAGCAGTTTTCTCCTTGCCCCACTTCTTTCCAAGGGAAAACCTGCTCTTTAGCGATCTATCAGAACAAATGGCAATCTGGGGAAAACTCAAAATTCCTGTTAGCTCCGATTGAGCACGAAAGAGCAGGTGACCTTTGGGGTACCTTCAAACTCTAAATTTTATGATTCTCTGCCAATGGTTGGCAAGGGCAGAGAGAGAAAAAAACACTCCTGGAGTGCCTTTACTGATTTGAAATGTGTCTTCAAACTGCGATGCCTTGTTTGTCTGAACGTGAATCTCTGACTTTGCATGGCTTGACTATAACACAGCCTGCATTCATGTCTATTCCATTTTTATGACGTTTCCCTAACTGTTGATTTCTGTATTTGAGCAATGGAAAAGCCACTTCCAGAAATATAGTGGAATGCAGCTCAAGTTTAGCATTCATTTTCATCTTCTTTGCAAACAAATTTTTTTTTTTTGGAAGCAAAGGACATGAAAATGAGCACCAAATTTACACTATATCCCATTCCAGAAATTGCTTTTGCGTCATGTGGAAGCTCAAATGTATAGCTTACCAGTTAGGAAGAAGTGATGAAAATAGAATAAACTGCCCCCCCCGACCGCAGCCCTAATGTATAAAGTCACATCCAACGCCCTGCTCACTTTTGAATTGCCCAACATGTGCCTGTTATGCAGCCAGAATTTTGCCAGTGAAGGGAACGCAACTCCCAATCTCAGAAAAGGTTCTTCACCCAACTTAAGACAATGATGTCTTTGTGTTTTGGTTTGAGAAGAAAGTTGGTATCCCCTGCACCTTCTGAGGAGATGACAAGAAATACCATTGCTAACCATGAGCAGGACACTCAGGACTAATCTACACTAGTGAGTTATGATGTTATAAATGCGTTATAAAAATGTGACACCAGGTGGCGCTGTAGAGCAGTCAATGGAAAATTGCATATGTAACGGGATTTCTTTTCTTAGCTTTTTAAAAAGATCAATGTAGAGCCAGCCTGCATTCAATCTGCAACACAAAGAGCCCTGCTTCACTTGCCAGAGAGCCATAGAATTGTAGAGTTTGAAGGAACCCCAAGAGTCACTTAGCCCAATGTGGGGCTCGAACCCACAAACCTGAAATTAAGAGCCTCATGCTTTGTTGAAGCAGTTTAATGGCACATGCACCAGTAGCATAAAAAATCATTAAAAAAAATCACAGTAGTGAATTATTTGGGGAGTGATCCTCCAGAAAAAGTGGAGGTCCTGGAGGTCCTTCCCAGTTTCTTTCCCAATCCAATTCCCTGCCATCTGCTGCAGAAAAATAATAAAAAAGAAATCAGACTTTTCTCTTTGCTTTTTCTCTCTACACTGCCCCCCCACCAGCTGCATCAGGGAGTGGTGATGAGATCTGGAAAATGGCATGGAAGGGACAATGTGAAGCCAATCCTCCATCCCAGCACCACTGCTGCACCTCATACCTGCTTTGAACTGAAAAAGCAGACTGGGAGACCTGACGACAGATCTCCAGTGTTGCGTTTGTTGCAGCCCTTGGCGTCACTTCCGAAAGCAAACACATACTCCTTAGCCAGGTTTGTGGTGCTTAAGAGGCAAGAGGTTACAGCTCTCTCGCTGCCTGCACAACATTCTCCCAGTCTCTGAAAGGAGATGAAGTATCTCACATTGAAAATTATCTTCTCCAGTTTTGGTCCAGCCAGTTTTGGTTTCCTGTGTGTGTGCGCAAGGGGGCGGGGCAGGCAGCTTTACCAACCACACATAACCCTTGTACTGTTTCCCACACTGCACTAAACTGACACCAGTATTTTTCCTCCCGAGTTAAAATATTTGCCACACACACGTCTGAGAAACTCCTTGGGAGCATTTGGGCACGAGGAAGATGACACCCCTGGGACAAAATTACCCTAAACTGTGTAATTAAGAATCCTGGGATTTATAATGTTTCCAAGGTCAACTTACATGATCCCTGCTGCTCTCTTTATGTATTTTTCTCTTGGGTGGCAAGTGTTGTGACATTTCAGAAGGCTGGTATTAAGTTTCCCTAAACCATTTTTCCCCTTCCACGTAACATTAAAAGCGGGGGAAGGGATTTCTGCTTCAATTTCTTTGCTTTTTGAAAATCGCATTCTACTAAATATCTACAGCTAGCCTAACATTTAACACAGCTGATGGATTATATGCAAGCCCACCATTTGTTAGGATTCTAAGCCCCCCTTTCTGGCAGGGCCCTTAAAAGAAGCACCATTTAAAGAAATATTTTTATGTATTGAAGGTTCAGGATGTTTTAAAACATTTTATACCTTCTTGCAGCTTCCTAAGCCAAATATTACACTTATTGTAGTGACTGCTGAAATGCGGCTGCAAATTACAGAGCTTTTGTTTTAGCACCAGTACAATGCTGTGGAGCCAGCGTTTTTCTTAATTGCCATCTTGTTTTATTAGATGTTTACCGGCCTCTCTCTACCTTAGCTATGGCATCTCTCCCAAGAGGCTGCTAGGAACAAACAGCAGTTATTTGCTTTCTCATTATTTCCTAATACTTCAGACACCTGTCTGAGAATTCTCTAAATGGCTGCAGTCCTGAGCTCCTCAGGGATTGCCTGTTCTAGAAGGTTATCGCCCTAGATATTCTGCCAAGACTATGCTGGGTATTCCCTTCTTCCTACGAAATTGAGCAGGGATTAGGCTTTGCTATAGTGCTGGCAGACCAAGGAGAAGCACCAGGCAATATCTTTGTTACGAGGAAGCATGCAATAGGGTTGGGAAAGCTTTTTCAGTCACAGGTGAGGGGCAGAGGCAAAAGTGGTTGGAGCAATAGACTTCTCTTTGTACAGTAGGTTGCATTCTCTCCAGGCAAAACAGTGAGGTTTTGACATGCGTATGTCAATCCAACATAATAATGCTGTATCACCACTGCTGAACTCAAATCTACATGCCCTCTCTCCCTTTAGGAGACTAGGAAGATGCCCAATGTCTTGCTTGCCCCACAGCTCCTATTGATGTTTATGGGCCACCTTGCTTCAAAACTTGTGGGAAGTGATTTGGTTCATTGTAACAATTTTACTTGGAATCACAGCAGCTAGATAATTGGTAGAGTACTTTTAAAAAAATAAAATAAAATTAAAATCACTATTAATTACTTAACATCTCAAATATTCTGTTCAGGTAACAGGAGTACGAAAGAATACACCAGTTGCTGCAGATGTAAAAACGTGCAAATTCACACCTACTGAACCACTAAGAAATTTTGCCTTCATCTTTGTCTATACTAGGACTGGTCTTTTAATTTTGTACATCTCTCACCCCCCACCCCCCAATAATAAAGACAGCTAACCAGATTACTTAGATGACAGTATTAAAACAGAGCATAAAGCATTGACAGATCACAAGACATATATTTTGTAATTCAGCAGAATCTGGGATGTGCTCAGTAAACTACTTCACATTTTATGTTGCTTTTATTCCTAGATTTTGAATGCAGAATATTTTTACAAGAGGGGCTGGGAAAGGAGATATTGGATGAACGTGGCAGAAATCAGAGGGTTTGGAGAAATGAGATACGCAGACACAGGTCTCCAGCCACAAGGACCAGTGCTCCTTTTGGCTGCCCAGCCCTCTACAGGATGTTGTAGAATTAAAAGGAGAAATACGATGGCGGTTAGGAACTTTTTTCAAAACACCCATTCTCCACAAGCTGACCAGCACCAGCATCTGGACTTGCCACTACTGTACTGATTACCGAAACTTATTGAAACCAGATGAAAATCTGGTATTTTATTTCCCAAGTGCCAGTATGGCAAGACCACTTGCTGTACTTCTGTGCAACCCACATGGAGACATCTGAAAAATCTTGTTTGCGTATCTCCCATTCTCCTTTCAAGACATACTCAAGTGCAGTTTCATTGGACAGCTGTTCTTGCCCTTCTCTGACTCATGTTAGATTGCAAGAATCAGCTACACTCAAATTTGGGAAACCTGTAAATTAGGATTCTATCACTTATGAGACCAGCAACCAACTCAGAACAAAACTAGACATGGCATAGCTTTTCTTATTATTTTAACAACCCTTGCTGGGGGGAGGGGGGGAGAGGCAAATTTGAACCATGGTGCCTTGAGGGCTGTTGGTTTTTTAAACTGTCTCCCCATGACATTTTGTTAATTAACTTCCCTCAAAACAGGTTTTCTGTCCTGCAAGGGAAAGCATGTTAGTACGGTATCTGCAAGGTCACTCACTCCCCTGCCTGGCAAATAGCAGGTTCAGGAGGGCAATTTCAATTAGAACACCATCATGCAAAGGGTGGGGGAGAGAGAGTTTAACCCCTTCTCTGCACCACCTTCTCAATCCAATTAATCCCCCTCTCCATAACTTGACTTTTTATTATTGATTCTTTTAAAGTATCACTGATCCTAGCTACTTATTTCCTGCATCATGATTAATTGTACTCGCAGAGGGGGGCTACCCGCTTTAAGCATGGTTTCAATTTGCAGTCAAATCCAAAGCTTGTTAGATCCAGTCCTATGATTGTTGACAAGCATGACTTTTATAGAACCTTACAGACCTACAGACCAATCACTCTAGTTGGCAACAGTAAAACTTTGGCCAGGAACTTTGGTCATTCCATTGTGTCAAATAGCATTAGACATTATTACACACCACATATGCTTTAATACAAGAGTGATTCCATTTATTACAGGGGAGGGGGTAGTATTAACTGCAATAATACAGTATCAGTTTTTATACAAAAGGCTACTTGGGTTCATGCTGGATAGCCTGCAAGAACCAAAAGGCAAAACCAGCACATCTGGGAAAAGGTCTCCCACCATGACATTTACCGTAAGCGCGGCAAATGTCAACCTTAGTATAACTGAAGTTCTACATAACAGAAGAACTGTTTTAGAGACAGTTTTCATATCAAAATGTTCAGATATTTGTCAGCCAAACACACTCCCAGGATTCCTCAGAACGCCTACTTGGTGCAATAATGGCTGTACCATCTAGTGACCATGGCCTGTATTTTGGTACAGTACTGAGAAAGTTAACATAACTTAGTGTGGTAACTGGTACCAAACTTCTACTCTCTAAGCCACCACTTCCAGAGCCAGAAAGCCATTTTGTTATAGTTCTGCAAAGTAAATACAGTTTGCTCATTTTCTGACACCCAGTTTATTAGTTCCAGATTTTCTGTTTCCTGTTGTTGCAGTGGCAGGCCAGCTTTCAGCTATTATGTTCCATTGGATTATTCCGTTTCTGAGCATGCTGCCCAAACAGCAATGTAATTCACTGAACAGTTAAACAAACATATCCATTTAAGATATAGTCACCGCAATGCAGTTCTGTCTGAAGATAACACTATCTATGAAAATCTAGCACAACTCGAATTAAATGCTACCTTAAGGCTCAACCTCGCCTACTACAGAGGCCGCAATAGAGACCGCCTTATCAGTAGTAGTACAAAACAAGTCAATATAATGAAATAAAAGGACGAATCTACTTGTCTAAAAGACAATTCACTGTACACATTTTATTTACAGTTTTGTACACTGTCTTAATATGAATGGGACTGCGTTTCTATTCGAGCTGTTCTTAAACCAAAGCAAAATATAACCTAAGGAATACAAAGTGTTAAAATACAGCATAAGATACAAAAAACAGGAATACTATTTCTAGTAAGGAATGTAATTATGGTGTTACATTTTTAAAAATCCACAATTATGTTCAGGAAATCACACAAACATATCACTGATTTGACTTGAAATGCATGAAACTCGTAGCAAAGCTTTGATGTTACAAAATAATTACCAAAGAATGCACAAAATTAATGTTTATTAAACCTTTTGTCATATTCCCAGATAGATCCTTCACCAATGTTACATGAGCAAGAACTGAAATTAGAATATCACTAATGTTATCAGAGAGGGAAACAATAAATTAAATCTAGCAGCCATCAGCATCCATTACAGCAAAGACAATGCTGTATAAAGAAATATTTGCTAGAAAAATGTATGCATCATACTATTCTTTCAAACCAGCAAAACATGTTGCATACAATGCAAAGGTGAAAAAGTAGTAGTTTCTTCCCCTGTAGAAATGGCACTGTTTTTGGGATATATTTAATATAATATTTACTTTCCTAAGAAGCATCACAGAGTGGGCTAGGGAGACCTTTATGGTTTCAGTGGGCAAATTGTACTGAAATTCTTTGATTGGATAAAGGTTACTTCAGCCAAAAATGGGGGAGAAAAACAAACACAGAAGTACAAGACAAAAGCAAATGAGACTTTCACAAATTTAGCAACATTTAGATGGAAATCAGATTTAAATGCAGTCCACTCTGCTTTTATATAGAGGCTTTGGTTCAGCTCCCAAATCTCGATTGCTTGACGCAGTCTCCTATGAAATACTCTGAAGGTGTCTTCTTAAACAACAAACCTATTTTTAGTGGTGGAGCCGCTCTTAGTAGCTGTGTCAGCATGGGACTGATAACCAATCACTATCTTTGGAGGAAGTCCTAACCTTTCTTTGTACACTCTCCTGAGAAATAAAAACATAAAATATCTGTTTAAATAGTATTCAACGGAAGAGAACAAGATGCTAGCTTCACATATGAAAGCTCTCAAATCCAAAAATTTCAGAGAGCTTTATATTATTTTAAATCGGCTGTTATAAAAATCTCAAACATCTCAGCAGTCAATTCATACTGTTTTCACATATTCTCCATTTCAACTTTATCTGCCGAATAACTGATGCTATCATCTGACAAATCTAACTGCTCTTCATTATATCCATAATGAATCACCAGGACTCACTATCTTGTAACTTTTTTTAGTTGCTCTGACTTATCTCTACTTTCAAAGAAAGGCTATTACAGGCTGAATGTCCCTTAAAACCATCTGTCTCCCACTGGCAGCTCACAGCCCACCCCCCCTTAAGGTTGGTAGCAGCTGTGACTTCAGCATCATTTTATTTATCTCATTTAGGCTATTTAAGGAAAAAGGCAGAAATAGATCCAAGGGGGCAGAAAACTCTTTCGCCACTAACAGCTACATTAAGGAAGGAAGTTTGGCAAGTGCAGCTTATCACACAAAGGTGAACGTGCACACCTGCCAAATTTCATCTTCTGCACAACAATTACAGGTGAGAAAGCCCCGATTACATCCTTTGAATAATGGGAAGCTGGTCTCATTTTGTAGGCTGGAGGTCTGGACTGAGATCACTGTTGATTTCAGGGATCTTCAACCTTTTCAGACCCAGGACTCAGTTTTAACCCAAACAAGCATTCGGGAACCCATTATTTAACCTTTTACCATATTTGCATGGTGACTGTGCTACTGCTGCAACCCACCTTGAATCAGGCCCGTAACCTAGGGGGTCCAGACCCTCCAGCTGGCTTAGATAAAGTTAATTCATTCACTAGCACACGCACAGCTGTAAGTCAGGCATATTGTAGTGCATTTCTCAAAATAGAATCCTATTCCAATACTAATTGCAATGCTTCACAAGCCTACTCAGAGATCCCTTTGTACCATATAAGGGTGTTTAGGTTTGCAGCCAAAATAATGTTTGATTCTTGACATGACCACAGCTATCTCATAACATTTGCACAAAGTTTTATTGGCTCTGACACAAAACTTCTATTTTTAGAGAAACGTGGCCAGTCTTAACTTTACAGAACACCTTTGATTTATTCAACCCATTCAATGACAGCAATTACAAGTAACTAAGTGTATGTCCAATAGCGGACAATATGCTGTATGCACGATAAATGCAGATGCTTGCAATCACAGTTTTCCTTTCAATAAATACTCATTCCAAAGTCTATGTATTTCCAAATCCATGTTCATGTGGTTTCAATGGATTTAATATACTTTCATAGAATTTAAATATACTCTGAATTAAACCTCCTCATTCTGTAATATGTAGAATATAAAGTCATAGGGTATATTTCATGCTTAAGCAACACTATAATCTCCAATCTTTTGCAACTGAAATTAGTACCCACTGTGAAACTGTCCAGAAACAAACCATTACATCATACTTGTGAAAGAGTAAGTTTCAGCTGAACATTCCCAAGAGGATGGAGTTGTTTCAATTTCCTTCATTATCCTTGGTATCAATGGAAACAGGCTGCAGATCTATGCACATTTACCTGAGACTAAGTTTCACTGAACAGAGTAAGATTTCTGAGTAAAGATTATGAGAATGTATAAGATTAGGCTGCACATAGTGCAACAGTGTAGGCATCATGATTAGCCATGGTTTACAGTGATGGGAATGAGCTGCAATAAGTTTGGGGCTTATACATCTCCATTCCTTCTCCAGTGTGGCCATGGAGGAGATGGGATGCTCTTGCTTCCATTTGCAATTAACTGCAGTTTAGCATTACATCCATACTCTTAACAGTGGTTAATTATGGTTTTTTTTGGAAACAAACAAACTTCATATTACATGCTTTGAAATTTGCAAACCATCGTCAATATTAGCCAGTTAGTTGGATTTGGACAAAACAAGCTACCTTTCTTTAAAAAACATAAAAACCCTGAAGTAAAAGCTTTTGATCTTCTCCTTGGAGTAATGCTGGAGGAATTGGAAAGTGTCTGTGCAACATATTGTTCCTATCACAATAAGCCATGGTTTATAGCAGAGGTGGAAAATCACTTTTGTCCACTGGGCTGGGTCAAGAAGTGGCCACCCCTCTGTGGGCCGTTTCTGACTGTCAGGCAAATCCACCCACTTGTAAATAACCTGTTGTCATGGTGTCAAGAGGACCTGAGTCTGCCAGCCATCAGCAGGACTTGTATTCCGTGCTCAAGCCCTGCTGCAAAGGAACAATTGGGACTATACTCAAAGTCTCTTGATTGTTCCTTTGTCACCATAGCTTTACCAATCCCACATCTTTGTCATAGGGTGTCAGGTGATCAATGGGTCGGCATGGCTGGACTTGTAAGGCTCCTAATTTGACCCACAGATCAGTAATTCCTTCTGCCTGGTTTATAGCGATATCTGAACCAGCTCCACATGTAGGGTATTCTTAGGAAGACAGTATACTGCAGTTTATTCAGCATAACTTACCCTATATGTGTAACAGCGTCCCTGTTTTCACATTCAGTAGTCCATATTGCTATTTTATCACCCTTGGCTCTAACATTAACAACTGCTCCACATACATCATCGCTGTAGTCATCAAAGGACTCTCCAATAAGGCACAACAGCTATAAAAGAGTAATAGACCATTAAACAATCTAAATAGAAAAAGACAACCAAATGAATGGAAGAACATGAACACTACATAAGACAAGAAACACTCCCAAGATAACCAATAATATGAAAGCATTTTCAACTGTCTTTGACAGGAAACCAGAGACCACCACACATCGGCTTTCTGAAGAACAATGCAGGCAATCCCCGATTTGTGCATCCACAGGCTCTTACCTGATGAGATTACCACTAAGATCAACCTGTTGCCAAGTGTTTGTAATAGAGTGAGCCGCAACTTACACCTAATTTACTTATACACAATTTACTTATCACAACCGTACACAGATGAGGGAAAGTAAATAAATATATGGAGAGTGGGGGAAAACCTGTTGTTCCCTCTCTCAATTTATTTCCCATACTGGGCAGGTCATGGGTGCATTCTAGGGCCCTCCTGCAACTTTCCCAGGGCCCAATAAGTAACCCTTTGCCTTGTGGGGGGCAGAGGGTGAGCAGTTCCAAAGGTTCCCATCTTTGTACAATTTTGCCTTTGGGCACGGACCCCAAGAACTGAACCCTTGCATAAGTGGTGGGCCCACTGTACTCTTTCTTGCCCAGATGCAAGTTCAGTCTGTTTCATCTACCATAGATTTAGAATTGAGATAGTTCTTTGTAGTTGTTCAGTTAAGAGCTGGGTGGTATCAGGGTATTGATGGCAATCAGTTCCAAACTCTCAGCATCTTCAGTTGTATGTTAGAAACCACTGGCAATAAACTGAGCTCCAGATAACACATTGTCAACTTGAAAGGGCAGAGCTACAATTAAGGACCCTTGGATGGAGAAAGAAATCAAATTACTCAGGAGCCAGACCAAATATCCCTACTAGCCATCTAAACTGGTCCACCGCATCAAAAATAACAAGAAGTCCAAATGTAAATGGGCATGGAGATAAAGATGTGGCATTCTCCAAAACCCTGAACACAATGTTAATTTGCCCAAGGCAAATGAGGCCAAAATAATCTATGTAACTGCAACAAGAGGCACCTTCTGACACCCTGGGCCAGAACCATGTCACAAGCAAGTCAGAGACCTGAGTGATTTATCAGAAAACTACCAAACAAATTTGTGTCAAGTCCTATTTACAGATTACTCATACGTAAGGAATGCACATGTTGAAGCAGGAGGCATGTTGGCCCCACCATTGATTTTGTGTCCCATGGCTAGCAACCTCTGAAAAGGAGTCCTGTGCTACTGGGTGCTACATGCAAGCAGCCACTCATGCTAAGGGGCTCCTTTTCGGATATCAAGAGCCAGGGAATGCAAATTTAGGGCTGGGATCCACATACAAAAATGCAAGAGTAAGTCTACAGTAAACTGCAAATTCCTTCCACTTTGTTAAGCCCTCATGTGACAACACAAATCCTCTCAAAACAAAAGCATCCCAACAGGATACAATTTTACTCAGATGATGAACAACTTCCTTTGTTGTCTAAAACAGTGTTTTTCAACCACTGTTCCGCGGCACACTAGTGTGCCGTGAGATGTTGCCTGGTGTGCCGTGGGAAAAATTGAAAAATCCGAAAGTTTTTTTTAAAAAATTCAAATTTTCGCCCACTAGGCGGGCGCCGGACTGTGTCCTGGATATGGGGGTGGGGTGGGGTTTTTGACCCCACCCTTGGCCAGCAAGGGCGCCAATTGGCGCTCCTCAGGGGGACACCCTCCACTTTTCTTATGTCCGGGCTGTGATTGGTCCAGACTCCAGCCTGGACCTATCACAGTAGGACATCATCTTCCGACTTCCTTCCTGCCCGAGCACAGTGTGCGCAGCAGCGGAGAGAAGAAGACGTCGCGACTCAAGTCACCAGGAGGACCAGAGAAGTTGTCATTTTATTTCTCTTCAGTCTCCACTGAATGCCTTGACTGGGTTAGGGACCCTTATAGCTCAGCATCACTTGGTGGAAAGGACATAACTGAACTGAGACAAAATCATGGTTTCAAGCTAAGATTTGCTGATCTACCTTTGGACAGTTTTTGGTTGGATACTGCCAAGGAGTTCCCCCTTCTGGCAAACAAAGCTATTTTGACATTGCTCCCATTTTCCACTACATATCTGTGTGAGATGAGCTTTTCAAGCATGATTGCTATAAAAACTAAATACAGAGAGAGACTGAGAGCTGTTGACGAAGAGCTATGTGTGTGTCTTTCTTCGATTCCAGCCAGAATATCAGCTTTGTGTTCAGCCAAACAGGCCCAGGTTGCGCACTGAATAAAGTATTTTATAATTTTTCATATTTCTGTTTACTTACTATTTCATAATAAAGTAATTATAAAATACTTTTTTTGTGTTTATTTGATTCCTATTCCAGAGAATTACTTTATATACAGTCAATATAGGCACAGAGTTAAATTTTTTAACATTTTCTAATGGTGGTGTGCCTCGTGATTTTTTTTCATGAAACAAGTGTGCCTTTGCCCAAAAAAGGTTGAAAAACACTGGTCTAAAAGGTCTACAAATAGGTACAGTCATACCTCGGGTTGAAGTAGCTTCGGGTTGAGTGTTTTTGGGTTGCGCTCCGTGGCGACCCAGAAGTAACGGAATGCGTTACTTCAGGGTTTTGCCGCTCACGCAGACACTCAAAATGACACAGGTTGCATTCGCTTCAGGATGCGAACGGGGCTCTGGAACGGATCCCATTCGCATCCAGAGGTACCACTGTACTATGACATACTCAGTAGAATTCAGCATGTGTTGTCCCCTTTGTCCTGCAGTTATTCTACCTGTTGCATAGTTTTCAGTGCCATTTTGGGGCGTTTGTTTATGATTGCAAGGGGGAAATCCTATCTATTCCCCTTCATCAAATCAGAATTAGCACTACCACCTCCCCACAACTCCCCGCCTCCCAGGGATCCCATAAGCTTCACAAATACTTGGGGCGGACCATGTTAATGAACCTGGATTCAATGCCTAAGGAACCCATTACACCTTGAGCTACTAGTGATCTAAGCATGACAGACACAGCGTCTACACAAGTTGTTACACCACCACTCACAGGTACATAGAAGTGGCAACTGATGAGTTCTTCAACATGCCTCCTCCCTTCAGGAATTTTGAAACAGTTCATCTCTCAAAATTAAGCAGGACAAAATAGCACAAAAAACTTACTGTCTCTAGCCAGAAGCGATCAAGGTCACTTCGTCGCTGCTGTTTGTTTAGTGTAATTAGCCACCGTCCTCCTCGTTTATTCTTCTCATCTTCCCACATGGGCTCAATACCATCCTAAAAAGTGCAATTTCAGCAGAAAACAATAAATCTAGATAATGCACAATGCAATATCACTCCATTTTAATGCAGCATTTGAGCCCAGCTATTCTCATGGCATTAAGATTTTAAACTCATTTGTCTTAATACCACCTGCAATGCAATGGGTTGTACCCAACTAAATTATCCTGTTGGTGCAAGAAATTCCAACTGCCTAACAGGACCCCTCTGTTCTGAGGCTTTCCCCAATTAACTGCAGTAGACTGGGGTGGGGAGAGAAAGGCCTCTTGCTTTTGCACTAGTGGAAAGACTTCGTTGGATACAACCAATGTATGGAAAGACTTTCCTACTGCCAGAGAAGTTTCAGGACTAACTAGAAAAAGGATTTCATTTATAGACAGTAGCATGGAAAGAGGCAGTGTGTGGCAAGGCAGCCCAGAGACATTTAAGATTAGCAATTCACACCTAACTCAAACAGCTAAGTTCACTAGTGTGTGCCTGAACACATTATAGAAATCAAGTGTCAAGCTATGAATGTGCAACAAGGAAATACTAGACTCTGTGGAGGTGGAGTAGTGTGGTTTACATACAGTCTTAAGACATTTTAAGACAGGGGACCCAAAACATTATTCATAATAATTAACAAGCTAATACTTAAGTTTACTCTGCATACCTTAAACAGTGAGTAGTCGCAACCGGGCATTAAGTTACTAGAGAGCTGGATATGGTTATATAACCTATTTGGAAAAAGCAAAACACAATTACGAAAGTGAACTATCACAAGCAGTGCAGATTTCACCACGATAAATCAGGCTAGCATCTTAAATTTTAAGGTGCTTTAATTAGGAATATAAACTTATTCTCAACAATTAATTTCACGGCATGGGGGGAATAATTAAAAATTAAATCCAGTCACATGTGTATAAGGAACGCTGACAATGCAAGACAATTGCTTCTACATTTTTATTACCTGAAATGTTTAGACAAGGGTTGCTAACCTGTGGTTCCCATTGGACTCAACTCCTATCAGCCCCATGGTCAATTGTCAGGGATGAAAGGAGTTGTACTCCAGCAACATCTGGTGTGTCACAGGTTAGTCATCCTGACTTAATAAGCATAGCTCATAGGAGTCCCCAATACTTGATAGGTACTGTAGCTGACTGTTTATAGTTCTCCTACGTTGGTGTTAATTAGTTTCATAATCAGCTACTTTTTCTATTAAAAAACTCTGAAGGATTTTTAGTCTGTGCCTGCAGAGATTTTCCTGAATTGTGTTTCATCTGTCAATTTTAAAAAATCAAGGTATTTGCCAGATCCCTTTCATTCAACTTACTAGGTTCCCTCTTTTTCCTTATGTCATCCTGCATAATGAACAGAAAGGGGAAAATTCAAATTTCATGTTTAATTGAGTTTTGAAAAATGCAGTATAAACCTTCCCACAGAGGCTCTGAGCTAGTGTACAGGCTGATTTAAAAAGCTACACATTACTATAAAGAAATACTTCAAGAATGAATGAGACCGGCATCTAAGAAGCTTCACTTACGCCCAAAAATCTTCAACAGTATCAAACTTTGAGATCAGACGAAGATTTGCTTGCCAGGTTTTACTTTTGTCATTTTTAAAGAACCAGAGCGCCCACCTGAAAAAATATTGATTTCTTGTTAGGCTACTATGTTTTATTATCCAGTGTCCTATTACGACTAAGAATAGTAAGGACTTAAAAATCATACAGCATAGAAGAAATTTAGGAAAGAAAATTATAGATAGCAAGAATGCCCACAGGTTTAATTTTCAGATCCCACTGAACTGGGCAAGGTACTGAGGCTCTAGATCGCAAAGCTGACGGAGAAAGAATTTGATGGAAGGCCAATATTTATATTTAGATATAATGAATGCTTACCTAAGAAAGAAAGGGGGGGTGGAGATTATAAATACTGTTATTTCCAAAATTCAATCTTCTGAAAACAGATTCTGGAGTAAAGCATATAATCTGAAGCATGCTTTCTGAACAATTTATCTACCTCAACCTAGTTAGTGGCATTCCATGGGGAGCAGCAAGCTTCTGTATCTGTACAACTAGAGGTTGCTTGCGCAAGTTCCTGCCAACCTAGCAGTTCGAAAGCATGCCAAAGTGCAAATAGATAAATATGTACCGCTCCGGTGGGAAGGTAAACGGCGTTTCCATGCGCTGCTCTGGTTTGCCAGAATCAGCTTAGTCATGCTGGCCACATGACCCAGAAGCTGTCTGCGGACAAACGCCGGCTCCCTCGGCCAATAAAGCGAGATGAGTGCCACAACCCCAGAGTCGGCCACGACTGGACCTAAAGGCTTTACCTTTACCTTGTGCAAGTTACCCTCTCTGATCCAAAAGTCAGGGCTGCACGTATAGTGTCTAAAAATGTAAACTCCTGGTGATCAGGTGCATCAAGACTGGATTCAGTCCACCATTGCTGCTGCTTCTCACTAACTGACTGATCAATATCACCTTAGCTTTAAAAAGAAGTGCTTTGTGCACAGTGCAGCTGCTATATATGTACTTCTTTGGATGGGGATACTGCTCTAGGCAAAACTTCAGAAAGCACATAGAATCAACAGACTTGAAGAGTTGCCGAGTATTGTTCTGTGAAGTTATACATTCCACTCAGTCAACCACTCAATATCAATATTCTTATTTCACTAGAGCTATTTGGGGTGTGCTATTTTAAACTACTCTTGAAAATGCAACAGAGCTTCAATACATTCAGAAATATCTGAGCTATCCAAATTAGAATAACCAGGAACAATGTTTTTACAGGGTCACACTGACCTGGGACAAGGAGATTTGATTAGAGAAATTTGGGGGGAAGCAACCTATTTTGGTAATGAGAACCTAACACTACACCAGCACCATCGTATCTTTTACCAGCTGTAACTCATCTTAAAAGTGTCAGGAAATTGCAGCAATGCAGGTCTTTCAGCAAGAGGAAGGGAAAAAATCGTAAAGCAGGATTAACAACGGACTAAAAAAAAGGTAGAGTCTCTTGCTCCTAGCAGTTTATCTCCTGAAACAAGAAAATCTGTAAACTGAAGCCACTAAAATTCTAAAAGCACAGATTTCATTACACATTTGTATGTGTTTTAAGCTATGAACACATCATATTCTGATATCTATGTTACAACCCTCTCAGTGCCACATTATATGATTAGTTGTAAACCCACATATTGTAATACTTAAGAGACATTATAGTATTTGCTAAGGGGTAAACAATGGGATCAGATTGTGGTCTATATGCTCTGTATCTGGATTTCCCAGAAGTATCTGACTCGCCCTGCTGGCAACCAACTCTTGGTCTGATCCAGCCAGGCTCTTATGAGAACTGCGTTCTCACCTAAGGCACTGAGTAGGTCAAATGGACATCAATAATTAAAAGACTATTCCCTTAATCATTCACAGTTAAATGAAGTGAAATATAACTTTCAAAAGTTTTATTATCAGTATTATTAATAAATATTTTGTTTATGATGGTTAAGCAGTATAAAAGATTCAGGTAGGTAGCCGTGTTGGTCTGACGCAGTCGAAATAAAAATAATAAAAAATAAAAAATAATCCAGTAGTACCTTATAGACCAATTAAGTTTGTTCTGGTATCTGAAGTAGTGTGCATGCACACGAAGGCTTATACCAGAACAAACTTAGTTGGTCTATAAGCAGTATAAAAGTCTTCTTAAACAAAACAAAGGCAGTCCTCAGAACGCAGCCCATATTTTAAAAGTTGAAAAGATTACTTCAGAAAAGCTTAAAGCAGATTCTAACTTGGTTCAAATGAAACATGTGCGAGAGCCGCCTAGAACCTTTGAAAGCTTTCTAGGAAGGTAGAAGTGTTACCTGCAATGCTGAGGTATTGCAATTCAAGTTATGAGAAAGGAGATTCCGACTAAATATCAGGAATAATTTTCTGACTGTAACAGCTGTTTGACAGTGGAACAGACTCCCTTGGGACTCTCCTTACATGGAGATTCTTAAGCTCGATGGCCACCAGTCATGGTTGGACTAGATGACTCTTGAGGTCCCTTCCAACTCTACAATTCTAGGATTATATGAAATGTTGTGGGCATCCATCTGTCTTAAGAGACAATGGAATGTCCTTCTGGGGCGAAGTCAAACCCCTGGAAAATCACAGCACCTGCTGTGGCTGCATAGACTAGAAACTCATAACTGGTTTTCCAGTGTTCTTTTTGGTGCTTTAACAGTACTGAAGTGTCCTCTCCAGGGCTGCCCCTCTTCTGTCCTGTTTGAAACAAGAGCTATTTATCATGCAGCAATACTGCTGTTCAAAGTTCTACACCAGGGGTCTGGAACCTCCTGCCCACAGAACTCCTAATTTGAACCACAGGGCCATTCTTCCCCAGCCATGCTCACCATACACCATATGACATCATGTGTGGTACAGGTGATGTTGCATCTTCCAAGGGGCAATCAGGAGTGTTATTGAAGGTCAGCAGTCTGTCGACTCCCAACTGCACCAAATGTAAGCCATGCTCCCGATTATTCCTTTGCATTCGGCACACAAATTATCACCAAATTCAAGCCATGCTGCTGAGGTTAGGTCCATTGTGTGCACTACAAGCCAGATCCCAGCTGCTTTACAATCTTGTTTGCATGGTTGTAAAGGTAGAAGGCTCCCCTTTTACAATTTCTTGAAATACATCCACTTTATACTCGTTTAGTCCATCATAAAGGTTAGATTTTCATTTTCATCCTTTAGTCAAAAATTGCAATAAAACAAGTTTTCACAGGAATTTTCAAACAATGTTTTAAATGTAATTCATATCTGTAAGTTATAATATTCTATTATATTGTTCAGAGGAAACATGCCTCACCTGTTTTGTAATGGATGCTTAACGTATGGTTCAGGACTGACTACCTCCTGGCTTGCTGGTGTCTCGGTTTTCTCTTCTTCTGAAGTCTGAGGGTTAGAAGTGGTTTCCTATATAAACAAAGTACAAAGTCGACTTGTTGCATGTTTACTATTCTGATAATACTATGTTGCATAGGTTTTCCTTTTTGCAGGGTAAGCACATCCAAATATACTTCCAACTCCTAATAATAATGAATTTGACCATGATTTTGCAAATGTGGACACTGTACTATTAGAGTTAGAATAGCTTCTTCATGTGGAGGACAAGGGTATTCTTCTCACACAGTTGTAGGTACATAAAAGCAGATTATCAGAATCAGGGCCAGCCCAAGACATTTTGAACCTGAGGAGAACCACAAAATGGGGCCCCTTTCCATGCCAGAGAAGGAAGAATGAGCGAATATCTACATAGGGATTTGCTGCCCCTGTGGATCCTGCCAGCTGAGGCAGGTTACCTTGCCCCATGGGTTGGTTGGTCCTGATCAAAACTACCACTTGGCTCAGGATCTCTATGGATTTCTAAATGTGTGGAAATGTCACTCCACAATGCAACATCAATTTACTTTACTTAACAAAATCTATACACCAACCAATTATAATAGAACACCCAAGTGGTTTATAAAAAATAAAACATTAAAATTGTAAAAGACAATTACATTTGTTTTGTTTTTTTAAAGCAAACTATAATTACTATTTCTCAGTGAACATCACATAGTCGGTTCCATTGCAATTAGGCTTCATCCTAACTCTCAAGGAATTTGTCTAGATCCAAAGGGCGACAAGATCTTGAACACTGATACCAGTGTATGACCCTATCTGGTCATAATGTAGTACATACTCCATTTATATATTGTACAGGGGGTTACATTCCACAGACGGCACATATACACAAAAAAATTGTTTAGTCGAAACACCCCGCTGAAACTGCCCCTGTACAAGCAGTCTTACATTCCAGAGTTGGCGCCTAACAGGTCTTACACCACCCCCCCTTTTCCGCCTTGGTCATTGGGCTCTAGGAGGCTCTCTCACAAACTTTGGCAAGATGTCGCAAGAGTCTCCCAGAGTCCAGTAAGCAAGGAGTAGAGTGTAAAACCTCTTTCCGTGTTAGAAAAACCCTGCACAAAAAGAGCTTTTAAACTCTGCCTTTTATTAATTTGTACAATTTCAACTAAATGGCCACCAACCATGTAAAGTCGTAATTGTATAAGGTGAACATGCCTAAGTTGAGAGTCAATTGTAAATTAAATTCGCAATTTCAGTGGTGCCACTGCCGCTCTGCTAGATTTTTAAAAGCTTTGTAACATTTATTTCTTTGTTTTTATGTATTCTTTTTATATCCCACCTTTCTTCCAAGCAGCTCAAGATGGAGTACAGAGTTCTCCATCTCCTCATTTTATCCTCCCAAGAAACCAATGAGGTATCTTAAGTTGAGAGAATGTGACTGGCCCAAGGTCACCCTGTGAGATTCATGACTGAGTGGAGATTCAAACTCTGGGATCCAAGTCCAACATATCACACTGGCTCTCTTAACCACTAAACTGCCCCAACATATGAAAATATGGCAGGATTAAGTAATTATTGGGTTCTGTTATTCCATTTTCTATCCTAATTTGCAAGACTTGACAATATGATGCTGAAAGCTGTTTACTAAACTTAAGACTATACACAGCTACAAGTTCGGACCTTAGTAAATTTGAGACCACACAGAAACAGGAGACACAACGGACTGGATCAATATTAGGCTATTTGATCTTTGTTCCCACTGAAATCAATGTGCAAACTTACTCATAAATAATTTAGGTCCCATTGATTTCAGCCTATCTTAAGTAAGAATCCAGTCCAGTGAGTCAAGAACTCTGGGCAGTCCCAAGAAATGTGGTCTTACTACTAGTTACCACTCCTCAACAAATCAAGATTCTGAACCTGAAAGGAAGCTACTTCTAGAAACTGAAGATGGTTTAAAAAATAAAGCCAATTATGACAATAAAAATTTAAAATTATTTGTGTCAAATAATGCTGCATTGCCAGATAATCCAAGTATCTGTCTGCTGACTAACAATAGTCTTCAAAACTATGCCAATTAAAATTAGTAAACAGAAAATAGCAATTTGACACTGCCAGCACAGGTACTGATGAAACACTTATTTATCACCTGCATTCTTTGTTGTAATTACATGCTCTAATCTGCCCATCACACTCTTCCTTAAGAATGCCTTTGAACAATCCACATCATATAGTCATAATCTCTTCAGCTAGGAATCCAAGTTACTCATATCCAACTGTGGCAACTAGCAACAAAATTAGTGCTGGTGCATAAAACATTACAGATACAAAACTAAAGACTGAATACTTACCCTTCCAATACTACATGGTCCAAAAAGGTTTTCAATCATGGTGATGAATACCTTGCAAAATATAGTACTTTAAAACAAGCCCCCTTCAAATACCCCACATACAGTTGTGCTTTGGACGATGATGAAAGTGACAAAAATGAGGAACTTGTTAAAACTGGGAAATATCAGAAAATGAGCTTTCAAAAGTGTTTGGGTACTTATGAGTATGAGTTTGGGTACTTAAGATTATTATAATTATGGATCACTCCATAGTTATTCTGTTTCTTTGATGCTTAGGAAGCAGCTTGTATTAATGTGTATGGACTAAGAAAAATAATACATTTTAAAACTATGCCTACTCTTGAAAATTAGGTTAGCAATAGAATACATTTTCCTAAAGGCAACTGCAGAGGGGCATACTGAATTCATGCTACAGCCAGGCAAGACTCAGTCCTTCAAAAGGTTGCTATTCTAAGACACAAGTTTAACTTGCTGCTGCTGCCTATATACAGTGTCAGAACCAATTTACAGGGCTACTTGGCTCACAGCCTGAGTTTCCCCCAGCACAAATGTTGCTAAATGAGCTGTCATAGTCCTCCACCGCACCCCCTCCCCCAAATCCTGCTTTTGAACGTTACCACTCCACCCACATTGGGATAGGTGGCAGTGACAAGCAAAGCAATTTCTTGTTTTGAAATTAACGATTTAAGCGATCTTTTGTTCACGACAAATGTGTAAACCTAGGGTGTCGGGTAGGGAGAAAGAAAAAGAAAGCAGACACCAAGGCGTGGGGGTGATTTGTATGGAAGAAGCTCAACTTTGGACCAGTCTTCCGTTAGCAAGCAACAGATTCCCAAGGGCTTTAGGCGAGGTCTGGGGAATCTGAAAGCTTGTTCTTCCAAGCCGATCTTAAGGAGCGCCCCATGGCCACGTTTCCCTTGCGAAATACTGGTGTGAAAGAAGGAAGGCGAGAGCGGCCGGCGTGCGCATACTAGGCCCGGGACCCCCCGAAAAAAGGTGGCGTCTTCTACCTCAAGGACGGGGGCGGCACGAAATGCTCTCGGGGTGCGGAAAGAGAAGCCGGCGACCACTAGGCAAGCCGGCCTCAGCCCCAGCCTAAGAGAGGAATAGGCCGCTGAGGGAAACGTGGGGATGGGGGAGGTGCCACGGCGCCGTGTGGCGCCTAGCAGGGCAAGAATTGACGAGGGAAGGAGAAATAGGGAGGTTTTTGAGCGGGGCGGCCGAAGAGAGAAAGCGGCGGGAGCCTCTGAGCCGACCACGCCAAAAACGAAGAAGTTAGGTCCTCGCCCCCACCCGTAGGACACGCTCTCGCCCGCCTCCCTCCCCTCACACGGGCCCTCTCGGGTCTCCTCTCTCCCCCTCCTCACGCGACCCCTCCCCTGCCGCCCCTCAACGCCCCCGCCCAAGCTGTGACGGCACAATCCCGCTCGTGCTCGGAACCCGCCTAGACCCCCCGCCCGCCACGCGCCCCTCCTCTCCTCTCACCCGCCCCCGCCCTCCGGCCCCGCTCGACTACTCCCCTCGAGTCACCTCATCGCACGCGCCGGCACCTTCGGCTCGCCGTACACGCGCGCGCGTCACACAGACACACACACACATTGCCAGGCCGCCGCCGCCCCTTCCCTTCCTTCCCTCTTTTTTTTACCCCTCCGATAGGATATTCTCCCTCCGCCACGGTCGCCTTCTGGCCCCCGCCAGGCCTTTCCCCGGCCCCTCCGGAAGCCGAGAAGGAAGGCGCTGGGTCGGAGAGGGAGGAAGCGGGAACGAGGACACTCACCGGTTCCACCGTCGCCATCTTAGATCGCTCTGATCGTACAAGCGCGGAGGGGAGGGGAGAGGTAAGAAGGGGGAGGCGGATAACAAATCAGGTTCGAAAGCGATTGGCCGGCGGGGCGTCACGTGGGGGCGACGGCCGTTTTGGCGGCTCGGCGCGTGCGTGCGTGGGGTGGGGGCCGCTGCGGGGAGGGGTCGGTGTCCGAGGCTGGAGGGAAGGTGAAGCGGTGGCTTCTGGGAATTGTAGTCTCCGGTGAAGTTCTTTCCCCACTTCCTTCCTTCCTTTTCCCCTCCTCCTCCTCCCCGCCTCCCCCTTTCAGGAGAGACAGTCACGTGGGAAAGGCAGACAGGGGCATGTCAGGCTGAGGCGGCACTGCTCGGAACGGCAAAGTGACCCCTAGAGTCCGAAAGCGGCAACTGCAGAATCTGTCTGCGTCTCGCCACTGAGGCTTGGCCGGACGGGCCGCTTGTTCCCCTTTCTGTCATGGAGGTGTCAGCATGTGTGATGCAAGCCCCTCCTCATCCCTCAAGTCACCGCCATTCACATCCCCATCCAAAATCTGATTGGTGGGCAACAGACGAGTAATCCACCGGCGCGGCTGCCTCACCATTTCCACACGTGATAAAAATATTCACATTTATCCGACAATTTACCGACCTGCGGCGTCTAATCGGACGAGGCAGCCCGTCTGCCTTGATCTTTGTGCCAGAAACAAGCAAAATGCACTGAAATGCTATAGACAGCTCAGTCGGTAGCACATGAGACTTACTCTCAGGCAAAAGATGCATTGCAGGGGGTTGGACTTCATGGTCCTTTCCTACTCTACATTTCTATGATGGTTATTTTAAGGTGGTTCTTTTCTCAGCCTTAAAACACAAGCCTCCCTAGAACTCAGGAACAGGGATGCTCATCTGCAGAAAGAATATTTTTCCTGCAAGGGGCTGGGGGGAGGAGGGTAGTTGTTGGCAATTCCATGGATATTTCTCCACACTCTGTAATACGTAAACAAATAGTTAAAGAGGAATGCTGGCATCCTTCAGAGATGAGGCACTCTGCTTCACAATCAAAGGCAATCTGTCGTTAAATCGACTTTTTAAAACCTCCTGGCTAGAAGAGAAAAGCATTCTGCAAACTTGGAAGACTTAATCATCAAACCCTTAAAACAATGTGTTCCATTCAGGGGAAAGGCACATAATGGCCATTTAAAACACAAACCAACGTTAGCTACCTGACTTTAGGACAGATTTGTGTAATTCAGGAGTGGGACTTACACACCTTCTGCACCATGGTGTAACTTGGTAGGTGGGTTCTTCCACAATTTTAATCACTTTTTAAAGTCATCTAAGAGAGCCATCCAAAAGCCTGCCAGAGCTGGCCTGAGGGGCTGTTGAAAGTGACATTAAGGACTTCTCTTCTAGGGAAGGCCATTGGAATAGTCTTTAGCCTGCTAGAGGCCTCCAGATATACCTCCAGAAAACTGGAGACATAGAATAGATGCCCTGTTGGCAGTATTCCACTTGGTGTGTGAAGCAAAACTGGGGTATGCCAGGGGAATCTAAGGATCCTAATCCCCTTCACTAACACATCCCCCCAACGAGCCCTGAATTACCCTAGCTCTGGAGTCGATGTAGTTAATTCCCTCCCATTGACCACCAGATCCCTTCTCATTAAAAGTTGCTGCTCCAGCTTCTGCCCTGGCCACAGCAAAGTAGCAGGATTTAGGAAGTGGTAGCTCTGCCATTCCGTGACTATAATCAGAGTTATAATCTACAATCACATTATGCTATGTGAAATTTGCCAGTCAATTGCTTTGCATGACACATCAAGCTCTCCATGGCAAAACCAAGCATATGGAAACAATCAGTTGAAATCCCTAAAATGTAACGTTTTGTTTTTATTCATATATTTAAAACATTAAGACTGCCATCTTAATTACATGTATGTAGGAGTAAGACCCATTAGAGTAAGTTCCAGGCAGGTTGGTATGTGAAGAAGAGCTTCTTCGAGCACTTGGGTTTCCAGTCAACTGCTGGAAGGTTGTATCAATTTACTTTGACAGTGCACTGTTGTTAGTCAGGTTCTCATTTTACTGAAGTGGGTGTTGTGTAGTTAGATGGTTTTCAAAACAGACATTAAAATAGGACTCTAAACTTCTAAACACTTATGTAGGAACCAGGGCAGGGCTGAAAACTTACAAGTATTTTCCTGGGGGTGGGGGAAGCTGGACAAATCACAATTCAGCACTTTCCAGCTTTTTGGTAGATGTGCTGAAAATCATGTTTGTCTCCAAAGTGATCATCTGCACTGCTCTGGCTTCCCTTAGTTAAAAAAAAGATATACATTAGTTATTAGGTACTTATTTTCAAATGCCCTTGGGGTGGGAGTAAAATAAGTAATATTCTTTTGCATATTTTAATTTACAAACTTCATCAATATGCTGTCCACTGAAGAATTAAAATCTACAGTGGACCAATAGCTAGAAGTCACGATGTATTAAGTGTTCATAAAGTTATATATTGATTCACTGCAACTGAAAAAAGAAAAAGATACCTGTTTGCTTCTGTCAGAAATTTTCAAGGCATGCTGATTCTCCCACCCCCCTATATACTAGGCATGCATTTTATGCAGCTGCAAGTCGTGGTGATGTTGCTGCAGCATGCGAACATAGTGCCTATTTGACAGCAAAGGTTGCAAGGATTTTAGCTGGGGCAATCAGAATAAGATCCACTATTTGACTTTTGATTCAAAACCCTAAAATGTATTTTATAAATTGACTTTTTATTTCTATTCTTTGTATATTGTATTGTTGTTTTATTGCTATGGCCGATGGCTGACGCAAATAAAGATTCATTCATTCATAGTGCCTGTTTGTACTGGAAGTTTGGAAAGAAGACATTTGTATTATGCAGATCATTGCATGAAGCATTTTGGAGCTGCTAGAATCAATTTAGAAACACTAAGACTAGCTCATGTTGCTGGGGAACAACTGATTTATTCATCGGATTTTCAGGTGAGCAGATGCTGTTGACAAGATCGGACTGAACCACAATGAAGGATGGGATCTATTCACATACATATTATGCAGGCGTCGGGACAAGACAAGCCTAGGAAGAATTGTATTCCATTATTATTGTTGGTAGGGCGAAGCTAAAGTCCCATTGGTTTGAACAGGATTCACAACTAAATCTTTACCAGTATTCAGTGGCGCTTTCCCATGCATAAGACAGTGGTGCGATGCAATCTTCTGTAAATTTACTATCGGGCATTACTGTGTTTAGTGAGGCTTACTCCTAAGTAAGGTTAAGTTTTGTTGGAATGTGCCTACTCGCTTTTGCTGTGAAACTAGTACAAATGAATGTACTGTACACTGTTCACCCAAACTAGACAGTTCTTGTTGCCCCTTGAGCAATTGAACCATGAGTATTTTATTAGAGCTCCATCACTTTGGAAGGTTTATCAGGAGCATTTGCAGCATTTGTGAAACCCTCGTGTAGTTTGTGGTCATGATCCAATGAGGATTTACATTCACAAAAGCAATAGTGTGTCAGGGTTTATAGTTTCCTCTTCAGCATCTCATCCCTTAAGCCATTTCCATCCTGCACCATAAACTGGTATAATTTTATTGTATCACGCCAGTTTGATTCACGAGACCTCTAGGTGGCATACAATTCAAAATCCATAATACAAGCAGTGGCACAAACAAGACGCAACCACAGTCGTTACACAGTGCTTATAGCTGCCCTAAAATCTTTTATTAAAATGAGCCTGGCAGACCTCTTGAGAGGGTGTTCTGGCATGTGGTTGCCACCACAGTGAAGGCCCTGCTTCTAGCAGAAACCAGTCTGGTTTTACATAATGAAGAAATCTAACGCAGAGCCATCCTATAAGATTGTAGTACATGGGAAGGGGGAAGCTTAAAATCTGGTCCCTATGAATCTTTATTTAGATAATTCCTTCCAGGTAAACGTTGCCCTGAATTTTTGTTTTACATAATTTGCTTTTATATACTTTCACATGGGTGTTTATTGATTTTAGTTTGCATTTTGTTTAATGTTATTGTTTGTTTTTGATATTGTATATCCCTTAGAAATTTGTAAAATATTAAGCATTTATACATTCTAATAAATAAAGTGAATTGCAGCTGTTTATATTCTGAGTATGCATGTGTGAGAAACGATTTAGAATCATAGAATCATAGAGTTGGAAGAGACCACAAGGGCCATCAAGTCCAACCCCCTGCCAAGCAGGAAACACCATCAGAGCACTCCTGACATATGGTTGTCAAGCCTCTGCTTAAAGACCTCCAAAGAAGGAGACTCCACCACACTCCTTGGCAGCAAATTCCACTGTCAAACAGCTCTTACTGTCAGGAAGTTCTTCCTAATGTTTAGGTGGAATCTTCTTTCTTGTAGTTTGGATCCATTGCTCCGTGTCCGCTTCTCTGGAGCAGCAGAAAACAACCTTTCTCCCTCCTCTATGTGACATCCTTTTATATATTTGAACATGGCTATCATATCACCCCTTAACCTCCTCTTCTCCAGGCTAAACATGCCCAGCTCCCTTAGCCGTTCCTCATAAGGCATCGTTTCCAGGCCTTTGACCATTTTGGTTGCCCTCCTCTGGACACGTTCCAGTTTGTCAGAGTCCTTCTTGAACTGTGGTGCCCAGAACTGGACACAGTACTCCAGGTGAGGTCTGACCAGAGCAGAATACAGTGGCACTATTACTTCCCTTGATCTAGATGCTATACTCCTATTGATCCAGCCCAGAATTGCATTGGCTTTTTTAGCTGCCGCGTCACACTGTCGGCTCATGTCAAGTTTGTGGTCAACCAAGACTCCTAGATCCTTTTCACATGTACTGCTCTCAAGCCAGGTGTCACCCATCTTGTATTTGTGCCTCTCATTTTTTTGCCCAAGTGCAATACTTTACATTTCTCCCTGTTAAAGTTCATCTTGTTTGTTTTGGCCCAGTTCTCTAATCTGTCAAGGTCGTTTTGAAGTGTGATCCTGTCCTCTGGGGTGTTAGCCACCCCTCCCAGTTTGGTGTCATCTGCAAATTTGCAGGGGAACTATATAATAAACCTAATTATGAGTGGATCTGAAAACAGATATGCACCTCTGAATCATAGTCTACATATCCATAATTCATGAAATGTGGAAGGAATGGGAGGGGGATGTTGAATACATCCTGTTCTTGATGTACTCCCATTATCCAATGTATTTTTGATTAATCTATTATTAGTGACTAGACAAAAAAAATAAAGAATATGTTTTATTATGCACATGCCAGCATTCCGTTACAACTGACAAGATGGAGTTTGAATGCCACTACTTTAATTTGGCTTCCAGATACACCCCTTTCTGTGAATTTTCTCTTTATTTTTTCATTTTGTGGAAATTTTTGTGAAAAACTAGAAGAGCATGGCTACGTATATTTCAGGGCTTGGAGCCAAAGCCATTAATATTTTTATTGGAAGATATTATTTGACAGTGCAATTATGTATTTTTGCATTCTTAATGCTTCACAACATTTTCTATACATTACGTTTGCATCTAATCTGTACAACCCATTTGTTTCTTTCTTTATAGTATTTCTTACCTGCCCTTCACCATGAGGTCCCTGGGGTGGTTGCAACAGTATAATATATAATATACTGTTGCAGATATGGAGTAACAGTTTGGGGGGCCAAGGCACCTTTAACAGAGTTAGTCAATGTTAGAAATTAATAAAATGCTAAGAATTTGGGACTTTGAAGGGAAGACACCAGGACAGTAGAAAAATACAGGCTAAGCTCCCTTGCCAGGCCATGGTCTCACCTGAGGTAAAGGTGAAGGTACCCGTGACCGTTAGGTCCAGTCGCAGATGACTTTGGGGTTGCGGCGTTCATCTTGCTTTACTGGCTAAGGGAGCCGGCGTACAGCTTCCGTGTCATGTGGCCAGCATGACTAAGCCACTTCTGGAGAACCAGAGCAGTGCATGGAAACGCCATTTACCTTGCCACCAGAGCGGTACCTATTTATCTACTTGCACTTTGACGTGCTTTTGAACTGCTAGGTTGGCAGGAGCTGGGACTGACAGAAACCAACATCAAGTCTGCATCTCAGCAGGCTGGGACAGAGGCACAGAGATGGCGTGCAGGATGCCTTGGACTCCCAATACTGTACTGCTGTGGGGAACAAGCCCTTCTTGAGATGTAACGCTCTGAGCTATTTCCAAAGTAGACCCAGGTGTAAATATGTGTACGACAAACTAATTCATTGCTCCTTGATTCCCGTGGAAATGATCTGGCGTGAGCGCCGGGAATCCCCTGGAATTTTGCTACTACTCATCAGAGACTGGCGGTGGCGCACAACCTTTGTAACAATAATATTAAAACTGCAAACTTAAAATTATATTAACAAGTAAAACAGTTATTTCTCTCTTTCCCCCCCTCCACATGTAATTCCTTGTGATTGAAGTAGAATATCTGGATAAAGGGAAATAGTGGAAGACAATGAAGTTCAGCCAAACATTTGCTTCCTTTTTGATGCAATTCAAAAGACAATTTTTAGTGGACAGCACCCTTAGGTCAAGGGTCAGTTTTAAAGTACTGGGGTCCAAAGTGAATGTTAGCATCAAAATGGTGCCGTATCTGGTCTGCTAGTCATGGGTTACCGTTAGCCACCACTGCTGTAAGATGTAACACTTTACTTTCAAAGTAAAGCTATTTAATCAAATCAATCAAAAATTCTATTATGAAATCTTGCATATCTGATTTTCTAAACACCGTTTTGCTGATTTTGTTTTTTAAACACTCGTGCTTTTTGCATTAATAAAACAGCAAAAACAACACTGTTTACAACACGCATGTACACGATCCAGCCAAAACAAAGCACTTTTAATCAAGTGTCAATGATTTTAATGGGAAAGTGCATAATACTGAATATACTGGTGAACATAAAACACAAGAGAAATGCATTGCTTTGGGGGAAATTACTTGCAAAAATGCACATTAGCCAAAACTGCACATAAAAACCTGTGCACTAATGTGCTGGTGAAGTTTCTTTTTCTTTTTTAATTGCAAATTGCTGCAAAACGTGAAGAACTGAATATAAGATGGGGGGGGCACTGAAATGGACAGATCTTACACTGGAAGCTGCGGGGCTCTTTTCTGAAGCTTCATCCCATTGACCTCCCACCCGCTTTGGTCGTTCCTGCCCTCAAATCGGTACAACTCCCACCGCAGCCCTTCTTTTCTCACCACCACCACCGCTACTCCGCCGCCAGAACCTGGAGAAGAAAACAAGTCCATCAACCCGACCTTTTCTTCCACCATCAAACTTACAAGTTGGAAGGCCCCTTTCGGGGATCCGAAGAGGATCCCTCGTGCTTACATTCGGGAGCGAGAGGCGCCGGGGCGCACACGACTCGGGAGTTCAGCCTCGGAGCTGTGGAAGGGAAAGGCACTCTGCACATGCCCAGAGGCACGCCCTCAGGATCGCCCCTGGGCTGAATGCACCCGGACACGAAGAAAAGGAGGGAGGCAAATATATAATATTTGCAACCGAGACTGACTGAAATGACGACGGCTCGGCCTACCCCGTCCCACTCCCGCCCTGCTCCAACCACCCACCCACACACCCCGCCTTTTGTCGGCCTGCTCCGCTCTCGCCCAGCCGCCGGAGGAAGCGCCTACCCAGAGCGGGCAAGCGAAGGCAGGGCCGGGCCTGGAGCTCCTCCCCGTTTCAGTCAGCGGAGAGTTCCGCCTTTCCCTCCTCCCTTTCCCGGTTTGCCGCCGCCTGGCTGGGCCGCTCTTGTGGCGGCGGCGGCGGTGGCTCCTCCAGCGAGCAGCATGGCGGCCGTGGAGGCCCGGGTGTGCGAGACGTCGGGCTGCAGCAGCGAGGCCAAGCTGCAGTGCCCCACCTGCATCAAGCTGGGCATCCAGGGCTCCTACTTCTGCTCGCAGGTAAGCCCTTGCTGCTGCCCGCGCGCGAGACAGAGGCGCGCGGGCTGCTGCTGCTCCTCCTCCTCCTCCTCCCAGCCCAAGACGCGGGCTGGCCGGCGTTCCCACGTTCCCTACCCGCTGAGGGAAAACACGGCTGCTGCCCGCCTTCCCACAGTTTCCTGGGAGGGGGGTTTTTATGCCCGCGAATGGCTACCAGAGCTCCCGCCGCAGCTCCTCCCGTCCTCCCCGAAAAGCAGGTGGCGCATGAGGGCTGGGCCTGTCCCCAGGCAGCCCGAGCACGTTTTTTACTCGGAAGTAGCTTCCCAGGGGCCTGCTCCCGAGCCCCCTTTGCAAGCAGGACTCTCTCTCTCTCTGCCTCTCAAGTTGGCCTCCTTACGCCCTCCCCCTTGGGTGCCCTGGGAAACGTCTGAACCACACAGACACGGGTTTTATTATTTGCTTGTTTCCATGCTCTCTGTGGGTTTCCTTCCCGCCCCGCCCCCGGCAAAAATAGCGCCCTCCTGTTGTGGCCCTGGGTTTCTTAAACAGGTCGAAATGGAGAGGTGGGGAAGGAGCTGGGTTTGGGGGCCCCCATTCTGGACCAGGGGAGCCTACGGAGCACCGCTGCCTCCTGCTGCAAACAGGCCACAGAAATGCTGAAGCGGTTCTTCCTTTTGTGTGCCCCCCGTTCTGTGTTTCCATGTGCAACAGCTGTTTTTATCTATTTCAGCTCTGTCATCAAGATTTGCAGGGCATTTTTCGGAGAGAAAGGGGCTGGGTATGATGGCTGTGTGTGTTTTCCCCCCAGCCTATCTACAAGTAATTGTTTTGGTGCTTCAGACATTTTATTTTTATTGCAGAGTGGATTTCGCTTCAGGTTTGTGCTTCAGAAAAATATAGAGAACTCTGTTTTTTGGCGGTACTATTCGTGCACAGTGTGTTTCAGCGTGAGGTTTTATCAGAGCCAGGACTCAGTCCTGGAACTATTTTACTTTTTAATTGTCTCACTTAGTCCTAGATCATAATTGAGAAAGGTGACTCTGAGCATGTGTGGGGAACATTACTTTCATCATTTATTTGCATGCATAGGTTTGCAGTTCGTCTGACTTGTGAGGTTTTCGGTCAGTTTGAAGTGTGGCACCTTTATTTTTCAGAAGCAAGCCAGTTTTTGCCCATATATGGGTTAGAAGTGTGCTTTGTCTTAGATATCTAGGGTATCTGCCTCATGGGAAATTTAATCACTGAGATTGACACACAGCCTCTTAACTAATATTTCAAAAATTCACACTTGATGATTGGCTTTGACATTGTACTGTGCTAAAAGTTTCATGGGTTAATTATTTAACATGCATCATGTGGAGTTGTTTCTTTGGCCATGTGACACAACTGTCTTCCTGGTTATAGTCATACATAGTTGACTTTGCAGATTTTAGTCCTTCGGAGCTAAATTTCTTGGAAAGAATGAAATACGGTGTAGTCTGATGTTGACTGACTGTATTTCCTAATATGCTGATTTCAGGAAACTGTAATTATAAATGCGATAATAATAGATTTTCCCCCTCTTAAAAGAAATGTAGAATGCATGAAGTCTTGCAAACCCCAAATCATTCAGTCTCTCAAACCTCAATGGCATTTCCATTGATTAAAAGAAACACAAACAATATAAAGTGCCCAAAGACACAAACAGTAAAATCTTTTTGTTGTGCCTTGTACCATTATAATTACACACATAGCAAGAGGTGTGATAAAACAATATTTTAAAAGAGAAGTACTTGAGTCCTGGAGATATAGGCTTACTACTTACCACTTAATTTCTGGGGTTAGAAATATATCAGTGTTGTGTTCAGCAATCTCTGAATCTTGATGCTGCAACATAATACTATCCTAGAGTTGAGAGTTCTAAAAAGACAGTTACTGCAACTTAGTGTTGCCATTCTAGTTTCTCAGGCTCCTAAAAGCCTGTTTACAGTGACCTTTAATACATTGAATGGCTGATAGGAATCTTAAGTGTGTTTTGATTTTAAAATGACTAAATTTTGCACCAAAACAACTAAAAGAGCACCAGGTGGAAGAGTAACATTAATAAGATAGAAATGTGAGGACGCAAGTCAGACAATTTATCCAAAGAACATACGAAGTTGGCCTGCTGGATCCAGCACCCTGTTCTCACATTGGCCAAGCAAGATGCCTGTGCTCTGGCCAAACAGACAGCGCTCTGCCTACCTGCAGTTCTCAGCAATCCAGAGGCACAATTACTGGTAATTCTCCATTTAGACCATTATTGTCTGCACTGTGACAACAGCTCTCCAAGGTCTCAGGCAGAGACCTTTCTCTTTACTAGTTGACGCTTAGAATTGGGAATACTAGGGATTGGACTGGGACTATTTTTTTTAATCACCAACCAGACAAAAGAAGCAAAACTTGAAAGATGTCTCTCTCTTCACACTACGTGAATGAACATTAAAATGGTAAACATGAGTGTAAAACGATGCAGTTTGGGGCAGAAACCCTCCAGTATCGCATACACGCAGATGGGATCTGAGCTTGTACCTTCTATTTGTGTGTGAATAGCTATATAATCAAGGATACTCGTACCTCAGCGTTAGATGTGGGCAGAGTGATATAGCAGCATCATATGCTCCCAGACCAGCTCTTTGAGATTGACTAGATCAGCCTTTGTGAACCTGGTGCCCTCCAGATGTTTTTGATTACTTCTATCAGCCATAGTCAGCATGGCTGTCCTGAAACTGATCTAGTTCATTCAGTGGTGCTTTAAGTTCAGTTTTTCACGTGTCAATTCTCATCCACCTACATGAGACTGATCTGCTCAGTGTCCACGCTTGGAAGGTTGGACTTAGAACCCCAGTCTGCCAGGTCCAACCTGCTATTCAACCCATTGGCTCCGAATGATCGAAGCCTGTGTTTGGAATCATAAACTTTACAAAAACACAAGTCCGTGCTGTAATGTGCAGACTTAGGCTTGTGCAGATCTACTTTGTTTTTATTACTAGAACCCAAAGATCTACCAACCAGAGCCAGTTAGTTATAATGAAAAGACAGGGTGCATCCAAGCACACGATAAATTTTGTTTTCAGTACCAGACCACAGTCATTTACGATATATAGTTAAGTTATTCATATACCACTTTTCAGGCAAACCCCCACAAGCTGTTTGCATTGAGTTATTATAGAATCAAAGAATCGTAGAGTTCGAAGAGGGACCCCAAGGGTCATCGAGTTAATCCCCCTGCAATGCTGAAATCACAACCAAGACATCCATGACAGATGGCCTCCCAACCTCTGCTTAAAACCCCCCAGTGAAGGAGCGTCCACCACCTTCCGAGGGAGTCCGTTCTACTGTCACACAGCTCTTACTGTTGGAGTGATTAAAAATAAAAGTAGCATCATTTCCCCCTTGTAAGGGTAGTTGGCCCATTTGGAAGAGCTGCAAAGTTTGCAGTGGTAACTTACGTTGGATCAGCTCTCGCTGACACAAGAATGCCCATTTACAAATGTTGGGGAACTGATAGCAATGCCTTCATGAGTTAGACACCACAAGAACAGAAAATCTCATCTCCTAGTAAACGAAGTGGTAGGAGATGACTCATCCCTTGTGTTATGTTTGAAAACAGCCTTCGGAAGGACCTTGAGTTAATCCAATCCAGCATTATTTTTCAGTGGGATAGGGATGAGTTGCATCTGCTCTTTTATATGTAATGTTTTTACTCTTGCTTTTACACTTGTTTTTAATGTGTGTTTTTGTAAGTCTCCCAAGCTTATCTTTCTAATAAATAAAATGATAATACAAAAACAACCCTGCTGCTGTTAAAAGCGGTTCTCTTGTCTTTTAACTCACTGCTGGTAAACAGAAACATAAGCGTTCAGTAGGACTTTTTTTAGGACATGAACGCTTTTTGCGTGTGACTGGTGGACTGTATTCCTGGCACCCACATTATACATGGGTCTGTATTGACCTCCCTGCCACACAATGCAGGAATAGATTGTAGCCACTGTCTTAATATGTTAGGAGCGTAGTCCAAAAAGAGCAAAGAGAACACCCAGCCTTTTTATTAGTTGGTACTGCTTCTGTGTGAAACAGGCTCCACCGCTGCTTCATGTTTAGTTCTGTTAAAGATTGTGGGAGCAGCTTTAAGGATGTTGCCTTATTTCTTACTGGAAATGGTTCTGGCCTGCATAACAATTCTAATATGGTTCCTTCATCGTATCTGGAACTTCAGAGTCCTCCTGATCGCCCACAGTGGGACAGATTCCGTATTTTTCTATAGCAGGGAGGGGATGAGTGTGACAAAAAAAGGAATGTTTTGGAGTAAAGAAAACATGAGTAATTTTGACTATCGCTGTCTTGGCAGCTGAATGGTTGTTTTTAAGTTTGTGCGCAGAGGTGGAGATGATGCTTCACAGGCAAATAATGCTTGCTTGTTTTTTGAGGGTGATTAAAAAAGGGGACAAAAACAAGCCTTTGGCATTATTATTATTATTAATTCATTAAATTTATATGCCACCCTTCATCTGAAGATCACAAGGCGGTTCCCATTGAAGTGAATGCCCTTAGTTGTCTAAATAAGTTTATGGAGGATAACAGGAGTGGGATGCGTGTCTGTCTCAATTCAAGGGTTGCAGTGTGTGTCAAGTTAATCTGGTGTTTTGTGTGAAGACACCAGTGTGGAAAAGGAGAGGGCCTGGGGGGAAAAAACCAGCCAAAAGGTTCAAATCTCTCTTTATCAGTAGCTAAATGGTGTCCTTGAGCTAGCTGAAGCTGCTTCTGGAGGTAGCAAATAAACAAAATGGAAAATCTTCCGGTGTCATAAATCCCATTACTTTTCTTACAAGAATAGGAAAATGGGACAGTTTCACCATAACATGATAGCTGCTGGTGAAATAATCACGTTTGCTCTTGGTAATTACATAGCGGGAGATGTTTACTTGATTCAACATGGCTTCATGTGCACATTTGACCCCTTTTGGAAGACGGAAAGGTGGGCATGGTGAATGGAAGCATATAAACAATTAGATTTGGTGTCAGTGCTAGATTTGGATTTTGCAGCTGGTATGTGAGGCTCAGGGAGGGGTGGCATCTGCAGACGGGAGAGGAAACGGAAGCATCCATACACAGTCTGCAGAGGGAGTTAAGGGATTGTGGAGCTGGCAGTGGTGCAATCTCCACCCATAATATGGCTGATTACTTGTTTGGTGCTGTGAAAATATTGTTCAGGGTGGATTACCATCAATGTAATAATGGGAAAGCATGGAGTACTAAGAAGGTTCTCCTCAGCTGTGCCATTGGTCCTTTTGCCATGGAGTTATTCTTCTGTAATCCTCTGGGAATTGTAGCTCTGTAATGGGAACAGGGGTCTCCTAATAGCTCACAGCACTCTTAACAAACTATGTTCCCCACGATTCTTTGGGGGAACCCATGAACTGTTAAAATGGTATCACAGTGCTTTAAATGTGTGGTGCATATGTGACCTCTCCAATTAACATACTGTGTTTGAACTGAAATTGGATTTCTTAATGATGTAAACATACTCCTGTCTACTTTATAGTCTATGTCTTGTAGCTTGCAGAACTACTTTATATGATTTAAATATATTGCAAAGCATTGCTAACTTTATACCACTTGCCTTTTTCTTTTTTCTTTAAGGAATGTTTTAAGGGAAGCTGGGCTACTCACAAGTTGCTACACAAGAAAGCAAGTAAGAAAATACTTTTGCTTTTATCATACTCTTTTGTCGCCCTGACTTGCACAGAGTTATAGGGGGTGGGGAGGGGAGGGTTGTAAGCCATTAATCCAGCCCCTTGTTCAGTGCAGTTGTTCCATTGTTAAAGCATTCCAGATGGCTTTCCAGCACTTGCTTGAAGACCTTCAGCAACAGAGAGCCTGGCCCCCTTTAGGTAATCTGTCCCACTGTGAACTGCTGTTTCTGTTAAGATGTTTATCTTCATGTTCAACCAAAATCCACTCTCCTGTATCTCAAGACCATTAGATAGGGAGAGAAAAGTTCCGTGAGTGTCAACTTAAGGCCAGTGTGAAGATGGGTGCTCCTTTATTAGGCAGTACTTTTCAAGTCCCTCACAATTTTGGCCCAATTTTCATTAGGCACATCCAACTGTTGGTTGCTTTTTGGTTGGGGGTTGGTTGGGCAGAGTTGTTGAGCTTTTTTTTAGGGGGCATTGCACAGAGTTGCTGAGCTTTTTGGGTGGGGTGATGCGACAAACCGCTCACCAACAACGACAGCGCTAAACGGAATACTGCTTCTGCTTTCTGCATTCCAAAGCGTTCAATGCAGTGTCAAAGGAGAGACATAGCGCTGGGAGTAATGTACCAGTGATCGACCAGGATCACATACGATCGACCACGATCGCACAAGCGATCGACCTGTTGATTGCGATCAACCAGTTGGACATAGCTTGACTATACCAGTTCAAATTGCAGGTATGGACTTGCATGTGATTGCATGCAACTCCATACAGCACACATTCCATTCACATTCTCTCCAAACAAAAAGCTAGGTGTTGTGGGGGGAAAGGGCTTTCAATTAGCCTTCTCCCTGATGTGCTTCCTTTCTATGTACACTAATCTTTTTTTGTTTATTTTGTTATTTGTTTGGATGGGCATTTAGTTACATGTGAGGCTATATTGTCGGAAGCGGTGTAGCTCAGACGCAGGTTTGAAGCTTTAGTTCCTTTCCCCCAAAAAAACCTTCTGTTTATTTTCCGAGTCTCCCATGCATTCAATCTTACCCAGTGTGAGTGGGTGTGTTACTGGAGTTTTGACTTTTTTGTTTCTTAACCATTGCTGTTCTTCACCGCATCAGAAGTTGCTTCTAAATAGCTGTGAAGGGTGTTGGAATATTATTAATGGCCAATGTGGTTGAGAGAAGCTGATGCAAATAAAAGCACAGAAAGTGAACAGAAAGTCCGTGGCACTCGTGGAAGCCATAAACTTTCAAATAATGGTTCTGTGTTTGCTGCCATTAGTGACAAGGTTGAAGGATTTGATCTATGTTCTGGTTGTAGTTGCAATCTTGAAATCTAGGTTAGGTTGCTTATGTATCATATCTTAATCCAGTTTCAGGAGCCTTTTAAAAAAGAAAAGTAGATTGGATCTGTATTTCAAGGGAAAAGCAAGCTTAAAAAGTCCTATTCTAAAGGAGAAGGAAGAGTTATGAATATACTTCTCTAATTCATTTTTGACAGATATTCCTTCTGGGTTTTTTTATGAAGTTGGTTGTCTTATAATTATAGCATTATTTTGTAATTTTGTTTTGTTGGGTTGTTTTTTTTTTTGCAGAGGATGAAAAAGCGAAGCGGGAGGTTTCTGCCTGGACTGTAGATGGTGACATTAACACAGATCCCTGGGCTGGCTATCGATATACTGGAAAACTTAGGCCACATTATCCACTGGTAAGTAGCTGAAATAACTGAAATGGTGTATCACTTTTAAATCCTGCTGGTGATCAAACTGCAGTAAGAAAATTTCTTAGCAATTATGCTGCCCAGTTGGAAAAATGGTAATAGAACTGTAATTTTGTAAGACACTTACACAGTTCGGGTTGTTAGGTTTTCAGGGGACAATATGCAGCAAAAAAAAAAAAAAAGGCAAGGCACTATCATAAATTAGAAGACAGCATTAGGAGAGTATAAATTAATCCTATGGAAGGAGGACAAAGGAAAGGAAGGGGGCGGTCAAATCAATTTTAGCTGGATATTCAATAATTTAATAGTCATGTTCTCATGCTCCATTCCCCAGCCCACAGATATCTTTCAGCCTGCAAATGGCTGAGCCTATACTGCTAAGCAGCAGAGCAGTTTGATGTGAGTAGATCTGATTTGGCAACACTTATTGGTCCTCTAGTACTAAGAACCTCAAAGTGTGTCGTGGGATTTGGTGCATATAGCTCATTTTGTGTTGGAGAAGGTGGAATGGGGGCAAAGCAGGGAGACAGAATCTCTGTGGCGGTACTGCAGAACCAGAAAGCTTGCGGAATGTATGTATGTGGGACACGAGTTTAAATACAAAGTTGGCTAGCAGGTAACTCTGCTCTTGCCTTTGTGCACTGAATGCTCTGTGGAAGAGGGTTTTCATCCTGTAGTAGTGGGAGATTAAATTCATCTGGTGTTTCAGTTTTTGAAGAAACACTTGATAATAAAGGGTAATCACTCCCCTCTGCAGTAGATCTGATTAATGTAACAACAAGCACAATCATTTTGGGGTTTCCCCAAAAGCAGTGTCTTGTGATTTCTTTGCTCAGAAATTATTATCGTTTATTCAATATCTATACTGCCCTTTGCCAAAGTTTACAAAGCTTACAGGGCAGTTTACAATATAAAAACACAAAAATACAAACCATAATAACAAACAAAAATAATAACTGCCTGTTCTTTTTATTGAATAAATTCCTCAGTTGGTGGGTTTGCATTATTAAGATATAGTTTCTGAAACCATAGTTTGTTTGTTTGTCCAAACTCTGCTCAGCTTAACTATGGTTTGTTTACTACCAAAAATCTGACTCTATAATCTGAAGCCATGGTTTTATTGTTGGGGAATAAATCTTGTTTTGTTTGGTGTTTTGTTATGGTATAAGCTCTTGGCTTTAAACAATGGATATCAGATAGGCTATAAATATAAATACATTTAAATCCCAATTGTGCTTTATTTAGATGCCAACAAGACCTGTGCCGAGTTACATTCAAAGGCCGGATTATGCTGATCACCCGCTAGGTAATTGCAGATACAGAACAATTCTCACTTTTCAAACTTGCGTTTGATTTAGGCTATATTAATTTTCTTTCAGAATGGATTTGTCTCAGATGGGTTTATCAAAAGCTAAGCTTATTTTTAGCAACCAGTTCCTTTAGAAAACAAGGCTTCAAAAAGCACTTAAAAACCCCAGTGAAGGTCTCAAACAGTGATGTTTCTTGAATCTCCAAATCTAGCATTGACTCTATGCTCTCACTGGATAGCAGAAATTTAGTATATAGCAGCAGTCCATGCTGTTTCAGCCACAGTTTCTAGCTAGAGAACTGTGTCAAATGAATTGCTTGGGGAAAAGGTAAGTTCGGGGAGAGGTTCCCCCCCCCAAAAAAAACATGTTTGAATGGCAGCTTGATCAGAGTCCATTAAAAGTGGGGTATCACATGGGATATGCAAGGGAACTATAGCCCCCTCAGACATCCCCTTTAATGCTCACCAATACTCTCGGCTTTTTTTGTTAAATATGTGGAGAGGGTTTGACTTTTTTGAGGGGGCAGTTTCTGTCTGTGTTCAATTTGTTTGGTGTGTGTGTGTAGAGGTGCTGATTGTTTTCTGGGGTGGGAAGTGGTGAAAGCCTGTACACCATTCTTTGTGCTTCCATGAATTCGTGTACAGTGGTACCTCAGGTTACATACGCTTCAGGTTACAGACACTTCAGGTTACAGACTCTGCTAACCCAGAAATAGTACCTTGGGTTAAGAACTTTGCTTCAGGATGAGAACAGAAATCGTGCTCCAGCAGTGCGGCGGTAGCTGGAGGCCCCATTAGCTAAAGTGGTGCTTCAGGTTAAGAACAGTTTCAGGTTAAGAACGGACCTCCAGAACGAATTAAGTACTTAACCTGAGGTACCACTGTATATGTTGCCCACAACAGTTTCCTAGATTCCTAATGTGCCCCCAGGTCCAAAAAAGTTTGGAGACCCCTAAATAATATATATAAAACATTTATTACTTATACCCTTCCCATCTGACTGGGCCTCCCCAGCCACTCTGGGCAGCTCTCAACAGAATATTAAAAACACGATAAAACATCAAACATTAAAAACTTCCCTAAACAGGGCTGCCTTCAGATGTCTTCTAAAAGTCAGATAGTTGAGTCATGTTGAGTTTCTGCTAGGCTTTTCTTTCACAATGGGGGGTGCAAATATGGTGGGTGGGTAGTCAAAACGTGAGAATGAGGAAGAAGAAAAGTCACTTTCCCAAGTGCTGTTTGGTATGTGGGTTTTGTGTCCCTTTATATCATAAACATCTTGTCATGCATCTCCCTCTGCATACTTTCACCACTAACCCATTGTCAGGCATTTCTCTGCTACTCAAAAGCTAAATGTTAATACTGCCACTCGGGGGGGGGGGTGCTGGGTTTTTTGGGGTGTATGTCATTTTACTGCTTCTCTTGAAAAGAGCTATTTCAATTACATTAGCGCAGGTTTCGGGATACGGGAAACTTGCATCCGTTAACTAAAAATTATTATGACTAGGTAATAATTGACGTTTCTCTTTAGGCATGTCTGAATCGGAGCAGGCTCTTAAAGGAACTTCTCAGATAAAAATTCTTTCTGCAGAAGATACAGAAGGGATGCGAATAGTGTGTAGGGTAAGTCTATTTTGGAAGATGTTATAATCCCAACAAATCTTAAGAGGGAATAGTTTTTGCATGCTTGTGTGAGTGAAAAGCACAAATAATTTGAGGTGTACCCAAAAAGGTGAAATCTTACCATATGTAATGAATAATGTTGAGCATGATTTCTGGTAAGGTCCATATCTCAAGAGTTGCCAGAATTGCATGGCTTTGTGTATAACAATTTTTTAAACTGTACCCCACATTTCATTTTGTTTTGTCAAGATTTGTACGTGAAATTCTGGTTAATGAATATTTTAGCCAGCATGATGACTTTTTAAATTTAGACACTAATCAAATGTTTTATGCATGCTTTAATATGTTCGTTCTGAACACCCCATGCATTTGAATTAGCGGCATTTATAAAATTTCAGAAGAAGCTACTAAAGTTCAGTTAATTTGTTCTGTTTTATATAAATGGTGGTTACAAAAGCTGTGTGATTGCTGAGTGTCTACCACTTATTTTCTGTCTCCTGGGAGAAAGACTTCATGGGGAGGAAATCGCATTTGGTATTGGTCGTCACTTCTCTTATCACAATATAATAATAATAATAATAATAATAATAATAATAATAATAATAATTTATTATTTGTACCCCGCCCATCTGGCTGGGTTTCCCCAGCCACTCTGGGCGGCTTCCATAGAAATAAAAAATACAGTAAAATATCACACATTAAAAACTTCCCTGAACAGGGCTGCCTTAAGATGCCTTCTGAATGTCAGGTAGTTATTTATCGCTTTGACATCTGATGGGTGGGCGATCCACAGGGCGGGCGCCACTACTGAGAAGGCCCTCTGCCTGGTTCCCTGTAGCTTTGCTTCTCGCAATGAGGGAACCGCCAGAAGGCCCTCGGCGCTGGACCTCAGCGTCCGGGCAGAACGATGGGGGTGGAGACGCTCCTTCAGGTATACTGGGCCAAGGCCGTTTAGGGCTTTAAAGGTCAGCACCAACACTTTGAATTGTGCTCGGAAACGTACTGGGAGCCAATGTAGGTCTTTCAAGACCGGTGTTATGTGGTCTCGGCGGCCGCCCCCAGTCACCAGTCTAGCTGCTGCATTCTGGATTAGTTGTAGTTTCTGAGTCACCTTCAAAGGTAGCCCCACGTAGAGCGCATTGCAGTAGTCCAAGCGGGAGATAACTAGAGCATGCACCACTCTGGCGAGACAGTCCGCGGGCAGCCTGCGTACCAGCCTGCGTACCAGGTGGAGTTGGTAGACAGCTGCCCTGGATACAGAATTGACCTGCGCCTCCATGGACAGCTGTGAGTCCAAAATGACTCCCAGGCTGCGCACCTGGTCCTTCAGGGGCACAGTTACCCTATTCAGGACCAGGGAGTCCTCCACACCACAAGAACTTTTGTCCTGGTTCATGGTCTGTCTTGCCCCATCTGTAGCTTTCAATGAATTAGCAGTGTTCTACTGCATACTTTCTGATTGCTGCTATTTCATTCCTCCTCTGGCGTGGGCAGAATAAACAAACCAGAAAGCCTTGCACTTCTTGTAATGTCTGAATGAGGGATCATGGTTTGCCACTTCCTAGGAAACCACAGTCTGTAAAGCAGCAACAAACCATTGCTTAGGGTTGGCTAGTGACTATGGCTTAAGGAGCAGCATGGCAGATCCCTGGTTTGGACATAACAGGATGTCAAGGCCTTCTTCATTTGTTTTTCTTGCTCACTCTAGGGGAGAAGCAAAGTGAGAGCTGTCGGCCAAAGTGTAGTAATTCTCTGCTTGTTCATTGGTAACCTCTGATAAGTCGGAAACCCTGACTTGTTATATGTGAATGTGGCCTCTGTCTTGATGATAACTTCTGCTTCTTTGTCTTGCAGCTTGCTAGAGAGGTATTAGATGTTGCTGCCATGATGGTAAAGCCAGGTGTAACTACTGAAGAAATAGACCACGCTGTTCATCTAGTAAGGATACTTCACTGAGTTTCTGGATTTTTGTTTCTGCTGTGCCTTTATAATTGGTATATTTGGTAACACGCTTCCTTGATCTTCCTGTGCAGTTACAACTATACATACTCCATCGCTCAAAGCACGATTTCCATTTCTTAAAGCAACCCGAGAATGCCAAAGGTTCTCCGGTGTCATTTGCTTCCATATCTGTAGCCTCTGACATTCTCTAATGGGCCCAATATAGTATTGTAAAATGTCCTTCCTTGCCCACCTTCTTTCCTACCAAGTTTGCTCTGTAAACAGTAGTTATAGGATGTGGCATTCTTCTGCCCCGTATGCAACTCTGGCACATATGCCAGGACATTTCAAGGAGGCTGTAAGCACTAAGGTGCAACTCTACCCATCCTCCCACAGCAGTGGAAATAGTTTTTTAAATTATTAATAGAAGTTATCTCAGCAGGGTTTCAGACTTGCACATTGCTGCATTAAGCGGATGAAATAATTTTAAAGAAAAGTAAAGATTTTAAAAATATGCACTGCATTTAAATGGCGCTGTAGTTCCAGGGGCTTCAGATAAGCTTTTAAAATGTCCTTATAAGGTAAGTCTGTATTATTGTACCTGCATTGAACATAGCTGCCTAATACCAGGTCATATTATAGCCTATGACAGCAGGTCTGGGTCTCAGACAGAGGTCTTTCTACTTCATCCTTTCTTGAAATGGAGATGTTTAGAATTGAACCTGGACCTTTGGTATGCAGAGCTTGTGCTGTGGTCCTTCCCCATGTTGCCTGGTGCTGATAACGCTGAGGTTGCAGGTTCGATCCCTGTATGGGACAGCTGCTGCCAGAGACCAGGCTGAGGAGTGCTGCTCTGATGAGGAATGGTGGGAGCCTCCCCACCCCCCTGCTCCTGACCAAGATCCTGAAGCTGCCCAGGAGCAGTGGGGCAGTATAGACTTGGAACAGTGGTTTGCAGAGGGGCATAGTTCTGAAGGCAAAAGTTGGGAAGAACTGGGGTGGGGAGTGAACAGCAAAGTGAAGATGAACTGGAAGAGAGAGAGAGCCAACAGACTCTCTCTCGCTGGAAAGTGTCCAGCCTATCAGTCCAAGGTCACGTAGAGCAGATAAGGTGGCTAAACAAAAAGCACGGTAGTTGTGAGATCAGGTTGCAAGACGGAAGTGACTGGGGGGGGGGGGAGTGGGTGGAAACCTTAATTGGGAGCACCTTCATTCTGAGAATGGCTGCTCTGTTGGTTTTCTGCGATCATTAAAGCCTCTTTAAATGGTAAGGGACTCTTTTCACTTTGTCCTGCTTATCTACGGCCAAAGGGAGGGAGGAAGCCGAGTCCCTGGAGCCTGACAGTTGCATATTTCTGTATTGCAGGGGCTTGGACTAGATGATCCTTAGGTTCCTTCCAACTCTAGAATTTTATGATTCTATGACTTGCCTAAATCTGTCTGGAGTTTGTGGTATGGGGAACATTTGACTTGGGGACTTGTTGGTTCAGAGCTCAGTCCCTTGGCTACCTCAGTGCACCAGCTCCTGAATTCACAGCCAGGGGCAGATTATTCTCAAAAAAACATTTAGATTTCCCCCCCTTGTGGATATGTTACATGGAAGCATGTAATGTGCATATGAGTCAGACAGCTGTTAATGTAGGGTAGAGTAGCAAGCTGTGTTTCACAGGACTGTTTGGTTAAGAAGACCCCCATGTAATCCAGAAGCTTAGCACAGCACTGAAACATTTGGTCTAGGAAAAGGTTACCAGCCCATTCCTAAATAAATTGACTTGGACATAAGTCATGCTGGTTTGGTGGATCATATTTCCATATTGTCACACTTAGGCCCCCTGCCTTTGTCCTAACTCCTTTAGAATAATATGAATATTTCAAAATCTCTTTCAGGCTTGCATTGCCAGAAATTGCTATCCTTCCCCTCTGAATTATTATAATTTTCCTAAGTCTTGCTGCACGTCAGTAAATGAAGTGATCTGCCATGGAATCCCAGACAGGCGACGCTTACAAGAGGGTGATATTGTTAATGGTAAGAAAACCGATTAAGTAATTTTAGTATCCTTTTAAAAACTTGGTATGATGTTTGGAAAGATGCCACTAATGAATAGGACTTATATTTGGATTCCCCCCACCCTCCTTGGAAATATAGGTTGGTCTTACTGTTTGTTTGTTTTTTAAATTCTAATGGTGAAACTCATTTCTCTTGCTTAGGTGCATGTAAGTTAAACTGTAAGCTGTGCTGATGGGGGTGGGCGTGTTCTCCATAAAATATTTCTTTTTTTCCATTATGCAGAATCAAAGCTGCAAATGAATATTCTATATGGGCTGTGTGAGCTGGGCTCAGGTGCACTGATACCTTTTGCGGCCAGTACTGCTATACATCCTGGTGTATGATAGCACAGCGACCTTAAAGTAGATGGAGGAAATGTGTGTGGTGGTGGTGGGGGAGGAATTGCAACAGTGCGTTCTAAATATCTTCCAATAGTGGCAGGATATAATTCATTGCATTGCCTGTTGGCTCCCTACCCAAGTACTTTGGCTTTTCAAGTGATTGGTCTTTGCCTTCCTGCACGTCTTCTGAAATCATATTGGAATAAATAATGAGTTGTTCTGGAACTATTGTGGAGTGAGCTCCTTAAAATTTGCCTCCTAAAGTTGGATCCTGCAAAGCTGTGGGTACTAGCCAACAAAATTGTCCCATTAGCCCAAAGACTTCTGCCTGTGCAGTGGGACTTCTTCATGTGTGCTCCTGTCCTTCCCAAAACTGTTTTGAGGCTTTCCCCAGTCTTCTGGAGAAGATTTTGGGGCCGGGGTAGGCTTGAAGGAGAGGAGGGTTTTGTGTTAATGGAACAACTTCAATGGATGTAACCCTCTGACCTCAAGCCCCATGAAGTTACCTTATACAGTATGCTTGTCTCTTTACATGGAGGTTCAGTTCCAAGGGTTACATATATGCATGAAAATAGCCTATACCCAAGCCCTTGTAAGCTGCCCCACAGTTAGTGGGATGTGGAGAGTGAGAACTGGCACACTGAGCAGGCCTTGCCCAGCAAGCAAGGCAGAGAGCTTAAATGCTCTTTTTGTGCTTGGTAGGGACGCCGGTGGCGCTGTGGGTTAAGCCACAGAGCCTAGGGCTTGCCGATCAGAAGGTCGGTGGTTCGAATCCCTGCAACGGGGTGAGCTCCCATTGCTCAGTCCCAGCTCCTGCCAACCTAGCAGTTTGAAAGCACGTCAAAGTGCAAGTAGATAAATAGGTACCGTTCTGGCGGGAAGGTAAATGGCGTTTCCGTGTGCTGCTCTGGTTCGCCAGAAGCGGCTTAGTCATGCCGGCCACATGACCCGGAAGCTGTACGCCGGCTCCCTCGGCCAGTAAAGTGAGATGAGCACCGCAACCCCAGAGTCGGTCACGACTGGACCTAATGGTCAGTGGTCCCTTTACCTTTACCTAACCCAAGCAGACCTGGTGCGAAAGAGCTTTTATGCTCTCCATCTTGCTTGGGAGTTGACGTGTGCAGTTTCAACCATCTTGTCTTCAGCCGTGTATGGTTGGAATCGCAGAAGCCAAATGCACGTAAGGTGCAGGCTTATTGTACTGAATCAGACCAGGAGTGTGTCTAGCACAGTGTCCCTTCTGACCAGCAGTGAGACATTTTAAAACAGAACCTGTGGCCAAGTAAACTTATATCTGTCAAGTCTCATGAGAGGTCTTTCTGCACCCCCTTTTTAAAAGCTGGAGTTGATGCAGATTGACCCTGGGACATTCTGCATGTAGAGCAAACGCTCTCACAGTGAGCCTATGGCTCTGCTTTTCCACTCTTTGTTTTCATCCCCAGATCCTAGGGCAGTAAGAGGCCTATAGCTTGTCCCATGAAGTCCACCTGTCTCAAAGTAGAATTGTCTCCACATTAACTCCTACAGTTTACGCACATCATAAACCAGGGCATTGCTGTCAAAAGGATTTTTTTATTGACTACAACCGGTTGTTTTTTGCCTTAAAGTCCCACCTTCCTTCTCCAATATCACAATGTTACCCATTCACTCTGACCTGTCTGGGGATGACACAAGTCGATTTGCTGTGTAATCCTTTGCATGCCTCCTTGGAAGCACTGCGTTCATGGGTGCTTACTCCTAAGAAAGTGTGCATAGCCTTAATGTTGTCAGAAAAGCTTCTTAATATAGCTTCTCATTCTCTCTGTACTTGCTGGTTTTATGGCATCTTTCCTCAATATATTTTTTTTTTTTATAGCAATTTATTGGATTTTACAATAGGAATAAATGTAATAAACAATATAACATTCGTCTTAACATAATTTCACATTTTCTTTGGACTTCCTCACATCTCCCACTCCCACCTTCATCATTATAACATTTTGTCAGCAATTTATCATCTTATTTAAATTCTTATATCTCTTCGATATTTCATAATCTTAAAGTTCTCATAAAGAGTTAAACTTTCACAGTTTTTCTTATTTTCTTAAAAACTTCTAAGTTAAGTGGTGCTCAGTTATTTAGTCTAGCATCTTATTCAGCATTCAGTCAAATCACAATGCTTTTGTAGATAGTTCTTAAATTTCTTCCAATCCTCCTCGATTCTCTCTTCTCCCAGGTCACGGATTCTGCCAGTCATTTCAGCCAGTTGCATATAGTCTATCAGTTGCATCTGCCATTCTTCCAGTGTGGGTAGATCTTGAGTTTTCCAATGTTTTGCGAGTAGTATCCTTGCTGCTGTTGTTGCATACATAAAAATGTCTGGTCCTTCTTTGCCACCCCTTGGCTGACAATACCCAAAAGGAAAGCCTCTGGTTTCTTAGTGAAAGTATATTTAAATACCTTTTTCAATTCATTATAAATCATTTCCCAGAACGCCTTCACTTTAGGGCAGGTCCACCAGAGGTGAAAGAACGTTCCATCTTTCCTCAATATAATCACATTTCTTTTATAATAATTTTAGGGTCAGAAACATGAAATACAGGAAATGCAATGTTTTCTCTTGTTCTTTACAGTGGACATTACTGTTTATCGTAATGGTTATCATGGGGATCTCAATGAGACATTTTATGTTGGGGAAGTTGATGAGGGTGCAAAGAGGCTAGTCCAGACAACATACGAGTGCCTAATGCAAGCCATTGATGCAGGTAAGGGCTGGCTGGAGCCTATGGCTTCATGTCTCATTTTTTCTTTCTTGTTTTATCTCTGACATGCAACTGATAGATATTCTGGGCGCTGTTTCATTATGGAGTGTGCCTTAATCCAAGGTAATGCACTGTGCCAAATCACTGTCAAAAGCTATACCTTCAGTGCTACTGAATGGCATACAAAGATCAATCTGGAGTGATTAATTGCAATAAATTACTTGAATACTCAGGCTTGAATAGACACATTTATGGAGATTCAGCTACAAAAGAGGTGGAGCATCAAGTTCAGGATTTCTTTCTGGATATCTTGATAGCTGCAGTCTGTTTATCTTGTCAGATTACAAAGGGGTGATAAATATTAAATAAGCAGAAGTGTTTGAAGGCATACTCTGAAATTTATCAGCTTTAGGCACGCTATAAGCTTTTTGTTTTGATTTTGTGGGATAGTCTGCAAATACTTAGTAGGCCAGACAGTGAGCTTTGACAGTTAAACGCATTAAAAAGCGTAGGTTGCACAGATGACTGGAGTTATTTCCCATGAAATGTTTGGCATTTGCAAAGGTTCATTTCTTTATTATTTTTAGCAGTGAAAGCTAGATTGGAAAAGATTACCAGCATAACTGTCTGAATATCAGAATTTAAATCTTGCATTTCTGAAGTATTAGATTAGAATTCCCTCCCTTAGAATACTTTTCTGCCGTAAGATCTCCTTTGAGGAATAGTGTTTGCCTGTTGCTGAATGTTCTTGTGCACACAAAGGATCATTTCTGCTGGGCAGAAATACAAATAATAACCTTTGCCTTCATCAATTAGCTGATCCTGTTTGTGTTCATTTTAGTAAAGTAACATATGACTTATTTTGCAGTGAAACCTGGTGTTCGATATAGAGAGCTGGGAAATATTATACAGAAACATGCTCAAGCCAATGGATTTTCCGTAGTTCGGAGCTACTGCGGGCATGGGATTCACAAGCTTTTCCACACAGCTCCCAATGTGCCACATTATGCCAGTAAGTATGGGCAGTTTCTGCTGCTTCTCAGTTGATAGCAATCATTAAGAATTAACTATTCCATGCACTTCCCCAGACTAAAATAATGAATTCCCACATCCTGTGAGCTGTAGCCATAAAGAGCTTTTGGGGTAAGTTTTACAGAGATAGCAGAGGTACATACTTCGCATAGTTCAATTCAGATTGGCACAAGAGTGAAAAGTAGCCTCCTTCTCTAACCATCCTTGTGACAGCGATTATCAGCTTAAATATGCCTTATTATAAGTCAGAAGCAAGGCAGTAAGGCAGCCTTCTCTAACCTGGTGTTCTTCAGATGTTTTGGACTCAAACTCCCATCAACTCCAGCCAACATGTTTGTATTTGTTGGGAGTTGGAGTCAAAGATATATAGTGGGCATTAGGTTAAGGAAGGCTGTAGGAGAGTATTTGCTTTCCATGCAGGGAGCCCCAGTTTCTGTCTCTGCTATTCCCAGTACAAAGGATCTAATGAAACTGCTGCCATTTGAAGCAGACAGAGCTGGGCTAAAGGTCTGCCTGTATGAAGCCGCTATATATTTATTGATATTATTATCATCTCTGTATATTTGAAATGGCATGCAAAGACCACCAGTTCAACAATAAAAGCAGCAGAACAATTAAGGTTGTTGTTGTTTAAAAAAGAAGAAATCTAATAACCTAAGAGCAGAAAAAGGACAACGTAAAATAGTGCCATCTCCACTCAAAACCAACAGCAATAAAATTACAAAACAAGTGAGTTGCAGCGGACTTTACTTCTTGTGGAAGGGCAGTCCACAAAGAAACACCACCAGTGAGAAAGGACTCTCCCGAGTTGCCACCCACCTGCTTTTTTTAACTGGCTGGGGCATGTCCTCTGTGAGACTGACTTCACAATATTGGCTCCACAATTTGGTCTGTGCTCCTGTATAGACCACACATGTATCTCCTCAAATATAGCTAGAGCCTTGGTCTCAGGAATAATGTGAAATTGTGAGCTGTTAAGCTAAACTGTGGATCATTTTAACATCAGACCCTGAGCCTGCTTCGAAACCATGGTTTCTTTTGGATTTACAAACCAGGATCTGAAACCACAGTTGTGCGGCTGATTTGCAAACCACAGTTTGTGCTAAATGGGACTGGTTGTATTCTGAATTGACAAATGACTTTGGGCCCATTACTTCACCTAAAGAGGCTGCTGCTCCATGGAAATGGGGCAGGAGTGAACTTAAGCTGAGCGTTGAGCAGATGGGAAACCAAAGCAGTCAAGCGATGGTTTGCATGTTGTAAATCAGAACTCAAAAAACCATAGTTTGACCTTTCAGCACTCTGGTTGGCACAAACCACAATTTTGTGTTGCATTCCAATCCAGAGGTAGAAACAAAATTACCATTAAGTTCCCATTACATTTTATCTTGTATCTCTGACCTTCTGCGAACTCTTACACTCTCTTGATCCCTTTTGCCTTTTCAGAAAATAAGGCTGTTGGTGTAATGAAGCCTGGCCATGCGTTTACAATAGAACCAATGATCTGTGAAGGTAATTATGCAGCTGTGGATCTAAGGGATGTTAATTCTGATTGCAGCCATTTTTCTGAATGACTTTTCTTGGTCTCTACTCAGGAAACACCTACAGGGTTAATGCTTCTCAATGCTTTGTGGCTCACCTATAACTTATTTACTACAACAGCAATTTCCTACTGAGCATTGCTAAATAATGTCTTTGCAGCATGTACTGTATTCCTGGCATTAGAACTTGTTCATGTGGGCACAAAGGATTATATCACCTGTAAAGTCATCTAAGTGAAATGTTAGCAGTTCTTAACAAGGTCATATGAACAGTCAAATTCTTCCAAAAACATTCCAGGTCCAATTAGACACCAGAAAAGAGCCGCACTGTTGAGCATCATATTTCTTAAAAGACTTTACTTCAAGAGATTCTGAGGTGGTCTTTGGTTTTCTCAACCTTTTACCTAGTGTCTACCTTTTTGTGTAACAATTACATTCCAGAGCATTTTCAGCCATTGTTAACAGATTTGGTAAGGTAGAATCTCTATTCGCCAACCATTTTGCACAATGCAGACCTTAGTTAAATTAAGGCGATAGTTTGTGCTGTATTATTGATTCTTTTATTGGCCATTCTTTTTATACTGGAATCACTTTGATATGCCTCATAGAAAGTGGTTCATAAAATAAATAACGAATAGACGAATGAATGGAAGCAATATGCTGGGATAGTATATTATGAGTGTCAGCAGGATGCCCTAGTCAACAACAAAAATGGAAGTGAATAGAGGAGGCGCAGGAAGAAAAGACACAGGCATCAAGGCTATTTGTACAAAAGTAAAAAAACAACCCAAAACCTAAAATTGCTGATCAAAGACTCCTTTTAAAAATGTATGACGTCCTCCCTCCTTTAAACAAGAAATTCTAAATTTTTGCATTCTTCTCATTAGGTGGGTGGCAAGATGAGACCTGGCCTGATGGCTGGACTGCTGTGACGCGAGACGGGAAGCGTTCCGCCCAGTTTGAACACACACTTCTGGTCACAGATACTGGGTGTGACATCCTAACCCGCCGGCTGGATAGCATTCGCCCTCACTTCATGACTCAGTGCTAGTGTAGACCAAGCTGGGAGGCCTGAACCCAAGCATCTCTTCTGCTCTGTACTATGTGTTTCACTAAGAGTACAGGCTAAAAGGGGGGGAATTTATCACCTGTTTTTCTTCTTCTTGACTGTAGGTAGGAGATGCAGCCTTGCATTGAGAGGTTAATGCCGTAGGCTTGAAAAGCAGAGAAGTTTGAGAGCCCCAGTCTGCTCTCCTACCACCCCAACATTGTTTGAATTTTTCTTTTTTTTTCTCTTCAAATCATTGTCCTTATGGTACCTCATTTCACCCCCTCAGCCGGGCTTCTGTCACTGCCGCCGCTCTCAGTAGCCACACACAGCTTCTTTTCGTGGTGGATGCAAGGATTCAGAAACAAGCCTTTCTGTTTTTACAATACCTGAGAGTTTAAACTTTTTCTTGTTCCAAAGACAACCCTTCCTTAGCTGTTTAAATGGACTGGGCTTTCATCTGTGTATAATTCAGAGGTGGAATTTTCTACTTGAAAATGTTGAATCGGAATTTTGTTCTGTCTACCCCTCTTCCACCCTGTTGTTACTGTATATGGAAGTATAATATCTGCCTGTTAATTGATGGGCCTGTTTCTCTTTGGCTGGCAATTGCTACAGGTAGTTCTCTGTCTAAGGGGGCTGGGGAGGGACAAAATTACTGAAATGCTGACCTGTGCAGGTTTTTTTTTACCAAAACATGGCCTCAAGACGGGTAGTGCTTGGCTGCCAATGATGTTCCAAGGTTCGCTTTGAAGCAGCTAGTTTTTAATTTTAGATAAGGAATGAGATTGAAATGGGGAAGAGTTTCTGTTCTCCTGTGTGCATTCTAAAGAAGGGCATGTCCCAGAAGTCCAAGACCAATCTCTTTAACAGCTTCTTTCTAATCTGCAGTTCATTTATGTGCATGTAACCATGGCCAAGTGGTTGCCTGCCATGCAGACCACTTGGTGCATGGTTTCAGTTAATATTACAGAAATTGTGACATGCTACTTTGCAGGAGCTGGATCAATGGCTCTGTGTTTGGATTGCTACTTCTGTTCTGGATACTCCCATTCTGAGATGGCCAAAAAACCACCTCACTGGATTGAAGGAGAGAGATTTCACCAAGTAGTCATGAGAATTGGTCTATATCAAGTGTTCGACTTTGCCCCCCCCCCCCCGTGCTAGCGGACTACAACTCCCATCATTCTCTAAATAATAACAATAGTAATAATAATTCCCAACCACTTTAGCCAATGGGGAGGGATGATGGGGATCCAAGACTGAATACTGTGTCTACAGAATAGAGAAAAAGTTGCTGATCCTGTTTTTATATTGCAGTCTGACCACCTTTTCATGGCTCTTTGTGGAAATTGTGCGATATTCCAGTTAGCCACTGCAGTTGTTTCACCAAAGCAAATTGTTCTAAGCAAAGATAATGCACTTGAAAGAAGCAAAAATTGGACAGCCCTTGAAATTGCTTGTGTACTTAGGCCAGGTACAGTACGGTCAATTCTGGCATAATTTATCCTCCCACTTTTTCCAGCGGTAACTTTGTAATACAGATCTGGGAGATACTACTACTGCTGTTGGGGAAGATTTGTTTCGTTGGGCTTAGGCAGTTGCTGCTGAGGCTTCCATTACACAGAGAAAGGTGGTTTTTCAACCACATTTTCTTGCCTAGTGCCCACTCTAACCTTACAATGTTGCGAGTTCAGTAAACTAGTGCAGAGAAATCCGGTCATAAAATCATGGGCACAACATGCCACATTTCTACTCTGGTGTCGGACATCTCGTCAGAAGAATTGCAAGTTCTAAAAGCCCTCAGCATCTTACCCATGTCAACAGCACATAACTTCAGTTCTTTAGACAGCTTAGGGCGGTTGTGACCAAACTCAACAAGAAATTGAAAGAAATCTTTCCCAGAGTGCCTCAGTTTTTTTTTCTGTCTGAAAGTGTATTGTTGGGACAATGTTTTTCATTCTGTAATGTGTTTAAGAGGCGGTAAAGTGACTCAGAAATGTTACAAGCACTTTCGTGCATGTGCAGAGATTTTAACAAAACAGGCTGCAATATATCTTGAGTGGAGTTAACCAATGTATGCAATACATTTAAGGAGATTAAAAGTCTGGATGGTTGACCCTGGAGTCTATTTTGCCAGTTACTTTTAAGCAGTATAACCTACTTCTCCCTTTTAATCTTCTCCATGATTAAAGGATTGACTTCAGCTCATGGAATTAAACGTAGAGATTCTTCAGGGAAACCATTCAGTGATGATGAAATAGGGTATGTTCAGCCCTGGGCACAAACTGATCCTACTACATGTGTTTTTTAATGCACATTTTCAATCTGCAAACAAAGTGGAATCAGACATAGTATTCTTTCCTGAATGGTAGGACAAGCTGGCTCACCCCCGCCCCGCAGTAAGACAAGCTGCCTCCTCCCTCATGAATTGCAAGCAGCTCCATAAAGACTTAACGGTGAGAAAATCAACTGGGCAGGGGAGCGGAATGTTCTACATTTTAATCTTGCAGAGCAAACCAACTTTTTGCATATGCAAAATCTTCCCACTGGTATAGATGCAACTCTCTGAATAGCCCAGTTCTACCTTTTTAAATATACAAAATCTTAGCTAGAAGCCTGGTAAGTGATTGCTGAATTGGGGTTTGGCTAGCAAAACAACCCATGAAGGTGAAGGCAGGAATTTTTTGTGTGTGAGTTTTTCCAGCTCACGCAAGCCTAAACCATAGTTATACAGAATAATGAAATGCAGGACTATATGGCAAATGGTGCTATGAAACTAGGATTTATTCAGAGTAGAGCCACTGAAATTAAGGAACATGATATGGGTCCCTTAAATTTCAGTAGATTAATTTGCACATGTAGATTAATTTACCACCCTCGCAAAAGTGGGGGGGAAAGGATGAGATGCAAGTAGAACAGTCTTTCTTCAAAGCTTAAAAGGAGTTAGCAGGAGTTACTGCATTGCGGGGGGGTCTTAAACCCTCCCCATATATTGTGCTAGTATTAATCCAATAAATGGGAAGCTTGGCATTTTTAAAGAGGGCGCTGCTAAACTTGCCTGCCTTCACTTTGCTATGCTCAGGGACGAGCCTGTTTTGGATACTGGATTCTGAAGAATGGGGGACTTCTTGCTGCAGGGCCTTTTCCAGAATTTTTGATAAGACAGAGTACGCAGTTGAAGTAGCCCAGATCAGAGTCCATTTCTCCTGTCAATATTCAATCCTCGTAGACTGAAGTTCTCAAATTGCAGTGGATGATGTCATAGCAACTGCTTTACAAGAAGCCAGATTTGAAATCGAAACCATCAAATTACCCCTATTATGAGTTGTAGCCACTCTGGTTCAGGTGCCATTTCAATGACATCATAGCTGCATTTTTTAAAAAAAAGTAAGCTAGTGGGGCAAAGGGGAGACTGCGCTCTGGAGCTCCTGCCACCTGCTATTTCGGGGAGGGGGTACACCTGGCCCCCTGAATAACCCATTTGGCCCCAAGTTTGAAAGCATCTTAGCCACAGACCTGCAAACACTAGCTTCTGTAAGCTGGCAAAAGCTGATCTGTTTCATCTAAAACAAAACCCTTGACATGTCCTGACCTGCAACAAGAGAGTAGCTATTTTTTTATTGGTAGCATGCCTTTCCCACTCTCCACTTAATTCAGTCCAGGTTTGAAATAACACCCTCCAAACTTGCATGCTATAACCTGGATTCATTTAAGAAAAGGGGACAACGCAGCTGTATGCCTATGTAGGAAAAAGGTTTTAATCATATTCTTCTACTCAGGTTAATACCTCCCAATTGCAGGATATTTTAGAACAAAAAGACACTGTACTTGAGTTCAGTCTAACAGCAGTCAACAAACTGTTTAACTGCAGAGATTTCTGGCACTTAGTGGTACAGTAAGACATGAACAGATACTAGCTGTGTCTATGATCAGCGTTTTGTTCACATTCAAGAGCAGGTGATGCTTCTAACTGGAACAGCTTTTCCTAAATAATTTTTGACCAACGCATCCTGAATTACTGTTGCACCGAGTTGAACTGCGGTGGAAGTTTTCTTCAGGCTTCTTGAAACTTCAGGACACTTCGGATGCTGCAAGAGTGAAAGCAAAGAGCTCAGATCATGAATTTGATTTGTACTGTCAAACTTGATTTGATCTTATTTAAGAAAACTGGTACAGTATCATGCAGCCTTCTGCAACATGGTGCCACCATTGGTCACACTGATCCTATGGGCAAGGCTTCGAGTAGGAGAGACGCTATTCACTCCTGATGATCATGGGGGCACTGGGGCAGCCACTACAAAACATCACAGGGTTGTTTTGAGGAAAAGAAGACTGCTATATGTTGGCAGGATAAAGGGAGAGAGAAACTTACCAAGGAAAAAGAAATCTTTCTCAATGGTTGCTTTTACAATAAATATGCACCCTCCTGTCCCAAAACATACAATTTAGGTAACTAAAAGGTAACTTCTGAGTAGACATATATGGGGTTGTGCTGTCAGTGATGCTGTCATTCTAAAATCTGTCCCAGCACACAATATATAAAAAGTAAACTTGTTGACAAACAGCAGACAGTACCTACCTCTTTCCAGCATGCATGAGTTCAAAAGCTTCATTAATTTTGTTAAACGGTAAAGTGTGAGTTACAAATTCATCCACTTTTATCTTTTTGGACATGTATTCCGCTACCAGCTTCGGAACACTCTCCACACTCTTCCAACCTGTTAGAAAATGAAATTATTGTGTACCAAATGTGATGTGACACAGCAAGATGGATGAAGCAGCATTACAACAGTAGTACAGTGGTACCTCAGGTTACATACGCTTCAGGTTACAGACTCTGCTAACCCAGAAATAGTGCTTCAGGTTAAGAACTTTGCTTCAGGATGAGAACAGAAATTGTGCTCCGGTGGCGCGGCAGGAGCAGGAGGCCCCATTAGCTAAAGTGGTGCTTCAGGTTAAGAACAGTTTTAGGTTAAGTATGGACCTCCGGAACGAATTAGGTACTTAACCCGAGGTACCACTGTATCTGTGTCAGACAAGGAAATCTTAATGATGCAAGCCTGAAATAAAACTCTTTTCTCTCTCTCTCTAAGCTAGAAAGGGAGAGTTGTCTCTTGGCTATCCTTGGCATGCTATATTACTGCATTTGTAGTGTGGCTGCAGCAGCAATAAGAAACCTGGAGCCTTTCAGATGTTGCTGGCATGGCCAATGGTCAAGAAAGACTGGAGTTGCAGGGCAGCAAAATCCGGAAGACCACAGGTTCAGCACTCTATGGTGCAGCAGCCTTGGGATTGTCTGTGCACAATACTGAACTGACTACCTGAAATTTGCAGGGCAGTAACAAGCTACTTGCATTAAAATTGCAGCAGACACAGGAATGCTCTCATGTAAGAGCCGGACGTTTGACTTTCAGGTTTGCAAACCAGAACACCTACTTCCGGGTTTGCGACGTTTGAGTTCCAAGTTGTTCGTGAACTAAGCTCTTCGAAAACCAAGGTATGACTGCATGTATAACTTAAAGATACCCTTTACTAATGAAGATAATCATCCAGAAGATACTTAGGAACGTATTGCATTAAGAAAAATTGTGGAATCTCCTCTAGGCTTTTTCTAAGCAAAAAGTCTACATGGGCAAGTGCAATGTGTGCTTTTAGAAATGGGATATTCTGTTTTGGATTGGAGTATAAGACTGGAACACATGTCTCTTGCAATTTTGATGTCCTCTCTTAATGTCCTGATGTATACATGAAAGGGTTATGCCACAAGTTTGCTAGCCTTTTAAGATTCATGGGAAATGCACAAGAACATATTGTGACTGTCCAATGTAAGACAGGTTCATAAACACCCCAGCAAAGTTATACCTCCAAAGGCAGTCCCTTTCCATGTTCGTCCAGTGACTAGCTGGAATGGACGGGTGGCAATTTCTTGACCGGAAGCAGCAACACCAACTATGACACTCACTCCCCAACCTTTGTGGCATGCTTCCAAGGCTGCTCTCTGTGGGACATGAAAGAAAGAAGGAGCAAGTGATACAAACAAAAGAAGTGGATAGGTGGAAGAGAAGCATAGTTCAGTAGCAGAGCACATGCAGACAATCCCAGGTTCAATCCTAGCATCTTCAGGTAGCAGGAGATGGGAAAGAGCTGCTGCCAAGGTAAACAATGCAGAGCTTGATGGACCAGTGGTCTGACTTGGGATAAGGCAACTTCTGGGTGACGCTGTGGGTTTAACCACAGAGCCTAGGACTTGCCGATCAGAAGGTTGGCGGTTCGAATCCCTGCAACAGGGTGAGCTCCCGTTGCTCGGTCCCAGCTCCTGCCAACCTAGCAGTTCGAAAGCATGTCTTTTTTTTTTTAAAGAAAGCATGTCAAAGTGCAAGTAGATAAATAGGTACCGCTCTGGCGGGAAGGTAAACAGCGTTTCTGTGCGCTGCTCTGGTTCGCCAGAAGCGGCTTAGTCATGCTGGCCACATGATCCGGAAGCTGTAAGCTGGCTCCCTCGTCCAATAAAGCGAGATGAGTGCCGCAACCCCAGAATCGGCCACGACTGGACCTAATGGTCAGGGGTCCCTTTACCTTTAATGTTCCTGGAGAGATGCTTCAGGAAACAGTATATTTAGAAGGAATGATTGGTAGGCTGCTCAAGAGATCACCAGTTGCAAATATTTAGAGATGCAAATCCAGAACTGGCTATGGATATTGGCTATGGCATCTAAATGCAACCTTCATGGCTGCAGATCAGCACAGAGTACTGGCAGAGGCTTCCCAGTTCTGGAGATGGCGTTGATGGATGCTGGTCTGACTAGACAAAACAGGCCTTCACCAGGCATTTCTGATGACTTTCATTATGCCTTGGCTCCCATCCACGCCCCCCCCCCTCGCCACATTCCAGGCTCCGCGCACCCTAGGGTGCTACCTATGGACAGACACACTTACCATGACACCAACGTTACCGATGCACTCAAATGAGTAATCTACTCCTCCATCCGTCAACTCCACCAGGACCTCCTGAATGGGCTTCTCAAAGTCCTTGGGGCTGATGCACTCTGTGGCCCCAAATTCCTTGGCTTTTGCAAATTTGTCCTTGTTGAGGTCAATCCCGATGATCCGGGATGCACCTGCCACCTTGCAGCCCATGATTACTGCTAGCCCAACTCCACCCAAGCCAAAGACAGCACAAGTAGAGCCAGGCTCCACCTGAAAGAAAGAACACTCACTTGAAGGAGAACAGTTCTTAACATCGAAAAAATAACAGCTCTGTCTGCTGCAATAAACCAGCCTCTGGCAAATGGCTCATTGAGCTGAGTTAAGTCTGCTCTTAGAATTAACAGCCATCCTACTTTGAACTAGTAACACAAGCTAAAATCATTGCTTGCTGTCACTGCCCATCTCAGATAAGGAAGACACATGCCTGATAGTTAACTCTTTATTGGCTAGAGAAATACAGCAGCTCCCCCAGTGCTCTGGATACACATTCTCACACACTTGCAGCCTCTAAGCAGCAGTCCACAGGTCTGAGCCCTATGTAGCAACTGCAGCAACAGTGGGGACTCTCCTCCAGCTTATATACGGATTGCCTTGACGGATTGCATGCCCACAGCCTGAGACTTCTCCTGCATGGAAGTCACTGCTGCTCTTCCCTTTTCAAGCCCCTCCTGGTTCTAGGGGACAGCAGGGTGGGAGAAGGTGGGGAGTCTACTGACCTGTCCTTCATCTGAGCTGTACCTTCTTCCCACACGCCTGCCTTCGCCTTGAACTGCCCCGACTCCCCCTGGCTCCTGCCTTGTGGACTGTGCCAAACCCCATAAATCACTGGTCCACTCTCCTGGGTCACTCCCCAGCCCCCTGCCTCTGCCACACACTTTTCAGAGCCCTGCCAGTCCATGACACTGGCTCTTCTAACTCACTGGTTGGATCTCCAGCCCCACGGGCTTAATTAGGCATGCAAGGTCTTTTTCGTCAAGCCATACTTAATGCCAGGGTGGTGGGTTTGAGCCCCACATTGGGCAAAAGGTTCCTGTTGGACTAGGTGACCCTCATGGTCCTTTCCAACTTTACAATTGTATGATTCTATACCCACCAGCTGTCAGATGTGGGGTAAGTAAAGACGTCAGAGGGCCGAAAGGGGGCATGCTGACACAGCCAATTAACTGCCCTGTGCACAGTGCTTTGCAAGCCCTGGTGGTCAGCTGATCAGACCCAAATCACAATTGCAAGCAAATGTTACTAACAGTGGTCTCTGCCAAACTGGTGCAAGTGAGCAGATGAGGGCTAAAACCCTTTTCCTCCCCAATGAAGTCTCCCAAGGGGGTGGGGGTGGGGAATTAGGTTTAAGGGAAGGTTCTGCCGCTTAATTTGTTTTATGAGCTGTTTGCAATGCAAGGAGTGGCAGAAGCAGCAATGGCATGGAGGTGAAAGGCAGTTCATCAGCACCCCAGCAAAGTTATACTGTACCTCCAAAGGTTTAACTTAACTCCTGTTTAAACAAGCTGTGCTTCTAACTTTCAGGACAGGGATGTGGAGCCACAGCTCGGGTATGGGGCGGGGGCGGGAGGGCTGTAACTTCCTGTACTATATTTTCTCTGTTGTGTGTGGATTATATGGCTGGGAGTGGCGGCCAAGACAATATAACACAGGTCCTAAAAGATCTTCATAGGTTCCCAGTACGTTTCCGAGCACAATTCAAAGTGTTGGTGCTGACCTTTAAAGCCCTAAACAGCCTCGGTCCAGTATACCTGAAGGAGCGTCTTCACCCCCATCACCCAGCCTGGACACTGAGGTCCAGCGCTGAGGGCCTTCTGGCCGTTTCCTTGCTGCGAGAAGTGAAGTTACAGGGAACCAGGCAGAGGGCCTTCTCGGTAGTGGCACCTGCCCTGTGGAATGCCCTCCCAGCAAATGTCAAGGCAATAAACAACTATTTTACTTTTAAAAGACAACTGAAGGTGGCCCTGTTTAGGGATGTTTTTAATGTCTGATGCTGTATTGTTTTTGATATTCAGTTGGAAGCCGCCCAGAGTGGCTGGGGAAACCCAGCCAGATGGGCAGGGTATAAATAATAAATTATTATTATTATTATATAACGCTACTCTGTGCTCAAGAGTCAGAAAAAAATCAACAGGAAGTCAGGGACCCCAACCTTTGCAGTGTTCAAGGCTGCTCCATAGCCTGTAGAAACCCCACATCCCAGCAAGCAGACTTTGTCCAAGGGAGCAGAAGCATCTATTTTCGCCAGAGAAATGTCTGCAACAACAGTGTACTCCGAGAAAGTGCTTGTCCCCATGAAGTGGAGAACCTGTTTTCCTTTACACGTGAACCTACTGGTACCATCGGGCATCACTCCTTTTCCTTGGGTGACTCTGCAGAATAAAATCAGAACAGACGTGTTGTTTAGAGAGCACGTATGGTCACACCAAAAAGCAACAGGCCCATCAGAAAAAAAAATCATATTGGGGCCATACCTATATTAAGCCAACCAGAATATAGTTTAGGGTGCTTTGCAAGACTTGACAATCAGCTGATCGCTGCTGCTTTATGGTGCCTGCAGACTCTCTTGGCTGAGCCAGGTCTTTTCAATGCCACATGTGGCATCACATGTAAAGCAGGTGGGTGTGGTTTGGCCAAAATGGCCTTGCAGGCCAAATGGGGAGATCTGCCACACCTTATTACGTTTCTGCCTATGTGCCAGAGAAATTGAGAAAGGGATACAGTCTCTGTCATTCTACACAAAGCAAGAGACTTCTCCAGATGCCAAGCTCTCTGCAAAGCTCAAAGAATTTGGAAATAATTTGCGAAGCTTAAATAATTTGCACTTTGTTCTGGGCAACTGGGAGCTGGCGATCACATAGAAATTAGTGTGTGCTTTTGGCCATCTGGCTGTTGCATTTGTGAACCTCTGGCACTGAAGTCCGTGCTCTGTATGACAAAGGAAAAGATGGGGGAGGGGGAAGAAGGGGAGAAAAGGACCAACCTTATTTTCTGGCAGAGATTAGTTTTAGGGTTTAAACAAAACTTGCATTCTCCACATTGTGGGATGTACAAAGGGATTACTGTGTCTCCTGGAAAATACAAAGAGTTGGTTTTTTATTTTTAAAAAAATGTTTCCAATACTGTTAACTGATAAAAAGCACAGTGTGTTAAAACTAGATGTTCCATTAGAGCATGACATACTAATAATTTTATACAAGTGGCGTGTTTTGTGCTCCCGAATTGTTCCAAGGCAACTTCTGATGCAAAGCAATGGAAATATTTCTGCTGAAGGGTTGGCCGAACTACGATGAGCATTAGGGTCCTTGCATCTTAAGCAGAATCCCCTTACCTGGTTTGAATTTGGTCACTCCTTCCCCAACACTCTCCACAATCCCTGCTCCTTCATGGCCAAGGATAACAGGAAAACTCCCTTCAGGGTCAGCACCACTTAGAGTATAGGCATCCGTGTGACAAACAGCAGTGGCAATGATCTACAAAGTCATGAAGAACAAACAGATTCAGCAGATTATTCGACAGGCATTGTGTTTTCAGGGCACTGGAGTTGTAGGGCAGCTGAGGGAGAGGCGGCAGGCGGACAGCAGGCAAACACTGCGCTGCCCGAAATGGCAGCGTGGGTCTTGCGCCTGTGCTTCCCCCTCAGCCGCCCTACAGTGGCGAACTGCGTGGAAGCTCCCTGCCCCCAGGGTGTCCACATGGCTAGCTATGCCTCTGGGTCAAATATCCTAGTCCCTAATGGTTTAGGGCAAGCAATGTTGCAACTATTTCATTACCTTGATACGAACTTCATGAGCTTTAGGTGGTCCAACTTCCACCTCCTCAATGGACAGTGGTTTACCCGCTTCCCAGGCAACAGCTGCCTTGCATTTGATAACCTAAATAAGAAATGGAAAGAGTGCACAGCAAGCTTGTATAATGAGCTTCATTCCTTAGAGGCTGAAGTCACACACTACAGACGCTTCGGAGATGACACCCTGTCGGAACTGGGGGAGCTCAAACTGGACCTTTGCTGGTTAACAGATTGTCAAACAGCTCTGAGAGCTGCTTGTGTAGGCATTTGTGATGGTGGGGGCACCCTATTTGTTTACTTGCATCATTTACAGGCTGCCCCATGGCTAAAAAAGTTATCTCATTGGCTCACATGAAAATAAAAGCAGTTGAAAAATGCGAGCGCAAAAGCTACGGTCTATGAAAGGCCAAACAATGCTAGCATCTGTAGAACCTGAGAGATGAGGCAAAATATACAGGCACAGTTCCTCTCATTTCCATGAAGCAATAGGCCTTCCATGTTTTACCTTTTTCTCTCGCCCATCCCAGGGAAAATTCCTGCAAATACCCAGGCAAGTAGCAGTGATGAGAAGGTCTACCTCCTCAATATGTTTGAACAATAAGTGAAAACTACATCAAGTTACTAACCCGATAGAAATCAACTCAATGTAATTTGGTGATTATTGAACGTAATCCTGTTTGCTACAAATGGAAGTGGTTGGTACATTTTATCACCTATAGCAGATGGCAACTACATACTGGGCAAGTATTATGAGGCAACCTATTGGTTTTTCTTAATATAATTTATATAATGCAATTCAATTCTTAGCATTAGTTACTAAAAATGTAAAGATAAAACTGATAATGGCTCCTATTATTAGTGTGCCCAAATCCTCTATGCAAAATAGCGACAGATAAACAAAACTCCCAGTGTCACTGAAAAGAAACGCATGCTATTTGACCTGTGTTGCATGGCTGCAATGTCCTAATTGACCAATTAAGAGTGCAAGAAGAGTAAATGAACTTGTTATACAACTTGTTCATTCCTTCAGTGACAACCTCTTATTAAGCACAAACACTACTGCCATGGATGTTTTAACTTTATTTATTGTATATCCATATTGTACACTTTTGTAATAGAAAAAGTATGTAAAAACTGTAGCAGTAGTGTTCCTGCTTAACATAAGGTTAATGTGTGTTTATGCCAAGGGATCAGTCACAGAGCAAAGTTCACAAAGATCATATGCCAAGTAAAATATTTGCATTCTTCAATTTCCCCTTCAGTTAGGGAATTTCAAGTTTAAGAGTGAAATATGGAAAAGGTATTAGTAAATGATTTACATATTCTGCATAAAAGGGTTTTGGAAATAACAGTCAAAATGAAGTTTTTATAGGAGGTACTAGTTAGAATCTGGTACAGTGTATTACATGATATGTGTAGCGTAAGAGCAACGCAAAGACTAGTTTTATAACTTATGTAGGCTAAAGGAATCCGGACGATAACGTGGGCCGCCGCCGGAGCCCTAGCGGTTAATCTGTGCCAGTCGCTTTCCCCTGCGTTTTTGTCCCATCTTGACGAATTTCCCTGGGGCGCACCTCTGCATGTTTACCCCCGAGAGCAAGGGCCGTTGACTTAAGTGGAGCTTACTTCCGAGTAGAGTGCGCACTGGGGCGCGACCTCCAAGTTGGTGCCTTTGCTCGCCCGTTGCAAAAGGCTCTCCCCCCGCCCCCAGACCCCTAAATTGACCCCGACTCGGAAGCTTTCCAAGTTCAGACGTGGGCTTGCAATCCTGCGCGCTTCCCTGGGAGGAAGCCCCACCGAGCGCCGACGAGGAAGCACGCTCGGCCTGCAAGGGAAAAAGGAGCGGCGCGCTCCTTCGCCGTGCCGCGTTGCCTCCCGTTTCCTTTGCACCCGCAGGAGGGGAAAGGCGCCCGCGCTGCTTCCCCGGGGAATGTTCGACGGCTCCAACTTACCCCGCTCGCCATCAGCCGCGCTGCTCCGCCGCCTGCAAGTGCCCCTTTCTCGCCGTCCGCGAAGCAGCTGCCGAGCGACTTGGGGGCATGCGCGCTCCTTCGAGAGCCGCCCTCCAAGCAGGGGCGGGCCGAGGAAATAGGGCGCTGCTCCCTCGTCTCGCTCGTCTTCTTAGGGAGAATTGCAGTGCCCTCTGTCGAAGGATGCTCGTTCAGGATGAATTCCGCTTCAGGAGGCGGGGGAAGTCCTGCAGAAATCTGTGGGGCTCGAGCAAACGTTTAGGAAGAATCACCGAAAGGGTAGAGTTGGAAGGGACCACAAAGGTGAAAGGATGACCACGAGGATCATGTAGTCCCAACTCCCCTGCAGTACAGGAATCTTTTCCCCAACGCAGAGCTTGAACCCACGACCCTGAGGTGAAGAGTCTCGTGCTCTCTTGAGCTATCGGGCTGCAAGGTTATTGTCGTTTTGTGGTTATGAATATCTAGGCCTCGGCTTTTCACTTTGGTATTTTCCCTCACAACTCTTGTTTCCATCTGGCCCCTCAACTGACACATCCATGACAGGATTTTGAAACTGGCTAAACTGTTGGAACAGTCAGAAGTAGCTTGGAGATTCAGAGGCAGATTTGTCCCCCAGTAGCTGGACTAGGCCATGGGAGTACAGTGGTACCTCGGGTTACATACGCTTCAGGTTACATATGCTTCAGGTTACAGACTCCGCTAACCCAGAAATATTACCTCAGGTTAAGAACTTTGCTTCAGGATAAGAACAGAAATTGTGCTCCAGTGGCGCGACAGCAGTGGGAGGCCCCATTAGCTAAAGTGGTGCTTCAGGTTAAGAACAGTTTCAGGTTAAGAACGGACCTCTGGAACAAATTAAGTACTTAACCCGAGGTACCACTGTATTTTTAGGGACGCGGGTGGCGCTGTGGGTAAAACCTCAGCGCCTAGGACTTGCCGATCGTCAGGTCGGCGGTTCGAATCCCCGCGGCGGGGTGCGCTCCCGTTGCTCGGTCCCAGCGCCTGCCAACCTAGCAGTTCGAAAGCACGTCAAAATGCAAGTAGATAAATAAGGACTGCTTACTAGCGGGAAGGTAAACGGCGTTTCCGTGTGCTGCGCTGGCTCGCCAGATGCAGCTTGTCACGCTGGCCACGTGACCCGGAAGTGTCTTCGGACAGTGCTGGCCCCCGGCCTCTTAAGCGAGATGGGCGCGCAACCCCAGAGTCGGACACGACTGGCCCATGCAGGCAGGGGTACCTTTACCTTTACCTTACCACTGTATTTGGTTCCATTGGAGGTCTGGAGAATTTGGCCTGAGGTTGACTTCGAGGCTGTTGTAAGCAACTGCGTCTCTTAAATCTTCAGAAACTGTCAGCAAACATCTTCAAGGCCCCAGTGTAAATACCAGTATTCCCTCATGTACATAATATCCCCCTTAATACACTAACAATCTTCATTCATCCTGTCCAGTGTTGGTGGTGTTTATCTCACTCCTAAGCTTACTATACTAGCTACTAGGTTGTTTTGAAAGCATCCCGAGTGAATTGGTGTCGGCGGAATATTAAGGAAGCGTAGATACCTACACCTGTGTTTATACAAAGTGACACCTACACAATCCAGCAGCCCTTAGTTTTCCTTGCTAATGGATGAGGCCTGAATGTCTTTACTTCCAGCTCTCAAAGAGTCCCAGGGCAACTCACAGTTAGACACTGGTGGTTTTTGGAGTGGGTGGGAGTGGAGCAGGCTCCCTATAGCTACTCCTGGTAGTTAGTCCTAGATAGAACAGTAATCTGAGGTAGTGTGGGAAATTAAAATGTAGACTAGATCCAGCTGTCTGGTGCTGCTTGGGGAAATGGTTAAAGCAGGTTTCAGTAGTAAATCCTGCCAAGGCAGCTAGGTGTTCACGTTGGCCCCAAATGCTACAATAACTCTGCCTAGTTACAGAAGTCATATTTCCACTTAATGAACCATGCCTCAACTTTTGGAGAAATATTATTTTGGCATAGAACTTCCTAAAGGCCAAAAGTATATTGTTATAGGATTGTGGTGGTTGAGGTAGCTTGATTGTCACTTTTGGAATTCCCTCTCAGCCAGTAGGTTTATATCCGTAAAACTGGATTCTTTAGAAAGAGAGACTGCTAAAGGGTGAAACCATTATCTGTGGAGTTAATGGCTGCAAACCAAGTTTGTAATATCTCTTTGCATGACTAAAAAATACAGTGGTACCTCGGGTTACAGACGCTTCAGGTTACAGACGCTTCAGGTTACAGACTCCGCTAACCCAGAAATAGTACCTCGGGTTAAGAACTTTGATTCAGGATGAGAACAGAAATCGTGTGGCGGCGGCGGGAGGCCCCATTAGCTAAAGTGGTACCTCAGGTTAAGAACAGTTTCAGGTTAAGAGCGGACCTCCAGAACAAATTAAGTTCTTAACCCGAGGTACCACTATATAGGTGATGGTTCCCACAGAAACTACTAATAGCAATACTTCCAGAAGGTGGGTTAAAAGGGTTAGAATCTTCCCTCCTCCTCTGGTTAAAAGAGATATCATTGGTGTGCAAAGGATAGCAATAGTCCTGGACCAGTCTTGTCTTGAAGTGGGTTAGGAAGAGACAGAGAGGTTTACCTGACTTGCTCTCTGTGCTGAATCCAAAACTATGGCATTGCGGGGCTAAAAACCTAACGGAGGAGCAAGTTATGTTAATGTGTTAATGTTGTGAGTCTTATGCTCAAACTGCCTTTGTTTGTAAGTAAAACCATATATCACAAATACACTATCTCCAGTGATCTTCATTCCAAGAAAATGAGCTACCACCACAAAACCTCTTGCTGCTTGGAGATTGGAGTAACAATATTATTCACTTGAATTATTATGTCATTCCATCTTTTTAAAGTTGCCACCTTTTCCCAGGCAGAGTTATTCCACTTTTAACAGCCTCATGTAATTTGGAAATTCAACTCTGCAGTTTTTCTGATCACTTTTCTTTGGCAGGAAAAGATGCTCCCGTTGGATTTGTGTTTTTTGTGTGCCTATTCAATACACAGAGGCTTTTACACAAAAAAAAAGGGGGGGGAGGAGAAGAGCTAACCTAAATCTTCATGTTATTTCTGATGAATATGGAATATAGAACCAAAATGCAGTTGGCTGTTACTTAAGCTTGGGTATGAGAACATGTCCTGTGCTATGAAAGTTTTAAAATGGCATAAAATTACCATATATTATAATATCAGTTTACTTATTTATTTCTCTGACATCTACTAGTGTTAAAATAACCATAAAATCAAGTTCTTGATTTTTATTTTCAGGATGAAATGTTGAGCTTCAGAATCCATACGAAGAAAAAGTTAACGGTAGGTGGCACTATAACATTCTAGATAAATTATATTTCAGTCACTGCAGTGTTATGGCTTTTAGGCTTCCTGTGTTTAGAAAACCTTTCTGTGTTTTGTGTTGTCTGCTGAGGAACTCTTTGCAACTACCACATAAACTCTGAAAATTGCAAAAGATTCTGCGGTGTGTGCTAGGGTGCTCACAACTCTCCTGGGGAGCTAGCTCTACCCATCTCACTCTTCCATTGTCTCCCGAGACAGACGGATGCCAACAGTAGACCCTGGAAGGGTAGAGCAATAGCGGTGAGCAATTAAATGTCTACCACTGCTGTTCTTCTCAGTGAGGAGCCTCTGATAGCCTTTACCTTGGGAAGAATATAATACTGACTTCCAGTAGATTTGTAGTGAGAAATGAGTCTTAAGCACTAGGTGTCTGCTTCATATTTAAACCTATGCAGTGTAGCAATTTGCCTCCCGGGTGGCGCTGTGGGTTAAACCACAGAGCCTAGGACTTGCCAATCAGAAGGTCGGCGGTTCGAATCCCCGTTGCTTGGTCCCTGCTCCTGCCAACCTAGCAGTTCGAAAGCACCTCAAAGTGCAAGTAGATAAATAGGTACCGCTCCGGCGGGAAGGTAAACGGCGTTTCTGTGTGCTGCTCTGGTTCACCAGAAGCGGCTGAGTCATGCTGGCCACATGACCTGGAAGCTGTATGCCGGCTCCCTCAGCCAATAGAGCGAGATGAGCGCCGCAACCCCAGAGTTGGCCACGACTGGACCTAATGGTCAGGGGTCCCCTTACCTTTACCTTTAATGCTGCTAGTCTACAATTCCCATCACCCCTGATTGTTGGCCATGCCAGTTGGTCCTTCTTAACCCCTTGACAGGGGCCTAATTTTGCTCAGCTGTTTGTTGCAAACAAGCCAGCAACACTTTGAGAATCAGTTTGGTAGGGATGTCAGAAGCTGGTTTGGTTATACTGAGAGGAGTTTAGAAGTGGTACTATGGAAAAAAACCACACAAAATGCCATCACCCTGAAGTGAGGAACTTATTGCAAATGTTTTATTGTGACATCAGATTAAATCTATTGTTTTCACACGATAGCTTTAACAGAAAAGTGATTTTGTACACAAGTGACCCTACACATTTAGAAATGTGATGCGCCAACACAATATTCATATGTAGATATTAATTCATGAGTGACACAACACAACAGGAATTGTCAGTTTTAATAGTGACCTGACAGTACAGGAACTAAAAAAGTTGCTCTAAAGTATTACAGCTATGGCTTAGAGATGTTGAATTCTATGCTCATGTATCACAAAGAAATGCTTTTACAAACAATGTCCAAGGGGATACATTAATCAGAAGTCAGTGGGGCAGATTTGAATAAAGATCACATTTTGTTGCGCTTCTAGTCCTCCGGCGTTTGTACTGGGTTCTTAATACACCAATACAGTTCGGTTGCTGCAAAACAGGTAAAAAGCAAGAGGGGGAAATGTATGTGTTCATTAGCAAAAGGGACTATACTAAGCATCTGTTACTGGCCTATTTCTGGTGATGCAGTTAGGCTGGTTGCACACCAGGGGTTTAGTGGGTAGAGCAGTTGTTTTGCAGGTTCAATCCCCAGCAGCCCCATCCTTTATATGCCCAGCTGAAGAGGGCACAGAGTCCTCTCCCCAAGACTGCCGATTCCTTATGTGTCTGTGGTGCTGTTTTTGCTAAATAAGCAACAAAACTTAAGAGTGCGACCATAGGAAATAAAGGGAGTGATACACATGTATGTGTGAATTTGCCCCAAGAGTTTCGGGTTTGTTGTAATGCCTTACCTTTTCCCTTGACGCATAAGATCAAATGCTTCGTTGATTTTATCAAAAGGCAAAGTATAAGATACAAGGGCATCCAGGCTGAATTTCCCTGCCATGTAATCCAACACCAGGTTTGGTACAGAATCCACACCCTTCCAGCCTGTGAGGCGGGAAAACAAACAGATTCAAAACTGAATTCCTGATTTTTTTTATATGACACTGTTCGCAAATATGCCAGCATGTTGACTGGGAGATGTCGTACAACAAACTTGTTTTCCCAGATTTATTGTGTAAGGAAAACTATATGGAAATGCACAGAAAAGTGTGGGATCAAGCTTGCTCTGACACATTATCATTTAACCTCCCTGCAAAAAAATCAGAATGAACGATTTAAAAAAAGCAAGTCATCATGAACTGCCCCCCAACTGCATGGATGATCTGAATGCCTGAATGTTGTTGTGCCAATTTTTCCTCCTGTTTCACCACCCACTTTCCCAGCTCCTGGGGCACACTGCGCATGGGCCCACACTCTAGAATGATGTCGAAACAGGTTTTCATTTATTTCTCAAAAGTGGAACAGGCTGTTCCATTTAACATCCACCAGATATTTGGATTCCAGAAATGGGAGGCAATTCAATAAAAACATTCCAGCTGTTATGTTCTTTGAGGTTGGCTCAGAAAGAAATATCATCCAGATCTGGGAACATTTGAGCAATTGACAATAAATCACAATTATTTTGTACTAATTGCTTTGGCTGCCTTAAAATCCGCAAAACAATTGAATGATTAGTAGGAATTACTGGGACTAAGGCATTTTCTAGTACGGTGGGACAGTAACTAAAATCTGTGTGGCCTCATTCCCCATTAACTTTCTATTTAGTACAAGTCTTGTTGCCTTTCTATTTAGTGTCTCCTTTGCTTAAGAAATCTCTAGTGCTCCAGTGAGAGTTTATGTAATCTGAGATAATTCTTTTACTTTCAAAAGACCTTTAAAAGCCACTGAGAAAAAAGCTTGCATGCTCTAGAATGTGCCATCGATGTGCCACTGTTCTGAGACTTCATTCTCTTAAGTCAGGGGTCACCAACCTTTCTGGTGTAGTGGGAAGATTTGGGATCTTGTGAAAGTGACGTGGGCACCACTTACAAAATGCATGCTGTGGAGTGTGGTGCATCACAAAATGACTGCTTTGGGTGTGTGATGTAATGAATGCCACATCAAAAAGAGCAGAAAAAAAGACATAGGGCCACACAATGGTGAGGGAATATTCCCCCATCAGTGGGGACAAAGGAATCTATTTCACCACTACATTTGCTCACAGAGAGAAGCTGTTTGCACCTCTCCTCTGTTCAGAACAGACAGAACAGGGCCTGTGTCCAGTTCTAGTATCCAAAGAAAAGTGGGCATGTTTAAGGTAACATGTTCAATATAGGAGAGGCTGAGCAGGCAAACAGGAACTGAAGAGAAAGAGCAAATAGTCTCAGGTGTTGCAGGTTTTTTTAGCAAACTTTTTGTGGGCATCGCAGGAAGTGCTGGTGGGCACACTGGCTCTCATAGAAACACGTTGCAACCTCTTCTTAAATCATGAATGGGTCAGCATGAGATGACCCAGTGCCAGAAACTGATCCTGATCCTGACACGATCCGTATACGGACCAAAAGGGTTTCAGGCATCATGCTTGTCTGTAGTCCAGTACAAAAATGTAGAGAAATGTAATACAAATAATATAATGTAATATCACAGGGTGGTGAACCTGTGGCCTGCAGGCTGGATCTGGCCTGCCAAACCACTGCAGGTGCCTCACTAGTTCCTGGCAACACCTGTATGTGCAGTCCAGCTCAGCGAAGGAGAAATCACCTTATCACAATTCTGAGCTGAGCAAGAAGATGGGCTGGATTCAGGATTCAAAGCAGCAAGAGGGACAGAACACCTGTAAAATGTGTTTATGACAAGCTACAAGAAAACAAGCTGTGTTCTGTCACCCCTGCTCTTGCAGATAATTAAAGCAGTGCTGCCCATCTTGATCATGGCAGTACTGAAAGGGAAAATAAAATAAATCAATTGTGCAAACTTAGAAATAACTATGCAAGTGTTATTTCAATCCTAGATACTACTTCAATGCCATTTCTGGCATTTATATACTGTTAGGGAAAAACTAACCTCCGAAAAAGGTGGCGTTGATTTTCCGGCCCATTATCAGGTCCAGCGGAGAAACAACGAATCCTTCTTCACCCACAGCCACTCCGACGATTACACAGGTGCCCCAGCCAACAGTGGTACAGCAGAGAGCAGCTTTCTGGAAGGCAAAGGAAACTAACAACCCAGTCCTGCTTATAATTAGGAGCCACAAAGTCAGCTCTGCCCATGAGTTCAAATGGAGTTACAACATTCCCAGTTGACTTTCACTGGCTTCTGCAACATTTAAAGAGAGGGCTTCCAGATGAGTGCTTAGCGTGGAATGGATGCTCTTTATGCATGCTAGTAATAAATATTAGCAGTGTGCACATGATGTTATCAGCATCAAAATAGTAGCCTATATTTGCCCCTTCTTTTACTCTTGATTTACGCTTTCGGGAAGAAATACTATGAATAATAATTAAAAATCTGTTCCCAAAATCCATTTGCAATATTTCATTTGCAAATTAAGTCCCTGTCTGGGGAAGCACCCAGAGTTATATGCTGCAGTTGAATGACCATTTGGCACCAGTGCATTGACAGGTTTCCATTTGCAGAGGTCTTACCATCTCATTAAGGCAAGAAAGTCTTGTCTCTGTGTTGTGTGCATTGCAGAAATATCTCCTGTCACCCACCAGGTATGAAGACCCCCTCTCTCCAGTTTACATGACACTAAGCATAGCCTGTCCCCCTAGCTACATTTTACAGTGGTGCCTCGCAAGACGAAAAGAATCCGTTCCGCGAGTCTCTTCGTCTTGCGGGTTTTTTCGTCTTGGGAAGCAAGCCCATTAGCAGTTTAGCGGATTAGTGCTACAGGGCTTAGCAGGCTTAGTGGATCAGCTGATAATCTGCTTAAAGAAAAGCAGATAAGCGGCATAATGATCAGCTGATAAGCGGCTTAACGATCAGCTGATAAGCGGCTTAACGATCAGCTGATAAGCGGCTTAGCATCAGCTGTTAAGCGGCTTAGCCATCAGCTGATAAGCGGTTTAGCGGCTTGGGAAAAAGGAAAAAACCTGCAGGAACTCGCAAGACATTTTCGTCTTGCGAAGCAAGCACATAGGAAATTCGTTTTGCGAAGCACCTCCAAAACGGAAAACCCTTTCGTCTAGCGGGTTTTCCGTCTTGCGAGGCATTCGTCTTGCGGGGCACCACTGTACATAGATGTCCTGAAGGCATTAGGCAGGTGGAAAGATGGCTCTTTCGAGTGCCAGTATAGTCCAGCTTTACCACACACCTGCTATTTCTGCTTGTTTCTGAACAGTTTACCCAAACCTATGTCCTTACTTAGTTTCCACCAAGTTCTAATGTTGGTCAGCCACGTAGCCACTCTTATATTTACCTATGCCAGGCCCAGTTCAAGATATTTTGGCACCTGAGGTGAATCACAAAATAGTGCCTCCCTTCCTGCCATGGGAGAAGGGGAGTGTGAAGTTCTACATGAGGTGCAAGAAGAGAATAAAGATCTACATTGGGATCTGCTACCCCTGTCAATCCTGCTGCCTGAGGCAGTCGCTTCACCTTGCCTATTTAGTGGGCTGGCCCTGACCTAGGTTTACTATATTCAAATAGGAATATATATATGAATATGCTTACAATGATCATATAGGAAGCAAAAACCCAAAAAACTCAAAATCGCATCAGATAGTAAATAAGATGTGACAAATGGGAGAGACAAACTGCTTCCTTTGTTGAGCAGCTGAGTTTTCTATGACACTGTAAACAAAAAGTGAGGTTCCCTAATGGGAACCTGCAAGTCGGACCTTGGTGTGATGTGGTAGTTGCATTAGTCTAGAACTCAGGAGACCTGATCAGCTTTAAAAGACAGACTTATGAGTTCTCTTGAAAAAACTAAGCAAGGCCACATTCATTAGGGATGGATTTTGAGAAAATCTGGGAATTCCTGGTGGAATTTCAGGAAAAGCTTAGATAAAATTGAACAGCTTTCTCATTACAGTTGCTGGATTTTGCTCATCCTTACTTAGAACATAATATTTTAGCTTTCCTGCTTTTATTACCAATCTTTACTGCATTGTAACTTTATTAAGTGAATGCTAAAATACGTACCATTACTTTTATGTTTCCAATGCACTCAATGGCAAAATCTACTCCTCCATCGGTCATTTCAGCTATAACCTCTTGTATGGGGTTCTTGAAATCCTCAGGACTGAGGCAGTCAGTGGCTCCCAGCTCTTTTGCTAATGCAAATTTGCTTTTGTTAATGTCAATCCCAAAGATACGAGATGCTCCAGCTGCTTTGCAGCCCATGATAGCAGAAAGGCCGACCCCTCCCAAACCAAAGACAGCACATGTAGATCCAGGCTCAACCTAGAATAACATGAGAGAAATTCACATGGAACTATTTTTAATATCTGGATTTTCTTTTTTAACAAAGAACCTCTTATCTATTTGGCTGAAACAAAAGTAAACCACAGGGTGGGTGGAATTTCCTCTTCTACACAACTATTAAGGGAGAGAGCCCTGCCCCTTTGTGCATCCCCCATGCAAAAATAAACAAAATCTGCCCATATACAAAACTAAATGTAGAGAGGAAATAATTTTCTACTCTGGTCTTCTTGACATGATAGTTCCCTCACCCTGCGACATTCAGTTAGCTGTGCCTCCACTTGCAGTCTGAAGTAAAACTGTTGACACAGCTGTAGCACTGCAGAGAGAATTAGGCCCAACTTAATGTAGGATGACCAGCCTCATATAACCAATATGCTTAAGTCTAAAACAGTGTTTTTCAACCTTTTTTGGGCAAAGGCACACTTGTTTCATGAAAAAAATCACGAGGCACACCACCATTAGAAAATGTTAAAAAAATTAACTCTGTGCCTATATTGACTATATATAAAGTAATTCTCTTGAATAGGAATCAACTAAACACAAGTAAACAGAAATATGAAAAATTATAAAATACTTTATTCAGTGCGCAACCTGGGCCTGTTTGGCTGAACACAAAGCTGATATTCTGGCTGGAATCGAAGAAAGACACACACGTAGCTCTTCGTCAACAGCTCTCAGTCTCTCTCTGTATTTAGTTTTTATAGCAATCATGCTTGAAAAGCTCATCTCACACAGATATGTAGTGGAAAATGGGAGCAATGTCAAAATAGCTTTGTTTGCCAGAAGGGGTAACTCCTAGGCAGTATCCAACCAAAAACTGTCCAAAGGTAGATCAGCAAATCTTAGCTTGAAACCACGATTTTGTCTCAGTTCAGTTAGTTCCTCCTGCTCCTGTAAAGTCATGTCCTTTCCACCGACTGATGCTGAGCTATAAGGGTCCCTAACCCAGTCAAGGCATTCAGTGGAGACTGAAGAGAAATAAAATGACAACTTCTCTGGTCCTCCTGGTGACTTGAGTCGCGACGTCTTCTTCTCTCCGCTGCTGCGCACACTGTGCTCGGGCGGGAAGGAAGTCGGAAGATGATGTCCTACTGTGATAGGTCCAGGCTGGAGTCTGGACCAATCACAGCCTGGACATAAGAAAAGTGGAGGGTGTCCCCCTGAGGAGCGCCAGTCGGCGCGCCTGCTGGCCGAGGGTGGGGTCAAACCCCCCCCATACCCAGGACACAGTCCGGCGCCCGCCTAGTGGGCGAAAAATTGAAATTTTTTTTAAAAAATCTTTCGAATTTTTCAATTTTTCCCACGGCACACCAGGCAACATCTCACGGCACACTAGTATGCCGCGGAACAGTGATTGAAAAACACTGGTCTAATAAATGCATGAAGAGGTTAATACCATAGAGTAAGCTGTCTAGCCTGCTTAAGCTATGTTGCTTCCTTTTACCTTGGGAATAAATAGATAATCAAGCTTTTGTCTCTGTCCCCCCAGCCTACTTGAGAATTCAGTGTGTGAGGAGGGCTGAGCTGGTTGCTCCAGCTCAACTTCATGGCTTTCATAAGCCTCTAATGTGTTCCTGTACCAATAGTTTAGGAACTTTCACCACTTTGTAGCTAAGCTATGTTTTACTGCCTTTTACTTTTCTGATGGATGTATAGAAGAGCAGATGAATCTGACCTTTGGAGAGTTTGTAAGTAAACACATTTTTTACTTATCAAATGCATGGTCTTTCCCTAAGCTGGGGAAAGTGGAGCACTTTGGAAGGAACTTTTAAATGGGACAGTTTTGGAATTCACTTGGAAGGGCGTATCTTAAAGCGTTTACAGCCTATATTTCCATGCTTTACTTTGCTGCATATTTTGTGATTTTAAATCTCTGCTGGGATTCTCTCATCAAAGAGTACTTGCCCCAAATTTGGATCTTGTCTTCTGGGAAATTCTTCTCTTTTTTGAATCAGCACTTAAAACTAGTAGTCTGAGCACATCTTGCTTAGCAAGGGGTTGAAGTAAAAGGCTTTTGGGATCCTGCCAACTGCTTATTTTTGTAAAGATTCTAGTTGGCCTTGACATGGCAAAAATGTTGATACCTCCCCTCCCCCTGTTAATTATTTTTTAAAAAGTAAGACTTGAGCCATCATGAACTCACCTTGGCAGTATTAATAGCAGCCCCATAACCTGTGGAAAAGCCACACCCAATCAAACAGACTTTATCTAGAGGAGCAGCAGGATCAATTTTGGCAAGAGAGCTTTCTACCACAACTGTGTATTCGGAGAAGGTACTGGTTCCCATGAAATGGTAAATCTGCTTTCCTTTGCACATGAACCTGCTTGTGCCATCAGGCATCAGGTCTTGGTCAGAAATTGGTGTCTTTGCTTTGCTGAAGAAGAAAAAAACAAAAGTGAAGTATGAACATCCATGGGCATCCAGGATTTTAGTTGGGGGGGGGCAGGCCTTCTGTTGGTGGGGGCAGGTCTTATGTTGGGGGAGGGTAGAATCTCAGTTACCTATGTATTTTCATTTTTATTGATTGGGGGGCAGCTGCCCCTCCCTGACCCCCCCGGCTACGCCCATGTTAAGATCCAAATTTGCTTATTTAACTTCTAAGTATAAATACTGTATGCATAAAATTTCTACACACATAGCTCAATCCTCCATCTAGATAAGCAGCAAGCATGATCAGAGTTCAAGGATACATTCCAGGCAGGCAAAAAAATGCTTGAGAAGGAGGTGAAACAGAACCAGTAGCAGGCATGACTGGGGAGAGTATGTAGGTTGGGGAGAGTCCCAAGGACGAGATAGAGAGGTTTGGATGTATCTACACAGATGTGTAGATTTAAACAAAAAGTGGGTCCCCCGAAACAATATATACACAAGTGGGGTGGTAGATAGGGCAGAGATGCTGTGCTAGCTTCCTGGCAGTTGGGTTACTCTTCCTCACCATGAAGGAAGCGGTAGGGAGGTTGTCACAGTGTAACTACTTTGGAAGGCACACTGGATTGGCTCTGGTGCATTTGCACTGTGCTCAGCTCTCTACTGCCTCACTTGCTTTCATTTTCCCTCCTGGTAAGGAACAGGTTTTGGCAATATTTCTACTGATGGCTTTGCAGCTCACTTGCTAGGTAACCTAACCTAGGTTACTTGCATATATTGCTTGCCTGGTTTATTGAGTTGGCTTCAGCCGGCTCCAGAGTGCACATGTGGGCAAACAATGTGGCAGCTGCAGTAATTGGTGCCTCAAATAAATTTACTTGAAATGTGTACCTGATCCGTTCACAGAGGTTAGTTTTGGGACTCAAGCAGAACTTGCACTGTCCACACTGAGGAAGGTACAGCGGGATAACTTTGTCACCTAAACAAAACAACAAGAACGCATGCAGTATTACATTTATTTCTGCTATGAACTTCGGTACAAGGCAAGCCTTGGGCTCATGAACTCTCCCCTCTCTTCTAGCCTGATCACAAAGCCATGTTCAGATGCTTTTGCTTCCATTCTTGATTAACTGCAGCTTGTCCTGTTGTCTACAGTTGAACAATCTGTGGTGGATCTGATGGTTTGAAATGGTCTAGCTGTGAGTCATGAACCTGTCTTGCTTCAAACAAACCATAGTTAAGATTAACCACAGCTTAAGATTCAAGTGCAATGTTAAACTGGGTAATTCAAAACAGAAGTGAAAGCTTCCTCCTCATACCAACACAAAGGGAAGCATGCTGTTTAGGAGTTTATATTGACAATGGGGAATATTTTCCAGCCTGAGGCCTGTGTTCTTTCACAGAGAACCTCCCAAGGGCCACATGTCAACGTGGGCAGAGCAATAGATACGATTCTTACTATATGACAGCATAATAGGCTACATTTGAGCCATGCAAAATCCAGAAGTTTCTACATTCACACCTTCCAAAAATGTTCAGCTGAAAATTGGGGTGTGTGTCTTTTGGTGCTGCACTGCTCCGCAAGTCAGCTGGCTGCCTCCCCTGCCATAGCCCCTACTTGCCAGCTTCTCGTATAGGCTAGGCCCAGTCAGCAATCTCACTGCACTGTTGGGGGCCAGTTGAAGTTTTGAGATTGTTTTCAAAGGCGAGTTCATGCATGACAACAGGGATGCCAACTTGAATAAAATATTGGGGGGGGAGGTACGCCCCACCCCACATAATCGATGACATGACGCAGTGCACGCACACCATTTGAATGGTAATGCACATCAACTTTGCAGGGTCCCCGGTCCCTTCACATATTTTATTGGGGGAGGGGAAGCCCCCTCAGCCCCTAGGAGTTGGGCTCCTATGCCTGACAATAAAAACACTCCTTTTTTGAACAGCCGTTTAAAGCAATCAAAGCCCTTCACGTGCATTACAGTGGTGCCCCGCAAGACGAATGCCTCGCAAGACGGAAAACCCGCTAGACGAAAGGGTTTTCCGTTTTTAAGTTGCTTCGCAGGACGGATTTCCCTATGGGCTTGCTTCGCAAGACGAAAATGTCTTGCGAGTCTTGAGATTTTTTTTCCGCTCCCCCCCCCTTTATCTAAGCCGCTAAGCCTTTAATAGCCTTTTAGCAGCTAATCCGCTAAGCCGATAAGCCTTTAATAGCCGCTAAACCGCTAATAGCGCTAATCCATTAAGCCGCTAATAGGGTTGCTTCGCAAGACGAAAAAACCGCTAGATGAAGACACTCGCGGAACGGATTAATTTCGTCTTGTGAGGCACCACTGTATATAGTTGCAATCCTTACAAAAATTCTGTAAAATGCAGGCAATCCTATAAGGTACTTCCTGTTGCAGTTGCACTCAGACTGAGAGAGTGTGGCGTGCCAGAGGCCATCCAGTGAGGTTTTGGAAGATGCAACATCTGAACCAGGAACTTCCTTTAGCCTACTACAGTTTTAAACTGTTTAATTTTTTTGATTTAATTGTTGTAACTCACCCTGGGACCTTAGAGTGAGGGGCAGGTATTGATTATTTAAAATAACAACAACAACAACAACACCATCACCACCACCACCTTTCAGGCAGTTGAGCATCTTAAAAAGAGAAATGGGCCAATGGCACGGAGGACAATTTATAATGTATCAGTACCTGGTTTAAATCTAGTCACACCTGGACCAATGCTCTCTACGATTCCAGCTCCCTCATGGCCTAGTATGACAGGGAAAAGGCCCTCTTTAAAACTTGGACTCATGGCATGATCATCTGTGCGGCACACCCCGGTGGCAATAATCTGAAAGAAAGACATAAAACACAAGTTGATAACTTAACTACATGGTGTGGTGGTGATGATGCAGATTCACACTCATTCTCCTTTATAGGCTTCCATATTCACTACTGTCTTTTCCCACTGGCGTGGGAAGCCAGTGTGAGCGTATCGGGGAGAGGCCTTTCCAAAATGGCCTCCATGTTGTTGTTTGCTGTAAGTTACAGTTGACATTATTTCAAAGCTATGCTTCTAATGTAAGCTGTGGGGTATAATAAAGATGTTTCTCAGATCTTTGGATGCTCACCTTAACTCGTATTTCATGCTCTTTTGGAGGGGAAACTTCAACTTCCTCAAGGGAAAAGGGTTTCCCTGCTTCCCATACAATGGCAGCCTTGCATTTAATAACCTGGAAAAGAACCCATTGAACTGAAATGTAAGGTTGGTATTAATGACCCCTGAGCTCCCCTGCCCCCACAGCCCTGCTATTTTATAGTTCTAAGATCAGATTCTGCATAAAAAGAGACTGCTAAAGACAAACTTCGCCTAGCAGTTTACCTTTGGCTAGGTGAATGGGCTTTTGCACAACTAAAAAGATGGCAATAGAAGCTAGTAGTTGGAGATCCTTGTGGAAAGTGGCATGTCTTTCTTCAACCCCATCTCCCCTGGCTGGAGGTGATGCCATCAAGTGGTATGTGTGTGTGTAAAAGTAAGAGAACGTATGTTTGGCAGTAACAGAACCAGGTCACTCTGAAAGAGACAGAGGCCTGACTTGTTCTTTGTGAAAACCTGGTGCCTACAGCACTGAGAGTTCCTCTAGAAAGCTAATGGGGGAACAGGACCAGTTGCAATGTGAATGCTGTGAACATTTCATCTTAGCCTGTAAATAAAACCTGTTGCAGAAGTACCATCGGTCTCTGGCTACCTCATTAAAAGGAAACCAACTCCAGGGTTTGTTTTTTTAATCTATTTCTATATCTAATCTATATCTATATCTATATTTCAATTATTAAGCAGGTTGTCAATAAAATAAATAAAAACATATCCCCTGAAATGTAGTTTTAGGGCTAAGCAATTGAATGGTTTTTACAGCAAGATACTTTGAGGGCCAGTCTTGACATGTGCTTAAATATGTAGCAGACGCCTCCCCACCACCACCACAGTGGTATCAACTGGAGACTTTTTTTCTTAGGTTCCTAGTCATTGGAGAGGAGTCCAATCTCCATTCCATTCAAGGCAAGGGAGAAAAGAGGTAAGCTTCTCCTTCCCATGTGTTGCCTTCACCGTAGGAATCAAGCTCTCTCGTCCCTGTAATTAGCTATGGAAAAACAAGATATGTAGCTGCCTGTTAGGTATGCCTAGGTTGGCCTTCAGTCTCATTTGAGGGGGAAACTATCATACATTTATGAAAATTAGCCATGTGAAATGTCTTACATGTGTCGAGACTTCAGAAGAATGTGCTGGGGGCAAATCCAGTCCAAATCTAGTTTTTAGCACTTGCCAAAATTATGTTGGCTGACTCCTATTCCCATTGTTATGTTGGCCACATCCCATGAAGCAGCTGGACGTGGATTGATTTCTACTGTGTGTGAATTGCCAAGACCATATCAATCCACTCTTAGCTGTATTACAAAATACACAACAATCAGATGATATCCAGATGTGAACAGGGTAGCTGCCTACATATTACTATTATTTGGTTTGATTTATAACATGCACTTCCTCCAAAATGAGGAAAAGGAAATTTCACCCAGAAAGCATAAGTGCATCACCCAAAAAAAGGACACCAATTTGCATTTGTTGATTTATATGGATGCATGCTAATTTAGAAATAGTTACTGTGCTATAAAGAAAAAAATATTTCATCATAGCAGCCCAGGTGCTGCTAAGTGTTGATGGGCAAGTTCAAGACCCCAGTTCTGCCTCCTTAGGGTTCTTTATCTTTAAAGGGTTCTAGGGTTCTTTATCTCTCACTCTGTCTCTGTCTCATTGTTCTGCATGTCTGTGGAAAATACTAGCCATGAAAGCATCTCTGAGCTGGCACTTCTCTTTATTAAGGACACTCATGGGAGGTCAAGCCAGCAATGGTTGCTATCCAAAAATCATCAAGGGGTGTTCACGATCAAGTTTTAAATTTGGAAGTGAAGAGACAGATACTGCAATCTGTATCTGATCTGTGTATGTGTCCTAAGTCATAAGAAATGGTAACTGGGCTGGAGCATCTTCTCAATGGAAATAAACCTTAATAGGTTGTTTTTGTTGTTTTTTAAATAAATGCATAAGAATGCGGAGCTTTCTGGAAGAGGGAGGATGAGAAGAGGGAGGATGAGAAGTATGGGGGGCACTATAATGCTTTATGTGTTGTCTTTGGCCATCCACTAAAGTACTGCCCAGATATCAGTCTCCTTTCCCTTCTCTTCCCTCTGCCTGCAAGCAGCTCTGCTGCAGGCCTGTGTTAAGAACCCTACCAGTAAGCTGCAGATAACCCTTTTAATAAACCAGATTACCAACTAATGCACAGGGCCTGAATTCAGTAATCAAGACTGACCAGATATACAGCTTATAAAAGGAGAGCCCTCTAGAGCAGAGCACATCTCCTTTGACTGCATCACTGGGTTGAATGACTAATGAGAGCAAATCAGGGTGAATGTGGGAGAAATGCACATTGCCATCAGTGGTGGACCTTGGGGTCTCAAATTTCAGTAGCTCCCTGTGTGACACCAAAAATTGGCAACCCACTCCTCTCACACTCTATTATAAATAATAGTTGCGGTGTCCCCTGAGGCACTCCTGAGGCTTCATGCCCAGTTACAACCAAGCCAGTTGTGCTCCCCTAAATCCGCCTCTGTTGCCGTATAATTTCCATGCAAACAAATTGGAATGAATGCATAATAAAGACTGGCTTTAATCTAACATTTGCAGAAGCTTTGTGCAAGCAAATCACAGGGAATTCTCAATAAATGAGTTATCTGGAGGGTCCCATAACCACCCTGTCCAGCACTAAAGGGAGAAGACAGCAGTGCATGAATCAGCATGGCTGCCAGTGCACACCCGTTTCTTACTTTGCCAGCAGTGCTCATACTTCGTTCCTGGGGAGATCAAGACGAATTCAGCTGGGATCCCTTGGGGTCAGTGGCTCTGTGAAGGAAGCAGCTTGTAGAATCTGTGTCTTGGGAGGGAAGATGTGGCCTAAATATCAGCTGGAATTCCTCTTATGCCACTCTCTCACTTTACCCTTACCACCTGCTCCCTCTTCCCTCCTACCAATGGAGGTGTTCTTGTTTTTAAGCCCTCTGTCCTCAACCCATTTCCGCAATTATAACTTTATATTTTATTTGTATCTATGCAGCCAACATCCTTTCCCCCTTATACCTAGACTTTCAGCGCATGCAAACATATAATGTTCAGTAGCGTGTCAGTGCAAACAACTCTAGTGACAGGAGAGGCTTTAGCAAAATTAATGGTGACAATGATACCAGCTCTTTACTCTGGAAATGAGAGTGGGGTGTGGGGGAACTGTGCTGAAAATAAAGTCGCTGTAATATGAACCTCACCACTACCCTTTGCTTATACAGTGGTACCTCTAGTTACAAACTTAATTTGTTCCGGAGGTCCGTTCTTAACCTGAAACTGTTCTTAACTACAGGCGTGCTTTCGTTAATGGGGTCTCTTGCGTGTTATGCCACGCCACCGAAACACGATTTCTGTTCTCATCCTGAGGCAAAGTTCTCAACTCGGGGTAACTCTTCCAGGTTAGCAGAGTTTGTAACCTGAAGCGTTTGTAACTCGAGGTACCACTGTAATTGGTAATGTAATCCCAGCACTCAGAACTACTTACCTGAATAGCAAGTCTATTTGAGACTGACTTGGAGATCATATTCAACAGTTAGATCAGCTGATCATCACTGATTTTGCCTTTTAAGATTAAGTTTCTTGCTTACTCAAAGCAATGTTAAGCACAGCACTATTAAGAAAGAAGCAACCTATATCTGAATTTTAACCAGAAAAAGTAAAACAAATTGTTCTTAAAAACCCCTCTTACACATGTGTTTTGATTGAACAGTTTTTCTGCTTCCAAAATAGCAGCCAAGAAAGAGTGATCGCACTAAATTCTTGACTCCAAAGTTTGCAAGGGGTAGAAGGACATAATTAATTGGCCCCATGGAGTTCATTTTAAGTCAGATGGTTTTTGTCTACAATTTGATGCATTCTTACATGGGAGTAAGTCCCACTGACCTCATTCATAGTATCATAGGATTGTGCTGTTACTTAGGTAACCAAGTGCATATCTGAAAACAGGGATGGGGAACTTGTGGAGCTCCAGATGTTGAAATATAGCTCCCACCATTCCTTACCACTTGCCACGCATGCTGTCAAGGAATGATGGGAGTTGAAGTCTAACAGCATCTGGAGGGTCATAGGTTCTCCATTTCCTCCAGCAGTGGAGTGGGGGTTGGGAGACTAAACTTATTCCCCCCCCCCCCAAGTTTAGCATGTAATTCAGGAGCTGACACTGATCTGCTTGCAAACTCCCTGGACAATTAGGTGGGGTGTAATGGTCAAGGAAGACTGGTCCCAGACAAGCTGAAGTAGACTTGGTGTCATTCCTTACAGTCACTGCCAGCTTTCCAAATCCAACATATGCTACATTTAATGCACTTACAATTCTACTTCCTGCCTTCCCACTCAATGGGGAAAGGTTGGTGGAGGTGGAGTGGAAGGGGCTGTTGTGAGTGGGGACACTGGGGGCGGGGCTTACTTGCATAGCTGACACCTCCTGTTTATGTTTTAAATTTCCTGTTCAAGGCATAGCATATAGATAGGGCTTAAGTGCTACATTGCAAGAGCACCATCTTGGCTGCAGCAATAATAAGCTGATCTCACTGGTAATTCTCACTCATCTAGGCCTTTAGAGCAGGCTTAGGCAAACTTGGTGCTCCAGATGTTTTGGGACTACAATTCCCATTCATCCCTGACCACTGGTCCTGTTAGCTAGGGATCATGGGAGTTGTAGCCCCAAAACATCTGGAGGGCTGAGTTTGCCTATGCCTGCTTTAGAGCTTCTGAACAACTTAGGAGGATCATAGGGCCATACAAACAGACCGCCCTGAGTCTTCCAGGTGTAGGGCAGTATATAAATTCAATTAATAATAATAATAATACTCGGTGTTTTTTCTAAAAAAAAAAAGTATAGGGATACTCTCATTTTGATTCAAGAAAATCACCATTTTATAGCTGAAATTGGGAAAAATAAATAAATGGACAAAAGTAGATTCACAAAATGTTTAGGGGTATGCGTACCCCCTGCATACCCCCAGAAAAAAAGGACTGATAATACCCATCAACTGCTCTGGAAAAAAGGAGTGGAAGCACAGAATGGAAGCATTTGCATGGAAGAAAAAGCATGTGGGTTGTGGAAGGATGTGAGTGATTAAACTTTCTTTTCCTTGTTGCGACAGCCACTTTGCACATCAATGGGAAACATGGGCCAGGCAATATTGTGGGGGTTTTTTTCTTGCAAGAAGACAGTGGCCAAAATCTCAGTTCCAACATCTATGGTATTTGCAAATATGTCCCCAAGCAAAATGGAAAGATAGTTTCCTTACCTGGGCCTGCCCTTCTGGAAGTGTCCTGTCACATGCATATATAAGCACAAATAATATTGCAACACGGGGATTAAGCACTAGGACAAAAATATTAATATTCTGCTTCAATAAATATTTGTTGCAAAGGCTGGCTTATCACTGGTCAACATGGTTTTGAATGAGCCACCTGCTTGAATGTTTATTTTCCTACATTTTACTTTCTGGCAGGATTCCTCAGAATATATACGATAATATTGATTTAAATAAAAATATTTTGCAAACTAAAGCTTCTAGTTCGTGCCTGTTGTTGGAGAAGGCCTCTAGCAGATATGAAAATGTGATTAATTTCTTAGGAATTTTCGTTTACGACTAAAGAATCACATACATTGTCACTTTGGCTGAGATTCAGTGCAATGTAGCATCTTGTTGGGGTAATCAGACGTCAATTTAATATTTTTATGTCGCCGCTCATAAGTCCTTTGCTTTACCACTAATTCATTTCCTTTAGCATCTAACTAATAATAATAATAATAATAATAATTTTTTATTTAAACCCCGCCCTTCCCGGTTTAAAAACTGGGCTCAGGGCAGCTAACAGCAAATATATAAAACATTGATTAAAATGCGACTTAAAGCACTGAAGCACATTCTTTTTGTTCTGTGCTGTGTACTATCTCTGATAAGCCTCTCATTGCCCACCTTATCTGTTTCAACTAACATTGATTTTCATGTTGCTTTATATTACGTTACGTTCCATTTATGACCTTGGGATTAAAGTAATTATGTGGGATATGTTTATGGGCTTCAATTGGTTTCCATAGTATGTTCCTCAGTGAACACGACCTTTTTATCTGTCTTGCTCATGCCTTGCGTGTGGACTTCTTGGAGATATCCCTGTAGCCATTGTGGGAAGCAGGAACATTATCGCAAAGGTTACAAAACAAACTCAGTTTTATCTTTAGGTGCCATCACTATTCACTTAGCTTTTAGTTTTGTAAAAGGAGGCCAACATCGCACCTGTCTTTCTGTACAATTGTGAAACACTTTAGCGTTAACAATGGTTTATGTTTCCGTGCTATTGTATTGATTCTAGAGTTTCTTCTCTAATCTGTAGTGACCAAACATTTCATGGCAAAGAGATATCTGCAGCCCAGCAACATTTCAACTTGTTTCAGCAGACCCAGATGACAGCTGGGAAAACAAGACTTTTGGCGTTTATTGTCTGTTATAAAGCAAAAAATGGCTTGTTGATGATTTCCCTCAGGAATCCTCCCCCATTTATGACAGCTTTATATTCAAGTTTATGACCACTTTGAGGAGAGACATATTCACACTAAATGTGTGTGGCGAATGAATGGAATTATTTGCAAAAAGTGACAGGGTTCTTGTTGCTACTATGTTGTATGCTATTTGTTGTCCTGATCACTGCCTGACATCCATTTCACCACCAGGATTTGTGCTCTTCCTAGTTCATAATGAAGGCAATGAAGGAAATCAGGAGAAAGGTATTTGCACTTCCTTTGCAGTCATACCAACTGCTCTGACCACTAGTACTGTTTCCTGCTCCTCACTTCTTCAAGTGGTGAGAAATCTCAGGGATAATACCACAATAAAAGAGGGGGCCTGCTCCCACCAAAGTTGGTGAGCATTTCCATTCAAATAGTATGCGTGCGCCATGTCATGGGCTTACCTCCCCCCCCCCCAATATTTTATTCAAGTTGGTACCCCCAGCTTGAGGGATGGATAAATCTGCCAATTTTGGTTTCTTTCAATTTCTCATGTTTCCAGTTTCAGATTTTTGCAAAATTTCCACTTTTTGCATTTTAAAAAAGTCCACATGAAAGTCCATCAGTATTTCAGTGTACATTTCTTGAAATATAAACATTTTTGCAAGCTACTGCCCCTAATCCCATGCATTTTTGCATTTTGTTTATGTGAATATGTGTGTTTCATTCGTACTCTCCCTAAAGCAGGTATAGGCAACCTTCGGCCCTCCAGATGTTTTGGACTACAATTCCCATCATCCCTGACCACTGGTCCTGTTAGCTAGGGATCATGGGAGTTGTAGGCCAAAACATCTGGAGGGCCGAAGGTTGCCTATGCCTGCCCTAAAGCAATGCAATTTTGTATGTTGTTTTCGCCAGTGTAATCACTTTTATGCATACTTTCTCCTTTTATGCGTAATCCAGCCTTTGTGAACAGAAAGCCCCAGTTTCGGTCTGGTATCTCAAGGCAGGGCCAGGAGAGAACCCTGCCTGTAATCCCGTAGAGCCGCTGTCAAGCAGTGTAAATGATACTGAGCAAGGTGAACCAATGCTCTGTCTCTCTAAGGCAGCTTCCTATGTTCCTATAATCGCTAAACCTGTCATTGGCTCTGGTACCACCTGTCATAGGTGCCATCTCACGCCGAAGATTGTGGGTGCCCACAAAAAGGGCTTCAACTTTGCCCATTGACTTTGGTGGGGCCCAGACCCCACAAATATATTATTGTGGGTGCCAAAGCACCCACGGCCCCCTGGACTTGGCTGCCTCCTGCTGTTGGTCTCTCTGCCTTCTGTCCTATCAGTTCCAGTGGATACTAATCACCAACCATGTAGTTTGGCCCCCAGGGAAGGTCAGTAATGGTGCAGAAAGCAAAATCACCCCACCTAGCTATACAGTTCGTAGTTAGATATATCACAGGAGTGGATTAGACCACACAGAAGAAGAAGCACTTCCCACCTGGCCACGTCAGCTTTGAACTGGCTCATTGTTAAGGATTAAGCAAGTTTACTCTTACTGTTAAAATATACAATGATCTCATTGCTTTTGCAGTAGCTTTGTAGACAAACTGTAGCATGTGTTTTGCTCTCCCTTTTTTCTTCTGAAGTGAAACAAAGAGCCAGGGGTTGGATTTGCAGAGGAATTATCAAACTGTCCCTAGCTAATGTAGCATAAAGCAGTACAGAAGATTGCTTAAACGTTACTATGTACTCTAGGTCACAAATAAGATAAAGCCTCTGTCCTAAAGGATATTAATAATATCCTGGATTATTACAGTCCAAATATGTGGAATAAATACTTGTTTGATACAGGCAGCATATTAGCTGACACAAGAACAGGAAAGCATCAGAGACTGCCTTTAACTTTCTAGGTGCATGACTCTGACTTTACAATACACTGGTACCCCAGAGGTCGAACTGAATCCATTCCGGAAGTCTTTCCCAGCCCTATCAGGAGATGCCAGGGATTGAATTGGGGAGTTTTGCAAAGCAGATGCTGTACCACTGAGCTCAGGCCCTTCCCTCTGTGGTCCCATCCTTCCTTGGCGCAAGTCGCATGGAAACTGCTCCCCTGTGGCAAGAGCCCATGTTGCTGAGGTCAACATTTGAATACATATGGATCCTTCTTACCCAACTGTTGCCTAGTCAAAGAACATCCCTTCCTCAACCACAGGACCACGCAACCAGGTTAAGAATAGAAGCACTGATTTGGGCAGCTAACCATTATGATGTAATGTTTCTTATTGTGTTATACTATTGTTTTAATGCCTATTTTAAAAATCCTGATTTTAAGCCTCCTTTTACAAACCACTAGGCCAAAAGATGAGATTAAAGCAAATTTATTTGTTGCGATTATGCACCAACCATGTACAGTCCTCTGTGTGGTTTATAGATCCAATAATTTCTGGCTGGTTGGAAACCATAATCTATACATGAAGGGGGTTTAGAAAGTTTTTGAGGTCAGCAGTAAGAACTTTTAAACAGAAAACAAATGAAAGTCAGTCCACAACATTTAGATTTGGTGGGAAAACAGTAGTCCATGCATGCTTGCATGCCATGGTTGAGGAAGCCCAATCATATCAGAGCTCAGATGGGTATTTAGAACGGTATGGTAACATGGAATAAAATTATACTGATTTGAGTGCATTTTACATCGTGACATTTTAGGATGCTGTTAAGTTCATATATTGCAACACAGTCATTGTGGAATCTTTCTGACAGTAGCTGCAGCCTATTTTAAAATATTGCATCAGTATAGTTTGAGCTTCTGTTCCCTAAATGACCTCTAAAAATACTACAGCTTTAAAACAAAACATTTCATATCTTTAAATGGAAATAAAACTCTAGCAGAAAGTTACAGTAAATATTTACATACTGTGAGATTATTGCTGGACAAAGATTTTGCTTAAAAAAACGGAAAGCCTTAATGGTTCTTATAGAATGTTTCCTTATATAATTGGAACAGCAAGGCCTGAAATCAGTCACAAGAGTGTTGCTGCTGCAATGAGAGTAGAAAACCAAGCACTTAAATGAGGGTTGGAGGAGGAATTCGTTTTACGTTTAGAATTTGTAGTTTCTACTCCAGGAGAGCTTGGCCTGCATTGGGTCGTCTCTTGAACTGAAGACCTAATTATGTCTGAGACCATTATTCATTATGTGTGTGTGGAGAGGGGTTTGATTAAAAAAAAAAGTGCAAGTAAAACACTTATTTCCCAGTATAAATGGGTCAAGTCTCATGTGGTAGTATATTTCCGCAACATAATGTTGTAAATATTAGTAAGTAACTATATTTATGCAGTTAATTCATTGTTGTATACTTTAGGAAATGTATAGAGTCACACCTTGGAAGCCAAACAAAATCTGTTCTGGATGTCCATTTGACTTCTAGGATGTTTGACTTCCAAGGCGTGGCTTCCTGCAGCCAATCGGAAGCTGCGGAAGCATCGCTGGACGTTTGGCTTCCAAATGAACGTTCGCAAACTGAAGCAGTCACTTCCGGGTTTGCGGCACTTGGGAGCCAAAACATTTGAATGCTAAGGCGTTCGTCAAACAAGGTACGACTGTACTTAAAACATAGAAGTATACCCTAAACTTCTGTTATTATGTACACTCCTGTATGTATCTGAGTACATATAATATTACAATATAATAATGAATATTATGTGCAATCATTTTTCATTTTTTGTAGAATTGTAAAAAACAAAACAAAAACTCCCCCTAATTCTTTATTGAGATCAAGTATTAAGACAGAAACTGGAAGGAAATATCTTTTGAGGATGAAAAGAGTACCCCATGCTCCTCAGCTAGTCCACTGAGTGTGTCTGTGAAGGGTGTGTGTGTTAAGGGTGACCGTGTGTCATTGTATGTGCATCTGTCTTAAGCAGGGGTCCTCAAACTATGGCGTGCGGGCCGGATCTGGCCCACCAGGGTCCTGAACCTGCCTCTGTCTTAATTTTTTTATAGACGTAAAACCGACTCATCGGCTCAATGGGGCAGCCCCACATTGCAAGCACCCAACCAAAAATGGAGGTCCCTTTGAGGCCTGCAAACCAAACCAAATAATAAAATAAAAATAAAGATGCAACAGCAACGGCGGGAATGCAATGCGCACGGCGATGGCGAGGCATCTTCCACCCCACTCAGCCTCCCTCTTCCTCCCAGCCGACAAGATCCTGAGATGCTGCATCCATTGCTGGGAGAGGCGGGGCCTATGAGCCTTCTAGTTCTGACTTGGCGTGACTTTCCTCCTTCTAGTTTCGGCGAAAGGTGCGCCGACCTGGATCCAGCTGCAGCTCCCTTAATTCCCACTCCCAGGCGCAGCCATCCTTGAGTCACGTGCAATTAATGCTTCCCCATGTTCCTCTTAGACTGCGTTTCTCCCTGCCTTGTGAGTGCTGTGGGGGAGGCTCCTCGGAGGCAGCGTACAAAACCCATCAGCACGTAGGTTTCTCCCTTTGCTGCCCCTCCCTGGTGTTTATGTGGGAAGCAGCATGCACAGAAATCATTATGTAAAAAAGAAAAATTGACTCTGAGTGCAGGCCCATACTTCCCATTGAAATACTTATAAGTTTATGTTGATAAAAATTGTTCTTCATTTTAAATATTGTATTGTTTTTCCTGTTTTTGTGTGCACTAGAAATAAAATATGTGCAGTGTGCATAGGAATTCGTTCATTCCCCCCCCAAAAAAAAACTATAGTCCGGTTCCCAACAGTGTCTGAGGGACAGTGAACTGTCCCCCTGTTAAAAAAGTTTGAGGATCCCTGGTCTTAAGGGTGTGTATGAAGAGTATGTGTTAAGGGTGTGTTTAGCCCCATCTAAGTTTGGGTTTGGCTCCACCCATTGCTGGAATGAGCTCCCCAAGAGCTTTCTATCCACATAATCCAACACTTGAAAAAATATTCCTCATGCCTGGTATAGGGGGTCCTCTTACATCAGGAGTTCAGTTGTGTTGTTGGCAATGGCATAGCACCCAAAACTCTTGATTTTGTGGAGGCAGGCAGAATCCCAGGCCTGGAGTCTAAAATGCTACATTTACCAGGAAGAGAAGGAGCAAATGCCCCATGAAGTGAGCCAGTGGTACTTGCTTCCTAAAGATGAGGAATTCGTGCCCATGAAGCTAGGTGCCAGCAGGAGGGTGAGAGTCAGTTGGGGTAGTCTCCATCCCACCTCCTCCCTTCCTTGGTGCCATTCAGTGACAGATGCTGCCATCACACTAGATGACAGGTGAGGGTAGCCCATAACACAGCAAGCAAGCAAGCAAGCAAGCAAGCAAGCAAGCAAGCAAGCAAGCAAAGAACAGATTTGCCCAGTGTGTTCCTTCATCCCTCTCTTACTCACCCAACAAACAAAATGGCAGAACTGACTGTGTATTGACAATAGCTGTGATGGGTGATAAAACATTTCCAGTGGGCTTGCCAATTAACCTTGAGCACATATGTGTTATTGTGTGTGTGTGGGGGGGGTTGTCAGCTTCCCCTTATAGTATGCCCACAGTAACAAACAAATGCCCAATGCTTTAAGAATGAATTCCATTTTCTCTCTTGTCTGCCACTGTTAAGCTGTTTTTCAATGTCAAAACATACACACTGTAGTGTCAGGAAGTAAGAACTTTCTGATTTCTTACAGAAAGGAAGTAAGAACTTTCCCATTTAGCTGTTGCCGTGGCAAAGTGCATAGAGTACATGGCAAGATTAGATCTTTCTCAGGAAAGCTAACAAGGACAGGCATGGTTCCTGTGTTTAAGAGAGGCTCAACTTCTATTGTTTGAGAAACGACAGGAAGGATAAGTGTTCACCAAGAATGGAATGCATCGCCTGTTAAGCATTAGAATCATAGAATTGTGGAGTTGGAAGGGACTCCAGGGCCATCTAGTTCAACTCCCTGTGGTGTAGGAATCCTGCCCACAGCCTTCCCCGAGTGGCTCGAAACACCAACCTTCTGGTTAACAGCGATTGTTCATGCGAAATAGCTAGGGCATCTTTTTCAGTCTTCCTCTGAAATCTTCACCAGAGCCAGTGATTCTGTTTTTCTGAGGTTTGGCTGGCCATCTTCCCCAACTGTGTTGCACACCACCAAATTGCGGTAAGTTGTCTGGAGGTCATGTAGGAGCTTTGCTGCCCCACCCATCTAGGGAAGCAAGAGACATTACAGTGGTACCTAGGGTTAAGTACTTAATTTGTTCCGGAGGTCCACTCTTAACCTGAAACTGTTCTTAACCTGAAGCACCACTTTAGCTAATGGGGCCTCCTGCTGCTGCTGCGCTGCCGGGGCACGATTTCTGTTCTCATCCTGAAGCAAAGTTCTTAACCTGAAGCACTATTTCTGGGTTAGTGGAGTCTGTAACCTGAAGCGTATGTAACCCGAGGTACCACTGTATCATAATTCAAAGACACAGCCTAGTGAAACACTCAAGGAGAATGCAAAGCAGGACTGGTGAGCGGTGTGCCCTGTGTCAGCAGCAGGCAGCATGGTGGGGCAGCAGAGCTCCCCTGACCTCCAGACAACTGTGTCACTGCTTACTGGGGTACGGTGGAGGGGAGAGTAGCATAGTGCAAGCTCACTGGTGGAGCCAATCTGACATTCCTGCTGGGGTGTTTGCACCACACTGACTTCCCCACCACCTTGCCCCTTCACCTCTCCTCCCTGTCAGGTCAGGTGACCACTATTATCCTACCACACTGCCAGCTACTCATCTGGGCAGAGGTTATGTGACTGAGGAGGGTGGTTTCTGAAGGTGGGTCCTCAGGGCCACATAAAGAGGTGGGGGCACATTTGGCCCCCGAACCTGAGTTTCCTCACTCCCATACTGCTACCTGTCTGAATGTATGTTTTCATTTTCCTAAATGAATTTTACTTTTGCTTAATACTTCATTTGTTTTTATCCTGGGTTATTCGGGAGCTCTGAAATTCACCAGTGCCTCCTCCCTCTTGAAAATACATTATTTTTAAATAGAATACAGAACAGAGCTAAAAGCAGGGTGGTTGGAACACCACCCCAAATTTAAAAAGGCACTCGTGGATCTATATCACCTTTAATCCTGGTGGTTTTAAAACCCCTTTCAATGGTGGCAGCCACCCTATGATTAGTGCTGGCATGACAGCTAGTTGGCCTTCAGTAACTTGTAACTGTCAAAGGTCACACCAAACAGGCTCTATGAGAGGCAAATATGCAAAGATGACTTAAACTACCTGGTGAGATTATGCTAACCCATTTTCACAATTGCGGAGCTTGAAGCACTGATACATTTCCATTCATTAGCTGACTTTTATGTCTGAAATCCGTGGATCATACTCAATTAAAAGCTTTAAACTCCCAAACAGTGGCTGTTTTACTTGCCTCTTAAAAGAGTATTTGAAAAATATCTGGCTATGGATAATATTATGTTTCAGGGCTGAATATATCAGGAGCTACAGAGTAAATAATATCCACAGGCCAGTGACGTAAACTAAAAATCAGCCATACAGCTGGCTTATAGTTAGTGAAGATCAAGTTTCAGCTCTGAGCTTGTTAACAAGTTACACAGCTAAATATATACCCAAGCCACTAAAGGAGACATCAGAAATGGGTGGTTGTAAAGGTCTGTTTATTCAGCTATATATGTCCTTTTTTGGCTATTAAAGCCAGTTAGTAAAGTTAGTAACAAAAAGGAAATAGTTTCCATAGTGTAAGTAGCTATACTCTGCAGATTAGGGATGGGGAAGAAATCTGAATTGGTTTGCATTTCAATGAGAAGCTGCTTCCTTCATACTTTTCGAAGGAAAAGACAATTATCCTTTGAAATTCCCACGTATCTGAATTTTGCGATGTAGTTCTCCAACCAAGCAATGTGCACTAAAATGCATATATTAGGAGAATATACTTGAAGAAATGCATGTATTAGTCAAAAACTATATACAAAAATGAGTATATTAGGAGGAACACACACTAAAATGCTGATGAATTTTCATGAGTACTTTTTATAAAACGGCGAATTGCTGCAGAGATGTGTGGAATTCAATTTAAAAGTGAGTTTCTCTTTTGAGTTTTCCCTTTTTTCCAAACTGACAGCTTCAGCCACATCTTCTCCAGATGTTATTGGACTACAATTCCCATCATCCTTGACCCCTGGCTATGCTAGGAACAGACACCCAACAACATCTGGAAGGCGCTGCATGCCCCCCCACTCTTCACTAGCAAGTGCTGTTACTGCTGTTGCTACTCGTTCTAAAAGAAAAAGCACATTATACAATTAGCAGATCATGCCTGTGATGCAAAGAAGGAATTTACATGCAGGCAAGTTTCCTCTGAAGTTTCTTTTGAGCCTCTACTCGATTTACAAACTGGCCTATCTCCTCAAGAGTGGGAGCCACTGCACAGAAAGTTGCAGTCAGTGCCAATGGAGAGGCCTCGCTCTTTTGGCTTGCAAGCGATGGACTCTCTACAGCTAAACTATTGCTGCTTGTTTGCTTTCTGTTGAGCTCTTGGGGAACATTTTAAAAGCCTGCTCTGGGGCACCCATATATCCTAAGATGTCTGAGGAAATGAACGTGCGATTGGGTGCTGCCTACAGAGTTCCTAGTCTAATCGACCAGCCAGGATGGTGTTCATATAGGCCTTGCTGGAAAAAAACAAGGATAGTACCTATCAGCTGTTCAGGAAAGGAACAAGGTGGTTCTTCTTGCTCTCTAAGTCAGCTAATAGTGTTATCACCACTCATGCATACCTAGCCCGTCCCAGATGTAATGAGTCCCACTGAGATGAGAAAGAAGCATTGTCAATTGTGCCAAGGAAATGTCTTGTCAAAGGGTCACATTGTAATAACGACCCACCCGCAGGGACAAAAGGTCCAACATAAGAATCTAGGATCATATCCCTGTTGGATCAGACCGAGGGTCCATCTAGTTCAGCAGTTCTCAACCTGTGGGTCCCCAGATGTTGTTGGGCTACAACTCCCATCATCACTGAGCTCTGGCCTTGCTAGCTAGGGGTGATGGGAGTTGTAGTTCAACAATATCTGGGGACCCACAGGTTGAGAAAGGCTGATCTAGTCCAATGTCCTGTTTCACACAACAGCTAACCAGATGCTTCTGGGAGATGCACAAGCATTGGGCCTCTCTTGTTGGGGCTCTTCATCAATTATGGTATTGATCTGTTATAGGCTGTATTCAGGGGTGGGTTATATTTGGAGCGATATGGTGTTATTTATAGGGATATACTCACCCTAAATCTGGAGGTTTCATTTAGTTATTATCCTCCGTAGCCCTAGTCAGAGAATTTGTTAGTCCAGTACTGAGTGAAAGGTCTAAAGGGTATTATAAGTGCATAGGCTGCTGTGAATGGGAACCCTGATCATGCAGAAAGGGTCAAGGTCACAAGCAAACTGTATATTTAAAGCACACACAAAGCACATTGTTTCTCCCCAAAAAATCCTGGGAACTCTAGTTTGTTAAGGGGTCTTGGAATTGTAGCTCTGTGAGTCGTGATTGTTAACGCGGTGTGATAGTGTTTTAAATGTGTAGTGTGTTCACAATGGCTCATTGCAACAGGTGATGGTGAACTGGTTGGAAAGTTCCTAGCTGGACACCAGAGGGCTCCAGCAACATCTTAAAAGCACCTGCACCCTGCATTTGCAGGGCTACAATAACGGATATAAGGGTTACATGTTTCCCCTACATTTGCTTCTCAACTCTTACTGGTTGTAAACCCTCAACCATTTCAATAAAAGCTCAGTTGAATTTGGGGAGGGATGCAAATGATCTGCAGGATGGCAAGCTGTATTCAGCTGTGGCCCCTCTTGCTAGATGCTTCTGGAGGTTTAAAACAACAAAACACAGCGAATACTGAAAGAGAAAAGGGAAAACATTAATATAACTATGAGAAAGCACCCTAGCAAAATTCAGTAGACATCAGGAAATATCATAGCAACAGCCTTGACTCTGCTTGAATACTTTATAGCTAGGGCTGGCCCAAGACATTTTTTGGCCTGAGTCAGAGGACAAGATGGTAGCGCCTCCCTCCCATTCCATGTTCAGAAGCTGACCAGACTGGCTACTGAATCCTATTCTGACACAGATGATGCAACTGCATCCATCATTGTGCCTAAGGACAACAGGCTAGTCCAGGGGATGTAGGTCTGTTCACATTGCACCAAAAATTTCTGTCCTCCAGCATCTTCCCAGTGCTGTGCATCTCCTGGCATCTGCCACCTGAAGCAGCCATCTCACTCTGACTAATGTCAGGGCTGGCTCTGCTTATAGCTCTTAACAGTCTGTATACTGTCATCTGAGGCATTTTAGATTGCTTTGATGAAAGTCAAATTCTGACGTTTCCAAAGCATGTAAAAAGGAACATGAACATTTTCACCTTTCACTCTCCCCCCGCCATGTGAGATGTGGCAATTTCTTTTGACTTGAAGACTGACATGGAGATAAATGTGTTGGATTTAGATCAGGGAGACCCCAGTTCAAGAGGAGTGATATGGCTGGGAGGTTGGCATGATGCAAATGAACCAGCAGGAACACTGAATGGACTCTACTGGGGTGTTTTCACCACACTGACCTCCCAGCCTCCTCAAACTTCCACCTCACCCCTCAGCTTTTGGGAGGTCAGCCAAGTGCTGCCACTCCACCATTATATCTGCTACTGATTGAAAGGAAGGAAGGGGCAAAGTCTAAAAAATAAAACATAGAACCCATACCTTTTTCCTGTATGTAAAAGCTCAAAGCCTTCGGCAATTTTCTCAAAGGGCAACGTGTGACTTATTAATGCATCCGTATTAAATTTCTTTTTCATGTAATCAGAAACCAGTTGAGGGAGAGCATCTTTTAACTTCCAACCTGGGGTGGGGGGAAATAAAAGAACATTGGATCAGCATGCAAGCTGGATGCTTATTATTTTTAAAGAACATAAAATGTTGGGATGTGTGAGCTATAAATTAAATTTTTTTAGAAGATGAGGATAACTCCTGTTTATAAGTTAAGAAAATAAGCTTAATAGGAATCAAAGGCCAATGGGATGGAGGTATTTAAGCAGAGGCTGGAGGGCCATCTATCAGGGTTGCTGTGGCTGCAGAGAAGCAGATTTCAGCTAAACATTAGGAGAAACTACCTAGTATAGGGAAGCAGATTGGCTCAGTGGGTGATGGGCTTCCCTAGGCTGGAGGTATTTGAACAGAAGCTGAAAGGCCATCTATCTGGGATGATGTGGCTGTATCCCTCTGCAGATCCTGCACTGAGGAGGGGGTTGGACTCGGTGACCTTCAATGTCCATTCCAGTTCTATGGATTAATGCAGTAGCTGCCATATATCACCAACTTTAACCAATCCACACCTCCAAGCAAGCATCCTATTAATTTCTTTCCTGTGAGGAGCAGAGTTGGGTCGATGGAGAGCTGTGATCCTGCAGGAGGTGCCCCAACAAGCACACAGGTGCCATGGCCCAAATGGCAGGATTTAAGGGCAGTGACCTGTTTGGGATACACAGAAAAACGAGGTCAGAAATGGAAATGGTATTGCAATATAAAAGCATATGAACATAATAGCCTGGTGGATCAGGCTAGTGTCCAACTAGTCCAGCATCCTGTTCTCACAGTGGCTAACTAGATGCCTGTGGGAAGCCCCAAAACAGGACCAGAGTACAGCAATGCTCTTTCCTCCTGCATTTTCCAGCTAGTAGAATTCAGAAGCATATTGCCTTGAACCATGAATCCTCTCTTTGTCCTCAGAATTTCCCACCTAAATCTTTTACTTAGTCCCAAGCAGCTGCATTGCTTATATAAGGAGAGATCACAGATGTGAGCCTTAGGCTGAACAGGAGAGCCAAAAAATGGGGATGTGAGCCCAAGTGATTAGCATCAAAACAGAAAACATACCACAATGTCTGTGCGTCCAATCACTTCAAATGCGTAGTCCACGCCAAGACCTGTCATCTCTACCAGAACCTCATTCATGGGCTTCTTGAAATCTTGAGGAGCAATGCATTCTGTGGCTCCTAACTCTTTGGCCTTAGTAAATTTATCTTTGTTGATGTCAATCCCAATAATCCTGGATGCTCCAGCAACTTTGCAGCCCATGACAACTGACAGACCGACACCTCCCAAGCCAAAGATGGCACAGGTAGAGCCTGGATCAACCTGCAAATTGATAAAAACTGCATTAGGGACTTCCCAGAACACAAGTGATGTAGCAGGATTGAGGATCTGGGAGGAAGGAAGACTGGCAGACTGGAAGAGAAGACCTGGAAGATCACGGTTCAGATATCCATTCTGCCATTAAGCTCACTGGGTCACCTTGGGTGAGTCACTGGGAATATTGTAGGACCTAAACTAGTTGGGGCATATGCCACCTTGAGCTCCTGAAAGGAAAGATGGGATACAAAATATGTCATGGACTGGTTGGATGAAGAGGAATGTTGGGAGGAATTAGCTGGAGAATCACAAAGAGAGGAAGACTCAGAGCCTGGGGTGTGGTGGTGGGACAATGATGAGTGGTCACAGGGAGAAGAGATGGTGTCGGAAGCTGAAGAAGTAACAGGGTTTAGTGAGCTGGGAAAGTTTGTTGCGCAGAGAAGTCCAGAATCAGAGGGAGAAGCTAAAGCTGGGAGGTGACTGGAGATACACCAAGAGGCAGAGATGAATCAGGCTGGTGAAGAGTCATGGGTGTCTCCCCCTCCTGCTGTGACATGCTCCCTCCCCACTTATCTCTCAGAACCAGAAGAGGCATGAAAAGGGAGGAGAAGAGGTTAGGTTCACACAGATACAGTCTCTGATTGCTTGAGGGAAACTCTGGAAAGGGGACTTCTGGGGAGTAAAGCTGGCGAACTAACAATGCCTGGAAAGTAAGATCAAAACACAATGACTTACCCAAACAACAGCCTTTTGCTGCTTCCTTTTAGAGGTACTGTTGGGAGGCTTGACCCAGTGAGAGCAGGGAAGTTCAAGTAGCATCAGCTGGTTTTTTTTGGAAAAGTGATCTCTGAAGGTGCCTCTCTTCTCCAGCAGGGAGTAAGCAAACTCTTGTTTCACTTATTTGAGAAACAGAAATGTGAATTGATTCTTACCTTGGCACAATTGACTGCGGCTCCATAGCCAGTAGAAAACCCACAGGCAAAGAGGCAGACTTTATCCAGTGGAGCATCATTGTCGATTCTTACAATGGAAACCTCAGGCATAACTGTGTATTCGGAGAATGTGCTCGTCCATAGGAAGTGGTGGATCTGTTTCCCTTTGCAGGTGAACCTGCTGGTCTTATCTGGCATCAAATTTTGAAGAGGTTCACAGAGGCTGTTTGTGAAGATTCAGACTGGTCTGTATCGTAAATTGGACTAAATACTAATTTTCCATATTACTAAGAAAAACAAATCTTTAATAGAAGATGCCAGATGAACTTACTGGGACTTGAGGCAGCAGTTAGCTTTAGGACTTAAACAGCAGCCACACTCTCCACACTGGGGAATACAAAGAGGAATGACTTTGTCACCTTGTGGGAAAACAACAAGGACAAGAACAAAGTTTAAGTTCATAGGCTTATTGTTCTATTCAAAGGCCATGAAAAACTTGTAGCAATAGTATTAATGAAATACAGAACATCCATGCATAATGTAAGCCAACATCCATGATGTAAGGGAGAGAAGTTACCAGAAACACACAGAAACTCAAATCCAGCTTGATTTCAGATTAAACCTCCAAATCGCCACAACAATTTATAGTGATTTTAGCTAGAGACTTCCGGGTTGGCGCCTCTGGCAATGGCGGATTTCCTCCGATCGGGAGGAATCCGCTCCATGGAAAGCAGGGTCTGAACCGCCACGGCGATGGGGAGACCCATCAAAAACCACAGGCGGGAGAAGCCTGTGGACGTGGGATTCGGCTGGCACCTTTGCGCCCCCCCTACTTGCGGGGAAACCCGGTTTTGGGGATCCGGAGTGACGTGGGGTGAGTGGCGCGGTGCTTTGAATCGATTGCTTCTTTCACGGAGTGAAGCCGCATTGCTGTTGCCGGAGAGCGCTGACTTTTTCCTGTGGACAATTGGATTTTAAACAACTGCCCGTGAGTAGAACGGAAAATAGGATTAAGAAACTTTTTAATTTGGCACTGAAGCGGGAAGGTCTAAACAGGAAGTCCGCCTTCCGCTTTTGTAGATAGATTGAAGCAAAGACACGGCAAGCTAGAGTTTAGAAAGTCGTCTGTAAAGGATCAAATTTTCATCATTTAAAATTACTGAACCCCCCTTGGAAGCAGGAGAAGAGGGGGGGAACCTTTTTTAGACTGTTTAAACCTGCAGAAGGGAGAGTAAAGAAAGGCAATTTCCCACCGTCTTGAACCTGGGAGCGGGGTGTCACACCAGACGCTTTGGGGAAGTTCATTGACTATGGACAAACGTTTTTGACAGATAGTTAAAAGAAGAGAAACATATTGATTCCATTGTTCCCCTTCACATTTAAAAGGAACAAAATATTGACAAAATATCCGAAAAAGGAAAACTTTGTTGCTAGATCTGCTTTAAAAAAAAAAAAAAGATGGATACAAATAGAAATTGTTTCCCCTAGAGGGAGCATTAAAGTCGAACTGGGGAGCTTTGCAGCTGTAATAGATTAAGATCGTGGGACCAGACTTCGACCTTGAACAAGAATGTGCTCAGAGGCTCTGGTGCTTGCCTTTTGCAAAACAAGTGCTTTTTTGGAACAGTTACATGAGAAGATGGATTTGATGACGGTTGCGATTGGAAATTTTGGACAGGCAGTGGGTACCTATATAGAACCCACTCAGGAATTAATTCAGGAATGTGCTTTGACAGATCAGATGAGGGAGGAGGTTGTTGCTGGACCTCGGGTGGCAGAGATGGAGGGAGCTGTGGCCCAGCAGGAACATGAGTTGTTGGATTTGACGAACGAACCTGGAAAAAGTCAGATTTGGAGAGATGGAGTCCAGTTTGGCTTGGAGATGGGGGGCTGGATAGACCCCCCTAAGCAGGGATGTTTTGACCTTTCAAGTCTGGCTTTGGGCCGGGGGGAGCTCGGAGTTGTGGGGGCCTTTAACTTTGGAGGGACCTTGAAACATGCCTTTAAATATCACATGGATTTCAGTGTTGACTATGGAAAAGGGGCTGACTTGTCGAGAAGGGACAAAAATATTGTCAAGCTGGAGTCTCCCCGAGTGAAAGGAGCAGAAGACAAAGTAAGGTACAGGTATAAACATGAAGAAGACCTGCGGAAGGGACATGGAAAAGACTTAAGAGCCTCGGATATAAGGTCACCAGGTTGATGGACTAGATGGATGGGATAGAAAGGACTGACAAAACCCGAGACCAGGAAGAAGAGACGATGGATGAAGATTGGAAGAAAGTTTTAAAAATTTATTTAGAAAAGTATTGTAAAATTAATGAGTATTAGAAAAATGTTGGAATGAAATTATTTGGCTTTAGCAGAAATGTTAAAAAGAATTATGTAAGAATATGTTATGGTTAAGAGAATTTGGTATAAATAAGATTTAAGTTTTAAGTTTTAGGGTTTTTATGGGAAGATAAGGTTAAAATAGATTAAGGTAATTTAATGACAGAATATTGTGAAAGATGGAAAGGATTTGCTGAGATAATTAACAACTAGAATACAAAAAAGGGAGGTGTGAGGAGGTCGATGAAATAAGTTAATGATAGTTAAGGATCTGGGAATATGGGATTTGTTTTTAATTTTTTTTGTTTATTTTTGCTTTTTGATTTTGATGTATTGTGTGTTTTGTTTTTTCTTTTTGACTTTGGTTTTTATTGATTTGTATTGTTTAATTGTTACTTTTATCTACTTTTTTCTTTCTTTTTCTCTTTCTCTTGTTTTTTCCTTCTTTTTTCTTTGTAATTTTAAAATTCTTAATAAATATCATTTTTAAAAAAAATATAGTGATTTTATCTAACCCCCTTTTCCTGATTTATTTGTAGCCAGTACACAGAGGGCTCCTTTGCACTTTAGGAAGCTTTTATTGTCAACCAATAAAGCCAAAGCATTTCTGCCAGGGTGTACTTGCTTGCTTTCTTGGGTGAGAAACACAGTGATATTAACAAGGAATGTTGGAAAAGGATAAATGTATTTCCAGGGTTGGCATCAGTGCCCAAAGGAAATCTGATGGTGGGCAAGGATCCTTAGCATATGCAATCTCTTCTCCCCCCCCCCCCCAGCATATTTTTTTTTAAATTGAAGCTTTTTCATAATACAATACAATAAATGAAAACAAGAACAAAAGAAAGAAAAGAAAATGCAAAGTCATCTCTCAAAGGTAGCTCTTAACCCTTATCTCACACAAAAAGGAGCGGACCCTCGCAGCTCTCACCTGGGAGCTTCCCTTTATCCCACCCCCGCCTCCCACCCTGGGTGCTCTTTCCTTGCCTGCCTCTCACATAGGGTCCTTCACCAACCCACAGTAGAGGACACCAAAAGGAAAACAGAAAAGGGTGGGGGGGAGCTTGATTTCAGATTGAACCTCCAAATCACCACAACATTTTGGGCCTTGATTGCTGGGGCTGATGTGTAGTCAAGCTATTTACACCATGCTTGCAAATCCTAGTGGTGTCCAATACACAGGCACTTCTGAGTTTCTGATCTGCCCCATCCTTACCTGGCTTTACAGAAGTGACTCCTGGTCCAATACTTTCAACAATTCCAGCTCCTTCGTGACCCACAATAACTGGATACTCTATGTTTGGGAAAATGCCTTTCAGTACATGATCATCCGTCCTACAGATCCCAGTGGCCACTATCTGCAGGGGGAATGCAAAATATGATTCCAGTACTTTCACTGCTTCCACCTAGCACACATATTCATCAGGAACTGGCACTGAATTTTTTTGTCTCTGTCATAAACATGGGTCTCCAGGTGAACAGGAGATCATGCAGATACCCTGTTAATACAAGTGCATCCCCTGATGGAGAAATAGTTTGGAAACAGAGCCCTCAAAGAATCAGGTATTCACAGAGAGGACCAGCTCACATGGGAAGTTTCAGGAAGAATGTTACCCACTTGATCTCGTTCATATTTTACTAACTGTGATGCAAAGGACTAGCCAGAAATACATATTCGGAGGATATGATCTAAAGGCACATGAGGCTACCACTTTGAAGAAGCTAAGCAGGTCCCGGTATGGTCAAAGCATACCAGGTAAATCATCAGATGGTATTACAATATGGTAAAATTGTGCCTGGGTTGACTTATTTCAGACTGCAGCTGTGGCATGATTCAGGGGCTGGAGTCATATCACTGGATAATCTTTGTATGAAAGATAACAGGGAGAATCTTTCACTGTTAATCTTGTTTGAACGTGCTCGGAGCTTTTGGATATGCATTGCTTCTTATTGCTGTGTAAGTTTCAAATGCAATCACACCAAAACTATTGTTGAAATTCTGCACAAATCTGATTGAGAATTTTGCAGGATCTTTCTTCTTTTGCATGGAGTCCATTCAGTTCTGCCAGGAGCTGCCTTGTCAATAGACACTGGTGAGGAAAGAATAACTTCTGAGTTTTAAGTATAAGTCTTCCAGAACCATTCCTCCACCACTCAAGACTCCCCTATCCAAGCTTTCAGAGTTTAGGCACAAGATCCTCAGCCACTACAACAATGAATGAAAGCACCTTCCCTTTTGGAATAATATATTTTACCTTCACTCGAATTTCATGACTTCTTGGTGGTGCAACCTCCACCTCCTCCACAGAAGGCATTTGGCCAACTTCCCAGATGATTGCAGCTTTGCATTTAATCACCTGTGGAAATGGAGTTAATGAAAACAAGATCAAAGATGAATTTCAAAGGCAGGACAATATGGGAGGAGGCTTTCCCTCAGATATTAGGTCCCAAGCCACTGAGGACTTAAAATCTAAGCCCCAGCAGAGATCAGTTGTCCTCATCCTGTGCTATTACTTGCCAAACAGCAGGTTTTGCTGCCATTTTACCCTTCTTTTTAGCATCTGTGTGACAGTTTTTCGTTCCTTTTAAAAGTAATGGTACATTCACAGTTTTCCTGAGTTCAAATGTGAGATTGGAGGAGAGACACAGTCTGGCCAACTTTCCCCCCACCTACATTCTGTGTGCTGTTTTAAAAGATGATAACAAAACAAACACATCAGAAAACAAGAAGAGTGATTTCCTCGGTCTCCACCTCTGTCCCCTCTGCACTCAACCCCTGCAGTATAACAATTGCATCCAATTCTGGCCACCTCCAATCTCTGGCTCTGTTTGGATAAGTTAATCCAAACTAAACATCTGTATTCCACTGCTGCTGGCAACTACAGGAAAAGGGGAAATAAGAAATGGAATTGGAGTGATATGCAGAGTGTAAGGCCAGCTAAACAGAAAGGAGAAAGTAAGGAACAATAATGTCACAGGAAACTCAAGACATTATGCATTTGCATTTTATCACCTGTGGAAATGGAGCCAATCAAAACAGGTCAGAGATGAATTTCACAGTGTACCTTATAATGATTCAGTTAAGATTGCAACCTTAGAGTTGCTCTAGTCAGCATGGAGTTTGCCACTTGCGCAACCTTGGCCCCAAGGCCTTATTTCAAAATTGCTCTCCAAATTATCAGTTCAGACTGCTGGCAAAAATAATCTCTCCCTCTTCCAACAAGACATTATGTATTTGCTCAGTTTGCAGCCTGGCTCACCCTAACAGCTTGGGGTTCATACAGGGGTTGTCTGGACTATGCTATACCATTGGTCCATCTATTCCAGCGAGAGAGCAGGGCCACTGGCATAATCCAGCAGGCTTGTCTTATGTTCTTAGTTACCACTCTTCAACCCATCCACTTGAATATAGCAATTCTGTCTTCATACAATCCAGTCTGTGCCCTTCACCTCAAAATAGCCACTCAAAATAAACAGATATAGAAGATGCTCAGATAATAGTAACAACAACAACAACAATTTTTATTACCTGCACTACACTAGCAGGTGCCAAGTGTGTTACAACCATCAAAAATGAAAAAGCAGAGATACATGCCAGATACCCTCTGCAATTTCCACACAAAACTTTTGTGCCTCAATCTTACATGTGTTTGCTCAAAGTAAGTCCCATTGTGTTCAATGGGACTTACTTCCTAGTAAGTATGTTTAGGACTGCAGCCTTTCTGTGAACTAGGTTGTACACCCAGAAATGTGTACAAGAGAAGCGCTTGTCTTTGTCACCGTTTCCGTTTTGGTGCAGTTTGCCATATACTACATTATTTGAGTCACTGTTGGCTATTTAACATAATTTATGTATCTGTTGTGGGCTTCAAAAACAACAACATGGCGCCATTGCCACTCTTAAGAGAACAAGGCAGAAGTTCATGGTGAGCTTAGGTAAAGGTAAAGGTAAAGGTAAAGGTACCCCTGCCCGTACGGGCCAGTCTTGACAGACTCTAGGGTTGTGCGCTCATCTCACTCTAGAGGCCGGGAGCCAGCGCTGTCCGCAGACACTTCTGGGTCACGTGGCCAGCGTGACGAAGCTCCTCCGGCGAACCGGCACCAGGGCAGCACACGGAAACGCCGTTTACCTTCCCGCTATAAAGCGGTATCCACAGCGAGGAGCCGGGCAAGGACAGGAACTCTGGGGGAACTGGACTGGGTGCTGGCTGAAACAGCTCTTCAACGACGTTGCTCCCGCAACCTAGGACCGGGCTGACTGGCCTTTATCTTCTCTGAGGCCAGGGGCGGTCCCGGCCCCCAGGAGACCCGCCTCTCCTGGCCTTAAGGCGAGCACTCCTCCTGGGAGAAACCAGTTCCCTCCGCCTCTCTGCCCTGAGCCTCTGCAGTTCAGGAGAGGCTGAAGGGTTACTGGACCCAGGGGGAGACTCACCTGTAGGCACTGAGTCCTCAACCACCTCCGGAGCCAGAGTGGATTCACCTGGTGCCTGCTCCTGAGGATCTGGCACAGGTGCAGGCGCTTCAGAATCAAGGCCCTGCCCCAGTTCAGCCGGCCCTGGAGACGGGGACTCCTGTGCAGGCTGGGATTCTTCCGGTTCAGCCTCTGAATCAGATTCCTAGGACATCACATGAAGTGTTCCACAGTGGGATATAGGCACGAATTAGTTTGATACAACAACCCTGAAGCATGGGCATAGCCAGGATTTATGTTGGGGAGGGCAGGCTTTGTTAGAATTCCTGCTCCGTGATTACAGTCATGGAATTGTTGTTTTTCACATGATGTGGTATGTTTTGACTCCACAGAGTGGGAAGTGATGGAGACAGGATGTTTGTGTTACTGTGTTCCGTGAAATGGGACTATTGTCCTTCATTCTCTCTCTCTTTGCTGTCTGATGCTAGAGAGAGAGGGAACCATGTTGCAGTGCTCCATGTGTGTTTATATGTAAATAAAGTAGATTAGCCAAAATGCTAAGGTCTGTCATGCGAACTGCAAAGACTTTGCAGATCCCTAAGTGTGCCAAGGTCTGTTGGCATCGGTCACTGTGATTTTTGGGCTGAAGAAAGCTTTTGAAGTTCCCGAACATTCAACCAGGAGGGAGAGAACATGCCAGTTGGGCATGTGTCTCTGCCAGGATCCTACTCGAGTGTAGGACAAGCTCCTGACAGGCTTCATGTTACGGGGGGCAGACCCTCAGTTAGTTAGGTATTTTTATTGATTTACTTCATGGGGGGGGGACCTGCCCCCTGACCCCCCTTGGCTATGCTCATGCCCGGAAGTCCTTTGCTGTGTATCTGTTCCCCTCACCAGTTTTGAGCCTTCTGTTTCATGCCCTTAGGCTTCATTCATATTAAAGAAACACAAAAAATGGGAATTTGGGTATTACAGGAGACTGCACTGTCAAGAATCCCACATACATAAAACCAGGGTGGATTTGATTTAAATCACTAGTCAGTAAGACTTGAAAAAAAGTAAGTAAGTAAGACTTTTTGAAAAAAAATCATTGATTTTTATCCACCCTGCATAAAACTCTGTGTAGTTCATGATAAGCTGTGGATTCTTGCATGACTGTTGCACCACAAGCTATTATAAAAGTCTCTCCTCGAAATACAGCTCTTCTGAGCTGTTTACCACTAACAGCAGCCTTTTCTGAATCTCTGCCTCCAGCATTCAGTTACATAATTATTGTGGTATGCAGTTAATATACCAGAAGAGTCAAGGTCCACACCCAGTTCTTTCGTTTATAAGGCACTTTATAAGGCTTTTTAATAGTACATAAGTTGCATCATTTAATCCCCATTAAATGAAGAATAGTTTCTGCCATGTATGGGTAAACGTGGGGATTATTCCCAATGTTGAACCTGCAACACCTCAGGTGAGATTTGTAGTCCTGTTTCCAGGTAGTATCCCTTCACAGGTTGCAGGTAGAGGCTTGCTTGACCCCTCCTCTGTACAAAACATTCCTGGCACCTTCAAAACAGGTGTGTAGGGGAGAAGCCTAGGCTGGAGAAACTGTTCCCTGCAACATCCAGGGATGGGGAAGGAATTTGATCCTGTTTCCTAATTAGGACTCATTTAACCAAAACACAGCTGTTTGAATTTTGTGCTTTTTTTTTTCATTTTGCAGTGCTGTTTTCCAATCGAGAAAAGGTGTACAAAAATGCAACTATTAGGAGGGAATGTGCATAAAAAGTCATTCATAGATGTGTATGTTTGTGTGTGTGTGTAAAAAATAGTTCACTATATTTGGGCAAATTGTTTGCAAAAAGATTAGTCAAATCTGCATACATAGATGTGTTTATTAGGAAAAAATTGCACTGAAACACTGACAAATTATCATGAGGATTTTTTTTGTAATCACAAATTGCTACATAAATGTGGAGAACTGAATTTCTAGCTATAGCTATAGCTATAGATATAGCTATAGATATACAGTGTACACACACACACACACACACACACACACACACACACACAAAGAGAGAGGGATCAGTAAAGATAAATGTGTTTCTGGTATAATGTCTTAAAGTTTGCAAGGGTGAGAGACATCAGCTCCAAATACAAAACCAGTTGTCATATCTCACTCCTGCAAATTGTTTCCCCCTTACATTGCGCTAGAAGGGCCATGAGGGGGATGCAACACCTGCACTTCATGTTGACATATTTGTTGTAACATGCAAAGCTGTCCAAAGGTTCATGTCTTACTTCTCCCTTTAATATGAAGAACATTGTGTTTCTTTGAAATGGTGCACACTTATATCTCCAGGACACATGAACGTGCATAAAACACTTCATCCGTTTAGAATCAGGAATGTCACAAAGCTCAGAATGGAGATATTTAAGGAGCTCCCTTATACAGTGGTACCTCGGGTTACAGACACTTCAGGTTACAGACGCTTCAGGTTACAGACTCCGCTAACCCAGAAATAGTACCACGGATTAATAACTTTGCTTCAGGATGAGAACAGAAATCGTGCTCTGGTGGCGCAGCGGCAGCAGCAGCGGGAGGCCCCATTAGCTAAAGTGGTACCTCAGGTTAAGAACAGTTTCAGGTTAAGAACGGACCTCCAGAACAAATTAAGTTCTTAACCCGAGGTACCACTGTACTGAGTTGTATGGCAATCTTTCTTGTTATGATACTGCCAGCAGGTATCACATCTGGCTGACTCTGCTCCTTCCTACTCTCCTGCTTGAAATTCTTTTAACAGGGCACCTGAGTCAGATTATGACCTATGGCATAGTACAACTCTAAGCTTTTGCATCACACTTTACAGAGTTTAATTTCCACCGCAGATGGGAGATAAAAATACTGACTTGTAAATCAAACTAGAGAGTATGCTTTCTGAGGCAAAAGGCCAAGAATATTTGCATAATTGAAAAACGGAGTCTTCTTATGCACTGATGCAATTAGATGCAAGACAATGTCAAACAACATATGCTGCTGGGAACACTGTAATTATATACATGCATCATTATACAAATGACAGGTTTCTTATCAAAATAAGTTGGTAAGGTTTGTAAAAATATTTTATCTCTATATATGTAATGGATTATTTAAAAATAGTAACTTGGGTAAAGCTTTTAGATTCCAAACATGAGCCTGCCAGTTGTGGTTGAGACAACCTTTAAATCCAGAACTTCTTCCTTTATTATTTAACGCCTACACAATACAATGCCAGCTTTTTAGCATTGTCGGGAAAATATAACATCCTGCTCTTTGTCTCCTCCGCGTGTATCAAGCAGGCTCATGTTTGGAATCTACAAGTAGGAGATAAGTTTTTCCAGCTTGGTCTTTGCAGCTGCGAAGTGAATTTGCAAAAATGAAAATCAGAGGAGGTGTCTCTGCTTTCGCAATGGGGATGTAGCAACACTTAGCTCTTTCCTCTTCAAAGCAATGTAGCATCTGTGCAAATGCAAACATTAGCATGTTGTGTTTAGATAGATTTAGATAGACTGAGCCATAAAAACAGTCTTCCTTACCTTTCCTGCAGTTGCCATATGTCTGGATCGTGACTTTCAGTCTTCCCACAAGTTTACTTCTTTACAAAGGACTTCTCTTCTTGCTTATCACTGCTTGCCTAATGCAAGAACATATACACAGGGTACTATTTCCACCACACACACACACACAGAATGTGTTATCTATGATAGGCCATCTGGGAAAGGGGAGGGGCCATTTCCAGCTGGCATTCAAAGTTCTTTCCTTGGCAAATATTTAGCTTAAATCAAATCCCCCTAGAGCTGCCATCTAAAGTTAACTATTAAGAGCTAGCACAATATTGGATCCAAAAAGAAAAAGGTCAGCTCAGTTACAGATTTTTTGACTAAGAACTTGTACATACTAGTAAAAATCATTCTGGTCCGTGTTCGCTTTCTCAAATTATTTATATAAAATAGAGCATAATCACACACAGTGCGTTTACTCAGATGCTAAAAGCCCTTAGGGTCAAAACTGGGAGAGAGAAATTCCATTACAAGTTTTTGAAGAATATCTGTTAGTTTTGTTCTCATGCCAACTCTCTCATGCCATCACGAATCTCTCTCTCTCTCTCTCTCTCTCTCTCTCCTTCTCCCTCCCTCCCCCCTATCTATTTCCCATGGCTGTGTGTATACAGAGTGAATCACATTTAAGTGGAGGGGATGCCTGTAGTGAATGCAGTTCTTGCACCTCATTTGCAATGCTTCCTCCCACTTGCGTAGTTTCCCCCTTTTCTGACTGGTCTCCAGCTAAAATTTCTAGTGTAGATATAGCCCCTGCCCCGCCTGGGCACCTGGACAGAAGCAACTCCTTCCAAATCCCTTTAACAGGATACCCCTGAGCTCTGGAGAGGCAAGCAGATGTCTAAGCTGCCAAAGTTGTGACAATTGCTATGAGGTAGGCAAAACCATCAGAGAAGGCCAATTAGACCGATGGACAAATTCCTGCCCGGCCTTGAATATGGCAACCAGCAAAGTCCATTGCAAGGTCAAGCACAGCACACACAGCACACAAAGCATAACAAATAGGGAGGGTGGGTAGGAGATTTGACCAGAAACTGTGTGGGGTGGTGGAGGCTGGTGGTAATTTATACCCAGAGGGTGGACCAGAGAAAACCTGCTGGCTCAGTCTGTTGTAAACAAAATCTGCCCTTTTTCCCTTATGGGGTATCCAAGAGCCTGTATAGAGTCCTTACGTGGGTTCCCTATTGGTAGGAGAAAATAACAGAGGCCAAACAGAGAATACTGAGAAGCAAAGCGGCTAGTAAGCCTGATCTTTATTGATCTGTTGCAATAGGGTGCTCCCCTCACACGCAGGAAAGGAGGAGGACCCAGAACAAAGGTGTGCCTGCCCTTATATAGACATTTTAAATTCCCTGCCCTGGAGCTCAAGACCACCCCTCCATACATCATACATACCTCACAGAAGGGGTAACCCAAGACCACCCCCCACAAACATCATACCTACATCACAGAAAAGGTGGTCCACAACAGAAATTTGAATGTTGTTTTTCCTGTCTGCCAGGTTATCTGATAATGCCTTATCTGATTGCCTTTCCTGGTAGTCTGTCACCCTTTGAAATGGTGATTACTCATTCCTGAGACAATGGGAAGGCTCCCTGACCCCCTCCCTCCTTGCAGAGAAAACATTTGGTCAGCTTGGGAGTCAAAATGGTTTCAGGTCGGTCTTCCTGTGTTGATCTATGTACGTGCTTGGTTGGTACATTCATGAACATTTATTATGTATATATAAGACCTGCCCACCCCTCAGGAGGAGCCAGCCTTGCACCCTGCCCGTGACTGGCCAATTTGTGGGCAGGCTACAAATCCGACTTCCTGACTGGCGGAAGAACCCTTTTCGAGGCCACGGCGGCCAGGAAAATCTCCAGAGCAGACGTTAACTGTTGGATATCAGTCTCTATAAGACTTCCTGGCCTCTTTTCTTAGAAAATGCCCCCCCTTGTTTCATTCTGTCTCTTTCAGGTTTTTTCCCCCCTTCTCCTTCTTACTTCTGTGCCAGGTAAATTTACTCCCGAGTAAGCTTCCTTTAAAGGAAACTGCAAAGGGGGGGCATAGATTAGGCTTACTATTCCTCTGCAAGTTCAGGAAAAATTGTCACTTTTGTATTCCTTTTAAATCAAATCTATGGCTGTTTTAACTATGCTTTATAAGAGATCCTCTCCCTATCTTAGGAAAAATGTTCACTTCAATCTTCCTTTAAAGATAATTTCTCTAGGAACTTGCACTCTTTAGTCTAAGGAAGTAAACTCTCACTCAAACTAGCTTCAAGATCTGCTAAAAGGGTTCTGTATAAAGTTGGGTACTTTTATTTTCCTCTTCCTTAGTACATGATAGGCGCATGGTTTGTGATAGGCGCATGGCTTGTGGTCTCTTCCCCAGTTGTGTCTGTGTACATAAGTATGTGTGTGTTTCTGGTAGTACAAATCTTGCTATGAACCCTGTATTTTAGGGTTGGACTAGATGACCCCAGGTCCCTTTCAACTTTCCCAATTTGTGGCTGATGAGTTGAAATTCAGCCCAGATTTGCTCTTTGTTTTTAAAAGGTGAGAGGTGAAAGCCGTGATGTTTGAAGCAGAACTGGTGATATCAGGCATTTAAGTGATTACAGTGTTTATCATTTTGTCTATTATTTACAAAAATCAGACTTAAAAGTCTACTCAAAGTTTAAGCACATACAAATTCATATAATCAAGTAGAATGAGCCTTGACATATAATTGAGTAGCCTTGACCATCCTGTAAATAAAGGGCAGGAAAATTTTGTCTGCAAATGGTAAGGCTGAAATGACTGAGAATGTTAAAAATCTTATGAATTCTGACTCTCTGGCCATTTTTTCTCATATATAAGGGCGTGGCAGATTGTTCCGTGAATGGCCAGAGGGATATTAGCCCTTTCCTGTACATAAAGGAAGCAGTCCCTTTGCTTGGGCTACAATTGCTAGCTTTGCTGAATACTTAAATTGCTGAGTTTCTCTTTTTTGTTTTAAAATCTAACCCTATTTTTAAAATCTACTCCTTACCCTTCCCTTCCCTTATTCAAATTCTAATTTAGCCAAAAGATGCAACATTTTCAATAGTATAAAAGGTTTGCTGCGACATGAACTCTGCACATGCACAGAGGCTAGATCAGCTTAAAAAAAAAGAGGGAGGGAGAGAGAGAGAGGAAGGAGGGGGGAGAGGAGGCTTGGAGAGGAGGTTTGGAGAGCGTGTGCTGCAGGGAGAAACCTATCCAAATTTCCTTATGTAAAACTTGGAACCATTGAGGGAAATCACCCTTAATGTGTCTTTTGCTCCAAGGGCTACTTAAGACAAAAGGGTTAAGTGCTGGACCATCAAAAGTCAAGAGGTTGCCAAGTTTCAAATCTTAACATGCCAAATTCTTTTCACAGGTAAATATCAAAGCACTCCCACTGACTTCTCACATGAAATAATTTTCCCTTTTAACAGGATATGTGAACCCCACTAGCAAAGTGTTTGTCCCTTCTTTTCTCCCACAGCAACTTTCTTTCTGTTCTGTGAAACAAGTCTGAATCCCTGCTGTATTAGTGACTTCCATCTCTTTGTGGCTTTGACACTTTAAGTTACAAATAATCTGTTTTCATTTATTTAATCAGTTTTTCCATGATGTCTATGAAATTAATCAAAGCACAACCAAACATTGTTTGTGGAATGGTATTTGTTTACCTTTTTGCCTGAGTATTATTATTTTTGGTTCCTCATAGGTCATTGTGTGTCTGTGTGTGTGTGTGTGTGTGTGTGTGTGTGTGTGTGTTTTACTTTGGGGACATGTCCATCACATATTGAAAGTCATTTTAAGCCCTTTTCCATTGTTTTCCCATTTTTTCAGTCCAGTAGTAATCTGTGTGGTTTTGATAATATCTTTGTATTATTTAATGATAATTCTTTTCTAAATCTGATGTCTTTGTGTCAAGTCTGTTTTCATCTGACTGGTAATCTAATTTTTTGCTTTCTTTTTTATTTTTAACCTTTGTTGTATTTTTTTACAGTTCTCTTTCTATACATGTGGAGTAATTTTTTATTTAATAATATGAAAAAAACAACAAAAAAACTAAGTGAAGGAAAGCAAACAAACTTAGCAGATAATAACAGTAATTATATGAAAATGTGACAATAATATTAAAATGAGTAAAATGCTTAATGTGCTAAGATAACTCAAGGAGATTGGGGGGGGCTTTTGCCCCTTCCTTTTCTAACTCTGTCTTTTAAGTCCCTAAAAAACCCTGCCCCCTTACAGGATGTCACTTCTACAGATGTGTTACTACAGACCTATGATGAAAAAGCTTCGCCACCACCTGCAGCAACAACAGACACCAAAGTTTTCAAAGTGCCCACAGCTATCTCTTTCAAAGGATATAGACTGACGGGGGAGTGGGGCTGACAAAGGGGGGAGGAGTTGAATTGCAAGGACATCTTCTCACTTTTGAACCTCAAGACTGTGCTCCAGGATTCAAAAGATACATACATAAAATATCCCAATTGTCTCAAGATATGCAACTGATATTTAATTAGTTTTTTTTTGTATTATGTGTTATTACGTAGGAATGTTGAAATGTGTCTGACAGTGTGTTATTTCCACAAAGGGGGGGGGTATTTTTGTGTGTAATTGTTTTTATGTTTAATGTCTTATTGCTTACACACCAATGGAGAATTCTCATGCATTTTATACTTTCTAATAGCTCGCGCTATTGCGTAGTCCAATGTTTAGATTGTCCCACCTGGCACTATGCCAACCTTCCCTACCCATTTTAAAAATGTGCTAAAACTCGCTTTACCAAGGAGAAGCTTCTAAGATACATGAAGGTGGATATGCTTTGGTTTAGCAGGAATGATCCCTTATAGACTTAAATTGACTTATTTGGACAAGTGCCCTTTTTAAGAATGGTTTTCTTTTAACAGATTGGTTTGAAGAGTTGAGAACCATTGGGGCAAGATAAATTCAAATTGGACTCAGTTTGAATTGGGCAAGTGTATCCAGGCTGCAATTAGCTTTTTGGTCCTTTAAGTGCAAGTGAGCAACTTCCCATGAGTGCAAGACCACAGCCTATAATAAAATCCCATAGAAAGGCCAAGGCAAAGACATCTCTCTCATGAGATGCCCAAACCTGTGCCAGCTATGGTGAATGCCAGGCGACATGGTTAAATGAAAGCCCCGAGGGATTCAACAGACAGGATGTGTTGCTGTAGCACTATGCCGGTGTGAGACCACAGAAGAGCTAGCTTGACACCTGAGAAACACACAAAAATGGCGAAGGACAAAACACCAACTGCATTTTTCAGTCATTAGTGGACCTTCCTGCTAAATGTAAAGCATAGCCACTATTGAGAAAATGTTTCTCCCAAGAGCTAGAATGCCACAAGTAATTTAGTAACAAAATGCAACATATGTTATTTTTATATGATATATTTATACAAAGGCATCCATTTACAACATACGATGTTATTATTTGTGGGGCAAAAATTTTTAAGAAAAATTCTAGCCCCAAAGGGGGGATAATGTGATAGGAATTTTATGGTTTTAGATATATGGCAACGTTCATAACCACACGTACATAGATCAGCACAGGAAAGCCAACCTGGAACCATTTTGATTCCTAAACTGAGCAAATGTTTCTCTGCATGGTAAAAATGGAAAAGCCTCCCCATTGTCTCTTTCCTCACAAATCCTGTCTCAAGGATATGTCTGTTTGAATAAGGTGTGAGCCTGTGACCTGGCCCAGGAAATAAGTATTTTACCACTACAAAAGAATGGCCAGGCTCCCCAGGCAATCCAATCAAGTAACTTGCCAGACAGGAGATAAACTGTGACAGGAGAAAACAACATTTAAATTTCTGTGATGTAGGTGGGATGTATCTGAGGGGTGGTCTTAGGTTACACCCCTTCTGTGATGAATGCATAATGTTTCTGGGGGTGGTCTTGATCTAGAGGATGGGAATTTCAAAAGTCTTTATAAGCCCTTGCACAGCATTTTTGGGGGTCCTCTTCCTCTCCTGGTCATGGCAGAGGTGCCGCCTGACGAAAGAGGGTGAGCGAATTTGTGCCAAGGAGATGTCTTGTTGAAGGGCCACATTGTAAGAACAACAGGGGGTAAAAGCAGCCGCACCTTGTATTGTATGCAAGTTACAATAATGTATATAAGGGTTAAATGTTTTCCCTGCATTTGCTTCTCTTGTTGGTTGTAAACCCTCAACCATTTCAATAAAAGCTCAGTTGAATTTTGGAATGGATGCAAATGATTTGCAGGATGGCAAGCTGTATTCAGCTGATGCCCCTCTTACTAGATGCTTGTGGAAGTTTAAAACAACACGGTGAATACTGAGAACGAAATGGGAAAACATTAATGTAAATATAAGAAAGCAACCTAGCAACATTCAGTAGACATCAGGAGAGATCATAGCAACAACCTTGACTCTGCTTGGAGACTTTAAAAAAAAAAAAAAAAAGGAATCAGGCCTTTATTTATGAAACTGCACAAATTCAGCTACACAGATAAAATAATCACATTGATAGACAGTAAAGTATTTTCTGTTGTATGACTCCCCATTGTATTTTATAAAATTTTCAAAAATTTTCACATATACATTCCAATACATAAAACAAAAGAAATAATTATTATCGACTTCTCATCCCATTTTTCACGGTGTTTTTTATTTTACCCCTTAACTCCTTGCTCTTATACAATAACAATAATACAATAATCTCTAATTCCTTCTATTGCTTGTGGTTCAAATCCTTCTCGCAAATTCATCATACTATAATATTTCTTTAAATAGTCCGAAAAAGGCTTCAGTTCTTCCACAAAACAGTACTCATTCTCTTTTTTTAAGCTGTTTGCTTTGCTGATTCTGCATACTCCATCGCTTATCCATTCTTCTTTGGTGCGAACCTCTTCTTCCTTCCATTTTTGTGCACAACGAATCCTAGCTGCTGTCGTTACATACATAAACAGCTTAATCATCTTTTTGTAACTTCTGTCTCTATAATCCCTAAGAGAAAAGCATCAGGTTTTTTTTGTATGATCACTTTAAACATCTTTTTTATCTCGCTGTATATCATTTCCCAAAATATCCTCACTTTCTTACAAGTCCACTCTATAAAAAAGATCCATCTACTTGAGGAACCTTCTTATACATTTTAGACAATTTGTTAGGTGTTAGATACCATCTATACATCATTTTTATATAATTCTCTTTTAAAGCATATGAAGTAGTAAATTTCATGTCAATTTTCCACAGCTTTTCCAATATATTCATTTATATATTATGTCCTAAATCTTTAGCCCACTGCATCATTGCTGACTTAACCCTCAACCATTTCTGTTGAATTTGGAGAGGGATGCAAAGGTACTTATCCAGCTGAGGCCCCTTTTACTAGTTGCTTCTGGAAGTTTAAAACAACAAAATGCAGCGAATACTGAAAGAGAAAAGGCGAAACATTAATATAAGTACAAGAAAGCACCCTAGCAACATTTAGTAGACATCAAAAGAGATCATAGCAATAACCATGACTCTGCTTGGAAAATCTAAAGCTGGTCCAATAGATTTTGTGACCTCAGTCAAAGTACAAGATGGCACCCCCTCCCTTCAATTTGACCAGAAGCTGACCAGACTGATCACTGAATACTATTTTGATTGAGGAATACCATTGTGCCTGAGGAAAACAGGTTAGCCTAGGGGACACGGCATTTCACGTTGCACCAAAATTCATGTCCTCTGCCTAACGATAGGGCTGGCTCTGCTTAAAGTTCTTAAGACATGTGTTGTGATTCTGTATGCTGCCAACTGGAGTATTTTAGATTGGTTTGATCAAAGTCCAATTCTGACATTTCCAAAGCACTCACAGGGTGCCTTTGGACCAGTCACTATTTCCCAACTTAACCTACTGCACAAGGCTGTTGTGAGGGTAAAAATAAACCACAACAATATCATTGGAGGCAGTAGCAGACAGCATGGTGGTGGTGGGGGCAACATTCCATGGGCCTCTTAACAGTTGAGTTGCAGCTGCTTACTGAAGCAGTTTCAGCTTAGTGGCAGAACATCTAATTTGCATGCAGAAAGTTCCAGGTTTTATCCCTAGGTAGGGACGGGAGGGTCCCTACTCTGAAATCCTGGGGGGCTTCTGCCAATCAGTCTAGACCAGGGTTTCCTAAACTTGTGTCTCCAGCTGTTTTGGGACTACAACTCCCATCATTCCCAGCTTACAAGACCAGTGGTCAAGGATGATGGGAAATGTAGTCCAAAAACAGCTAGAGACACAAGTTTGGGAAACCCTGCTCTAGACAGTACAGTGGTACCTCGTGTTACATACGCTTCAGGTTACAGATGCTTCAGGTTACAGACTCCGCTAACCCAGAAATAATACCTCGGGTTAAGAACTTTGCTTCAGGATGAGAACAGAAATCATGCTCCAGGGGTGCGGCAGCAGCAGGAGGCCCCATTAGCTAAAGTGCTGTTTCAGGTTAAGAACGGACCTCCAGAACGAATTAAGTTCTTAACCCGAGGTACCACTGTACTGAGCTAGAAAGACTACTGGTCTGCCTTAGTATAAGGCAGCTTCTTATGTTTTAAGGAGAGGGAGAGGAATGAGATGGCTTGGAAGTTGGCATGATGCAAATGCACTAGTAGAATCACTGGATTGGTTCTGCTGGGGTGTTTTCACCACACTGACCTCCCAGCCTTCTCGACCTTCCGCCTCACCCCCATAACTATCGGGAGGTCAGCCAAGTGTTGCCACCCTATCATTCTATCTGCTACTGATTGGAAGAAAGGAAATGTAAGAATGTAAAAATAAAATAAAAAATAGAACACATACCTTTTTCCTGCAAGTAAAAGCTCAAAGCCTTCAGTAATTTTATCAAAAGGCAATGTTTGAGTAATTAATGCATCCATATTAAATTTCTTGTTCATGTAATCAGAAACTAGTTTAGGGACAGCATCTTTTAACTTCCAACCTGGGGCAGGAGAAATAAAAGAACACTGGATTAGTCAGCAAGCTTGATTATGATTATTTCCAAAGAATATAAAATGTTAGGATGTGTGAACTTTATTAAAAAAAATTTTTTAGAAGATGAATATAACTTCTGTTTATGTTAACAATGTAAGATTAGTAGAATCAAAAGCCAATGGGATGGAAAGGAAGGACAGAAAATGCTTTTAAAATAAATAAAGACTGCCCCCAAATTTAGTCTGCATACCTATTATGTCCACCAACACTTTCCCACACTATCCATCAACCTCATATTTGGGTTCCTCACTTGCACAGATTTCAATAGGTCTTCAGACATTGCATTGCCAAGTCACCATATAAATGGGTCTAGGCACCCATTTTGAAACCTCTAGATTTCACTTACATTATTTTGCTGCCCACCAATAAGGATGGCAACTTTCACTGGAGGTTTTTAAGCAGAGGTTGGATGGATGTTTTAGCAGAGTTTCCTGCAGTACAGGAGGTTGGACCCTTGGGGTCCCTTCCAAATCTACAATTCTCTGTTACTCCATTGGGCAGAACTAGGATCAATGGGGGAAATTGCAGGGAAGCAGATTTCAGGAGAAACTTCCTCATCACAAGAACTCTTCAACAAGGTCGTAGGACTGACTCAGTAGATGATGGGTTTCCCTGGGCTTGAAGTAGAGGCTATTTAAGTAGAGGCTGCAGGGCCATCTGTCACGGATGCTGTGGCTGAATCCTGCACTGAAGATCCTGCACAGAGCAAGATCTACACTCAGTGACCTTCAGCATGAATTCCCGTTCTATGATTCAGTGCAGGAGCTGCCATGTATCACCAATCCGCACCTCCAACCAAACATCCTGTTAATTTCCTTCCCGTGAGGAGCAGAATAGGTTCGACTGAGAACTGTGCCCCTGCAGGAGGTTCTCCAACCAGCACACAGGTGCCATGGCCCAAATGGCAGGATTTAAGGGCAGTGACCTGTTTGAGACACAAAGAAAAACAAGCTCGGGATAGGAAAAGATAAAGGAACATAAAAGCCAGGGTCCCATCTAGTCCAGCATACTATTCTCACAGTGGCCAACCGGATGCCTTTGGGAAGCCCACAAACAGGACCAGAGTACAGCAGTCTTCTTTCCTTCTGCATTTTCCAGCAAGTAGAATTCAGAAGCATATTTCCTCCAACCATGAAGCCTCCCTCAGTCCTCTGAATTTCCCACCTAAAACTTTTAAATAGTCCCAACCAGGTGCACTGCTTAAATAATGAGAGATCAAAGCTGTGAGCCCTGGGCTGAACAGGAGAGCCAAAAAATGGGGATGTGAGCACAAGTGATTAGCACCAAAACAGAAAACATACCACAATGTCAATATTTCCCGTCACTTCAAATGCGTAGTCCACGCCAAGACCTGTCATCTCTACCAGAACCTCATTCATGGGCTTCTTGAAATCTTGAGGAGCGATGCATTCTGTGGCTCCTAACTCTTTGGCCTTAGTAAATTTATCTTTGTTGATGTCAATCCCAATAATCCTGGATGCTCCAGCGACTTTGCAGCCTATGACAACAGACAGACCGACACCTCCCAAGCCAAAGACAGCACAGGTGGAACCAGGCTCAACCTGCAAATTGATATAAACTGCATTAGGGACTTCCCAGAACACAAGTGATGTAGCAGGATTGAGGCTCTGGGAGGAAGGAAGACTGGCAGACCGGAAGATAAGAGGCATAGAGAGACAGAACTGATAGACACTGTGGTGTAGTGGTTATGGTGTTGGACTAGGACCTGGAAGATCACGGCCCAGATCCCCACTTAGCCATGAAGCTCACTGGGTCACCTTGGGCCAATCACTGTATTAGTCCAGCATGGGAATATTGTGAGGCTAAATGTTGGGGACGACGACACACCATGTATACCACCTTGAGGTCCTGGGAGGAAAGAAGGAATACAAATATAATTAATATAATTAATAACCAACTGGGCAGGAATCATTGAAGAGAATAAGGGACAAACAAGAGAAACAAAAGAATGCAGTTGGGAGGCTGGGATAAGGAACAGCCTCGGATAGGGAAGGAGGACCTGTGTTGCACTTCAACACCCATCACCCCAGGCGACATGGCCATTCAGAATGATGGGAACTGTAGTCCAACAGTGCCTGGATGTGACATGTTCCCCATTGGTGGTCTATGAGGTCGAAAGACACTGACTTACCCAACCATCAGCCCCTTGCTGCTGCTTTTTAGAGCTACTATTATGAGGCTGGACCCATTGAGAGCAGGGAAGCTGAAGTAGTATCAGCTATTTTTGCATCTTGGAATTGTTACAGGAAAAGTGATCCCTGAAGGTGCCACTATTCTCCAGCAGGGAGTAAGCACACATTTGTTTCACTTATTTGAGAAGCACAAGGGAATCAATGTGAATTGATTTTCACCTGGGCATAATTGATAGCGGTTCCATAGCCGGTGGAAAATGCACAACCAAAGAGGCAGACTTTATCTAGTGGAGCATCATTGTGGATTTTTGTGATGGAAGCCTCAGGCACAACCGTGTATTCGGAGAAGGTGCTCATTTGTAGGAAGTGGTGGATCTGTTTCCCTCTGCAGGTGAACCTGCTGGTCTTATCTGGCATCAGATTTTGAATAGGTTCATAGAGGCTGTTGAGGAGATTCAGACTGGTTTGCATAATAAATTGGACTAAATGCTAATTTTCAATATTACTAAGAAACACAAATATTTAATAGAAGATGTCAGATAAACTTACTGGTTCTTGAGGCAACAGTTAGTTTTAGGACTTAAACAGCAGCTGCATTCTCCACACTGGGTAAGACAAAGAGGAATGACTTTGTCACCTTGTGGGAAAACAACAAGGACAAGAACAGTTTAAGTTCAAGTTCATAGGCTTATTGTTCTATTCAAAGGCCATGAAAAACTTGTAGCAATAATATTAATGAAATGCAGAACATACTTCCATAATGTAAGCCAACATCCGTGATGTAAGAGAGAGAAGTTACCAGAGACACTAACAAACTCAAATCCAGCTTGATTTCAAATCTCCAGATCACCACAACAATTTTTATTGATTTATACTCTTTTCCCCTGATTATTTTGTAGTCAGCATATACAGGGCTACTTTGTGTATTATGAAGCTATGGTTGTCACTCAAAGGAAACAGAAGCATTTCTGCCAGAGTGTACTTGCTTGATTTTGTGAGAAACACAGTGATATTAATAAGGAATATTGCAAGAGGTGTGTCAATAGGGAAGCATATTGTTATTTTTTTTTGGGGGGGGGTGCTCCTCTAAACCCTAGAAATTAATATATGGTAGGATTTTGATTATTTGGAGTATTGAAGGAAAGATTGCAGACCAGTGGAAAAATCAGGCTAAGATTCCTTTCCAAGCCAGGGTCTCTCCTGGGATAGAGGCATTAACATAACAAAAGGCATTGAAGGCCCATCTAGGAGGAATCTGGGCAGGCAGAAGGTTGCCAGGATAACTTGGTGTGAAGTGACAGGAAAATATAGTTTTTAGCAAGGTGTGCAGGGAAGAAGTGGGTGAACAAAGTCTGGGATCCATCTTGGGCAGACTGGCTGAAGGCTGGCTGAAAGATAAGCCTTTGACTCCAGGGCTGCACTTCTGTGCGATGACAATGCTGTAAGATTTGGACTCCCTCTATGCACTGAAGATGTAAATAGGTGAATAAATCATATTTCTTAAAGCTACAACAATCTCTGCCATGTCTCAATTCTCCAAAGGAACACAGACCCTGGCTGAGGGCCTGGAACCTCCTGGAATCATGCTATCACTCAGCAGGAATAGGGGATGGCATTTGTCCAACATTTGTAACACTATTTTCATGCATACCTTACATTTCTGATGGGTACTTGGAGAAAGAGATTATTTGTAGTATATAATGTGAACAACTCCTACCATCCCTGGCTATTGGCCTTGATTGCTGGGGATGATGAATGTTGTGGTTCAGCAACATCTGGGGGCCCAAAGTTTCCCCATGCCTACATTAGAAGACAATTTGTAGTGAAGCTATTTATGTCATGCTTGCAAATCCCAACGGGGACCAATGCACAAGCACTTCTGAGTTTCTGATCTGCCTCATCCTTACCTGGCTTTACGCAAGTGACTCCTGGTCCAATACTTTCAACAATTCCAGCTCCTTCGTGACCCACAATAACTGGGTAGTCTATGTTAGCAAAAATGCCTTTCACTACATGATAATCCGTCCTACAGATCCCAGTGGCCACTATCTGCAGGGGAAATGGAATATATATTATTTCAGTACTTACTCTGCTTCAACCTGGCACACATTTTCGTCAAGAACTGGCACTGAATTTTTTTGTCTCTGTCAAAAAAATGGGTCTCCATGTGAACAGATGATCGTGCAGATACCTCATTCACACAACTGCAGGTATTCGCAGAGAGGGCCAGCCCACAAGGAAAGTTGCTTACAAGAGTTTCAGCAAGAATATTACCCACTTGATCCAGTTCAGATCTGACCCAAAGGACTAGCCAGAAATACATATAATCTTTGTACGAAAGACAGTAGGGAGAACCTTTCACTTTTATTCTTTTTTGAACTTGCTCAGAAGTATTAGATTTCCTTTCATCTTATTGCTGTGTACGTTTCAACTACAACCTCAACAAACTATAGTTGAAACTCTGCACAAATGTGGCTGAGACTTTTGTGGAATCTTTCTTCTCCTGGCAGGGAAAGAGCCACCTTTGAGTTTTAAGTATAAGTCTTCCAGAACCATTGCCCCACCACTCAAGACTCCCGTATCCAAGTTTTCAGAGTTTAGGCACAAGATCCTCAGCCACGGCAATCGTAATTCACAATGAATGAAAGCACGTTCCCTTTTGGAATAATAAGTTTTACCTTCACTCGAATTTCATGGCTTCTTGGTGGTGCAACCTCCACCTCCTCCACAGAAGGCAATTGGCCAACATCCCAGATGATTGCGGCTTTGCATTTAATCACCTGTGGAAATGGAGTCAATCAAAACAAGATCAAATATGAATTTCAAAGGCAGGACAATATGGGAGGAGGCTTTCCCTCAGATATTAGGTCCCAAGCCACTGAGGACTTAAAATCTAAGCCTTAGCAGAGATCAGTTGTCCTCATCCTGTGCTATTATTGCCAAAACAGCAGGTTTTGCTGCCATTTTACCCTTCTTGCTGCCATTTTACCCTTCTTGCTGCCATTTTACCCTGTGACAGTTTTTCGTTCCTTTTAAAAGTAATGGTACATTCACTTTTTTCCTGAGTTCAAATGTAAGATTGGGGGAGAGACACAGTCTGGCCAACTTCCCTCCCACCTACACTCTGTGTGCTGTTTTAAAAGATGATAACAAAACAAAACACATCAGAAAACAAGGAGAGTGATTTCCTCGGTCTCCACCTCTGTCCCCTCTGCACCCAACCCCTGCAGTATAACAATTGCATCCAATTCTGGCCACCTCCAATCTTTGGCTCTGTTTGGATAAGTTAATCCAAACTAAACACCTGTATTCCACTGCTGCTGGCAACTACAGGAAAAGGGGAAATAAGAAATGGAATTGGAGTGATATGCAGAGCATAAGGCCAGCTAAACAAAAAGGAGAAAGTAAGGAACAATAATGTCACAGGAAACTCAAGACATTATGCATTTGCATTTGATCACCTGTGGAAATGGAGCCAATCAAAACAGGTCAGAGATGAATTTCACAGTGTACCTTATAATGATTCAGTTAAGATTGCAACCTTAGAGTTGCTCTAGTCAGCATGGAGATTGCCACTTTCACTCTACAGCAGGAGTGCGAAACCTTGGCCCCAAGACCTTTTTTCAAAATTGCTCTATAAACTATCAGTTCAGACCGCTGGCAAGAATAATCTCTCCCTCTTTCAACAGCGCAAAGGAAGGAGAAGAGAGGGAGGGATGGAGAGGGAGGAGGAGAATAGCCGAAAGAGAGATGGGAAAAAGCTGGTTCTGACCACTTTTGGCTCCGGTCCTGCCCACTGGTAGTATGTGACCCCTGACAGATTACGCCCGAGGGAACGTGGCCCTCAGTTGCCAAAGGTTGCCCATCCCTATCACATGACTTGCAAGTGTCACTAGACCAGCACACCTGTGCTCCCAAAGTCTACTGCCTACAAACACTTTAGTAATGCCCAACCCACACCAACAAGGATGCCATTTGATGCTGTAACAGTTAATGGGGTTCAGAAAACAGTAGCATTTGAATAAATAATATTATGATCATTATTGGACAGGGCTTGTATTTCAGTAACAGAAGACAAGCTTTTAATACAAAAGCTTCCAGGTTCAGTTCTCTGCATCTTCAGTTAAACGTAGAAAAGACCTCCATCAAAGACCTTGGGTTGGACTCGATGGCCCTTGTGGTCTCTTTCAACTCTATGATTCTATGATTCTATGACCTACGAGGGCTTCTTTCAACCAGCTAGTGCCAATTTCCTGATGTTAGTAAATGAAATATCAACTTCAGGTCAATATAATTATTTGAAACTGACAGTCTGCATGACTATGTCAAACCATATACACTTTTGGGAACACTGTAATTATAACATGCATTGTTATTAAAAAATGGCAGGTTTATTATCAATATAAGTTTGTAAGGTTTTTAAAAATAATTTATTTCTATGTATGTGTCAGGGAACTGACATCGGACCTAGAGGCGGAGGGAAGGCTCTCAAATGATGCTGGAGAAGGGTCCAGCAGGGAGAGAGGCAGCTCCGCAGATGGGGAAGCAAATCAGCGCAACACCAGGGATAAAGGGGGGCTGATGGGGGAATCGGCGAGAGGGCTCCAGGACTCTTCACCGGACACCAGCGGGGAGAGCACGGGTCCTCCTCTACCCACGCCCTCCCTGCGCAGAAGACTTCCGCGCAGAGAGAGTAGGAGGAGACTGGGTGTCAAACAACTTTTATATTGGAAGAGATTTAAGAAACGCCCACTGACAGATTCTGCTAGCGACTGAGGCAGCCACGAAGTGAAGGGCTGCCCAGACTGAAAGGTTTAGCAAGGCAACAAAGCCAGGAGAGGCGGCAACTTACGCACGAGCAACCCATACTCATTACAGTATGTAATGAATTATTCCAACAACAATAATAACTTGTGTAATGCAATCTAATAGTTGAGGTAACCTTCAAACCCAGAACCTCTTGGTTTATTATTTAATGCCTACACAATGCAATGTCAGCTTTTAGTATTATTGGGAAAATCGAGTGTCCTGCTGTTTGTCTCATTCACTTATATCAAGCAGACTCTTGTTTTGAATGTATAAATAGGAGATAATTTTTTACATCTTGGTCTTTGCAGCTTTGCAATTTGCACAAATAAAATTCAGAGGTTTCTCTCCTCTGGCAATGGGAATGTAGCAAAGCTTAGTTCTTTCCTCTTCAAAGCAATGTAGTAGCTATGCAAAAGCAAACATTAGAATGCAGCGTTCAGATCGACTAGACTGAACCATAAAAACAGTCTTCCTTACCTTTCCTGCAGTCGCCATGTGTCCAGATCTGGCTTTCAGTTTTCCCACAAGCTTGCTCCTTTACAAAGGACTTCTCTTCTTGTTTATCACTCCTTGCCTAAAGCAAGAATGTAGAGATACACAAACAACTATTTCCTCCACCACACACATAATGTGTAATCTATGATAGGCCAGGGTCCATTTCTAGCTGGGATTCAAAGTTCTTTTGTTCCTGGCAAGTATTTAGCTGAAATTAATTCCCCCTGGAGCTACCATTTAAAGTAAACTAACATTACAAGCTAGGACAATATTGGATCTAAAAAGAAAAAGGTCAGTTCAGGTACAGACATTCTGACTAAAAACTTGTACATACAAGTGAAAATCATTCTGGCCCATGTTCTCTTGATCAAATTATTTAGAATGGTTCCTCTTCATCCTGGAGAAGAGTGACTAGTGGGGTGCCACAGGGTTCTGTCTTGGGCCCGGTCTTATTCAACATCTTTATCAACGACTTGGATGATGGACTCAAGGGCATCCTGATCAAATTTGCAGATGACACCAAATTGGGAGGGGTGGCTAACACCCCAGAGGACAGGATCACACTTCAAAACGACCTTGACAGATTAGAGAACTGGGCCAAAACAAACAAGATGAATTTTAACAGGGAGAAATGTAAAGTATTGCACTTGGGCAAAAAAATGAGAGGCACAAATACAAGATGGGGACACCTGGCTTGAGAGCAGTACATGTGAAAAGGATCTAGGAGTCTTGGTTGACCACAAACTTGACATGAGCCAACAGTGTGACGCGGCAGCTAAAAAAGCCAATGCAATTCTGGGCTGCATCAATAGGAGTATAGCATCTAGATCAAGGGAAGTAATAGTGCCACTGTATTCTGCTCTGGTCAGACCTCACCTGGAGTACTGTGTCCAGTTCTGGGCACCACAGTTCAAGAAGGACATTGACAAACTGGAACGTGTCCAGAGGAGGGCAACCAAAATGGTCAAAGGCCTGGAAACGATGCCTTATGAGGAACGGCTAAGGGAGCTGGGCATGTTTAGCCTGGAGAAGAGGAGGTTAAGGGGTGATATGATAGCCATGTTCAAATATATAAAAGGATGTCACATAGAGGAGGGAGAAAGGTTGTTTTCTGCTGCTCCAGAGAAGCGGACACGGAGCAATGGATCCAAACTACAAGAAAGAAGATTCCACCTAAACATTAGGAAGAACTTCCTGACAGTAAGAGCTGTTCGACAGTGGAATTTGCTGCCAAGGAGTGTGGTGGAGTCTCCTTCTTTGGAGGTCTTTAAGCAGAGGCTTGACAACCATATGTCAGGAGTGCTCTGATGGTGTTCCTGCTTGGCAGGGGGTTGGACTCGATGGCCCTTGTGGTCTCTTCCAACTCTATGATTCTATGATTCTATGATTCTATGAATAGAGCATAATCACACACAATGCTTTTTACTCAGATGCCAGAGGCACACACTTTTTACTAATGCATAAAGGAGGGAGTGCAGAAGCCGTTAGGGTCGAAAACTGGGAAAGAAATTCTATTACAGGTTATTGAAGAACAGGCAAATCCTCACTTTTGCGTGATCGCGCATACACACAGCACCAGGAAATAATTAAACAATTTATTTCGTAGCCAGAAATGTCGTGAGACACCTAGAGAGTCCTTATGGTTTTCTGCGTGTCCTCCAGCCTCCTGCAGGCTCCAGAGCTCCCAATTCCTGTTGTGGAATTTACCAGAAGGAAACTAGTGTATTTTCTTTTGTGTGTTCTTCTCCTACCCAGTGCAGGTGCCTGAGGGTTATTTGAAGAGCTTAATAAACAGTTGAAGTTCACATTTCAAGTGGTTTTTACAAGGGAAGCCAAAAACTTGAAGATAAGCTTTCTGCCCTATAGGAGAATACGGACTTCCAGATTGCAAAGATCACTGCATTTGGCAGAACAGATGTTGGCCATATAACCACCGGAATTGCTATTATATGTTTATCACATCCACCCTCCAGGGACTTAGGCAGTAAATTGCCTCTCTCCCATGTTATCTTCACAACCTTGTCCTGGAAGGATATTAGGCTGAATGGCAGGGCAGAGTGTAGTGATTGCCTCAGGTGGCAGATGTTGAGGGATGGGGAGCTGACAGAGCAGTGAGAGTCGTGAGCCCTACCCTGTGATCTTTAAACTAGCTGCTCTCAGGTGTGGTGAACTCAGTCCCATTGTCAATGTTGAAGTAAGGATCAACCAGCCTGGTTGGCTTTTGTATCAAGAACCAATCTGCTATCACTGGTCAAACTCTTGTCTCAGACCCCTCTTTAGCTCTGTGGCCTATGGAAACAACTTTAAATCCCAAGGTCAAAACAAAACATTAGTATGGTTGTCATTAGTGGCTGCGAGAATGACAGTGGCTCAGCTTTGGAAATCTTCTACTCCCCTTTTGCAAAGTTTGGCTCTAGTACTCTCAGAGTAGCTCAGCCACCACTGAGGAGTGCTTTGGGTATGGTATCAATTCATCCATTTATATAAACAAAATTGTGGGAGTGCTCCACCCTCTTGTCACTCACATGTCAATGTGGAGATTTTATCTTGGTGTAGATTAACAAAATTAAAATGTGCTTATGATGTGCTTATATTGATCTGTTTTGTGCTGCAAGTCTGTGTCAGCTCTGCAAACTGCACCAGTGCTTTGGAAAGCGGTTATTTGCTTTTATCCTTTTGTATGTTTTGAGATAAATAAATTTAAAAAGAGAACTAATTTGGACTTAAGGATAGTTCCCCCCCCCCCGGACATTCTTGCAACAGATTTTCTGCAGAGCTTTCATTTATCGCCAGCAAAAGACAAATCAACATAACATTCAAATGAAGTGAATGATCAAGTCCGTTTTGAAAAACAATTCCGATTTGGATTTCAAACTGCCTTTGGGCTTCCAAGCATGAATTAACATTTTTCATTGTTTATTCTGCACGATTTCCTCTCATTCATAGATCTTTCATGCTCTTCCACTCAAGAATTCCAAGTGGCGCTGTGGGTTAAACCACAGAGCCTAGGGCTTGCCGATCAGAAGGTCGGCGGTTCAAATCCCCGCAACGGGGTGAGCTCCTGTTGTTCGGTCCCTGCTCTTGCCAACCTAGCAGTTTGAAAGCATGTCAAAGTGCAAGTAGATAAATAGGTACCACTCCGGTGGGAAGGTAAACAGCGTTTCCGTGCGCTGCTCTGGTTCGCCAGAAGCGGCTTAGTCATGCTGGCCACATGACCCGGAAGCTGTACGCCGGCTCCCACGGCCAATAAAGAGAGAGGAGTGCCACAACCCCAGAGTTGTCTGCGACTGGACCTAATGGTCAGGGGTCCCTTTACCTTTAGTGGCCCAAACAAACAAGAACTATATCTTTATTCCTTGATCAGCTGTCCTCCAGCAGTGCTTGAAGTGTGAGAAACAAGGAAGTGGGTAGATTTCTTTCAGATCAGATCAAACAAAAGCCTTTGTCAGATGTTTCCACCACCTTTCCATTACCTTCTTGTGAGGAAGGGCAGCAGCGGTACGCTCTCTGGTCTCACCACCTTCCATCAGTTACCACTCTTGCCGATCTCCACATGTTGAAGGCTGAACTTCTGCCGTGAGAAAACCTGCTCTACCAGGTTTAGAAACCATCAGGGTTTTATACTGCAAAAGGAGTCTATGAGTGTATGTGAAGGGAATGCTTGTCTTTTGCCTGATTCTCCTTGTGCTTCTCCCTGTCTTTGCTCCCCTCAAGATCCCCCCAAAATCCTTAGATCAGTTTAACATATGGAAAATAATCTAGCCCAAACCCCTGCAATGCAGGAATATGTAGTTGTCTCATACAGGGATCGAACTAATGGTGCATTATCAGCACCATGTTGTAACCAACTGAGCTAAATAGTATTGAATCAGAACGAACTGTGGAAACCTCCTGCACAGGACAAATGTGTCCAGAGGAGGGCAACCAAAATGGTCAAAGGCCTGAAACGATGCCTTATGAGGAACGGCTAAGGGAGCTGGGCATGTTTAGCCTGGAGAAGAAGAGGTTAAGGGATGATATGATAGCCATGTTCAAATATATAAAAGGATGTCACACAGAGGAGGGAGAAAGGTTGTTTTCTGCTGCTCCAGAGAAGCGGACACGGAGCAATGGATCCAAACTACAAGAAAGAAGATTCCACCTAAACATTAGGAAGAACTTCTTGACAGTAAGAGCTGTTCGACAGTGGAATTTGCTGCCAAGGAGTGTGGTGGAGTCTCCTTCTTTGGAGGTCTTTAAGCAGAGGCTTGACAACCATATGTCAGGAGTGCTCTGATGGTGTTTCCTGCTTGGCAGGGGGTTGGACTCGATGGCCCTTGTGGTCTCTTCCAACTCTATGATTCTATGATTCTAAGTCCGATGCTGTTTACACTTGTACTACTTATTAATGAGATTGTTGGCTGAACTTGGCAGTATATCATGCACCGGTCCTGTGGTGGGCAAAGAGTTGTTGATTTAGTCATAAAATATTGTGCTCTTTACACAGTAGAGACCCGGCAGGGGCTAATGTATCAATAAGATAAGGAATATGAGCAGCAATAAAGTATCTTAATATTAATTTAGATAAAATTGATGCACACACCTGTTCTTAATGACTTTGACACATTTGCTAATGCTTACTAATTATTTACTAATTGTAAGAATTGTATAACAGACTTGGGAGATTTCTCTGTTCAGCTTTTGGGTTTTGACCTGGGGGTACTGTCCTCCTGCAGGAGAATAAAACAAATAATTTCCAGGGTACCTCCTGGAAGCCTTGCTGGTTTGTTTGTGGTCTTGCCTGTTTATTTAAGATAGCTAAAATCCTACCTAGGATGAGCTGAATTTGCGTTGTTGTTGTTTTAAAGTTGCAGAATGATGCAGGAACAGGATATGAGAGTTATGAACAAACCCATAAGAAACAGATCTAGACTGATCTTTCCATCCCTAGATAACAGCTTTCTGTTGGCTAGTTTAAATCAGCTCTGGGTGCTCAGAAATTGTATGTTTTGTTTTCTGTGTATGGTTTAGATTTGAGAGCATGATTTGGGATCTCTAAGCATCCAGAGCGAAGTGAAACCAGCTCACTGTCATGAACCATGCTATGTTTGTTTGTACCATTTCCACTCCTATAATAAAATGTATGAAAGGCACTTCATGTCATTTGCCAGCAGTTTTTATAGTGTATTTGTTTTTGTTTATTTTTTAAAAGCAACCACATTTGGAAGAGAGAGAATTCTTTCTGAGACGTTCCAGGCTGAAGGCATTTGGGAAGCTTCAGCTAGCCAGCAACTCAAAACACCAAGACAATACGAATGCTGAAAGAGGAAAAAGTAGGGTTAACTTTGCAAATCCTTTTGCTGAAAAAGCAATGAAGCAGAGTTTATTTTTGGACCCCCATGTGATCATTAATTTTTTGTTCAACATACTGTTGGACAGATGTTGCTGGCAACTTGGAGCTGAGGAAAGGGAGAGAAACATGACTGCAGTCTGCTTCTAGTAGTACAGTATCCAGTATCCAACAGCATTTTGGCGAGGTGGCAAATCTCACCTCATTATGTGGCCACATGCGACAGAGAACTGGCACCTTAGATAGCTGCAGTTACCCTAAGATAAGCTTACTGAGTTTTCATACACCACATAGATATATTTTTATATGTGTTTGTGGTACAGAGCAATCCAAATCCCCTTTGCACCAAGTGTGGTGGGGAGGTGGGGAGGGATAAATTGGGATACCAAGATGAAGGTCTACGAGGCTTGTGTGTCAAGCACGCTGCTTTATGTAAGTGAGCCATAACTTACAACCATCAGCAGCAACCTCGCAATGCCTTACACATGCACTGTGTCAGGAGGATTTGGGGTAAAAAGGTAAAGGTAAAAGACCCCTGGATGGTTAAGTCCAGTCAAAGGCAACTATGGGGTTGTGGCGCTCATCTCACTTTCAGGCTGAGGGAGCTGGCGTTTGTCCAGAGACAGCTTTCTGGGTCATGTGGCATGACTAAACTGCTTCTGGCGCAACGAATACCGTGACGGAAACCAGAGCGCATGGAAACGCCGTTTACCTTCCCTCTGCAGCGGTACCCATTTATCTACTTGCACTGGCATGCTTTCAAACTGCTAGGTTGGCAGGAGTTGGGACAGAGCAACGGGAGCTTACCCCGTTGCGGGGATTCAAACCGCTGACCTTCAGATTGGCAAGCCCAAGAGGCTCAGTGGTTTAGACCACAGCACCACCAGCATTCCTGGATTTTGGGTACCACATGGCAGGACAGAGTTTAAAACAAAGGTGTGCTCTCCCAAGTCCACATTCCCAGCATGTTTGCACTCCTGTCTCAGAGATGTCTACGCTGGCTTGACCATGTCCACAGAATGGAAGGTGGCTGGATCCCCAAGGGCGTGCTCTATGGGCTTCAGGCACTAGGCCCATTGGCAGACCAACTCTGCATTACATAGATGTCTGTAGACGTGACATGAAGGCTGGTAACATCTACCCCACCATGTGGGAATCCCTTGCAGATGACTGCAGTGCCTGTAGACAAGGCAGTCAGGTTGTGTATCCACAGCAGTTTCCAGAGGAGGAATGAGCTCTGGGAGGAGCAGAGAGAGAAGAAACACCACAGTGCATTTGCAACAGCACAACTGGATGCCTTCATCTACCCCTGCTGCAACTAAACATGTCTCTACAGCCACAGCAGGTGCTATAACCTTCCAACAATTTGACTTCACCCCCAAAAGTGCATTCTTTCACTGTCTCCTGAGACAGACAGATACCATTCCTCTGCCCACTGCCAAGGCCATTGACGGTGGGGTAATGCCAGCATTACTTTGCTGCTGCAGAACTGTGGTCAGAGCTGGTGAGGCATATTTGACAAGAAGAAACTGAGACTTTACAGTGCTCACAGAGTTGTTGCAATCACTAGAGCAGGACAAACTTTGTATGCCTCCCTTGGGGGAAGAGATTTATAAAAATGCACCTAACTCAATAGAGCATCTCCCAGACCCCTTCCAGCTCTATAGCTCTAGTAGTATAAGCCAAAGGGTTTCTGGTCTACCTGGGAGGGTTGAGATCAGGGTTTTATTGAAGTAGGTCTTGCAATGTCCAGGTGTGACTTAGCCACATTGTCCTATAAATATCAAAATACTCTTAATTCCCAAGTAGTCATTGGTGCCAATCCCTTCTTCTCAGACAAATCTCCAGGAGGCCAGTTCCTCAGAATGTCAGTGGCTTTAAAGAAAATTCTGCAACAGAAAAAAAAGCAGGAAGAAGTTCTGCAAGTACCAATAAGTCACAAATCTCACCTCTTCCCTGCATGAAGCAAATCGAATCCTTCGCTGATCTTGCTGAATGGCAAGGTGTGGGTTATTAAAGTATCTGGCTTAAATTTCCCCTCCATGTAACTGGATACCAGCTGAGGGATAGAATCTTTCATCTTCCATCCTGGAGAAGCAACAAAACAGCAGTTGGAAGCAGCAATACTTTTGAATACCAGTCGCTGGAAACCACGGGAAGGAAGAGTACTCTTGCATTCACAGGGAGAAGAGTCGGTGGAGGAAGATTGGAAGAAATTCAAAGACTATCTTCAGAAACATTGCAAAATTAAAGAATGTTAGAGTGATGTTGGACTGAAAATAAGTGGTTTCCAGCTGTACAGGTTAAAGTTACTGATAGACTAAGATTAAAGATTAGGATTAAAGATGTTTAAAGAAATGGAAATTTGACAATTAAGAGGGAAATTTTTAATGTAATATTATACTAAGACCAAAGATCAGGTTTAAAGAAGTTGAAGTTATATATTTCAATATCATATTAAAGTTAAAGATTGGGATTAAAAAGTGGAAAAGAAACTGCTGGACAAACAATTTGGATTGGAATACAAAAGAGGGAGGTATGAGGAAGTCCAGAAAATAAGTAAACTAAAAAACGGAAATGGAAAAGAGATATTGTTTTTAATTGTTATGTTTTTTGTTTTTTATTGTTGAATCTTTTTTTTGTGTGTTTTTGTTATCTTTTTTTTTGAGATATGTATTGTGTATGTTTTTCTTTTCTTTCTTTGTTGTTTAAAACTTTAGTAAAAATTATTAAAAAAAAAAAAAAAGAGTACTCTTGCATTCAAATGGTTTCCGACAGGCATCCAGTTGGTCACTGTGAGAACAGTGTTGGACGAGACGGCCATTGAGCTCATCTTATGTTATCATGCTAAGCACCACGACCCACACAATGTTTATCACCCATAATTTTTTTTCATGCCATAAAAATGACTCAGCAATACAAGGCTTGTGATATTCTCAAAGTCTTATAAAGCCAAAGATAGGGCAAGAGGACAGTCAGAAAACACGTGGGTTGCTACTGCCTATTCTTTCAAGAAAATAAAGGGCAGCAACAACCAGTCTTTAAAACAAAATTTGGTTCTGGCAGGAACCCATCCTGCAGCTCCCACTTCTAGTCCAGGAATTCTTACAGATACACAGCTGTAGCTGGTATAGCGAGACTGAGCTACCCTCCAAACACAAAAATTGCTGCAGCTTATCTGGACAGGGCTAGGATGGGACAGGCAGGCAATGGCAAGGGGTGCGTAGGCCGAGTGGAATGATGGCTGAGAAGGAAAGGGTTAAACAGCCTCCCTTCCTGGCCTGGGAAGGTAGTAGTAGGTGGAGAGATTCACATATGCACATGCATTCTTTATTACACCAACTCAACATTTCAGCCCCTTTCCAGGGCCAATTCTAAGTGCAGAGTTTAATTTTTAACACCCTACACGGCTTGTGACTCCAGTATCTAAAGGAATGCCTGTATATGGATTTTTTTAAATATTTAATGTTTTATTCTCTTTTTATACAGTACATGTTGGAAGCCGCCCAGAGTGGCTGGGACAACCCTGTCAGATGGGCAGGGTACAAATAAAATACTAATACTAATAAGTACGAATCCATGCCCTGAGATCACCATCAGGTGTCGTTGTCTGTGTGTCTCTGCAAAGAAGTGGGGCAACAGTATTTACCTGAACTCCATCTGGTTGTGTCACTGCTTACCGGGAGGTGGAATGAGAAGACAAGGCCAATATGGTGCAAATACACCAGTGGGAATGCTGGATTGTATATACATCATGCTGACCTGATTCCTCCTACTGAACCTCCCAGTAAGCAGCAGTGATGTGACCAGCTGGAGGTCAGGTGAGCTCCGCCACCCTACAATGTCCCCTTCTTTCATGCTTTAAAGATCTTCTATGGAGGCCCTTCTTGCCAATCTGGGTGGAAGCACATTGATCAGCCACCTGGGAAAGGACTTTCTTAGTAGTGGCACATAGACAGAGTTATTAAACAACTTCATAACCTATTTAGGGTTTCACAGTACTAAACACAGAAACTGGGAAATGTCCATACATCCACATGTTTGCTCATTCATGGTGCATCACCATACCTCCAATGAAGCTCCCTTTCAAGGTGCGTCCTGTAAAAAGCAGCATTGGATCGAAGGAGAGCCTAGAGCCTAAAGGAGGCACACCAACCATCACGCAGACTCCGCAGCCCATGTGACAGGACGCTAGAGCAGCTGTCTAATCAAAGTAGGGGAAAAATTAAACAGGTTGCTGTCATGCAAAGGAACAGTGACATTTTATGATGCACTGCAAAATAGTTAATGGAGAATAATGAAGTAAGGGTTGTTGTTGCTTCGTCATGGGTGTTTATGAGCCATCTCTTTCATCTTACAAATCCTCTTCCCTCCCTCTTCCCTTTGTGTGCTACAATTCCCTTTTTCCTGGTTTGTTGAGCACTAATTGCACATTGAAATTTCTTCCAAACTGGCGAACTATGGTTATCAAATTGCAGGTTGGAGCCAGAAATCTTTTGACTAAAAACAATACATACCAACGTATCCAAACACCCAACAACCTCAAATGCATAGTCAACACCGTGACCTGTCATTTCAACCAGCACTTCCTGAATTGGCTTCTTGTAATCCAGAGAATTAAGGCATTCTGTGGCTCCCAGTTCTTTTGCTGTTACAAATTTGTCTTTGTTAATGTCGATCCCAATGATCTGTGAAGCTCCAGCTGCTTTGCATCCCATGACCACAGAAAGACCAACTCCTCCCAAACCGAAGACAGCACAGGAGGAACCTGGCGTGACCTATACAGCCATGGAGAAAAGAGGACAAGGATAAATTCCAGTTGTGGAATAGGGTAATGTAGGCCATATTTCCAATGGAAGAAGCTCATGTCTATTACACAGACCAAAAGAGTCTACCAAGGAACATAAACGGAGCACCAGATTTCTCACCTGGGCTGTATTGAGGGCAGCCCCATAGCCGGTGGAAAATCCACAGCCGAAAAGACAGACTTTATCCAGAGGGGCATCATCATCAATTTTAACAACGGTTGAGTCAGGCATGACTGTATATTCTGAGAAAGTGCTGATCCAAAGGAAGTGGTGAACTAACTTCCCCTGGCAGGTGAATCGGCTGGTTTTGTCTGGCATTAGATTCTGTGGCTCAAGAAGGCTGTTTCAAAGAGATCGGGATTTGTCAATAATAAAAAGCTGTGCTGCATATAGCAGAAATAGAAATACAGGAGAAATTTCCAGAACAACTCACTGGGTTTTTAGGCAACAGTTGGTGTTAGGTTTCAAGCACGATGCGCATTCTCCGCATTGAGGCAGACAAAGAGGGATAACTTTGTCTCCTAGAAATAAAAGAGGCATAAAAATATAGTAGATAGAAACAACCTAACAAAGGGAGTCTGCATCCATAACCAGTGCTCAGTGAAGGGAGTGAGCTATGTATCAAAATACTGTGACCACAGCATCACAAGGCTTTTTTTGCTACAACAAAGACTCATCAACAAATGCTCCAGCCTGCTGTCCACTTCAGCAAAGTAAACAAGAAGCCTATTATTCACTCCTTGGAATAAAGTGGCAAAACTTCTTCTGGCACATACAACTTCAGGCTGCAGCAGGTAGTTCTACATCGGGAGTGGGGAACCTACGGCCCTCCAGACATTCTTGGACTCCAAATCCCATCAGCCCCAGCCAGCACAGCCAGTGGCCAGGAATCATGGGAGCTGCTGGAGCAAGGCACCCTCACACCCTCCCATTAGCAGCTGGGCAGTAGGCGCATGTCTTACTCAAGAGAGGAAAGTGGTTTCCATGGGAAGTGGTTTCCATTCCATGCTGGCTTGAGCCAATAGCAGTTGTAGTCCATTAGGACATTAGGTTGGTGGAGGCTGCAATAGGGACTAGGGTGTTAAGTCAGTCCTTTTAAATTGGCACTGCCTGCATATTGACACACATCCTTTACTCAATGTTATTGTTCAGAAAAATTTAATTTAAAAAAGAGTCTACAGTCCAGAGAGGAAGGAGCACTTACGTAGTGGAAACATTCAAAGATTAGTGCTGGTTCACCAGGGATAATCTCAAATACAGTAAGAGTTACTTGAGCAAGCATAGATTTTACCACAACTGTGCATTGTCAAATTATGCTGTGGTGCTTTAGAAATATATTGATAATACATCTAAAATCCTTTTATGTACCTGGCTTCACGCAAGTCACTCCTTCACCTATGCTCTCTACAATTCCAGCTCCTTCGTGCCCAGGAATGACAGGATAATTGACTTTAGGGAAAGAGCCTGTCAGAACATGGTCATCAGTTCCACATATCCCTGTGGCTATTACCTGTAAGAGAAAAAAGTGCATTTCTTTGACTTTCCCTGTGCTCTATTCTATATTCTGTTTACTCCAGCCCAGCTTTTGACACCCTGCAACGTGTGGTGTCTGCAGCCAACAGGAGTTGTAAACCAAAACACCTGGTGAGCATCAGGATGGTGAAGGATGCTCTACTCCAAAGACTTCTTGGGTTTCCATTTGCAGTGATTTACAGCATAATATTAAGGTTGGAGTTAGGGATAGTGTAATGGAAGTGAAAGGCACCAACTTAATACAGATCAAATTCCTACTGAACATCAAGAAGGACTTTCTAACAGCAGTGGGATGGACTCCCTCAGGAGGTTGTGGGCTCTCCTTCCTTGGAGGTTTTTAAGCAGAGATTGGATGGCCAACTGTTATGAGATTCCTGCATTGCAGGGTGTTGGAATGGGTGACCCTAGGAGTATCTTCCAACCACACAATTCTATGATTCTATGAAATTTGCAATCATTTCAAAGTTATCATGTAAGACACAAAGTGCTATGGTCACTGTGCTCTGTAGGAGAGGACCTGTGATAACATTGCATCAGGAGGTCAGTTCCATACAATGCAGGAATCGGGCCTTTAGAGTGGTGGCACCTTTCTTTTGGAACTCCTTCCCCCTATAAATCAGAAAAACACCAAGTCTATTGCATTTTCAGTGACTATTGTAGACCTTCATTTTCCAACAAGAATTTTAAGTGATGTTCTTCTATATTTATTCTTATTCCTACTTATATACTGCTTGAAATGATGCAGTCTAAGCAGTGATATACGACTTTATTGTTAAATCACTTGGTGATGTCTTATTGGAAGTGTTGCAAATCAAACAAATAAACACATATATGATCAGCAGCATCAAATTAAACTGGAATGAAAACTCCATACCAGTCTTAAATTTCTCTTAGCTTACCCATCACTACCACTGCTGACTCACAAGTGTAATAAAATCTGTACAACCTTTTCAGAAACAGCTGGAGAAACAGAGCAACAACAGACACAAGTCGTACATTGATAGGAAAAATTATCCACATAACGGAGGAGCATGGAAAAGGCTACAAACAATTCATCTACCTTAACACGAACTTCGTGAGCTTTTGGAGGGGCAACTTCCACCTCTTCAATAGAAAGCGGCTTCCCTACTGCCCAGGCGACAGCAGCCTTGCATTTTATAGTCTGTAAAAACAAGGGAACAATGAGATACTCAATCCAATCCCAGGGCAGGGCAAAAAGGAGATAGGATTGGATGAAAGTGTATAGTTGCAGGTTGTAGCCTAAATGGAATCTTGTTTGGTGCAGCAGATGGGACTTTGTGAAAGGGAAATCAGAGAGAAGCTGCTGTGGTGGGTTCATCTTCTACTTCAGTGGGGAATGTAAAAGTATAGTGTCCATCTCCAGGGTGTAACCTGGTATCTCAATATAGGCCTAGAACAGAAGCTGGGAGTTGTAGTTAAGCAACATCTGGGAGTCGCAATACTCTTTCTTGCATTTTCTCATTGAGAGCTCTCCGGGGCGGGGGGGAGATGCATTTCTTTGCCACAAGAAATACAACCACAAGTACTGTACTGAGACAGACTCTTGCTCCATCTTGCTCACTATCATCTGCTACACCAGGGGACAATGCTCTCCATTTTTTGCCGTACTCAAATTCTCACCAGTCCCAGCCAACAGGGGCAATGGTTAAGGATGATAGGAGATGTAGTCCAATAATATCTGGAGGGCACCATGTTGGCTGCCCTGTACTGCATTGACTGGCAGTTCAGCCTTTGCCATACCGGGATAGTGCAGTTGGTAGAGCATGAGACTCTTAATCTCAGGGTTGTGGGTTTGAGCCCCACGTTGGGCAAAATACTGAAGGGGGTTGGATTTGATGACCCTCGTGGACCCTTACAATTCTGTGATTCTATCCCAGTGTTCTGTAGATCATTTGGACTACAATACAGAGAGCTGTAGTTCAAAACATCTCAAAACCCACTTTCGTTTTTTGTTTAAATTAACTGTTATTCCCCATTTTTAGGCTAAAATAAAACAGCAATATCTGGAGGGCACCATTTTTAGGCTGGGGAAGTTTCTTATAGCTGTCTGCTAAGAAGTCCGGGAATGAAGCCTAAATCCTTGCACATGCAACTTCGTAAGACACATAAAGGTTGCGGTTTAAATGCAATTATTTTTTGATCACGCAATTGGTGATCATACAATTCTGCACGCGGCTACTTTCCCCTTTTCATCCGCTTCCACAGCCAGAACCTGGGAGCAATCAAAGTTTCAAACCCTATCGTGACCGGAACCATGAACTGCAAGTGGACGCATGCTTAGTCGGAAGTAAGACCTACTGAGTTTAATGACACTCCTGAGGAGGTGTGCGAGGGCGGGATTGCAACTTTATGAAAGGGTAATCCTTCAGCGCACAATCCGAACCGTGTCTACTCAGAAGTAAGACCTATTGAATTCAGAGGAGCTTACTCCCAGGTAAATAGGGCTTGGATGGGCTTGCAGCCTTTCGATATGAAAGAGAAACTGCTGTCTTCTTACTTTCCCAGGAGTGTCCATGCTCGCGCGTTCCTTTGCGCACAGAAATCCGCTCGCCTCTTTTGCAGAGCGTCTCCGATTCCGAGTTTGGAAAGCGGAAACAACGACTAACCCCGGTCTCTACTTGGGTGCATGTTTCTCGTGGGAACCTTGAGATTCCTTTAGAACAAAAGCGTAGCGGAATGGGGCCACGTCCCTTAAACTGGCCTCTTTGTCTGCCGTAGACCTACCGCCAGGGACTCTGGGGGATGTAGTCTATTGCTTAGTAGTAGACGCAGACCCAGCACGTTTCCTAAAATGCCTCAAATTTCCCCCAATAGGGAAGCCTATATGAGAAGATGCGCGCCAATGGTGAGAGGTAACAAGCAGAGGGCGGGGACGAATATTTGCGCAGGTTTGCACTCCTGGCCTTTGTTTTGCCAGACACGTGTTATTTTAATCCCTGCACGGTTTTATTATTTTATTGGGAAAGATCCCTCTGTGTTTCCATGCTTCATATATTATCTGTTTCAGCCTGTGTTCCAAGGATAGGTACTAAAGGAGTTATAAAAATAAAGGATTTTTAAAGATTGTATCTGCAATATGACACTGTTTTGTGGTGAATAAAATTTGGTGATGGTTTTGTTCACACGCTACACTGAAAACAAGTACAAGCTGTCTCTACATATCCACAAGCCTTTGTGTGAAAAAGTGTCCTCTTGTTTGACGTTGCATGGGATGGGAACAAGAACAAATGCAGACTGGGATCTCTTTTCTAGATCCACACTGAAAACCTGGGCATCAGGGTGGAAATTAGCCCCAAAGCCTCAGCCCCATGACCATTGCAGCAGTGGGGTGCAAATTAGCTTCCTGGTTTGTGTGAATGCATAAACTCTGCTAGCATAAGAAGAGCAGATCACACCAAATACATGCCTAGCCTGACATCCTCTTCCCCAAAGCATCCCAGATGCTTATGGGAATCCCAGCAGCAACACATTAGGGCAATAGGCCTCTGCCTTGGTTGTTCCCCAGTGATGGGAGTTCAGAAGCCTGCTTTCTCTGATCCTGAATTTAGCATGTAGCCATTCTGACAAGTAGCCACTGAGTCTAAATCTTCCATAAATTTGTCTAATCCCTTTTCAAAGCAGTCTATAACCATCCATATAGAAATGAATGCAAAGGAGGCAAACATTTTTTGACAAGGTGTAGCAAGAGGTGGCAGCCTCACTTGGGTAGGTTCTCGTTCTATTTATTATTTTTCCCTGGCAATGAGAGAGGTTTGGTGAGCAAGGCATGGTCTTACTTGGCTCGGTGATTCTTGTTTGCGGGGGGATTATTGGGTCAGTGCATTTCCCCATCACTTTCCTAATCGCAAAAAAAGGCCATTTAAAAATACAGTGGTACCTCGGGTTAAGTACTTAATTCGTTCCGGAGGTCTGTTTTTAACCTGAAACTGTTCTTAACTTGAAGCACCACTTTAGCTCATGGGGCCTCCTGCTGCCGCCGCGCCGCCGGAGCACGATTTCTGTTCTCATCCTGAAGCAAAGTTCTTAACCCGAGGTACTATTTCTGGGTTAGTGGAGTCTGTAACCTGAAGCGTATGTAACCTTGAAGCATATGTAACTGTCAGGGAACTGACATCGGAGCTAGAGGCGGAGGGAAGGCTCTCAAATGATGCTGGAGAAGGGCCCAGCAGGGAGAGAGGCAGCTCCGCAGATGGGGAAGCAAATCAGCGCTACACCAGGGATAAGGAGGGGCTGATGGGGGAATCGGCGAGAGGGCTCCAGGACTCTTCACCGGACACCAGCGGGGAGAGCACGGGTCCCCCGCTACCCACGCCCACCCTGCACAGAAGACTCCCGCGCAGAGAGAGTAGGAGGAGACTGGGTGCCAAACAACTTTTATGTTGGAAAAGATTTAAGAAACGCCCACTGACGGATTCTGCTAGCGACTGAGGCAGCCACGAAGTGAAGGGCTGCCCAGACAGAAAGGTTTAGCAAGGCAACAAAGCCAGGAGAGGCGGCAACTTACGCACGAGCAACCCATACACATCACAGTAACCTTAGGTACCACTGTAAAAGAAAGTTGATTTGTTGTACTAGGGTGTGGCGATCACACAGGGCCCCCAGACGTTTGACGGTCTATTGACCCTGTGCCACCACTGTGATTGCTTTCTTCGCTGCCACCACCCCGCTTCTCACGGGGACACACGGCGTCCAGACAGTTGTTAACATAAACAAATAATCAAGTTTATTTTTAAATGCAGGAACAAGCGTATAGTTTCAGTTAATATTTCTCTTGTCAGTTTCTTAATCTTAGTTCCTAACAACTTCAAACTGATTATTCCCAACTATCTATCTGACTACTCCACCTAACAATTCCTCTCACTCTCTCACAATACAACTCTACCAACCCACTGCCTATTCCTCCCTCTTCCTTCTCCAACTCCCAAACCTCAACTCCCAACTCCCAAACCTCAACTTTTACTCCCTCCTTGCATTCTCACTGGCCAATCACATCACACCCATTTTAACCCTTTCCTTATGACCCATCCTAGGAGGCAAACGCCACATTGGGTGACAGAGGGATTTCATTCATGGGACAAACAAATTGATGCTGATAATCAGCCCTAGAAAATGAGTGGCAATGCCAAGTATATTTGGTGACTCCATCTTGCTCCATCTATAGGAAAACTCGCAGCTGCAAGGCACCAGGGAGTGGGATTGTATTTATATGCAAATTGTGGGAGCATGGATATGAATTGGGGCCATAGTAGAGAGCAAATGGTTAATGCCCCCTTGGCCACATATTAGGGTTCCAAACCAGATGGGTATCCCTAGAAGAGCAACTTGAATGGGGAAAAAAATCCAGTTCTTTATCGAGTATGAATTATTGCCAAGTTTGGCCCTCAGAGTATTACACAATTTTTGCAAATTCTCAGAATGCTTAAAATACAACACACACAGAGAGAAACATATGTTTCTGATCAACCCCTGAGTTCTCTTGCTCCTTTTTTGGGTGGAGGGTGCTGTGAGGAGAAAGATGGTTCTCCAGAAGAAACATACTTTTCCTCAGAAACAGAAAGAAAAACACACCATTTTGGTCACAAATGATTATGGGGTTGAGTATCTTGATTACTTTCACCTTGAGGGAAGGAGCTGCATATATTCTTATGGATTGGGTGCCAATAAGAAATACTATACATTGTGAACCGACAAGCTGGAATGATAACATCAACATTGCAAAGCGGTATTGTATTTTTCTTGTTAGTTAGGAAGTTGAACCGCCTCAAAAGAGCAAATATTAATGCAAACAAAGCAAGGCCATTTGTATGGATCCTGGCAAGAACAAATATGACTAGAGGGTGAGGCTTATTCCAAACTGAGCAAGAAGTGTAATAACTGTAGGAAGACTAAGGCAAACTTCATGTGAACTGTTCCTTAAGCCAGAGATGGGGAACAAATGACCCCTCAGATGTTGTGGGAACACAACTCCTATCATTCTTCACAAGGGCTGGGGGAGAAATTTTAAGTTCATATTTAAAGCCAAGTGTATCAATTTGATATATTTTGAAATTCACATTTACCCAAATTTTGTGATAAGCTCTACAACCTACCAATGCCTGCAAGAATGCACATTGCAAGTCTGGGGTAATAGAGTTTAGGGGTGCAAGAGCACTTATAATGGCTAGAGTTAGTGAATGTTAGCAATTGCTAAATGGTAGAATTTAGATGACCCTAAAGACCCTGATGCTGGGAAAGATGGAGGGCACAAGGAGAAGGGGACGACAGAGGATGAGATGGTTGGATAGTGTTCTCGAAGCTACTAGCATGAGTTTGACCAAACTGCGGGAGGCAGTGGAAGACAGGAGTGCCTGGCGTGCTCTGGTCCATGGGGTCATGAAGAGTCGGACACGACTAAACGACGAAACAACAACAGAATTTAGATAATATTGGGAGTATTGAAGAGAAGATGTCAGGCCAGTGGAAAAAATACAAGCTAAACTCCCCTTCCAAGCCAGGGCCTCACCCAGCATAAAAACAACACAGGGGCACACATTCCCAACATCCCTAGCCGTGCTTGGCCCTGCCTGCTTCACCCTGGACCTTTGTGTGTTCATCATGAAGGTCTGAAAGAAGATTCTAAGGACATTCAGCTAAATACCCTTAAAAACATTCCTATGATCAGCGCTCCTGACAATGTGAGACTCCAGAACATGTGGGGGAAATGCTAAGGGCATTTAGCTGAATGTGCTTACTCTCCTTTCAGAATGCCGGGGTATAGAAGTTATGCCCTTACGCATTTGGGTAGGTGTCTGAAGAGACTCTATACAATAGGGTTTGAAATAGTTACATTTCCTAACCAATGAAGCACATCTCATGAGACCTTCGGGTATAGGGCGGTATAGAAAATAAATAAATAACATAAATAAATAATATAGGCCTCACTAAAGTTTTTTTTAAAAAAACTTTTGATAGGTTTTAGGATTATCTCAGTTATTTCTTACTGTTTATACTTTTATTTAAATATGCAAAGATGACAATCAGCGTCCCTTCCAACTCTATGATTCTGTGAAAGGTGCCTGGAGAAACAGAAATATTAGTGATGGAAGTCCACTGGAATTCATAACTATTTTTATTAGGTGTTTATGATATAATCCATACAGTTTACCACTCCTTGCAATATAAGGCACCAAGCACACCCACCCTGGAATTTAAGCAGCAAAAAACTTGTATTATTTTGCCATTGCCAGAATTTCATATCAGAACATACAAAAATTACAGCAATTTTCCTTAAGGAGTTCTCAGGAAATTGATATCATTTGTGCATCACCGAGAAACCTCCATATCCTATATTTATTAACAATGTAAAACGGTACCAAATTTATTTCTGTAAAGAGATTTCAAGCATGTATACTCCACTGGGTTGAGTGTGACTTTCTCCCAAATATATATAAGACAGCTGCCTAAACTGTCCAACCTCTCACCTTTGAAATACATGATAATAATTATTTGTGTTGTTGCTTCATTAAACAGGATATTGATAGTTTGAATCGCAACCTAAGATTGTGTTTATGGTAGTTTTCTTCTGTTGCATTTGGAGGAAAAACGTGATGGTCTTGGGATAGACCTACGTGTTGATAATGGAGCATTGCCAGTGATGACATTGCAGAGTCCAGTCATTTTCACATATGTCCTACTAGGCAATGTGGCAATCTGAGCTTGCAAAGGTCATTGTCTTGTATTCTTCCTCCTCACCATGGACTTTAAAACACCAGGACACTGCGAATACTGAAACAATAAGAAACAGTTTTAAATGGAAGGGTGATAATATCTGTTAGATTTTTAATGTTAGTAGGCTAATATTTCAGTAGGTTTAAGATCTTGCCACAACTTTCTAAGGAAAGGCTTGATCTGGTTGATATTAAGGGAAGGTGATCTTTTAAGCACCATCCATTCATCTGTTTATTACCCACCTTCTGCCATCGTGTTCCAGGTGGGTTACAACGTTTTCAAATTCAGTATTAACACAATTAACACAACTTACAGTCAGAGGAGCAGAAAAAGGAAGAGTAGATAGCATACACAGTGAGTAATTTTCAGAGTAGGGGGTGGAGAGGGAAGTCTGAACCTGTACAGAAATAGGAAACCTTTTTTATAGTTAACATTTTATTAGAAGATTTCATTTATAAAGGAATAAAGTGATAAAAGAAAAAGAGAAGAAAAGGGTGTGAAAAAGAGGACATACGAACCCTGGTGATAAGCCTATAAAATTGTTTCCGAGAAAAAGAATTGCACAAGAAAAAACACGACAAGTCGATTCTATTCATTTATGCCATCACAGGAAGCTGAATACAAATGCATATTTCTCCCTAACAGAAGCATCAAGGTAAATAGTTTGTTGATGTAATTTAATTGCCCCATCCAAAACAGTATCAATTTCAGTTTATAAATCAATTGTTGCTCAGCCTAATGGGATGCAGATCGACCACAGTTGTGGTGCAAGTCTTGCTTGTGAACATCCATATTTGCATGGATGTACATTGCATTGTTTCTTCATGGGTTTCATTGTCCCATTTAGTTATTCATTTTCATTCTTTGAGGTGTCCGTTTCCCCATTTTGTCTTCTGTTTCTTTGTACATAAATAGCTTGTGCAACTTTCAGTACTAGAATCTAACCATGATCAAGTCTTCTTGGCCTTGTGCTGCTTGGAGCCAATCTGAGTGGAAGGAGTTGAGCCAGCCACTGAGGATTAGCTCCTAGGGTCATTCTGGAGAAGGTGGATGAGAACAACACCCAAGAGCAGTTGCTCTATATGCTCCCAAGCTATGCAGTTGTCTTCGGTTTCAAGACAGTGATGTGCAAGTTCTGTTGTGGATAATGGAACTTCAAGGGCAACATAGCTTGAGTCACTCCAGAGGAGGATTGTGTAATCATATAATGACTATGGCTATGACTCTCAGAAAGGTACCCTGCCTCTTCCACTACACTTTGAGGGGTGGGGGTGGGGAAAGGTCTTACCTTTTTCCTGAACGCAGCAGTTCAAAGCCCTCATTGATTTTATCAAAAGACAAAGTGTGGGTAATTAGTGGATCCAGAGCAAACTTCCCCCCCATGAAATCTGAAACCAGCTTGGGGACAGCTTGTTTGCTTTTCCATCCTGAAAACAGTAAGTGCACAGTGAAGATATGGTACTCTAATTATAATGCCATAAAAAAGGAGCAAGATGTTGGTTAAAGGTCTGGCAGTCCCACAAATTTATAGCCTGAAACCGTCTTTGAACTTGGCTTATGCAATGAGATTGGCCTTGATGTTATGACAGATCTGTGGGTGGGAGGGAGATAGAGGAGATAGTAACGTAGTAATTATGGGACAAGAGCTTGCGTGGAAAGCCTACAGAGGGCCAAACTGTATGAGATCTTAAATGTATTTTCACATGGTAAGAGCATGATTTTTTTTTTAAATCTAAATTGCATTGCTGGGGGTGGGGAAATAATGAACAAATCAAGGTGTTTCTCTAAATTTGTGTTATGCCATGCTCTCAATGACAGACGTTTTATGGCACAACCCGCTGCCACCCCAAGCTATTTTGTGATGGGTGCCCTCAACACTCTCTCAGAATTTGAAATGTGCCCTTTTGATAGAAAGCTCGTAGGCCCATACCTCCAAATATAGATCCTTTCCAAGTGCGCCCCGTGAAGATAAGCATTGGAGTGAAGGTAATTTCAGAAGCTGAAGGGGGCACTCCGACAATCACGCTGGTCCCATAATTCATGTGGCAGGAAGCCAAGGCAGCAGTCTGGGGAAAATCCAAAGGCATGACTCTTGAATCAAGCCAAGGAGAAATACCATCCATGATCACCTCCCATGACGCAGTCAGAACTCTCAAAGATTTTACTGTTGAAAGCATATTAATAGCAATGGAAGAAAACATCCCTGTCTTTTCTTCCTCCCATGTCCAGCTACATACACACTCTGAAAAGCCTGTTTGGATGGTTAGGGCCTTCTGAAGAATGTGGGAAGGGATTTTGGGGGTGGGCTTATGTGGGAGAGAAGAATCACCCAAAAGGATCATTCTCACCCCTCCATTAGCACCTCATGCCTGAGTCCCATCTCACATTATTCCATAAGTTACCTGATCAATGGGTGGAGGATGTTTAAAACTCTGACATGTTCTACTGTCTCAGAACCCAAGGCCCATGCTGCAACAGATTATCGGATCACAACCCAGTGAAAAATAGGAACCACTGAAGAACGGGAATGCAGGAAATTCCATCTTCCCTTTTCAAAATAGGACAGTAAAATTCTGTCTTCATGCATGTACCATGGTGTCTGTGCGCCCAATCACTTCGAATGAATAGTCAACACCTTCACCATCTGTCAAGCCATACAACACTTCATTGATGGGCTTCTTGAAATCCAGAGGGTTGACACACTCTGTAGCTCCCATCTCTTTAGCTTTGGGAAATTTATCCTTGTTGATGTCGACCCCGATGATTCGGGAAGCTCCAGCTGCTTTGCAGCCCATGACAGTTGAGAGGCCAACTCCTCCCAGACCAAAAACGGCACAGGTTGAACCAGGCTCCACCTGAAATCATAGAATTGTAGAGTTGGAAGAGACCATCTAATCCAACCCCCTGCACTACTTGTCTCTCTCTTTCGGTATATGATGGCACGGGTGTTCCCCTGGGCAATTGGTTGTGGATGGGATTGCTCCTTGATGTTCAAAGCATTCAAGAGAGAGGTGGGATGCTGGAGAACTACGTCTGTAGCAAGAACATGAGTGCAGGTCATGAGTGTACATCCAATGGATTGGTGGGTATTTGGTGGCTTTGCTATTTTATATTGTTTTGATTCATTTACAGTATTGACTGTGCTTTCACCTGGTTCTGTGCCAGAGCCCCAGAGCCCACCTGTCCTCCTCTTTTTGTCTAGACCTGCCACAAATTCCTCACACTGAATATGAGCATTACCAATGTTTAATCCTTACCTTTGCACTGTTGATGGCAGCACCATAGCCAGTAGAAAACCCACAGCCAATCAGACACACTTTTTCTGGAGGAGCTGCAGCATCAATTTTGACCACTGCAGACTCATGCACCACGGTGTATTCTGTGAAGGTGCTTGTGCCGAGAAAGGTGTGGAGCTGCTGGCCTTTGTAAGTGAACCTGCTGGTGCCATCGTGCATTAATCCAGAGGCAGTAAGGCTAAAAGATGAAGAAAGGAAAATCGTGCTTTGGGTTGTGTTTTTTTTTTAACCCAACATATGCACTGCTGGTGTTTCTAATACTGTTGCAAATAACAACTTCAACTCACTCGCCCATTTTGCACAGATTGCCTCTGGGATGTTTGCATGTGCTGCATTCTCCACATTGTGGGGCAAAGAGTGGGATGACTTTGTCTCCTGGGAATGATGAAAATACCATCATTAGCCTGCTTAAAATATTCAGGAAATGCTTTGTTGGGGGCGGGGGACAGTACAAAATTGGGGGGAGGGTTTGAGGAGGGTCAGTTGGAGGTAGGAAGTGAGAAATGTCCCTATTTTAATCTGAGCAATGTTGGAGGGTATGTCATGAACATTGCAGACTATGGGGTGGCATCACAGGAGTGTCAGTCCGTCCCTTGCTCCGTGACCCAGTGCCCCTGCCGTCTGCCACATCGGCAATCTGGGGCAAACCGCGGGTCATCGAGACAGTCCTCCCCTGCCCTGGGGAGGCTGCCAGGGCTAATTACCCCCATATCAGCCCTGAATTATCAGAACGGCTGAATTCCGATCGTGTGGGATCCGCCATTTTCCACCGCCAGAAACAGGAAGCCCCACCAGACCCTAAAGACCCTCTTGGGCAGGCATCCCCAAACCCAGACCTCCAGATGTTTTGGGACTACAATTTCCATCATCCCTGACCACTGGTCCTGTTAGCTAGGGATCATGAGAGTTGTAGTCCCAAAACATCTGGAGAGCTAAGTTCGGGGGTACCTGCTCTTGGACATTCAAATCAGTAGAAGGGGCCCTTTTGGTAGTTCCTCTTTCATCAACATTTTGGGGTATTGGCAGTATAGCAGTCCTGGTCTTTGGCACCTGAGAATAGGGACTACCCTATTCTCTTGACTGCAATTTGTTTTAAATTAATATTGCAAGTTTAAGTAGTTGTGAACCACCCTGGCAAGTGATAGTAGTAGTAGTAGTAGTAGTAATATCAGCAGTTAAGTAAAAAATAACTTTGCTGACTCCTATTCAGAAATGTCTAGTAATTGATTCCAAATTCTGGCATTTACATTAAAAATCTAGTCATTGGCCCAGAGCTGACCGCCCTTCCCTAAAGAAAACACTTTCTCGGTCATTCTTCCACCAGTTGGTTGGCTCTCCTAGTTTCGTTTGATCCTTGTTGACCAATGCTGTGAGTTGATATTTTCTGGTTGCACTCTGCTTTACCTTACCTGGTTTCACACAGGTAACTCCTTCCCCAACGCTCTCCACAACACCAGCTGCCTCATGACCAAGAATAACGGGGAATTTTACCTGCATTGCCCCACTCAGCCCATGGTCATCGGAGCGACAGACTCCAGACGCCAAAATCTGGTTTAAAGGGGAAAGTTTTTTATTTTATATTATTTTTTAAAATTCAGTTCATGAATTGCTTCCCATAAGATATCTCAAAATGATATCTAAAAACATAAATAATAGAAACAATTACAAACAGATCAACCTATACAAATATTTAAAACAATCAAATATAATTTCATGTGTGAAAACAATTTCACATCTACAATTTCACATCTACCATATTTTTCCGTATATAAGACACCCCCATGTATGAGACGACCCCTATTTTTTGAGCCCAAAATTAAGAAATAATTAATTGCAACATTCTGTGTATAAGATGACCCCCAATTTTAAACTTAAAAAATCTGGGGGGAAATATAGTCTTATACACGGAAAAATACAGTAATTCAGACTTAGTTAAAGATCTCCACTTGACAGGATGGGGTGGGTTTTTTTGGAAAAAGGAAGTCTTTAATTGACACCCATCATCCAATAGCAAAACTAACAAGGGAGCTTTTAAGTTTCACCTTAGTCCTAGAAACACCCCTCTCATGATATTGCTCACAATCCCTCTCCTGCAGCAACTTGCAGGGGTTCAAAACTCTCCCACATTTCCACATCAGTTTGCAGGTTTTTGTTTTAAAGTACTCATGAAAATTCATCAGGATTTCAGTGCAAATTTCTCCTAATATAAACATGTTTGCATGCAATTTTGCCTAATATGCAACAGTGCAAAGCAACGTTGTCTAATATCAAGCATATTCGTATATTATATTCATTAATACTGGCATTTTTGTGCACATTTTACACCACTATATGAAATTTTACACTTATTACTTGGCATCGCAAAAGTTGGAGAAGTGCGAATTTTGAAAAATGGGTGTGTTTTGGTTCTCATAGGAACACAGGAATCTGCCTTAAACTACAATTATGACAATTAATCCAGAATGCAGCTTCCAGACTGGTGACTGGGAGCGGCCTCCAAGACCGTATAACACTGATCTTTAAAGATCTACAATGACTCCCCGTGTGTTTCCAAGCACAATTCAAAGTGTTAGTGTTGACCTTTGTTGTGATTTTAATATTCTGTTGCAAGGCACCCAGAGTGGCTGGGGCAACCCAGTCAGATGGGTGGGGTACAAGTTGTTGTTGTCGTTGTTGTTGTTAATTATACTGAGTCAGACCATTGGTCCATCTAGCTCAGCATTTTCCACATTGACTGAAAGCAGCTCTCCAGAGAGTCAGACTAGGGACTCTCCCACACCTGCCTGGAGATACCAGTGATTCATCTTCAGACTTTTGCAAGCAAAACAGCTGTTCCTCCAGGGCTGCAGCCCTTCCCCATTCTCATATTGTTTTTGAAAGCATAAATTAGGTAGATTTATCTTTAAGTGCAAACTGAATCAAATTTCTCCATCCCTAGTGCAGATACTAACAATCTGCAGAAATGCCAGTTTTGGTTTGTCTCTCTTACCTTAATCCGAACTTCATGTGCCTTAGGTGGGGCAACTTCTATTTCCACAATACTAAATGGTTTCTTGACTTCCCAGACAACAGCAGCTTTGCACTTAATGACCTGAGATAATAGAATATCATACAAAACATGAAAACAATTTACAGTGACAGCTCTGATTTCAATGTCCTGTTAAATAATAAAAGAGCATATACTATTTTTTACACGCAGCTAACATTGCAATCCTGTGCAAGTTTAATATTTAATATGCGCCCCAATACCAGTGCAATTTTTCTAGTAAATGAGGTGCTGGAACTCACCATGAATGCCTCCTTTGTTCTCTTACAATGGCAATGGCACCCATCTGAGAAGTGCCGGAATTGAGTTCTGGTGAGTTCCAGCTGAAAAGAAGCCCTACCTATAGCCAAATTCTTCAGGGTGGCTTACAATTAGCCTATTTTTATTTTTTGTATTTATGCATCTTGGGGCTGAAAAAGCAACTTTAAAAGAAATCATCTACTTACTTTCCCTGCAGTGCTCATGATGTTGAGCTTTGTAATATACCGTATCTGCTTCCTCTGTGTCGTTTCAGAACTTCTAGTCTGTTCTCCTAGAAGTACAAAGGTTCTGCTGCAAATATTTGGCTTATCTTTCAAATAAAGTTAATCCTTCCCTAGTTCAATGCCAAGAAATGTGGCCACTCCTCTACGTTCAGGTTGATTCCACCTGCAATTTCACAACTTTGAAGGAAGTAGGTTAAGAGTCCTCAGCTGCGGTACATTTAGATTGCACTCAAGAAAATAAGTCTGTGAAGGGTGGGAATTGTAGAGATGCATTGTGTGAGCCACATGCCCCCATCACCCATGACCATCCTTGACATAAACACACGGGACATGTTGCTTGGGTCAAATATTGGCACAACTTTATTGATTACGCATGAAGGGTTTGGTCAGGCATTGGGAAAACCAGTTTAAGTGCCAGCCCGCCTGTATATCAGTGGGCTCAATTCAAGGCAAAGAGGCTCCTAATGACACACATCAAGTACGAACCTGCCTGGACTTCAGAACAGAAGCCACTCCTTCCAGATCCCTTTGCAGGGTTTCCCAAACTTGGGTCTCTAGCTGTTTTGGGACCACAATTCCCATCATCCCTGACCACTAGTTCCTACTAGCTAGGGATGGTGGAAGCTGTAGTGCAACAGTAGCTGGAGGCTCAAGTTTGGGAAACACTGCTTTAATGGAATATCGGTTTGCACTTGAGAGGCAAGCAGAGGGTACAACCTCCCCTCCACCCAAAACTATGGTTTACCCAATGCCTTAACTGCCACCCAAGCCAATAGGGTTTGCCATCACACCATTACATCTGCAACCAAGCCTTGAAGCCTTCTGAGATGTCAGTGAGCCATGCATTATTGCCAGATTCAGATAGATGCACCCCATCGTGCCTAAACAGTGGCTCCTTCTCAAATGTGATGTTCAGGTGCTAAATTACCCTTCCGCCCATAGCCTCTACTTTGCGCCCGACTGCGTGGTTCGCCTTTTTGTAGCCTTGTCAGTTTTTGCAGGAGCTGGAATATTCCACCACTAATGCTGTTCAAGAAGTTCCAACCAGCAAATAGCCATTAGTGAGTACAGGGATTTAAGGGAACCCTGGTCATTGCATATGATCCAAATAAGATCTGTGCCCTTTAACATCAGGGGGAATGACTTTTCCAGCCTAGCCTTGTCCCTGAAATTCCGGTTTTCCAAGTGCAGGGAATATCTTGTGCGGAGGAAGATTCAAGCAAGCCGCAACCTGTGAAGTGGTGCTGCCTGGAAACAAACTTCACCTGTGGTGTTAGAGAGGTAGAAGTGGGCTCAACCTTAGGAATCATTTCCACAATTACCCACACATAGCAAAAAGTATCCAGGTACCTTTCATCATTTCATGGGCTGTAAATGGCACAACTTAAAATAGGATTGTGGATTCAGAAGGGCCCCAAAGCACCATCTGGTCTATGTAAAACCTGTCAGATGAAAGAGAAAATTGAGCGTGGGCCTTCATTAATGGCATTTTATGATGGCATTGATATCAAGTATTATTTTCTGTGCCTGCTAAAAACATTCTTGTTTAAACAAGCCTGCCCAGATGCTTAGAAAGTTGATGTGGATTTTAACCACCCTTAGTAGGTTAACTTTTTGCATATTTTAAACTACTGTTGTAAAGATTTCTCAAAGTTATTGTTTTATCTTTGAGGTTTTGTTTCATTTTATCAAGCAATGTATAAATTTGTTTTCAAGTAGTATATAAATTTAATGGAAATGACATTAGTAATTTTGCTATATTAACTGCAGGCTGCAGCAAAGATTCAGAAGAAGCTGCTTTCAGAGAAAGACAGCTCTGAAGAGCTGTGTTTCAAACTTTTATGTTAGCTCGTATCACAATAACCGTGCAAGAAATCAGTTTATTCTAGGAGGAGGTGTGGGGAAAGAGGAGACCTATCCACATATGGTAGGAATGCAGATTTCCTGCAGCTGTTGCTGGACAAGCACCCAGTTCTAGCATTACTAAATATTGGGCAACCTGCGGGCCTTCAGTTGCTTCAATGGAAACTGGTATCCCTCAGCAGGCTGAATGGACGTGGAAAGCTACTGGAAGATGAAGGGCTTTTCGGTGAAAGGTTGGCTTGATAAGATATGGGTTATAGCCTCCTTGGAGCACTGGGTGTGTCAAAACAGAGTCATTAAAGGTAATAAACTTAATGGAGTAGGATAGCCCTTTCCTTCGTATGCAAATAGAGATGGACATTTGATTCAGCCTCCATTAACACAAATTACATTAGGGAGGATGGAACACTATTTGAGAAATACATACTTAGAGATTTCCTGAGAATAGTGCATGAACACAATCTTTGAACAAAATACTTTTATTTCTGTACGATGAATGGCAAATGTGTGCTTTGTACGTCCTGTTTTCTTCTTTCATGCTTTACTTTGTGAAAATGGCAATTTTTTTAAAATTAAGAGCAGAGAAACAACTCTTTTTCATATGATTTTAAAAAATAGAAATCAAAGCAAAATATTAAAACCTTGATTCAGAAAAACAGCTTTTGTGTGAAGAGACTCGCTTCCTAAATCAGGAACTAGATGCAGATGATGCAGACACATTTGTCTTGTACGAGGTATTCAGTACGTCCTCCAACCCATTTACACTGTACAATGTGGTTATGGGGTGCCTTTTTGTCCCTAATGCACTGCAGATAAAGAACTGGATTCCCAGCCATTGACACAGGATGTGTCCATGCTGCTTTTTATAACTGTGCTATTATTATTATTATTACTATTACTATTAAAAAATGTGTGTGAGAGAGTAAGAGAGAGAGAGACAGAGAGCACGCAGCTGTGAACTAATAATTCAAAAGACCTTTAGAACAGAACAAAGAGATGACAGCTGTACTTGCATTTGAATCTAAATTAGCACCAGCATGCAAAACAAAACAAAGCAAAAAAAAACCAACGGGGGTGGAGGGAGACACAGAGCTTGCAAATCACATTTTCTTGCTTAAGGGCACTAATGTTTAACAGGAGGTGGATTGTTGAGATTTCTTGTGACTTGGCTGAGCCGAAAGTTCTTCACGACAAAGGATAGTGGGATAAAGGGCACTTCCATACTGTTACTACTTTTGGATGGGATTGAATCACATCCTTGAATATCCTGGCTGTGGATCCAACTTTTTGCAGTAAGGAAGGTGATGGAGAAATGCAACAGAGACTGCAGATTAACACTTGCTTGATGCAATGTTATCTAATCTCTCCACAAACAAATCAGGCTGAATGCTCATTAGTTTGTCCAGATTAAGGTGGTTGGGGGCCTTGGTGCAATACCCCCCAAGCCCCCTTCCTCCCAAAAAAGGAATGCATTAAATAAGGTATCACAAAAAAAAGTATTGTAGTATCTCATAGTCCTTAACTCTTTCTTTGCGTTAGAGCACAGTGGGTGTTTTGGGCACCGCAATCTCACAAAATCTTGCGCCGCAAAAGTGTGCATCGGAAACGACAATATTAGTGAAAAGAACATACAGAAATGCCTTGTATTGTTATATTATATTGCTTGCAAAAATGTGCATCACTCAAAACTGCAAACAAAAAAGTGTGACTAGCAGATAAGACAAACTACAAAGAATTTGGCTGCCATTGTGGTACAAAGGAAACACCATGCTTTCCAGATTTGTCAATGGGATTACGGAGGTGTCCTGATGTAGGAAATGAGTATCTTCACTCAAAAGCTGTTTTCCTGGATCAAGGTTTTAATATTTTGCTTTGATTTCTATTTTTAAAAATCATATGAAAAAGGGTTGTTTCTCTGCTCTTAATTTTTTTAAAAAATTGATGTTTTCTCAAAGTAATAGTAATAATAATTTCTCAGTGTTGGCACCCGCCCTGTGGAACACCCTCCCACCAGATGTCAAAGAGAAAAATAACTACCAAACTTTTAGAAGACATCTGAAGGCAGCCCTGTTTAGGGAAGCTTTTAATGTTTAATAGGTTATTGTATTTTACTGTTTTGTTGGAAGCCGCCCAGAGTGGCTGGGGAAACCCAGCCAGATGATCGGGGCACAAATAATAATTTATTTAGTTATTTGTTTATTTATTTATTTATTTATTCATTCATACCCTGCCCATCTGGCTGAGTTTCCCCAGCCACTCTGGGTGGCTCCCAATCGAGTGTTAAAAAGAAGACAGCATTAAATATTAAAAACTTCCCTAAACAGGGCTGCCTTCATATGTCTTTTAAAAATAGGATAGCTGCTTACTTCCTTGACATCTGATGGGATGGTGTTCCACAGGGTGGGCGCCACTACCGAGAAAGCCCTCTGCCTGGTTCCCTGTAACCTCACTTCTCGCAATGAGGGAACCGGCAGAAGGCCCTTGGCGCTGGATCTCAGTGTCTGCGCTGAATGATAGGGGTGGAGACGCTCCTTCAGGTTATACAGTACTGAGGCTGTTTAGGGCTTTAAAGGTCAGCACCAACACTTTGAATTGTTCTCGGAAATGTACTGGGAGCCAATGCAGATCTCTCAGGACCGGTGTTATATGGTTCTGGTGGCCACTCCCAGTCACCAGTCTAGCTGCTACATTCTGGATTAATTGCAGTTTCCAGGTCACCTTCAAAGGTAGCCCCACGTAGAGCGCACTGCAGTAGCCCAAGCGGGAGATAACTAGAGCTTGCACCACTCTGGCGAGACAGTCTGCGGGCAGGTAGGGTCTCAGCCTGTATACCATCCTCCAACTGCCTCCAGGCACTCACACAGGACATTCACTGCCTTCACTGGTTCTGATTTAAAGTAAAGCATGAAACAAGAAAACAGGACGTACAAAGCACACATTTCCTATTCATCGTACAGAAATAAAAGTATTTTGTCCAAAGATTGTGTTCATGCACTATTCTCAGGAGATCTCCAAGTATGTATTTCTCAAATAGCGTTCCATCCTCCCTAATGTAATTTGTGTTAATGAAGGCTGCATAAAGTGTCCATCTCTATTTGCATATGAAGGATAGGGCTATCCTACTCCATTATCACCTTTAATGACTGTTTTGACACACCCAGTGCTCCAAGGATGCTATAACCCATATCTTATCAAGCCAGCCTTTCACTGAAAAGCCCTTCATCTTCCAGTAGCTTTCCACTTCCATTCAGCCTGCTGAGGGCTACCAGTTTCCAATGAAGCAACTGAGGGTCCCCAGGTTGCCCAATATTTAGTAATGCTAGAACTGGGTGCTCTTTCCCCACACCTCCTCCCGTAATGTACTCCTCTTGAAATGCACAGGTTTACCCTGTGCAATTTGATCAGGAACCAATGCCATCTCTCTATTGCCTTAAAGGTTGCTTCCTTTCCGTAGGCTGCCCAGAGTGGCAAGGGAGTGGCAAGGGAAACCCAGCCACATAGGATTAGTATTATTATTATTCCTGGATTATGACTGACATAGTTTATAACAGTGTTTTGCGTATGTTTTACCCCACATAGCATTCCAGGGGCGGACTTTGGTCTTTAAAATTTCATCGGTTCCCAGTGTGAGGCCAACTACATTATAGTTGAGATACCTTGCAACACCCAGTGCAGCAGAACCATCACGATGCCCTAAATCTGCCTCTGCTGGGTGTCTTCTGAAATATTCTGCCCCTTCAGAGAGCCCTAGCAGAGATATTTGCTTTATAATGAGAGGAAAGGTTTGCTAAAACATCTAGCACTGTCACCCTGAATACCTAATAAAGCCTTATATTTCAGGCAAATATTAAACCCATTGCCCTTGACTGATTTCTAAAGCATATTGACATTCAAGTAAAATCAATGATTTGTCAGTACGCCTTTCAACCGATGTCAGCGACTGGGCTCAAGAACTGGTTCTGCCCCGACTGGGCTAGGCGACTGGAGCACTTTCAGAGACCTTCCAATCCTGGAAAGCAGGTCCCAGTGCACTGGACCCACAACTGTGCATTGTGAGCACCAGACTCATGCAGAGTATAAATAACGCGGAAGCTAGCTGTGAAACATAACTCCTTTTATTTCTAATAGTTACTACAAACTAAAGAACTGGCTTGCATGAATGTTACATCTCCCACTCAGCCATCTAGTCACTACATAGATAAGACTCTCTCCACACACAGAGTCAGGCAGTTACTCAGGAGCGGAAGAGTAGAAGAGCACTTTCCGCCCCCTCCTTTCTCAAAACATCAGATCAGGAGATTCTGTCAATAGGAGGGGTGAAAATATCAACATGATTAAGCCCGGCATTTAGCCAGTGGCTATTTAGCTTTGCCATTGATAGATAGACTGGTGGTAGTTTTGTACCCACCAATTCTTAGGAATCTCTGCAGAGAGATTTCAAGCTACTGATTTACAGTATGTATACTCCACTGGGTTCAGTGTGACTTTCTCCCAAATATATATAAGACAGCTGCATAAACTACCCAACCTTTCACCTTTGAAATACATGATAATAATTATTTGTGTTGTTGCTTGATTAAACAGGATATTGATATTTTGAATCACAACATGAGATTGTGTTTATGGTAATTTTCTTCTGTTGCATTTGGAGGAAAAACGTGACGGTCTTGGGATAGACGTACGTGTTGATAAAGGAGCATTGCCAGTGACAACATTACAGAGTCCAGTCATTTCACATATGTCCTACTAGGCAATGTGGCAATCTGAGCTTGCAAAGGTCATTGTCTTGTATTCTTCCTCCTCACCATGGACTTTAAAATACCAGGACACTGCGAATACTGAAACAATAAGAAACAGTTTTAAATGGAAGGGTGATAATACCTATTAGATTTTTAATGTTAATAGGCTAATATTTCAGTAGGTTTAAGATTTTGCCACAACTTTCTAAGGAAAGGCTTGATCTGGTTGATATTAAGGGAAAATGATCTTTTAAGCATCATCCATTCATTCTGTTTATTACCCACCTTCTGCCATCGCGTTCCAGGTGGGTTACAACGTTTTCAAATTCAATATTAACACAATTAACACAACTTACAGTCAGAGGAGCAGAAATAGGAAAAGTATATAGCATACACAGTGAGTAATTTTCAGAGTGGGGGGTGGAGAGGGAAGTCTGAACTTGTACAGAAATAGGAAACCTTTTTTATAGCTAACATTTTATTAGAAGAATTTCATTTATAAAGGAATAAAGTCATAAAAGAAAAAGAGAAGAAAAGGGTGTGAAAAAGAGGAAATAAGAAGCCAGGTGATAAGCTTATAAAAGTGATTCCAAGAAAAAGAATTGCACAAGAAGAAGCCCAACAAGTTGATTCTATTCATTTATGCCATCACAGGAAGCTGAATACAAATGCATATTTGTCCCTAACAAAAGCATCAAGGTAAACAGTTTGTGGATGTAATTTCATTGCCCCATCCAAAACAGTATCAATTTCAGTTTATAAATCAATTGTTGCTCAGCCTAATGAGATGTGGATCGACCACAGTTGTGGTGCAAGTCTAGCTTGTGAACATCCATATTTGCATGGATGTACATTGCATTGTTTCTACATGGGTTTCATTGCCCCATTTAGTTGTTCATTTTCATTCTTTGAGGTGTCCGTTTCCCCATTTTGTCTTCTGTTTCTTTGTACATAAATAGCTCATGCTACTTTCAGTACTAGAATCTAACCATGATCAAGCTAATCTCTCTGTTTTTGGCCACATTTTTTTTTTGTAGATGAATAAAGCGTAGACTTCATTTTAAATCTAGGTCTTATTGGGGAGGGGGTGTTGGAGTGAATGAGTCTTGAGTTAAACTGGAGAGGGGTTGGGGGATGTGTACGCAAGACCAGCTCACGCTACAAAGGAAAACCTGGTCACCCAATATAGTGATGTCATGTGATTGACAGGTCAGCAAGCCACTGCAGTCAGGGGATCTGGATCCAATTCCCCCCCTCCCCACATTGTACAGAAAAACTCTGCAATGCAACATTGTGTTGGAAGTCCCATATATCCATTTTTAGTCTGCAACGCAAACAACCTCCTAGCTTGAGTCACTCCAGAGGAAGATTGTGTAATCTTATCATGACTATGGCTATGACTCTCAGAACGGCACCCTGCCTTTTCCACTACACTTTGAGGGGTGGGGGTGGGGAAAGGTCTTACCTTTTTCCTGAACGCAGCAGTTCAAAGCCCTCATTGATTTTATCAAAAGGCAAAGTGTGGGTAATTAGTGGATCCAGAGCAAACTTCCCCCCCATGAAATCTGAAACCAGCTTGGGGACAGCTTGTTTGCTCTTCCAACCTGAAAACAGTAAGTGCACAGTGAAGATATGGTACTCTAATTACAATGCCATAAAAAAGGAGCAAAAGGTTGGTTAAAGGTCTGGAAGTCCCACAAATTTATAGCCTGAAACCGTCTTTGAACTTGGGTTATGCAATGAGATTGGCCTTGATGTTATGACAGATCTGTGGGTGGGAGGGAGATAGAGAAGATACGAACATAGTAATTACGGGCCAAGAGCTTGCGTGGAAAGCCTACAGAGGGCCAAACTGCATGAGATCTTAAATGTATTTTCACATGGTAAGTGCATGATTTTTAAAAAAATCTAAATAGTATTTGCTGGGGGTGGGGAAATAATGAACAAATCAAGGTGTTTCTCTAATTTTGTGTTATGCCATGCTCCCCATGACAGACATTTCATGGCACAACCTGCTGCCACCCCAAGCTATTTTGTGACTGGCGCCCTCAACACTCTCTCAGAATTTGAAATGTGCCCTGTTGATGGAAAGCTAGTAGGCCCATACCTCCAAATAAAGATCCTTTCCAAGTGCGCCCCGTGAAGATAAGTGCTGGAGAGAAGGTAATTTCAGAAGCTGAAGGGGGCACTCCGACAACCACGCTGGTCCCATAATTCATGTGGCAGGAAGCCAAGGCAGCAGTCTGGGGAAAATCCAAAGGCATGACTTTTGAATCAAGCCAAGGAGAAATACCATCCATGATCACCTTCCATGACACAGTCAGACCTCTCAAAGTTTTTACTGTTCAAAGCATATTAGTAGCAATGGAAGAAAGCATCCCTATCTTTTCTTCCTCCCATGTCCAGCTACGTAAAGGTAAAGGGATCCCTGACCATTATGTCCAGTCGTGACTGACTCTGGGGTTGCGGCGCTCATCTCGCTTTATTGGCCGAGGGAGCCGGCGTACAGCCTCCGGGTCATGTGGCCAGCATGACTAAGCTGCTTCTGGCGAACCAGAGCAGCGCATGCAAACGCCGTTTACCTTCCCGCCATAGCCGTACCTATTTATCTACTTGCACTTGGACGTGCTTTCGAACTGCTAGGTTGGCAGGAGAAGGGACCGAGCAACGGGAGCTCACCCCGTTGTGGGGATTTGAACCGCCGACCTTCTGACTGGCAATTCCTAGGCTCTGTGGTTTAACCCACAGCGCCACCCGCGTCCCTGCCCAGCTACATGCACACCCTGAAAAGCCTTTTTGAATGGTGAGGGCCTTCTGAAGAATGTGGGAATGGATGCTGGGGAGTGGGCTTATGTGGGAGAGAAGAATCACCCAAAAGGATCATTCTCACCCTTCATGAGCCCCTCATGCCTGAGTCCCATCTCACATTATTCCATAAGTTACCTAATCAATGGGTGGAGGATGTTTAAAACTCTGACACGTCCTACTGTCTCAGAACCCAAGGCCCTTGCTACAACAGATTATCGGATCACAACCCAGTGAAAAATAGGAACCACTGAAGAACAGGAATGCAGGAAATTCCATCTTCCCTTTTCAAAATAGGACAGTAAAATTCTGTCTTCATGCATGTACCATGGTGTCTGTGCGCCCAATCACTTCAAATGAATAGTCAACACCTTCACCGTCTGTCAAGCCATACAACACTTCATTGATGGGCTTCTTGAAATCCAGAGGGTTGACACACTCTGTAGCGCCCATCTCTTTAGCTTTGGGAAATTTATCCTTGTTGATGTCGACCCCGATGATTCGGGAAGCTCCAGCTGCTTTGCAGCCCATGACAGTTGAGAGGCCAACTCCTCCCAGACCAAAAACGGCACAGGTTGAACCAGGCTCCACCTGAAATCATAGAATCATAGAATTGTAGAGTTGGAAGAGACCATCTAATCCAACCCCCTGCAGTACTTGGGTCTCTCCTTCAGTATATGATGGCAAGGGTGCTCCCCCTGGGCAATTGGTTGTGGATGGGATTGCTCTTTGATATTCAAAACATCCAAGAGAGAGGTGGGATGCTGGAGAACTACGTCTGTAGCAAGAACGTGAATTCAGGTCATGAGTGTACATCCAGTGGATTGGTGGGTATTTGGTGGCTTTGCTATTTTATGTTGTTTTGATTCATTTACTCTGTTGACTGTGCTTTCACCTGGTTCTGTGCCAGAGGCCCAGAGTCCACCTGTCCTCCTCTTTCTGTCTAGACCTGCCACAAATTCCCCACCCTAATATAAGCATTACCAATGTTTAACCCTTACCTTTGCACTGTTGATGGCAGCACCATAGCCAGTAGAAAACCCACAGCCAATCAGACACACTTTTTCTGCAGGAGCTGCAGCATCAATTTTGACCACCGCAGACTCATGCACCACAGTGTATTCTGCGAAGGTGCTAGTTCTGGCAAAGGTGTGGATCTCCTGGCCTATGTAAGTGAACCTGCTGGTGCCATCGGGCATTACTCCAGAGGCGGCAAGGCTAAAAGATGAAGAAAGGAAAATCGTGCTTTGGGTTGTGTTTTCTTTAATCTAACATTTGCACTGCTGGTGTTTCCAATGCTGTTCAAATAACAACTTCAACTCACTCGCAGAGTTTGCACAGATTGCCTCTGGGATGTTTGCATGCGCTGCATTCTCCACATTGTGGGGCAAAGAGTGGGATGACTTTGTCTCCTGGGAATGATGAAAATACCATCATTAGCCTGCTTAAAATATTCGGACAAGCTAGTACATACCACAGGCTTGGGGAACCTTCAGTCCTTCAGATGTTGCTGGACTATGACTCCCATCAACCCTAGCAAGCATGGTCAATGGCCAGTGTAATGGGACAGCTGAACTGAGCCAAGACAGCCAACCAAAGTGGAGTGCAAGGAATCTTGATTTTCTTTTTTTTAATGCTCTGTGTGTCTGTTTCTAATCTTGCCCCTTTCTAAAATTTATCTATTGCAGTGTGTTTTTCTTTTTGTAAATCTACCAAAGAATCAAATCCGGTCAGGATTAAGGGGTTTTCTCAAGATGGTGGAGGGCATGTGTACAGTGTTGCATTGGTGCAGTGCTGATGGCACTTACCCTTCCTCTGTTGGGAAATGCTTTTTTGAGGGCGGGGGACAGTACAAAATTGGGGAGGGGGTTGAGGAGGGTCAGTTGGAGGTGGGAAGTGAGAAATGTCCCTATTTTCATCTGAGCAATGTTGGAGGGTATGTCATGAACATTGCAGATTCTTGTGCAGCTAGCTGTGAAGTGGGGAGGGCTGGAGGGCTGAGTTTGGGAGTACCTGCTCTTGGACATTCAAATCAGTAGAAGGGGCCTTTTTGGTAGTTCCTCTTTCATCAACATTTTGGGGTGCTGGCAGTATAGCAGTCCTGGTCTTTGGCACCTGAGAATAGGGACTACCCTATTCTCTTGACTGCAATTTGTTTTAAATTATGGTAGTATTGCAAGTTTAAGTAGTTGTGACCCACCCTGGCAAGTGATAGTAGTAGTAGAGTTGTAGTAGTAGTAATAATAATATCACCAGTTAAGTAGAAATAATGTTGCTGACTCCTATTCAGAAATGTCTAGCAATTGATTCCAAATTCTGGCATTTACATTAAAAATCTAGTCACTGGCCCAGAGCTGACTGCCCTTCCCTAAAGAAAACACTTTATTGGTTATTCTTCCATCAGTTGGTTGGCTCTCCTAGTTTCGTTTGATCCTTGTTGACCAATGCTGTGAGTTGATATTTTCTGGTTGCACTCTGCTTTACCTTACCTGGTTTCACACAGGTAACTCCTTCCCCAACGCTCTCAACAACACCAGCTGCCTCGTGACCAAGAATAATGGGGAATTTTACCTGCATTGCCCCACTTAGAACATGGTCATCGGAGCGACAGATTCCAGACGCCAAAATCTGGGTTAAAGGAGAAAGTTTTTTATTTTATATTATTTTTAAAAATTCAGTTCATGAATTACCTCCCATAAGAGATCTCAAAATGATATTGCAGTAAAAACATAAATAATGGAAACAATTACTAACAAATCAACATGTAGAAATATTTAAAAGCAATTAAAAATAATTTCATGTGTGAAAACAATTTCACATCTAATTCAGACTGGTTAAAGATCTCCACTTAACAGGTTTTTTTGTGTTTTTTGAAAAAGGAAGTCTTTAATTGATACCCATCATCCAATACCAAATATAACCAGGGAGCTTTTGAGTTTCAAGTTGGTCCTGGAAACACCCCTCTCATGATATTGCTCACAACCCCTCTCCTGCAGCAACTTGCAGGGGTTCAAAACTCTCCTACATTTCCACATCAGTTTGCAGGTTTTTGTTTTAAAGTACTCATGAAAATTCATCAGGATTTCAGTGCAAATTTCTCCTAATATATACATGTTTGCTATAAAGATCTACAATGACTCCCCATGTGTTTCCAAGCACAATTCAAAGTGTTAGTGTTGACATTTGTTAATATTCTGTTGGAGGTTACCCAGAGGTGCTGGGCAACCCAGTCAGGTGGGTGGGGTACAAGTTGTTGTTGTTGTTGTTGTTGTTGTTGTTGTTGTTGTTGTTGTTATACTGAGTCAGACCATTGGTCCATCAGCATTTTCCACATTGACTGAAAGCAGCTCTCCAGAGAGTCAGACTAGGGACTCTCCCACACCTGCCTGGAGATACCAGTGATTCATCCTCAGACTTTTTCAAGCAAAACAGCTGCTCCTCCACGGGCTGCAGCCCTTCCCTATTCTCATATTGTTTTTGAAAGCATAAATTAGGTAGATTTATCTTTAAATGCAAACTGAATCAAATTTCTCCATCCCTAGTGCAGATACTAACAATCTGCAGAAATGCCATTTTTGATTTGTCTCTCTTACCTTAATCCGAACTTCATGTGCCTTAGGTGGGGCAACTTCTATTTGCACAATACTAAATGGTTTCTGGACTTCCCAGACAACGGCAGCTTTGCACTTAATGACCTGAGATAATAGAATATCATAACAGTATTTCTGTATGTAACTGTGCAATCCTATCCTGGACAACCCCCACCCCCAATAAAATGTATATACCAGTTGATTCTACAAAACCTCAAAACAGTTTACAGTGACAGCTCTGATTTCAATGTCCTGTGAAATAACAGAAGATCATATACTATTTTTCCACGCAGTTAACATTGCAATCCTCTGCATGTTTAATATTTAATATGCGCCCCAATACCAGTGTTATTTTTCTGGAAAAAGAGGTGCTGGAACTCACCATGAATGCCTCCTTTGTTCTCTTACAATGGCAATGGCACCCATCTGAGAGATGCCGGAATTGAGTTCTGGTGAGTTCCAGCTGAAAAAAAGCCCTGCCTATAGCCAAATTCCTCAGGGTGGCTTTTAATTAGACATCTTTTTACAATCTTCACCAGGGCTTACTCCCTGGTTAAGTTATTTAGGATTGAAGCCCTGATGACCACTGAGCTAGTTTTCAACTTGCTGGATGTTTCTCCCTCCCCAGTTGAAAGCATGTTTAACATTCACTGGTTTGATATTAATGATGGTGTTCCAGGAGGAGGAAAATAGAAGAAACTTTCAGGAACCCCTAAGATGAAACTTCCAAGAACTTCTTGGATGAACTTCAAGGAATGTATTTCTCCTGCTTATAGTACAATAAGCCTATTTTGTATTTTTTAAAGCTATTTATGCATCTTGGTCTGAAAAAACAACTTTAAAAGAAATCATCTACTTACTTTCCCTGCAGTGCTCATGATGTTGAGCTTTGTAATATACCGTATCTGCTTCCTCTGTGTTGTTTCAGAACTTCTAGTCTGTCCTCCTAGAAGTACAAAGGTTCTGCTGCAAATATTTGGTTTATCTTTCAACTAAACATAGCCCTTCCCCAGTTCAACACCAAGAAATGTGGCCACTCCTCTACGTTCAGTTTGTTTCCACCTGCAATTTCACAACTGCAATTTCACAAGGTTAAGAGTCCTCAGCTGTGGTACAATACACCGTTCATTTAGATTGCACTCAAGGAAATAAGAGCTGTATCCTCCATGAAAATTCGCTTTAATCTTTTCCAAACTGTGCAACGCATCCGTTGCGGATCCCACCCCATGGGCAACTCTGGTCCGTGAGTCTGCTCTCAGCAGGGCTAGCACTGTGTGTGATTAAAGATGATAGCAATTAACAATGGTGATAAGAAAGCCCAAACAACCCCTCACCCCGATCGTCGCAAGCGTAGCCGTTGAAGATCACATTGTCGTTTTTGAACAGGGACTCTAGGGACGAGTTGAAATCACTCTCCATCCTTCTGTTGGAATCGGAGCTGCTGTCGGAGCTGATCTTGATGACGCTGCTCGTAGTGAGGTCCATCTTGACATAAATACACGGGACACATTGCTTGGGTCAAATATCGGCACAACTTTATTGATTACAGATGAAGGGGTTGGTCAGGCATTGGGAAAACCAGTTTAAGTGCCAGCCCGCCTGTATTTCTGTGGGGTCAACTCAAGGCAAAGAGGCCCCTAATGACACACATCAAGTACGAACCCCTTGCAGGGTTGCTGCCTTGAGGAGTACTCTGGCCCTTCCTCCCTCCTGCCTGGGCTTCAGAACTGAAGCTACTCCTTCCAGATCCCTTTGCAGGGTTTCCCAAATTTGGGTCTCTAGCTGCTTTGGGACTACAATTCCCATCAATTTAATGGAAATGATATTAGTAATTTTGCTATAGTAACTGCAGGCCGCATCCAAGATTCTGAAAAAGCTGCTTTCAGAGAAAGACAGCTCTGAAGTGCAGCTGTCATCTCTTTGTTCTGTTCTAAAGGTCTTTTGAATTACTAGTTTACAGCTGCATGTTCTCTGTCTCTCACACTCTCTCACAAACATTTTTAAAAAATAATGATAATAATAGCACAGTTATAAAAAGCAGCATGGACGCGTCCTGTGTCAGTGGCTGGGAATCCAATTCCTTATCTGCAGTGCAGTAGGGACAAAAAGGCACCCCATAACCACATTGTACAGTGTAAATGGGTTGGAGGACGTACTGAATACCTTGTACAAGACAAATGTGTCTGCATCATCTGCATCTAGTTCCTGATTTAGGAAGCAAGTCTCTTCACACAAAAGCTGTTTTTCTGAATCAAGGTTTTAATATTTTGCTTTGATTTCTATTTTTTAAAATCATATGAAAAAGGGTTGTTTCTCTGCTCTTAATTAAAAAAAATTGCCGTTTTCACAAAGTAAAGCATGAAAGAAGAAAACAGGACGTACAAAGCACACATTTGCCATTCATCGTACAGAAATAAAAGTATTTTGTTCAAAGATTGTGTTCATGCACTATTCTCAGGAAATCTCTAAGTATGTATTTCTCAAATAGTGTTCCATCCTCCCTAATGTAATTTGTGTTAATGGAGGCTGAATCAAGTGTCCATCTCTATTTGCATACGAAGGAAAGGGCTATCCTACTCCATTAAGTTTATTACCTTTAATGACTCTGTTTTGACACACCCAGTGCTCCAAGGAGGCTATAACCCATATCTTATCAAGCCAACCTTTCACCGAAAAGCCCTTCATCTTCCAGTAGCTTTCCACGTCCATTCAGCCTGCTGAGGGCTACCAGTTTCCATTGAAGCAACTGAAGGCCTGCAGGTTGCCCAATATTTAGTAATGCTAGAACTGGGTGCTTGTCCAGCAATAGCTGCAGGAAATCTGCATTCCTACCATATGTGGATAGGTCTCCTCTTTCCCCACACCTCCTCCTAGAATGTACTCCTCTTGAAATGAACAGGTTTACCCCGTGCAATTTGATCAGGAACCAATGCTATCTCTCCATGGCCTTAAGGTTGCTTCCTTTCTTTAAGCCACCCAGAGTGGCAGGGGAAACCTAGCCACATGGGATGATGATGATGATTATTCCTGGATTCTAACTGACATAGTTTATAACAGTGTTTTGCTTGTGTTTTACCCCATATAGCATTCCAGGGGCGGACTTTGGTCTTTAAAATTTCATCGGTGCCCAATGTGAGGACAACATCGGCCCCCTTTGCCTTCTGTTCTGCTCAATTGACTACATTATAGATGAGACACCCTGAAACACCCACTAGGCTCCATGTCCAAGGCAGCAGAACCATCTCGATGCCCTAAATCTGCCTCTGCTGCGTGTCTTCTGAAATATTCTGCCCCTGCAGAGAGCCCTAGCAGAGATATTTGCTTTATAATGAGAGGAAAGGTTTGCTAAACACATTTTGCACCGTCACCCTGAATACCTAACAAAGCCTTAAATTTCAGGCAAATATTAAACCCATTGCCCTTGACTGATTTCTAAAGCATATTGACATTCAAGTAAAATCAATGATTAAGCCTGGCATTTAGTCAGTGGATATTTAGCTTTGCCACTGATAGATAGACTGGTAGTAGTTTTGTACCCACCAATGCTTAGGAATCCTGAGAGTCAAAAAGAAAAGAAAAATGTTGCATCATCTTGTAATGGTTTATTATGTTTTTATAAATGTTGGAAACCTCTCAGAGTGGCTGGGGCAACCCAATCAGATGGATGGGGTACAAATAATACTATTTATTATTATTATTATTATTATTATTATTATTATTTGCAAAAGCCTGTTCCTTGATATCAGGAATCATCATGCAAAACTTGGTCACTGTCTTGCTTCAGATGAAAGCAAATGTAGGAATCCTAAGTCCACTCACATGGGCAATTGCAAAAGGAAAGTCACAACAAATGAGGCAAGGTCCAAACAACAACAATAACAATTCCAAGCTCAAATGTTGTAACCAGACAAGTGGCACATCAAGAAGCTCCTGTAAGGATGTTGTTGTGGCATTTCTGCCAGAAACTTGAGAGTTTAAACCATGAGTCTTCAGTGTCCAAAATACACTGCTGCAGACCATCTGGAGTGCCTCAGAATTTTGGTCTACTCATGAGGTGTAGCTTCTTCACAAGGAGCCCCTTACTCCTGATGAGCCTTTGTTCTTCAGGCAGGCACTCCAGTGTCTTACAGCTGACCTTTAGATGCTACAGAGTCCTTGGACTCAGTGGCAGCTCATCCTCTACCTCTGATACTGTTCCTGGGACCCCTGTATCTTGTGGAGGGGGTTGGGGATGCAGTCACCTCCGAAGGTCCCAGATCCTCCTGCTCCATCTCCCTGTTCATTGACATAACCTGCTCCCCTGTAGCATCTGCTTTGGGGAGCAGCAGATCCACCTGCAAAGAGGATTCCTCCAGCGGGGGCATGACAGTTACAATATCTTAAGAGGTATTTTGAAAGGTTCAGTCCACAACTCCCTGCTGAGCAACCCAGCCGCAACCATTTGCCTCCAGAGTTTCTGCTGGAAGTACAGTAAATATCACAACTAACAGTATCTGGGAGGAGAATGATTTTCAGCAGAAAACTGTGGTGGGGTCCCAAACTGGATTAGGAACATGTTCTGGATTGGAGGTTGCCCTGCAGCTGCTTTGCCTTCAAAGTAGGCACAGTGTAGTAAAACCACAAATAATGTAGCATGTATTTTGACTCTGTGAGATGATTAGATAGAGAGATAGATGATAGATACTGTATTTTTCACTCCAGAAGACGCACCTAGTTTTTAGAGGAGGAAAACAAGAAAAAAAATATTCTGAATGAAAGAGTGGATGTGGGATTTTTGGGGTGCAGGCTGTAGCCATAGACAGGCTATGTGATCTGATTGTGAATTTGGGGTGACCTAGTGCAAAAATCCTGAGGATCCATGTGGATCTGTGCTTTGTAACCACATTTTTGAGCCATTGCTGCCCCACAAAACAGTGGATACGTGTGCTTTTTGGTGCAGGCTGTGGCCATGGACAGGCTATGTGATCTGATGGTGAATTTGGGGTGACCCAGTGCAAAAATCCTGAGGATCCATGTGCTTTTACCCACCCTCCCAGGCAGCCTCCTTTATCTCTAGAGTCCCTTATGTCCCTCCCGATCCCTTGCCGATTAGCTGCTCAGTGGCTTTGTTTCAACACCCCCTTCCCTCGTTTGCCTTAGTGTCTTTTCCTTAGCTGGAGCAGTTTTTTGCTCCTCCTTTTCTTCTAATTTCTCTCCTCATTGCTTTAATCTTCCTGTCTCCTCTCCTTGCAAGTTTATTGTCTTTACCTCCCCCCTCCCAGGCAGCCTCCTTTATTGCTAGAGTCCCTTATCTCCCCTCCCGATCACTTGCTGATCAGCGGCTTTGTTTCAACACCCCTTCCCTCTTTCTAAAAATAAAATAAAATCACGATCTGCTTTTTGCCCCTGGGCAATTTGGCTCCAGGGACCACGCATTCGCTCCACAAGGCGTACAGACATTTCCTCTTACTTTTTAGGAGGAAAAAAGTGCATCTTATGGAGCGGAAAATATGGTAGATGATAGGGCCACCCCACGCCCACCCCATTGAGCTTCATGGTTGAGTAGGAAGCTGAACACAGATGTCTCCATTGGATCCAACATTCTTTGCATTGGATCTACTTTTGGAGAGCTGACAGTACTGCCGGTGTACATGCTCCCCCCAGCATGATTTCTGGTCAAGCTACCATGGAAAAAACTTCAGGCAAGCGAAAGGAGCTAACCTGTGTCCCTCCAGATGTTGGAATCCAGCCCCTCAGCCCTAGCCAATGTGACTAATGACCAGGGAGTGATGGAAGTTGTCGTCCAGCAACATTCGGAGGGCTGCAGGTTGCTCCCTTTTATCTACTCCTTTCAGGTTAGAAAGGTTGCCAAATAGCTGGATTGCAGAACTCACAGATTCACGCCAGCTGAATACAGGAAAGTTGTTTTATTGATTACATATACACGCCAAGGGGAAAAAAAGACACATCAAAGAGCAGAGACAATGGTAGAAAGGTAAACAATAAGGTAAAATCAGGCTACACCTAAGTTTGCATGGGTTCTAATACAAACTGTCACTACAATCTTAACTCATCTCTTGGCAAACTTAGGGTCAATATACAGATGGCAGGGGAGACTGGGGACGTGGCCACCCGACATTTTCATAAACATCCCATAAGTTCTCGGCAGCTAAGCCAATACATAAGGAGGCCCCCTTTCAATATACTGGAAGCAAAGTCCTTGCAGCTGATAGCAACAAAAGTTTCAGAAATGATAACCTGCTATTAGGCCACATCTTTCTTTCATAGACTTTATCACATGCTGAGATGGGAATTAGCAAGAACTTTGGTCTGGATTCAACTAAACGGACACAATAGCGGAAACCAGGACAAAGGTATCTGCTAGCAATTTACCCTCCTCTGCACCTTCTCAAAATTCACTCTGGAGCATCAGGATAAATCCCTAGAAAAGTGCAGGGGGAGGGAGGGGGGTTATTCCATCTGGCAAGCAAGAAGTGCTTCCACTGTCAGAACAATCATAATAGCACAAGGTTGAATTCCTTCCATTATGAGAACCTGTGTGTCCCATGACTTAATCTGGTGCCTAACCCATCTCTCTATATATAACAAGTCACTTAAAAGATTATCTAGTACCGGCTTTGCCTTTGGAAACAGAAATATAGTTATTTTACCGTAAGTATAATCTATTGTAATGTGATTTATAGTAGCACTTTTTTTTACTGGCAATTAAAAAACTTTAGCTAGACTTTACTGCGCCCTTGAAACAATTTGTATAATTAATGTAGATACTGCTAAATTAAGGCACTTTGTATACAGCTCCGAGTGATGAAAGGTGCTTTATAGAAATAGATGCAACAATTGCTCTGATCCAGATGGCCATTCCGAGTACTCAGATGCATACATTGAGCTCTTCTGGTGAGATCCCATTCATGTAAAATGCATATTATCAATGGAGAACTAAATTGCACGTGCATCCATTTGCATGCACAAATAGTGCTCAAAGGAAAGCTTTTGTACATGGAGAAATTCTACACATGCATCTGAGTTCTTCACCTATAAGCCATTTCTAGATCAGAAAGAGAGTTTACATGAAATCTTACTCAAATGCCAAATGGATAAAATGATGTATTTTTAATATAGGTTAGTCCAATATAACATGTCATTCTCTGGCTGGAAATGAAAGTCATAATTATGTTTTTTTTGAAAACAGTAAGAAACTCAATATTATGTCAAGCTCCTTAACACCTGATAACTTGAGAACTGTGTTTGCAGTAGTTTTCATTTATTTGGAAGCACAGAGAGGCTACTGTGCAGAAAATACCTTACCAAAAGAAAGTATTAGATTACCTTTGGCCATCACCTGGTCAACTAAGCTCTCAAGCATGTACATGTTTTCAACTCCTTAGCTAGAGAGAAAGCAAACCTCTTCAGATTTGGTCCATTAAGCAAACATGAGGACAGAAGAGAAGAAAATGAAAACATAAACAAACTTAGCACTCATATTGATTATAGACATTGGGAGTAGTAGCTTCCTCTATTGTTCACTCTGTCATCCTTCTTCTCACCCCAAGATATTAAAATGTCAAGACAGTGCGGATGCTGAAACATAAAAAACAATATATATATGATTCTGATAAGCCTTGCTTCCCAGGTACTCAAAGAGAGCTGCTAGAATCTTACTGTCTCCTGTACTTTCCCAACCTGCCTTTGCAGTATATCAGTGACTACTAGCTATGGTGTCTATGTTCTGCCTCCACTGCTGGTGGCCGTATACCTTCAAATACTGCTTACTGTTGGGAAACTGTGTATGTGCAGCTACTCACGCAGAATCAGTTAAGGTTTGGCAGACAGCCAGAAGGCAATCTGAAGGAGTAAGTCCACCTGGTGATAACAGAGGCTCCCTGATTGGTCAAGCTCTCTCAAGGGAGTGATAATTAATGGCCTACTAACTGGAATGTGTGTGTTCAGTGGTTGAGTTCAGAGTTCTGTGTCAGTGTAGAAGTTGTGAGTCGTGTCAGGGAGAGCTAGCATAAGATCTGTGTTCTGTTCCTGTAAATAGTCCACTGCATATAATAAAGACCTAACTACAAGTTCCTGGTTCCTGCTTCGTCTATCCTGTCTGCAGCCAAGTCGCCAATTGCTTCCGTGAATTCTGTGTGTACTCTGCTAGGTCTGGCTAAGGTCCTGCAACTAGTCAGAAAGTTGTGAAACTCCAATAGGTTTTGCCAATATGGTTTCCCATATACATCTGGTTGGTCAGTATGAGAACAATCTGCTGATGAGCCTTTGACCTGATCCAACGGGACTCTTCTCATGGGAGAGAGAAGAGTCAAGGATGTTTGTCTTGTGCACATGGTAGTGGTCCACATGCAATCAGAAAGGGCCCAGCCATTAGGTAGTGCGAGGCCACTGCCTCAGGCAGCAAAAGCCCCCCAAGCAGCATACCCATGGGTTCCCCGCCTGCCCAACCACCTCCACCAGTGGCAGAGAAGCAGAACCGATTTGAGGCAAGACGGCGCCCATTTTGGGTGAGATCTTGCCTGAAATTGGCACCAGCGGTGACAGTGCTTCTTGCCAGCAGTGGATGCAATGGGGCACAGGGTAGTGGTATAGCAGGTGGCCGCAGGAGCAGATAGGTGGTGGTGACAGCAATGACAGCAGAACTTCCAGGTGTCACATAAGCAGAAGCAGCTGCCTTGTCACAGGTGAGACTGTTTGTCCATCCATCGGAACCTGGTTAGTTTGGCCATGACCTGATGATAATCACCTTGTTGTAACACACAGGCAGGCTTCTTCACTGGTAGAACCAGTGTTGTGGAACGCTCTGCCTGCTGAAATACGAGACACCCCATAGGTTCTGGCATTTTGCTGCCTCGTGAAGATGCATCTCTTTAGACAAACCTCCTGATCTCCAGACCTGAAGCTCCGGATCTAATAATTTCAGTGCTGCTTAACTGATAAACCATTTTAATGCATTTATTTTATTGTGCATTTTAATTAGGTGTAAAGAGATATTCTATAATTGGTTTGTAAACCCCTTAGAAGCCATTTTGTCAAGTAAGCGATATCAATACAGGCAACCCCCCATTCAATATGTGTGCAACTGTGCACATGTGCATTGCGCCAAACCCAGAAGTGACACAAAAACATCACAAAAATGTCAGAAACGGGATGTTTGCAGGCTTTTCCAATGGTGTTTCAAATATATGCAATTTCACTGATTTGCACAGTGTCTCAGAACACAACCCCCAGGTAAATGGGGGGGGGGGTTGCCTGTATATAAATAATAAAAATAATCATTTTGCCCAGTAGTCTTTTCTCTGACTAGTGACAGTGCTATTCCAGAGCCCCAGACAGGGGGCTTTTTCCTGCTATGCCACCTGATCCTTTTTTGAAAGATTGTAAACCGAACCTACACATGCAAATTGGATGTTCTGCTATGGAACTTACAGACATCATCCCAAACCCATCACCTGTGTGGAGGCAGCAACTGACATGGAGGCTTCCATTCGCCCCAGTTAGTCTTGCCTGATTGGAAATCTGCAGGTAGCCCCACAAACTGTACCCCATAGTCAAGGAGAAGGTATTTAAAAGTACAGCTAAGAAAGAAGAAAAAAGAATCACCTCTTTCCTGCCCGGAGCAATTCAAATCCTTCATTGATTTTTTCAAAAGGTAGTGTATGGGTTATTAATGGATCCAAGATGAATTTCTTCCCCAGGAAATCAGAAACCAGTCTGGGGACAGAGTCTTTGCTCTTCCACCCTGAAAACCAGCAAACCGGGAAATATCAGGCAAAATGCAACATGGAAATAAGAGCAATACAAACTGTGAAACTATTTCCCTGAAGTTTTACTGCAAAGGACTCCTGCTTCCTTGAGAAAGAGCCACTAGAGCCCTTATCCAGGACTGTTGCGGCCCCAGCCATGCTGCCAGTAGCAGATGGCATGGTGGCACAGATACATTTACCCAGTCTCTTGGTAGGTGAGTTGCTGCTGCTTACCAGGAAGGGAAGGGACAAACCAGAAGGGAAGGCAGAGCAGTGCAAAGGCTGGTAAGTGCATTGATTTGGGTACACTAGTGCATTTAAACCATGCTGACCTCATTGCCACTTCCCCTTCTTGGTAAGAAGCAATGACTCACCTGCCAGACATCAGGTAAGACTATGGTCCTCCATCACACTACTGCCTGTCGGCCTCCTCTGACTCAGGATAAGTTCCTTGTTTTACCTCTGTCTCACCAGTCTTGAATAAGCCGAATAATACAAAATAACTAGCCAGCCAGCTCCTCCTGGGAAGTGGAGCCCACTACAGTCCAGCTTTGGTCATAAGGCTTCATCTGACTCTAACTCACTGCAGGGACAACTTCTCTTGCGACTGTCTTGGAGCTGTCCAAAGTTCTGAATGCTCTCTGCTTGGCTTGGACTTTAGACTGCTTCCCCTGCGACCGTTCAGGCTCCCACTCGAACTGGACAGCCTGTTCCTGGATCCAGCAGTTCACTGTTTCTCACCCCACCCTCCTTCCCAACTCTAAGAACCTCCAAGAGAAGCTTGAATTAGTACTGAGAAGTGGGGAGCTATCAAGTATGCCAGTGGAACTCTTGTCATTGGCAGCTGACAACAGGATTCAGTTGTGTGCTGTTCCTGGGTTTGGAGGTACAGTTTGTACATTTCTGCATTAACTATCCCAAAGCACACTCAGAAACTCACCGCCATGTCCAAAATTATCCCTTTTTTGTGGACATGAAACTATCCAAAATTTTAACCTGCATACATGGAATTAATATGCTTTTTTGGGGGGGGGGAGCCCACAATCATACCTCCAAAAACAGATCCTTTCCAGGTACGGCCTGTGAAAAGCAACATCGGGTCAACAGCAATTGTAGAGGTGGAAGGAGGCACTCCCACAATTACACTGGTCCCATAGTTGCTGTGGCACGATGCCAGGGCAGCCGTCTGAGGTAAGACACAAAGACATGGCATTTCATTATTTGTTTCATTTACAAAATGTGGTGATGACAAAATAAAAGCTCTCCCCTGGCCTAAATAGTAAAATGGGACAATGGTTAAAAATCCCAAAGCATCTGAATGTCAAAGCTTTCATTATTGTTTTTCTTCTCTTTCCCTTGAAAAATGTACTCTTTGAATCTTGTAGATAGGGATGCTCGAAAGATTTGGTGACTAAGAATTCTGATGTATTTTGACCTGATCTGCATCTCCAAGACTACCGTGTGAATCATAATGTAATTGTCCTTTGGATGTTGTGTCTCCCAGAATTTTGGAATACTGTTCTCAGCTCAGCTCAGCTCAGAGAGAGAGAGATGTGATAGGCAACTGTAAGTGTAATGTCAGACTAGGGATTTGAATCACCTGGAAGAGGGAATTTACAGTAATATCTTGGTATGGAAGTATCTGCCAGTCTCTCATTTTTCCCACACTTTTCTACATTTTGGTTTATTTCATTTTTTAAATCCTCATGTAAATCCACTGACATTTTGCTGCTAATTTCTCCTAATAAAAACAGGTTTATATACAGTTTTGATCAATTTTTGCAAGCCATTTCCCCTAATATAATGCATATTTATATGCTATTTCCCCAATATCTTCATTTTGATGCACACTTTCCCCTAATACATGCATTTTTCTAAACATTGGTTGGAAAACTGCACTGCAAAATTCAGAGAAATGCAAATTTGAAGGAGAGCTGTGTTTCTGTTTGCATAATGTTTTAGAAAATGCAAATCTGAGACATTCAGCTTTAGATGCATACCGAATCAAATTTCTCCTCCATCCCTTTTCATGTGGCACAGCCTACCCTCAGACATCAGTCATGCACCACAACCAATTTTATATTTTGCCACGTATTTGTTCACCCAGGACTTTCTCAATCAATACTCCTGACTGTACTGATCTATCCCCAGGTTGGCTATTTTAATTCTGCCTTATGGGCACTATTTGGCAGTCCAGTTTCTGAAGTCACATACCATGGTGTCAACACGCCCAATCACTTCAAACGAGTAGTCTACACCTTCACCATCAGTCAAGTCAAACAGCACTTCATTGATGGGCTTCTTGAAATCCAGAGGGTTGACGCACTCCGTGGCTCCCATCTCTTTAGCCTTGGGAAATTTATCCTTGTTGATGTCGACCCCGATGATCCGGGATGCTCCAGCTGCTTTGCAGCCCATGACGGCTGAGAGACCAACTCCTCCCAGACCAAAAACAGCACAGGTTGAACCAGGCTCCACCTAGGAAACCATAAGATCAAAAAAAAATTGTTGCACAGCTCGGTAGTCCTAGTATATCTCAGTGTAGCATACTTTTCAGCTTTTGTTCAGAAGACAATTTTACTGGTGTGGAAAAAATATGTATTTTAACTTCTCAAAACAGGGTTGGGGCAATAGGTGGGCAGGGAGCTGTTTCCATCCTGCTCTGCTAATTCACCTGGCTTTTTGGTCCCTTCCAGTAGGGACCAGCTTAGAATTTCAGAAATAAGGGGCATTTAAGGAGCTGTACCCTCTGAAATATGGTCCTTCTAATGTGTGGTACAAAAAGTGTAAAATATGGAGCTATCCTTTGTGTGTTATGTATTCTGGATTGGTCTCAGGGCTATCCATCCCTTGAAATGGTAATTCGCAGACTTTGGTTCCTGAAATCCAGGTTTACATGATACCTAGAACACATCAGAGGGCTCTATACCTTGATTTTAGAACACCTGTTTTGGCTCAGTAAAAACAGCTTCTCAAGACTGTTGGAGATAATGGTCCAAGGGGACAGCTTGACATACCTATGGTGACAGCAGCATGTGCTCTGTCTCTTTGCTGTGACAGCTAATTAGGCAAGACACTGCTGTCCTGAGATGGGACAAAAAAGGACACATTGTATGGAATGCTAATGATGATCAGCTGCTTTACATTATTTTTCATCTCGGGATGAAATGAACAGGGGAACAAGGGATGAGGCAAGACAAATGCACCCTGACTCATATACAAATGGTAGGTAAATGGCAGAACTGAGCAGACCAATCTGTCAAGGAAAACACAAATAATTGTATTTGCATCTAAGCCTGTGGTTCTCAAACTTTTTTCTCCGCATCACACTTTAAGAATAAAAATTTGCTCATGCCACACTGGTTTTTTTTTTTTATTGATAAGAAATGCACTGGAAAACAAAAAGAAACAACTCCTAGCAGTGCTTGATTTATAACATAGAACACAACTACTTTATAAGATGATCATGGGACATCCAGAAAGTATAAAACAATGCAGCTACATAAGAACATAGACTCTAATTCTAAATGAGCCTCTTACATGTATACACAAAATATGTACACAAAGTCAATGAGAGGTATGAGCTTGCTTTGGCCAGGTAATTTCATTTATATTAGGTCTAATTTGAGACAAACAAACTCATGTCCTCTCATCTACACAATGAAGCCTTTCGCTTTCCTGATCATTCATATTTGTCCGAGTTGAAAATGCCTGTTCACACCAATATGCTGTGGAGAACAATATGTTGTGTAGAAGAATAGCCAATGCTCTTTGAAGAGAGGTGTGGATACTGCTTCTGTTTGTATATCCCCTCCCCCATATTTTGATACTACAGTGGTACCTCTGGTTGCGAATGGGATCCGTATCTGCGCAGGTGCGCGGTGCGATTTTGCACTTGTGCGCATGCGCGAAGCACAATTTAGTGCTTCTGCGCATTCGCAAGGGGCGAAACCCGGAAGTAACCCTTTCCGGTACTTCTGGGTCACCACAGGATGCAACCTGAAAAAATGTAACATGAAGCAAACGTAACATGAGGTATGACTCTATACTATACTATACTATACTATACTATACTATACTATACTATACTATACTGAAATGCTTAAATGTTTCTTTGATTGTCCTTGAATCTTCCCTCTGCCCTTGGCATCCTCTCCTGCCACACCAATGTGGCATGCCACACCTTTTGAAAAGCACTGAGCTAAGAAGCGGATATACTTGTGCTCTACTAGAACTCACCTTGGCTGTTTGAACGGCTGCACCATAACCGGTGGAAAACCCGCAGCCAATCAGACACACTTTTTCCAAAGGAGCAGCAGCATCAATTTTCACCACTGCATTTTCGTGTACCACAGTGTATTCCGTGAAGGTACTGGTGCTGATGAAATTATGAAGGCTTTTCCCTTTGCAGGTGAACCTGCTGGTGCCATCGAGCATTAATCCACGAGCCTCACTGAGGCTGTTGAAAAGAGACAGGCAGAAATGGGGGGGGGGGGGGAATAGATGTGACCTTAATGCGCATCTTAAAATGCAAATAGCACCACCTGGTTGTGTGTATATAACAGTTATTGTAGTTCGGGTTAACTCTTTCCTTGAGGAAAATCCTCCTCTAAATCGTTATTGTATCGGGAGGGAAGCTTCTATCAGAGGCAGTGCCAAATACTGGCTATAGTGCCCAATGGAAGCAGGTGAAGAACAAAGTGAATCAGTACCAGTGCTTGGAATGAACTAGTTTAGTTTAACAAAGTTCACTGAATTGACTCAAAAATCTCTGAACTACACAGAGTGAACCGAAGATGAATTAGATGAGAGGCAGTGTGGTGTAGTGGCTAGAGTTTTGCCTAGAACCTGGGAGAAACCAGGGTCAAATCCCCACTCAGCCACAAAGCCCACTGGGAAAAACACAAAGACCTTGGGACAAACCCTGCCTTTCAGCCTAACCTACCTCACAGGGTTGTTGTGGGGATTAAATGAGAAAGGAGTACACCATGTACACCACCTTTGGCGGGAAGGTGGGGTATAAACACAATTAATTTAAAAAAAAAGTAGTTCCTTTTTAAAAAATGAACTGCTCTGATTAATATAAGGAGATGGAACACTACCTTGTGTTCCTGCCTCTTTCCCTTTGTTTTAATTTAAACAACAGCCATTAAATTATGTCAGAAAAACTGTGTAATAATAATAATAATAATAATAAACTGAAGCTCACTCATGTTCAGAACAGAGGTTCCCTTTGGTACTTCGGCAAGAAGTGCATTTTCCACATTGTGGAACAAAGAGGGGGATTACTTTGTCTCCTGTAGAAGAAAATACACAAATAGTTAAAACTTTTACATGAGACCCCATAACAATGTAGGAAAGCACAACTCAGCAGCCACTTAAGTAACACAACACTGGGAAGAAGGACTGCAGTGTCATCAAAGAACTGTATTAAAACTTAATTTTTTTAAAAAACCACACATATTCATCATAAACTGGACAATTTGCATAGTGCAAAGTTAACCTTCTATTTGCTTGCACAGGTCAAAAACGTTTACACTGTGATTTGCAAATATTAATTTTGCAACACCTTCTTCAGCTGAGACACCGATGGCCACAAGTGTTATCATGTGAGAAGTAGCCCTCAGGGTCTCATGTGAAAGCCCTCACCCCCCACTCTTCATACCTGGTTTCACACAAGTCACTCCCTCTCCAACACTCTCTACAACACCAGCTGCTTCATGGCCCAGAACAATCGGAAAAGGCATAGCAAAGGCACCGCTGATCACATGGTCATCTGAGCGACAGATCCCTGTGGCCAGAATCTGCACAGAAACAAAATTGTGCTTCAGGAGAGGAGAAATCATTGTGTTCTTTTCCTGTTTGGACGTTAGATATTAACATATTTCATGATAACTCTTTTAGCACCTGGCTGTTACCTGTGGAACAACATCTTGCAGCCTAGAGATGAAAAACATGTGACCTTCCAAATGTTGTTGGACTCCCAGCTCCCATCAGACACTGCCAGTATGGACAATAGTCAGCGATGATGGGAACTGGAGTCCAACAATCTCTGGAAGGTCACAGGTTCACCATCCTTGCTCAAGGCTCTTGAATAAAAAATGTTCACAGAAGGGTTGAAGGAACTCAGATTCCCCTACAGCAAATGATGAAACCAACAGTTAGATAACCTTGCATGCTTGTATTATTTTATTTTATTTTTTTGCTAAACCCATTTAATATGTATGATGTACTCCTTAGGAACTGGAATGATAATATTTGCTAAAACAGTGGCAAGCAAGGGAAAATGGAATGTCTAAGGCTGTATACACATTCAGAACACATTTCCCCCCTCCAATTCTGGACACTGTTGTTAACCCCTCACAGAGTTACAATTCCGAGTAATCCTTAACAAACTACAGTGCCCAGAATTCTTTGAGGGGAAAAAATGTGCTTTGAATGTGCTTTAAAGATATATACAAAATAAAGGGTCTGTTTACCTTGGTTAAACTCGTGGCCTATCAAAGACCACCATTACATCATCAAATGTGTGAAGTCTTGTTATATGCTCTTTATTAAGAGCATTTTATATCTCTAATGTAGACTGTGACTTCCTGAATTTGATTTCATAAATGCTATGTAACTGTAACATTTTGAACTATATCTTGTGTTTTTCAATAAACAAAGAACAACATTGCAAGGATGAGTCTTCAGTCCATGTAGCATCAACGTGATATGTCTCGTTTACCTTAATGCGAACTTCATGAGCCTTCGGAGGAGCTACTTCCACTTGCTCAATGCTCAGAGGTTTCTTAACTTCCCAAGCAACAGCTGCTTTGCATTTAATGACCTGTCAAGATGATAGAAGATATCAAATCACTTTTGTTATTGTGTGTTACACTTGAGGCACCTTAGATCATAGCTGGAAGATGGACATCTGAGGTCTTCTAGTCTATGTTCAACGTCAGAAAGGTCCAACCAGTGAAGACAGGAGCAGGAAGAGCAAATAGTCTCTTGTGCATTGTAGATTTTTGAGGATATTTTCATTGAGACCTTTTGCAAGTGCCATAGGAAGTACCAGTAGGCACTCATGGGCACCCTGTTGGCAAACCTTGCCTAGCATAGGAATGGAGAAACCACAATGAATAACAGCTGAGCAGCTGCTGGAAGCTTGCTCCTACCTTCCCTTCATCCTATGACCTCTGCATCTCTTCCTTTTAGGTATGGAGAACCTCTGGCCTGCTGGCCCAGTTTATATTTTATATTGACATGCTCATTACGAAAAAGGTGTGATATAAATTCTGTTGGTGTTTTTTGTGGGGTTTTTTTTAAAGTGATGCTAAAACAACTTTTAGCCTGGAACGTGTCATTGGCAATACTATTAACGTAGAATAGAATGTAGAAGGGAGGTATTTTCAAATGAGATGATGAATATTCTTGCCAGCACATATTTTACACTGGAATTTCATATCTGGCAAATGCAATAAATGTGGTGGTGTGTTGTTGTTTTTAGTAACCTCATTTAAATACAACCAGTAAAAGCTGCCTAAACAACATCCAGTATCAGTTCATTTACTTTATCTCTTTTGCAGAAAACTGCTTCTTGGCAGGACATTCTGTAATAGTGAAGCAATCCCCACACCACTAAATATGTATCATCTATCTGACATTCTGTCTTTGGGAAAATTAGTCTTTTTTTTAAAGCATGTCTGCTGTTATTGTAGGCAACATTACCTTTGGGAATCCAGAACTACTGAATACCACAAACCACTTACTAGAGTCTCCTAGTTAAATGGTTCGTTGAATTAAATGATAAAAAGTGCCATAGGTATTTGTTCATAATAGAGTGTGAAGAAATACAACTTTTTGTATATTCCTTTTATTGAATTGTATCCAACTGTCTAAGGAGAACCATTTGACTAACTTGGCGGATCCACTTAATTCAACAGGTCTATTCCGAGTACAGTGGTACCTCGCAAGACGAATGCCTCGCAAGACGAAAAACGCGCAAGACGAAAGAGTTTTCCGTTTTTTGAGTCGTTCCGCAAGACGAATTTCCCTATGGGCTTGCTTCGCAAGACGAAACGTCTTGCGAGTTCTTGCGAGTTTGTTTCCTTTGTCTTAAAGCCGCTAAGCCGTTAATAGCCGCTAAGCCGCTAATAGCCGTGCTTCGCAAGACGAAAAAACCGCAAGACGAAGAGACTCGCGGAACGGATTAATTTCGTCTTGCAAGGCACTACTGTATTACTTCTGTCAGATACAACCCACTGAGTTTATGAGAGGAATAACAGAGGTCTGTGGAAGTACAGAAGCATTTCCATGATCCAAATTGAGATGTTGAATATCCTTAAGTATTCTTGTTAAAAATCAGTGGTGTGTGCATTCCTTATACTTTAGTTTATTTCCACATTGTGAAGTTCTGCTTATATATGTAGAAGAAAGCCTTATCTGTGTATTTATTGAAGAAAATTGTGTTTCTTGGCAGTGCATTCAGGAAAATACTCAACCGTTTCTAATAAAACAGGCATATTGTGCTTTAAATTATTTGAGCAAAGAGTAGCTGCCTCGGAACTGAAATATAAGAGGCCTGGCTTAAGAGTCTGTAGTATAAGGCTTAGACACAAAGGTAGCAAACAGTGTGAGTTGTAGTCCAGCCACAACAACTCTCACCATTGGGAGTCCTGAAACATTGGGCTTCTCACTTTCTCAGTCTAAACTTCCTCCAGGTTACAGAGAAGAATAATGGGAGCAACGGGAAGAAAACCGTACACACCTCCCTTAGCTCCTTGGGGAATAGGTAGGATTTAAATAAAAGGTGGTGTTCATTGTGAGCTTAATATCTGCATATGTGAATTATGGTGCATCTGCAAATTATGGTGCTAGAGGAGACTCTTGAGAGTCCCATGGACTGCAAGAAGATCAAACCTATCCATTCTTAAGGAAATCAGCCCTGAGTGCTCACTGGAAGGACAGATCCTGAAGCTGAGGCTCCAATACTTTGGCCCCCTCATGAGAAGAGAAGACTCCCTGGAAAAGACCCTGATGTTGGGAAAGATGGAGGGCACAAGGAGAAGGGGACGACAGAAGACGAGATGGTTGGACAGTGTTCTCGAAGCTACCAGCATGAGTTTGACCAAACTGCAGGAGGCAGTGGAAGACAGGAGTGCCTGGCATGCTCTGGTCCATGGGGTCACAAAGAGTCGGACACGACTAAACAACTAAACAACAAAAATGTGTTCCAGCTGAAATCTCTCCAGAAAGTTTTAACCCACAGCCATCAGATTTGCACCTTCATGGATTGTTTAATACATATATTTTTTAAAAAATGAAATACTTTTCTCAATGTGTTTATGGGAAGGTCCATGGCTTAGTGGTAGAACATCTGTTTGGCATGCAGAAGATCCTGGGTTCAATTGCCAGCATTTTCTGGTGGGGCTGGGAGAGAGCCCTGTCTGATATGCTAGAGAGCCACGGCCGGTCAGTGGAGCTCGGTGGACCAGATGGCCTGACTCTGCCAAAGGGCAGTGTCCTATGCTGCAATGGAAGGAGGAAGAAGATAGGCAAAGAACTTTGAGGTGCCTTGAAGATTAAAAAATGATGAAGTGGACTGTACAGCAGGAAAGCTTGTGACGGAATAAATGTTGGAAGTCTAAGGTGCCACAAGACTCCTTGTGAGTTTTGCTGCTAGAGATTAAGACTGCTAGCCCTCGTACATAGAGTAATCTCAGTCCTATAAGCATAGCTGTCAACGTTTCCCTTTTTAAAGGGATATTCCCTTATTCCAAAAAGGATCCCTCGCAAGAAAAGGGAAAAGTTGACAGCTGTGCCTATAAGATCATGAAAATAAGAGGTATTTGGGGCATAATGTATGCACTGCTTTCATATGAGGGAAGCTTAAAAACTCCAAAGTGTGGCAACAATCCAGCAAAAGTGAAGCACTGTTGAAGTCTCATTGCTTCCAGCAAGAATGAGTTAAGCATGTATTTTAACTTTCCAGCTATAATTGGTAGAAACATAAGCAATGGCTAGGTATTGCTGCCCTACTTGTATTTTAACTTGAACTATGCTTTCTTTCTTTTTTCTTTTTTAAAAACCTTTTGCTTTCAAGTTTCCATTAGCTTAAAACGAGCTTTCAGTGCAGCAGCCTTCAACATAACACGTTTGTTGGATACTGTTGTACAGTACATTCTTGTTCCTTCCCAAATCGGTGGGCTCTTCCTGGCGCATAGAATCATATAATTTTAGAGGTGAAAATGACCTCAAGGGTCATCTCGTCCAACTCCCTGCATCCATGAATGTTGCTTCTCCAGCTATTTGTGTTTTTAATTTTATAAGTTTTGTGATCACTCCGTTGGAGTTTTATCCTTTTCAGCCCTGACTTTTAGAATCATTTTTTAAAACTATATATAGTATATATAATCTCAACTGATACCCATGAAACAAATTTACAATTACAGAAAAAAAAAATGAAAAGGAAATTACTTTAAAAATCATTTGTGCAATCCAATATTAATTCTGGACCATGAGCACCAGTGAATACTCAGCGTTGATTTTTCTACTTACTTTGCCTGCAGTACTCATTGTGCTTCTTCCTCAGTTTTGCAGTCTCTCCTGCTCTCTGCTTTCTTGGTTTAGCCTGAGCAAATTGTTGGACAGTTTGCTTACCCAGTTCCCTTGCAAGCTACAACTGCACAAACACAGCTTGGTGCCTTTTAACCAAACCCACTTATACTTAAATCCCACCCCAGAGCCCAAAAAGGAGATGCATTAGACCCCTCCTCTGCTATGATACACGATTCCACACTGCAGCTTAGCAGCAATGGAGATAAGGCTTATTAGAAGTTGATTGATGCTTATCAAGGTGTTTAAAACAGTGCTATAAACAAATATCCACGCAGATATGTGCCAAATTAAACAGCATAAATCCATCCTGCTCTAATCACAGGTGCATCTAACATAGAAACCATTCATTCAGCTCCAGAGAGGAAATGAAACTAGATATAGGGTGTCTAGCATGTTACACTCCAGACCAATTTAATGAGGGGATGAAGAGGCAGCACTGTGCCTGTAGAACCCAGGGTTGCTCACTTGGCACCAGTTTTGATGAGTTTAGATACCTGGTGAAAATCTTATATATGCTAGGCCTTTTATTGACGGTTATTTTTTTTATTGCCATTCATGCGTATCAACTGTATTTTCTGTTTGTTTTTTGGTGAGTCTTTTGCTCTTTTTATTTTTAACATACTAATGGCATTTTGTACCAATTATTAATTTGTTTGGAACGCACCTCAGTTTTGCAGACCGAAAGGCAAGTGATAAATCGTTTCAGTCAGTCAAACTTTGGTAGGTAGCAGAATCACAGTAGGTATGTCCAATCAGAAGCTGTGATGGTCAGATCTGTCAAGGTCGGTTTTGCTCTATTTCTCAGTTTCTGCATCAGTTTGCAATGCTATTATGAGCTTTCCATCTGTACAAGCATTGCAGCTTGCCAGGCAAAATGACCCCCTCTTGCTGCTCCCAGTGCATGTCCTAGACTCTAGAGGATCTCCCAACCTCCCCCTGAATCCATTTGGGGGTCATGGGGGGAGAGGGGGAAACCCCTGTTGCACAATTGGAAGTCCTTGCACAAGACTTCTACTAACTGAGCTCATTAAGTGAATCCTGCCCATTGAGTTGTATTCAGCTAACATATACTCAGAGTAGACCCACTGAAAGTAATAGCTCCAAGTTATTCATAGCTATTAATTTCAGTGGGTCTACTCTGAGTAAATTAGTTGACAAGCCATTGTTCTTTTTAAAAAATATTTATTTTCAGTAGATAAACATAGTAAAAAAAGAAAAGATTAACAATAAAAACAAACAAAAAATAGGAGAAAAAGAAAAAAGATACATACAACATATTACCACTTAATTAATTAAAATTAAGTACCATCCATCTTTATAAACATAGTATTTGACTTCCTCGAATCTCTTCCATCTGAATTTCTTAGTAATTATATGTAGCAGTTTGCAATATCAGTTTCAAAAAACCATATCACAGTCCTAATCATATTACATAGCTTTCCTTATCGTACATTTCCTTATTTATAAATTGAATTCCATTTTAATCCTAGGCCTAATTGTTTCTTTCAAGTGGTTACATATCTTTAATATTACAATACTTATTCAAATAGTCTTTAAATTTCTTCCAGTCTTCTTGGTGTTCCTCTTCTTTCTGGTCGCAGATTCTGCTGGTGACAAGCCATTGTTCTTTTCTAAACATTTAGCTGAATAAAAAGACTGGAAGTTTACTTTTAACTGGGAGCTGGGAGGCATAATGTTTAAATGTTTAATGTTTCACGACTGCGTAGCTCATAAGGTTTTCAGTTATGACAGCTGGCACTAGAATCAAGCTTTTATATAGGTCAGTAGAAATCCAAAAGGTCAGGCGGTGACAGTGGTTGGAGGTTTCTGACGAGAGACAATAAAAGGATAGGAACAGCACTGTTGTAAAGAGTTTTTAGGAATGTGAGATTTCCTCTATGTGGCAAGAATGACGAGTTTCTGTTGTAATCACTCAACAACTGGCCACTGCTGTTCTTTTATACCTAAGTATGTGAAACTGAAGGTCATTTATTGACTTCTCAGCAGATTTTTTCTTAATCAGTTGTGATCGCCTCTGGAATCAATTAAATAAAATCTCTACTGGTAGAAGATTACTGATTCTGATGTGGGAACTTCATTCTGAGACCAAGATTCAGATTAAGTTAAACCTTTCAGGTTCACTCTCAGATCCACCTGTCAGGGATACTTATTAGCCCCAGCATTGTCTTAGCACTTACGCCAAATCTTGAATAACTGTTTTAAATAACAACAGTAATTATGTACCCCCTAAATTGGGAACCAAGAAAGATACAGTACTTATGTAGGCTGTTGACATTATTGAATTGTCCCAACTACAACATGGGTCAAGAAGACTTTTGAAATATTTTAATCAATTGGCAGTGCAAGAAACGCTAAAGATTAATTATGAAAAGACAAAAGCTTTTGTTTTTGCCAATACTAATAATTTTATTTATATGCCGCCCATCTGACTGGGTTGCTCCAGTCACTCTGGCAGCTCCCAAAAGAATACTAAAAACACAATAAAGCACCAAATATTAAAAACTTCCCCATACAGGGCTGCCTTCAGATGTCTTCCAGAAGTCAGATAGTTGTTTATTACCAAGGTTTAAAAAACACAAGAGGCAAGCTGATGGGCACCCCATTGAGCAGGTGAAATCCTTTAAATATCTAGGTTTACGCTTTTCTTCATCTGGGATTTGGAATAAACACTTCATAAATACAAATAAATTGACCATTAACACACTGAACTCATTTGCTGTATAAGATATAAGAGTGCTGAACCGTATAAAAAAGATAATCGGATAATCCTTGTCAGAATTTGATTGTGTGATTCCCTCCTCCCCCACTACAATGTTCAGTAAAGAAGGCATGCTATTGTATAGCTCATTTTATTGTTAATTTTTACTCTGCTTTGTTTTTATTCTGTAAAACTTCCCTTGCAACTTTTATTATAGGGAAGTCAGTAAATATCATAAATAAACATATTAACAGTTTGAAGCTGAGGGAGAAGATGCTGAGCCTGTGTGTGTGTGTGTGTGTGTGTGTGTGTGTGTGTGTGTGTTTTACTGAGTAGGATCAGCTCTAGACTTTTGGGTGCCTGAGGCAAAGTACAAAATGGTGGCTCCATCACTCCATGTCCAGTAGCTGCCTGAATGGACAGCTGAATCTTGTTTCAGTACAGGCTATAGGACAGTGTCCTCCATCGTGTTTGAAGTCACCAGACAAGTTATGGAGGTGCAGGGCAGGCCAGGAACCACACATAGGTCTTTCTCCTCCAGCACAAGAGCGCACAGCCAGTAGGCTCAGTTGCAACAGCCAAGGGGATGCTGATGTTGCCTCCCCTCACTCTGTCTGATTGGACCAACCTTTTTGTTGAGAACGGTTTCCTCCATGAAAACTGTTGTGCTAGAGCCAAATTATGTCTGCTATCACAGTAACGGAAATTTATGAGTCTGTTTTCCACCTCACGTCGTGCATTTGGCCTATCATGTCTTGAGCCCACCAATCATGGTGGGATGTAAAACAACAAATACATATTTTGCATTGCTGTTAAGTTGTTCCTTTCATCTGCTCATGATTTATGGAAGGGTTTTTTGCATGATATGATCATAAGGTGGTAGTAAAGAGAAAAGTGGAGGAAAATATTTGGGAAGACATTTAGAGAGGGAGGTACTCAGCTGTACGGTTGCTAGGCTGCAGACTTTGGCACCAAGGCTCAGGTTTTTGAGTTCAATCTTGGTGCAGCTGTTAAAATCTCACGGCCATTTGATAATCTGGCAAAACTACACACTTGATAGTCTGCCATGCCTGCATACTTAGAAGAAGCTATGTCCAAGTAGTGAATTGGGGAGGAAGATTCAGTTCAGTTTGCATTTTATTGTGAACATACTTAACTGGCAGTTCCTAAAACAACACCCAGACCAAAACATGGTTCTCCTTCAGAACTCATACTTCCCTGAGTGTTGCAATGCAATTCTCCAACCAAAAAACTATGGGCACCAGTGCACATATTAGAGGGGAAGTATGGGGGTGGGTGGGAATTACATCTGTTTAGTGAAAATAACATACAGAACGGCATCATATTAAGGAACATGTCTTGCACAAATTTATCAACATTGCATACAGAGTAAGTCTTTTAGGGGAAATAAGAGGAGGGTCAGGAGCAGGATCCTGGGGAAGGTTCAGACAGGTTCTTGTCCCTGCTTTTGCCTCCCCTGGGGGGAGGTGTCTAAGAGTCAGCTAGATACTGAGTGGGCACTTCCTTCACCAAGGACATAGAGATGCCAGAGCCAACGCAAACAAAGATGTCCTGCCCATGCACAGCATGCCTGCTCACTTGCCCAGAGCAGAAACACCTGTTGTCTGCCACTTAATTATTGTGCTTGCTGCACTCTTCAGTAGGAAGGAGCAGGTTTGTGGGTAGCCTGTTGGGCCAACGGCTGAACTCTGAACTCGCACTTAGCCATGCAGTGTCTTTAACCTTTGCTTTGCCCAGGTCTATGCATTAAAGAGTTTGGCAGAACCAAAATCCTGAGTGTGAGCTCTTCCTCTGACAGGGAGGGCCAGGACACGGTCAAGTATTTGAGAAGACCTGCACAAAGCACTTTGCAAGCCCTGGGGATAGCCTGAGCACCCAACAGTGATGACATACGATAGGGTTACCTGTCTTTTGGATCTCTGACATTTGTTATCTTCATGTGCTTGAGAAAGTAGTATCAAAGTGCAATGTCAGCACGTTAATGTATAACTAAATCAATGATTAAACCTGAAATATTTCCCCCAGCAATAGGGCTTGCTAGCAACGTACAAAATATGAGGTTTGAGTTAGTGCCCCCCACCAAATATTTCTGATCCGGTCTTTAAGATGTATTTCTGTGCTCTCACACACCTTTTACATATTTATCAAAAAATATACATACATGCAAGGGGAATGACATTCTGTTCTTCACTGTGAACAGCTGCCGAATAGATTTATATAAATTCATTACCAACCATGCCATTTTCAATCCCTCTCCTAACATGGCATTTGTCTTTTTCACTGCTGTCACACTCTGAGTTCATGTTTGCTTTGAGCTTTCCTCAAGAGATTCCTTATTTTCCTGTCATTTCACTGTCATTTCATACCGCATGTAAAACAGGAATCCTTTTGCTCCAACATTCATAATGCTTTATTTACTCAATATGCTTTACTTACTCAATTGACATTCATTTGCCATTTTGCAGACTGTTTCTCTAGTTTGAGGAAATCATTTTAGACCTTTCATCCACCTATATGTAATTCAAGAATAAAATAAACTTGGCTACTTAACTGCTCTACCCTTCTTTAGGTAAAGGTAAAGGGACCCCTGACAATTAAGTCCAGTCATGAACAACTCTGGGGTTGCGGCTCTCATCTTGCTTTACTGGCCAAGGGAGCTGGCATACAGCTTCCGGGTCATGTGGCCAGTATGACTAAGCCGCTTCTGGCGAAGCCAGAGCAGTGCACGGAAACGCTGTTTACCTTCCCACTGAAGCAGTACTTATTTATCTACTTTCACTGCGTGCTTTCGAACTACTAGGTTGGCAAGAGCTGGGACTGAGCAACAGGAGCTCACCCCGTTGAGTGGATTTGAACTGCCGACCTTTCGACCAGCAAGCCCAAGTGGCACAGTGGTTTAACCCACAGCGCCACCTGCGTCCCTCCCCTTCTTTAGCTTGGTGCAATTTAACACTTGTGAAGAATCACAGCAGAGTTTCATGAAGGACCCCTACTGCTTGGTTTCAAAAACTGTCCATTTATCCATAAACTTTGCTTTCTGTCATTTAACCAGTTACCAATCAATAAAAATATACTCTGCTCACAGGGTGTATGACCTGAAGGCACATTAGGATAGCCACTTTAGCCACTGTGTCCACATGGGTTGCTGTCTGGGAACCACAGGTATGCTGCATTGGGTTTCATGATGAAAGAAAGGAGGGCTATAAAACAGGAAATTAATGAAATAAAAGGGCCCAACCTTCTAAACTCATACTGCCATGATTAGTCAGGAGCCCCTGGCAATGGACTCTGTTAAAGGTTTATTTGAAATGCAAATAGATCATGCCCACCAAATCGCTCCTATCTACATGTCTGTTGACATAAGAACATCGGAAGAGCCTTGCCTGGATCAAAGTTGTGATTAAAATATGCCTGTGCATTGTTCACTGTGGAGTTGCACACAAATGCAGGCTGAGGTTCTCCAGTTGCCTTTCCCAACTATTTACCCACCATGGTGGTGGCTCTTAGCCTTCACTTCTGTTTGTTTTCCCCTTGTGTAAACAAGTTCATAACCTGTAGCAGTCTGCAACATTTACACAGCCTCTTGGCTGCTTGCATAATGCTTGCTCAATGAAACATGCATTACTGTAATACATGGGTAGATAGTGAAGCGTCCCCCAGAAGTTCTTGAACTAAACTTATCGTTCCTGACCATCAGTCATGATGGGAGTTGGAGTTCAACGCCCCTGCGACTCCTGCTATAATTAAATCTAGCGCAGAGTTAAAGAGAGGCCCCCTCTGTCATTTCTGACTAGCTAGATAGGTTACACATTATTGATTGGGGGTGGGGGTCTTGCTCCATATTTTACATAATGTTATGGAATGTCTTTTTCTGTGTCAACACAGCCTACTGGTCTGTGGGTAGAGGAGTTCCACTCACCTGACTGCTCTGCTGTTTTCAGAGTGGCCCATACAGAATTCTCATACAAGTTCTGTTAAAATGAATGGAACTTTCCTTGAAGCAACACAACAAAGCACTGTGGTTTGAGTGAGCAGGTCCAAACTGAAGCTGAAATGATTGAACTGATAAACTGCTGGCATAGTTTTTTGTCTCCCTCTTCACACATAGGAATTTTGCACTCGGAGGCAATGGAGCTGAGTTTTGCTAGGTGAGACATCATATTAACAATAGCACACCCTCCAAGTGTCCCTCTTTTCCAGGGACAGTTGTGGAATTACAAAAGCCATCCTGGCTTCTCTCTCTCTTTTTTAATACTTTATTTGCAATTCAATCAATACAATAAAAAAGACATTTTTCTTATTACAAAAAAGAAAAGGAAAAAAGGCATTGAACAATAGGGGGGGAAAGAACAAGAAAAAAACTGGGAAAAAGAATAAAAATAAAATATTTTAAGGAATACATACCATCATCAATAATATTATACACCCTTATTTCCTATGTGGTTTGAAACCCTGATTTATTTAATGACTTCCTTCCAACCCTATGCGGTTCCTTCTCTCTCTCATATATTAGTTTATCTGTCTCCTATATAGATCCGTGACGCACCTTCCTGTTATCTCTGTGGAATTTACTCTATGCTTAACCAGGTATAATTAATTGTTGTAACCGTATTTCAGCATATACTTTTAAAACGCATCCCATTCTTTTCTTATCTTATCTCCTGGATGGTTTCTTATTGATTCTGTTAATTTTGTCAACTCAAGATACTCGCATAATTTTAATTGCCATTCTTCCTTAGTCGGCAATAAGTTACTTTTCCAGTATCTCGCAATCAGGATCCTGGCTGCCGCTGTAGCGTAGAGAAAAACCTGACCTTTTGGGATGTGTGCTGTAAAGATACCTAATAAAAATAATTCTGGTTTGTTTTTTTAAGAATGTGTGTTTCATCATTATGGCGATCACACAGGGTCCCCGGACGTTTGACGGTCTATAGATCCCTGTGCCACCACTGTGATCGCTTCTCCGCTGCCACCAACCCGTTTCTCTCGGGTACACACTGAGTCCAGACAGTTGTTAACATTAAAAACAAATAATCAAGTTTATTTTATAAGCATTAACAAGTTGATGGTTTCAGATAATTTTTCTTGTCAGTTTTTTAATCTTAGTTTCTTTACCGGCCTATACCTTTCTAATACCTTCTAACTGATTATCCCAACTGTTTAACTGACTCCTCTTAACAGATTCTCTCACTCTCTCAAATCAAACTAGCCCAACCCCCACAGACTTATCCTCCCTCTCCCTTCTCTAATTCCAGACCGACTTCTTAACAACTCTAACTCTAACTCCTCCCATTGGGTTCCTATTGGTTAATCATTTTACACTTAGTTAACCCTTTCCTTATGACCCAGTATGATGTCACACACCTAGGAGGGCAAATGCCACAATCATTTTTTTCAGCTCTTCATATATCATGTCCCAAAGTAATTTAATGGCTTCTCATTTGATCCTGGAATACCCCTATTTTCCCTGCCAGCACTGCCACTAAGCTTGGGAAAGAGGATGAGCCGATGCTTGTCCACAGCAGCAGCAATGGACCATCCCTTTGCCTCTCCAGTGGTCATCACTGCCAGTCTCCTCCCTTGGGCAGCTCAAAGTGGCTGCTGGAGAGTGGGTGAGCAGGAGGAGAGGCTGCCATCACTGAGATCCAGCCTTGCATAATGCGCCGGCTCTAAGCAAATCAGTCTCTTAAGCTTAAGCCAAGAAAGAGTATTCTCTATAAGATTGAATATCAATATACGTAGCAAGACTTTGATATTAGACCACTGAAGAAGCCCGGAAAACTATATTGGGAATGTGCTACCTGCAAGCCCCAGTTAGAGAGCCCCATTGGGGGCAAACAGCGGCCTCTTGATTACTTGGACTGCCAGGGCGAAACAGGTGCAAAACGTCGGCACCCTGTCTCTATCTACAACTCTACTAGCATCTCTCGGTATCGTGAATATCACCGAACTTACCTTTTGTTGGTATCTTCATGAACTTATCTAAAAGACTGAGTTAAGCATTTGAAAAATCTATTGAAACCAGACATTATAAGTTCATTTTAGGCTGGGTAGTTCGCAAGTCTTTGTGGCTTTGTTTAGTGTTTTGTATTTTTCTCAGAAGGTTGATAAAATATGTATAATTATTGTTCTGTGTATATTAATCGCCAGTGTGTTGCATGAGTCGCACTACTGGCTCTGAGGTGCAGGCAGAGGGCATGGCCCCCCTGGGCGGGAAGAAAAGGGGAGCGAAGCACAAGGAGTCTTGATTAATTATTTTTAAATAAAAAAATGCTTTGCACAGCCACATCCAATCTTGCCCGTTTCTAAAATTTCTTTACTGGTGTGTGTTTTTGTAAATCTGCCAAAGAATAAAATCAAATGGGATGAAGGGGTTTTCTCAAGACAGTGGAAGGTGTGTGTGCTGTGTCTTGTTGGTGTGGTGGTGGCAGCCCTTGCTCTCCTGCGGAGGGGGAGGCCAAAAATGGGGGGTTGAGGAGGGTCAGTTGTGGGGAGTGAGAAATGTCCCTATTTTCAGCTAAGGTATGTTGGGGGGTATGCATTAGGTCCCTTAGGTATCTTTTTGACTGTGGGCCCTGCTAAACCAAAGCACACTCTACCAAACAATGCTCCACTTTCCCCATGATCCAGTGGCCGAGGTGTGCATGCAACGTGCCTGATGTGCACATGATCCTTTGCAGAAGCTTCCTCTTTCATTTCAGTGGGTTGTAGCCAAATAATTTCTACTCAGGGGAGACCCACTCAAATCAAGGGACCTAACATTTCCATTGATCTCCCTGGGTTTGCTCTAGCACCGGATGCAACCCAATGCCTGGATCTACTTTGCTTGCAGAAAAGTCCAGGTTCAACCCCCTGCATCTTCAGGTATGGCTAGGAGGAAGAACACATCCTGAAGCTGAGACTCCAATACTTTGGCCACCTCATGAGAAGAGAAGACTCCCTGGAAACAACCCTGATGTTGGGAACAAGGAGAAGGGGACGACAGAGGACGAGATGGTTGGACAGTGTTCTCGAAGCTACCGGCATGAGTTTGACCAAACTGCGGGAGGCAGTGGAAGACAGGAGTGCCTGGCGTGCTCTGGTCCATGGGGTCACGAAGAGTCGGACACGACTAAACAACAAAAGGAGAGAATTCTATCTGAAACCCTGGAAAGCTGAGCTAAGCAGACCTGTGGTCTGACTTTGTATGTTTCTGAGGTAAGGGAGTTTAGGGGCCAAGCTTCTGGACATAACTCAATTCATGATAGAGGCAAGTCCTAGAAGTTGATAGCTGCTGGATCATTTGCTAAGCAAAGCCTCTTTCCTAGAAGTCTGTGCCTTTTGGTTCATTTCACACAGGCAATAATTAATCTTGTAGCAAGCACAAACTGGAATAGGTCACCCCGACACTGGCACTCAGTTCTGCCAAGGAATAAGCCTTCAGGGTGGGTGAAGTGTGTTCTTCATTTGTTGCTGTGGTTTTTTTGTTTTCATGGTAATGACTAAATATGTAGCAGTTTTACTGTAATTGTTTTTTGTTTTTATCTTCTACATAGCTTTGTGATTTTAATGAAAAGTGTCACTAAAATCATTCTGAATAAATAAATGAAAGGGTGTACAGGGCTGGTGAATATAGCATGCTTGGATTCCACATAGGAGACTATTTGGCTGGAAACTTAGCTCAGATCAACACTTGCCAGGGTTGTGTTTGGATTTCTAAGTAATCACATGTCTCTAAAATAAGCTATCCTATCCAGTTGGCCTATGAATCTTAGCACTTTGAATGAAGGCAATGGAACTACTTCTAATGTTACATTTTCCTACTATTGGGAGTGGAGAATCCATGTTTCAGGACAGATTTGTGGGCATACTCTGATTCGGCTCGTGGAACTTTGCTGCAATGTGGATTGTTCATTTTTAAATGGTGCTTTTTTATTTTTTACACTCTGCATCTACAGGAATTCCCAAACACTCCTACGGAGAGAAAGATACTCTATATTGGGATCAGCCCTGAAACACCAGAAGACTGCATTGTCATCTCCACTTTTTGCTCCTCTTATAATGGCAATAATAATGTAAATCAAGGCCATGATCAACATTTTACCAGTCTCATAAAGAAAGCCAAGGGTGTTAATGCATGTTTCCCCACTGCTAACTGCTCTGTGGTGGTGTCGAGGTGTGTTTCACCAAGATAGTAGGGAAGAATTAAATCTCCCATCCCTATTCACTGTGGGTCTGTGACCAAACACTCCCAACCCCTTAAACTGGTATTTATTCATTTTTAAAACCCTAGATGTGATTGCTAATCACATGGTTAACATAATACAGGGGTGGCTGACCTCCAGATGTTGTTGGATTCCAACTCTAATTAGCCAGTCAACATGACCAGCACTCAAGGATGATGGGAGTTTTGGGAGTTGTAGTTCAGCAACGCCTGGAGGTTGTTACTAATATGCTCCACTTAAGAAGCCAGGAGAGGACATTGCAAGGCAACAGATCATTCAGTGGGTAGAGAAAGCTTCAAATGGCACAGAACTTTGGTATCTCTTTGGAAGGGATCAGACAATGTTGGCTTTTGGGGTGTTATCTTGTAACCATGGATTGCTGTTGTTGGTTATTCAGTTTGGGAGAGCAACTCAAAATGTGGGGTTCACAGCACAAAATGGACCAAACCAGCACAAAACTTTGGCATACGTTTGGAGGGGATTGAAAATTTCAGGGTCACATGTTAATAAAGCTGGTTGAGAACAACCTACAACACCTGTGAGAAACCTGCTCCTACAAGGCTACAAGAGTGGTGAAATGTTCAACCTGTAAAATCTTGCAGGGCATGAAAGAGCACCATCTAGTGGTACTTTGGGCTGCATTGGAATAGGTGCTGGGTTTCCTATGGCAGTCATTTGAATGCCCTGTGTCCAATGCAGAGCCCCGAAACGAGTGCTTTCCCAAGAGATTAAACAAGAGCAGATCTGTGAAATGTGGCAGAAATTTCAGGAATTCCCCCTATCAAACACCGAACTGCCAAAAAGTAGGGTTAATGGGTGTATGCAGGACAGTCCTCTGTTTGAAGAGCTGTGACTTCTTTTTGAAGGCATCCTCTGTCTGAAGGGCTGTGCCAAGCTTTGTTCCAGTTTAAAGATAAATAACCCGAAGGAAGAACGAACAGGAGAGGCTTTGAAGTTGCCCATCAACAATTGACACCTGCACAGCAGACTGAGCAGGCACACAGGTGAATTGTATTGTTTTCCATTTAAATTATAATAGTTTCTAAATGTGCACCTATACATATAAATTAGCACGTTCAATATTTTTTGTAAATATGCATCCCCCTTTGTCCTTTTTGTGTGTGTCCGTTGTACCATGACTTGCCAAGATTTGTTATGTTGTGATGCCAGAAAGAGCCTTCTTGGTGGTGGTGCCCAACTCTGAAACTGAAATGTATAGAATTATATCTGTCCCAATGCTTGTTTTGGGCAAAAGGAACTGTCACACATGGTACCCTCATGCTAACAGTCAATGTACATAGAAAGAAATAACTGTGGAAACACACCAGACTTTATAGTCAGTCTGTTGTCTGTATATTTTCCTGAGTTGCGTGCTTGACATCAGTCCTATGGTAAACCACATTCCTTATTTAGGAATGGTTTTTTTGTTTGATATCCATTTGATGATCCTGTGCAGGCTGAATATTTATATAAATATCTTTGCAGTCCCAAATGAGGAATTATCACACGGGGTCTTGCTTACTTTACTGTATTGATTCTGTGATAAACACTGTTATAATTCCTCACTCACCACTGGAAATGTATTTATTTATAGAGCTGTTCAGCTTGCACAGGCTCACTTTACCGTAAGCAAGAAATCACATGCTTGCTTTACGCTTGTATGAGGCTGAAAGATGTCATAAAAGAAGGGAATGTATACAGAACTCTGGAGGGAAAAGATTCTTAGATTCCCAATGAAGGCTTGGTGGCCCCATTGTTTGACTTTTGAGGAGATGTTCAGGGAAGAGAGAAGCCAGTGAGGAGAAAGAGAGCAAGGCACAAGTTGAAAGGTCCGGAGGCCTCAGAATGGCTGAGATGAAAACTTGATATCGCAGGGCAAAAACTGCTTTGCCCGGTCAGTTAACTGACAAATATTTTATGTTCAGCACAGAAGAGCAAAATGTGTCCCTTAGGTCCATGTGTGTTGTCTCCTCTCTTCTTCCCTCATTAGGGCTCTCTGGATGAGATGCTGCTACAGGCTGTGGTACCAAGAATAGCGGTGAAGAAAATAGAAACCCATTAAGATGAATATCAATTTTAAAGCACAACCTGAGCCTCAGCTGATCCCCCTGGGAACCCCGCGGCAAGCGGCAAATGAGGGCTCTTCCGGGAAAACAAGTTACTTTGTTTGCAGACACTCTCCACATCCAAAGACAGTGTGCCACATTAGAGGTAAACTCCCCCTGGAAGGGCTAATATGGCCAAGCCAAACTCTGTATTCATTTTTTGGGTTTCCAGAACAAAAACATTCAGGTGGGGCTTTATTCTGCCTTCCTGACATTTTCTTACCTGTCGATTTTTGCATCTCACGTGATCTTTCACACGACTTAAAAAGCCGCTTCTTGAAAATCTAGTAGAATCTAGCAGAAGCCTAGTGCTTATTTTTGTGTTGTTTTCAGAAAAAACAACAACAACCTGTTTGCAACCCCGTGAACTCGAAAAGGTGTGGGAGTTTTGCTCTGTCATTTTCCTACGGGTTTCATGATTGCACCACTGCTGCTCATGTGATGAAATCTGAGGTGGTATCCTGGCATATGCAGCTCTTTCCATGTGTCTAAAATTTAGCATGACATGGCAGCATATTGCTCAAGAAGCCACAATTCCAAAACACTGTAGATACCGCAGTGTAAAAGGAACATTAGAAACTGGGACAGAAGTATGAGCATTAAAACTAGGAAAACTAATACTATAATCACCACATCTGAATGTAGCCTAAATGCAGGGGTTTTTAAAATGTATGTTCCTCTTTTTCTGAAGGGCAGAACTCTGCCCTCCCATAAAGCCTGCTGCTGGTTTGAAGTAAGATTCAACAGCCATTGCAGCCAACTCCTGTACATGGACTGGTAGGGGACTCCATTTTGTTCTGCACTTCAGGCAGAACCATAGCTGTCAACTTTTCCCTTTTCTTGCGAGGAATCCTATTCGGAATAAGGAAATTTCCCTTAAAAAACGGGAAACGTTGACAGCTATGGGCAGAACTGCATGCAATTCTGAATCACCTCGTGTTGGTTCCGACATAAATCTGCATCAGCTGATGGCTGTCAAGCCTTGTGTGTGAACTGTCTCCATAAAGCTATGGCGTGTGAATGAAATCAAAGCTTTGGAACAAACAAACATGGATCGACTCATTCACAGGTATGATTTTATAATCATACAATCAATATTCATGTAGGAGCTAAGTGTTGTATAATTAAACATACATGCATATATGAACCAGCCCTAGAAAACTATAATACTCTAGTTCAGGATTAGAGATGGAAGGATCTGTTAGTTTTGGTTCTCTCAGTTTCTGGTTTGTCCAGTATTAAATTCCATTCTCCACATTTCTGCAGCAATTTGATGTTTTTCAAAAATCTCTCGTAAAAAATCATCAGCATTTTACTGCAAATTTCCCCCAATAATCCCCCAGTTTTGTATGCAAATTTGAGAACATGCAGTTTTGTAATGTACAATTTCCCCCCTAATATAATGCATTTTTGTTTTTAAAAATATCTCAATTTTTTTGCCCACTTTTGCATTTTTGCAAATGACCATTGAGTTGGAGGATTGCATCGCAAAATTCAGATTTCCACTTGAAAGATGGCTGTGTTCCAATTCTGACATTGCTTTAAAATGTGTGGAGTTGATAGATTTGCCTACAAAAGATCCGAATTCTCCACCATCCCTATTTGAGACCCCCATTTCCAGTGTATCCCTGCATCAAAACCAACTGCACAATTAGGAAAATGTAAAATGCGTTCTTTCCCCACCCAGGACTAAATGATGCACCTGTCTGTGTTGTCAAAGACCGAGGATACAATGAAGGACGCTGCGTTGACTCAAGCACAGAACATGCTCAACTTCTCAGAAACACTGTAATGCCCACTGACAGCTCTTTTCCCAACAATACCCTGCCAAGCCTGGTACAAACCCCACTTAGAGCGAATGTTGGACGTAAGTACCCCTGGTTGCTTACACAGATATAGCATGTCTACTTCAAAACCACAATTTGAGAGCCTCAATGGCACCCCTTTGGAGGCTTCATCTGGGGCAAAAAGCTTGGCTAGCTCACCCCCAGCTATGGTTCTGCCTTTATTACCCCCTCCTCAAAGTGGACCCTCCACTAGATTGAGTTGCTGATGAATGTAAAGGTAAAGGGACCCCTGACCATTAGGTCCAGTTGTGGACGACTCTGGTGTTGCAGCGCTCATCTTGCTTTACTGGAAAAGGGAGCCGGCGTACAGCTTCCGGTCATGTGGCCAACATGACTAAGCCGCTTCTGGCAAACCAGAGCAGCTCACGGAAACACTGTTTACCTTCCTGCTGGAGTGGTTCCTATTTATCTACTTGCATGCTTTTGAACTGCTAGGTTGGCAGGAGCAGGGAACGAGCAACGGGAGCTCACCCCGTCGCAGGGATTCGAACCGCCAACCTTCTGATCGGCAAGCCCTAGGCTCTGTGGTTTAGATCACAGCGCCACCCGCGTCCCATGCTGATGAATGTACATATCTGTAAATTCTATGCAAAAATTTGGTTGACACGAAAACCACCATGGTATCCTGCCACCTGCACTGGAGGCATCCTCTGCCCTCCCATGTTACATAGAATTCCTGTATTTTTCAAGAGGTCTCACTAGGCTTTAATCCTCTATAATTTTAACATGAAAACTCATGAAAAATCCCTCTATTGCATTTCAGAGCTTATGAGAGACGAAATTGCAGAGCTCAAGCAAAGAACAGGAAACACCCCGCTTTTAAAGAGAAGGGTAACGAGCCAAACTACTGCTGGTATTTGTAATTGAAACCATCAAGACTTCTTGGAGCATCTGCACTCCTGTAGAACACTCCATTCATGATTTGGGGTTTCTGGGACTGTAATATGCTTTAATTGTTTTTAATTCTGAATTTTAAATTGTCCTAACCTGCTGGTGAAGGGCAGATGACAAATTTGAGGTTGGCAGTGGCGCTTTGAACAGTTACCTCAAGCCCTAACCTAATCTACTTTGCCTGAACAAAGCGAGAGCCTTTACAGGCAGACGCCTCTATTCTTGTGATCATGTAAAGTTCTCTGCTTCTATAGTGAAGGACATTTGCAGACATGCACGTGAGTGTGCATTGGCTGGAGGCAAAGCTTGCTATACCCATTCTATACATGGATTCAGCACCTGTGTATACTGAACACTTGAATAGGGCTTAAGAATGGGGGTTTGTTCATCTTTTTCAGCTGATCATGAATCCTGTAGGATCCAGATGGCTGAAAAGCATTTAAAGGGTTCAAGGTGCAAAATCCCATCAGTTTTCTAGAGAGGACAATAGCAAGAGAGCCATTGCAACCACAGCCTTACCCTTATACTCAAGCAGAGATGGACCATACAGACGTAGAATCCAGCTCCCATCACCCCAATCATCAGCTATGCTAAATCCATTAACATTTAGGAAGCCACAGGTTCTCCATTCCTCCAATGCACAATGTAATGATTAGTCCAGATGTATTGGAGGTGATCAAAAGCAAAGCAGTACAGAAAGTTGGGTGGTGGGCTTTGGGGGGCGGGGGGCTTTCTGTATTTGTCTCTTTATATTCTGCTTTATCATCAGGACGATCCTTTGAGGAAATACCTTGCAGAAAATCCACAAAATAGGATTCCTCCAGAGCACCCTCTTTTACCTACCCCGGGTACGCACTACAGGCCAGACATCATCGAGAATATGAATTATACCCCTACTTACCTGGAACAGGAAATAAAAGTAAGATACCATCATTAAGTGATTATGTCATGTTATTACATGCTTCTGTTTTAACTGATAAAAAGAGGAGGATGTCATTTAGTACATTTAGGTTGCAGTACTATACATGTTTACTAGGGGGTAAGTTGCATTCTGCGTAAATATGCATAGGATTGCACGGCCAGTTTGAAAACCACCAATCTGTTGAATAATAATAATAATAAATTTTATTTATACCCCGCCTCCCCAGCCAAGACCAGGCTCAGGGCGGCTATCAACCAATAATAAAAACAAGTTGATTAAAATACAACTTAAAAAAGATTAAAATACAACATTAAAACATTAAAAGGTGGCAATGATGGCCCGTAAAAGAGAGGCCATTTCTGAGATTTTGAAGTTGCAAGCTCCTGAGTTTTACAGAACTCTTCACAAAGCCAATGCTGAAATACAGCTACTTTCAAAATTATCCAAATTTTGTGATGCAGGTCTCCAGCCAAATGGTGTGTACAAGAATGCATAAATTACAGGGAGATGTGTGTAACAATGCATGCATCTGTGAATGTAACATACAAAATGCATCATATTAGGGGAAATTGCTTGCAAAAATGTGTACTTTTGGGAGATTCACACCTAAAAGGCTGTAACAGTGCCTGTTCGGCAGATCAAAGTGGTTGATGGGCATGTAAAGGGGCAAGACAATCCCACAAGTAAACTGGCCCTAGGCTAGTAAGGGCTTTGAATATGAGTAACATTTGTTGCATTTGCTGCCCAAGCATTGGTGCTGCCACCACTGCATTGGTTTCAGGGGGCAGCAGGCAGGCAGTCACCATGGTGAGTTGTGTACCATACCCCTTGTTGGGTGCCCTCTGAGCTATCCTGTTCCCTCAGGTGTGGTGAAGGACACTGTCCCCTGGCTGATGTTTAAGTGCCACCCCATTTGGCTTCCATATGTGTAATTGGGGTGGGGGTGTCATAAGAACAGAAGAAGACACTGCTACATCATGCTAATGGCCCATCTAGCACAGCATCTTTTTCTCCCACTGGCCCACAAGATGGAGAGCCTGCAAGCCAGGACCTAAGGGCAACAGCACTCTTCCCATTTTAGACAGGAAAATGTATTGCGGCAGCCCTGACTGCAGTGCTTCATCGGTCTGATCTGTCCTCCTCCTAGATCTTGGAAAGGCTTCGTGATATTTTACAGACAGACTCGCTTGCAGAGATCCAAACCTGGTTATCAAAGGCAACTCTAAAAGGTAAGGAGAGAAAATGTGATAGTTGCACATGGCTGAAGTGTCAACTGACTTTGGGCTGCATGCGGCAGGCAGGACACACCCCTCTTTGTATATCTATCTCGATGTATATAAAATCAGATTATCGTTCCCTTTGATACCAAACTATTGGATGAATGCCTACCAGTTTAGAAGTGTCAACCCCAAACACGGTAGCAGTTTTTGCATACTTGAGGGATACTGAATATATAACAGAGGAGGTATCTCTCTACCCAGCTGTCACAGCTAAGCCAGCTGTGGCATGGCAGGAGGTTCTAAAGCTCCCACAATATCTAGGGATGTTTCAGGATGGAAGGAAATGAACTGACACCTGCCCAACCCAATATACCTCTATATAGCCCAGAGCTGTCCCAAGACATTTTGCTGCCCGAGGCAACCTACATTCATCTACAGTGGTGCCTCGCAAGACGAAATTAATCCGTTCCGCGAGTCTCTTCGTCTTGCGGTTTCTTCGCAAGACGGTTTCTTCGTCTTGCGAAGCACGGCTATTAACGGCTTAGCGGCTTTAAGAAAAAGGAAACAAACTCGCAAGAACTCGCAAGACGTTTTGTCTTGCGAAGCAAGCCCATAGGGAAATTCGTCTTGCGGAACGACTCAAAAAACGGAAAACTCTTTCGTCTAGCGAGTTTTTCGTCTTGCGAGGCATTCGTCTAGCGGGGCACCACTGTACATTCATGCTCTCCTCACTTTTATGTACAGAAGCAGTTGATTCTTACTTCAACACTTGCATCCTCCACTCCCCGAGTGACGCTAAGGGGGTCCCACTAGATTAGAGGGTGGTAGCAAACTTTTATGTGAGGAGAAATTACCAAAGCGCTCTGGTCACAGGGAATGAGCCCCCAGATCCTGCCACCTAAAGTGATTGGACGGGCTATACAATTCTCAGGTTCTGGCCTTGGACAGAATCTGACCCCACCCCCTGGCCTGCACCCATGCTTTATTTATGTATAGCATTTTACCCCCCTCTTCAGCCAGAAAAGGTTTGCAGAGCAGCTGGTCTCTTGGAACAGTCTTGCACCACTCCTCTTCCCTCCTGTTTCAGTCTGATGCAATGGCTGCTGCCAGGTGACAGCTGATAGGAGGACCACCCCAAATTAGATAATATTTAATTTTCACACATCTCCCACTGTTGTGATGATTTAACAAGAAATCTGCTGGAAACCAAAGGAGGGGAAAGTGCTCTTGTGCTTGAATCCTGCTTGTATGTTTCTCACAGGCGTCGTATGTGTTATATTTAAAGAACTTAAGATTTGTTTAAGAAATATTATGGAGGGGGAACCTGAATGGAGAAAAACCTGGAATGCATTTTATTTTCATTAGATGAAAGAAGTAGTATCACAGTTATACCCTTAAGATTAAGATCTTGGATATTTTCAATACTTTATTCACAAAGCATGTTTAGTCTGTGGTGCACACACAGATATGCCCATATGATCCTCTCCTATTTCTGGGAGTGTTCTTCCTATGAAATAGGCTTGTGTTGACCTTTCTCTGCCATCGGAAGAAAATGGGGAGTAGCCTTTCTATGCACAGAGAAGTCCCTGACATATCCATTATATTAATATTACTACCTGGTAATGTTGTTTCAGAGAAGGAGTTTGTGTCCAATTTCATCCGTTCCGACGTGACCAGCCGAGATCTGCTGAATTATCAGAAAAGGGCACTGAAAGAAGCTGACGTAGAGGCTCTGAGTTTACGAGATATGCTGAAAGCTGAAAGAGCACTTCAGAATAAACCAGCAAGTGAAGAGAGCCGGCACAGGTAAAATTGATAATGTATTGCCCTAGGTATGGTGCTACGTGGAAAGCCGCCAGGTTGGTCATTTGCCTTGTTTGCAGCATGGGCTGGGATTATTCACAACTAGCACTTTTTGCTCACCATGGATGGTGATGTTGAGATCTTGTAATTTATACAAGTAAAGTAGGTTGAGAAAGAAAAGGAAAAATCCATGTCATTTCCAAACCACCAAACCATTAATGTAAGCTACTGGCCAAAGCATAACTTATGACGAAACTAGCCTGTGTCGGTTCTAACAGGAAATAATCCAAAAACTTCAGGTCATATCTTAAAAGCCAGCTGAGGATAATAAATCTTGGTGGGGAACCATGCAGAATTGTGCATTTATCCAGGAAATCTGCTTTCTATTGCATTTCATTCAGTAGTAAAATTTTGAATGAGAGATACTGTCTCAGGCTACAACTGGCAGCACCTGTACTCTCTTGCGATCGAGATCAGGCAGGCGTTTTCACTGTATTATCTTTTAAGCCCCTGCTTAAAACTTTTTTTTTTTTTTTTGCAAGTCAATCCGGACAAATATATGATGGAATTTTAAAAATTCATTTTTTACTGTTAATGTTACTAAATCTTTAAAATGTTTAATTGTTTTAACTGTGTTTATTGATAATTTTACTATTTCTTGTAAACTGCTTAGAGGTTTTACTATGATCAAGTGGCATTCAAATTTTGTTAACTATAATAAATGCTAGTTTATCTTTGCTCCTGGGTCCTGAACTAAGCAACAGCCACGGCAATAAAGAATGTTGAAAGCGGAAACCACAAATTCCTGTCTTAATACTTTCATTAAAAAGAAAGAAGTGTAAGAGCAGGATCATTCTGTTGTATTTCTGTTCAAATCCGGATTATCTGCACATTGATTTTTCTCCTGCCTCCACCATCCTAAAAAAAAATTGTACTGTACCTCATACTATGCAGAATGCCTAATATTGTTCCAATTTCATGGAATTTTCTTTCAGCTGATATTAGACAGGCCACCTCCTTGCTGAATTCTTCTTAAAATTTCAGCAGGCATTTAAAGTCACTTCTGATTTTATAGTTTTTAACCAATATTTACCTTTTTGTCTTTACTGTGTTCACTGTGCACCACTTAAAAGCCATTGTAATTAAACAGTATATAAACTGTATAAAAAAACCTAAGACATCTTCTTTCTTTTTTAGGCTTACAAGCAGAGGAACAGTATCCAGTAAAGGTGAGAGGCTAGTTATGTGTTGTACATTTTTATCCAGAAAAATAAGACCATGCTTGCAAGAGACTGATCTCATATGGATTAAAATTAGTTGAGAGGAAGCCACATCATCTTGCCTCTTGACAGCATCACACATAACTGCTGTCATAGTGGCATAAATGAGGACAGCTCTGTCATTAGATGCATAGACAAAAAAACCTGCAGTTCAAACGGCCTCGGCCCAGTATACCTGAAGGAGCGTCTCCACCCCGATCGTTCTGCCCGGACACTGAGGTCCAGTGCCAAGGGCCTTCTGGCGGTTCCCTCACTGCGAGATGTTACAGGGAAGCAGGCAGAGGGCCTTCTCAGTAGTGGCACCTGTCCTGTGGAACGCCCTCCCATCAGATGTCGAAGAGAACAACAACTACCAGACTTTTAGAAGACATCTGAAGGCAGCCCTGTTTAGGGAAGCTTTTAATGTTTAACAGACTATTGTATTTTAATATTTTGTTGGAAGCTGCCCAGAGTGGCTGGAGAAACCCAGCCAGATGGGTGGGGTATAAATAATAAATTATTATTATATTATTATTATCAGTGCATTAATGTAGCTTTGATTTTCACAATCTCTTTCAGACAGGGAGAGAAGTACACACACAAGAGAGAAAATCCGAATCCCAACTTCTGAGACTCTAGAGCGTTCCCCCAGCAAACTCACAGTTCTTCAAAGTCACCCCCACAGTCCTGCATTATCCCAAAACAGCACCCAGTTGCTGTACAACAAGGCTTACTCTAAGCGACACAACGCTGCTTCAAGAGGTGAGGCCCGATTTCAGAGCATCTGAAAACCAGCACAATGCTTTTCTTGGAAGATAACATGTACAGTGAATCTCACACAATTTTTTCCAAAGCTCTAAAGTGTCATTTTTGTTGTTAGAAAAAGTTTATAGCCACACTATTTAGACCTTAAGAGTTTTACCTGCTAAACAGGTATTTGTAAAGTTTAAACACACATACACAAAAAACTGAATGTTAGAACACTGGTAAACAAAATGCTAAATAAACATTTTGTTTTTAAGAGTGCATGTCATTGTGTCTTGGTAATTGATATGAAAATATATCGTGGACATTTTCATTCTTTCTGAATACAAATGATAGAAGTGATCTATTTCTGCATAATCTTCAGAATTTTGAATATTCTTTAAAATTAATGCACTGCAGGTCAACATTCGAAAAAATAAGTCAACAGTTTACAACTTAGTACAGCTCCCCTGGGCTTCATTCAGGTCAGTAACGCTTTAAGTGGCTATAGTATAGTCATTCAATAGCACTCCAATCTGCTGGATTTTAGTGGAGTTCATATCCATGTAGTTTGTTAGGACTGGGGTCAAGACAATTCATTAAGGGAGCCCCTTCTATTTGGCTGTTCCGAGAGAATCCAGCTATTTACTCGGATCAGTGATATTAACCCAAAAGCCAGAATGAAAGGAAATGCAATACGCTCTCTCTTTCTAACAGATTTCAAATGAGCATGCAGCATGTAGCCAAACTATGGAACTCACCGCCTCAAAAGGCAGTGATGGCCGCCATAACTCAGAACAGTGCTGATGGACTCCATTGTCAACATTCTGGCAATTCAGTTGCTGAGTGCTAAAAGGCACTTTTTAATACCTACAACCTAGGTTTCGAGTTGTGCCACCTAATACATGTCACACCAGTGCTGAGGGACCTATTAGCCACTAAGCCAGTTTTTAAGGTCTTGTTACTTACATAAAAGAAACACCTGCTTACACACTTTCCCTTAATTTCTCAACCCAAGAAAGTTTTAATATTGTTGTTAGTGTTAAGTGGTATATAAATAATATCTTCCAGTGTACTTGCCATGAAATCTATATTGTAATTCAGAGCACTATGCACAAATGATAGGTTTCTGCAGGTGCATGGATGGGGAGGGCAATCCACTTTCTCTTTCGGGATACAGCTCCTTGTGTCACTTCTGTGAATGGTTCCCCGCCTTCAGAAGCAGCTTGGGGAAAATCGAGGGGCTACAGTGAGATGAGGGCTGGAAAAGCCACAGGGCACATATGGAACACCATATATTGCCCTTTGGATACTGATGCACAGCCATCTGTTTATTTACCCTAGCATAAAGTTGCAGGAGGAAAAATAATGCCTATACCCTCCAACTCCCCTTCCACCCAATACCCATGTGCACCTGCTCTTTTGCTGACTTGAGTTTCCCACCAAAAGAAGAACCAAAACAAGTCAGAGCACAGAAATGATAGCCAAGACTATTCTGGTGAGGTGGTCACATTTCATTGTACAATAATAGTGATATGGCCCATCTTCAAACTCTTTCCCCCAGACACTAACAGCTGAGTCTGCAGTCTTCAGGATCCTGTCTGTCTGGGGCTACGGAAAAGACTCAGATACACAAATCTAAAGTCATAATAATTTAAATAGCCATACATCCATGTCAAACACTTCATAAAAGTGTGCAGACTGCAACCCAATATTCCTGGGCACATATTTATATAACTTGCTCTAGGGAGTTATTAAACATGCCATTGGAGATTTTGTTCCAGGTCATTAAAATGAAAAACCTCTACAATGTACAATAAACAATCAGTATGTTATGGGAACTGCACATAGTCAACTGTTTTCTTAAAAGGTAGTTAATGCAATAGAGACAGCAAATAAAGTAGACTTCCATGGGAACTTTAATATTAGTTTTTAAAACAGATCAGACCAAGATTTAGTGGTTACCAGTGCCAAACAACCAGAGCAGTCTGTTGTGAACATGATGCAGATGCCATTAGCAAGGCAGGGAAAGTTATGTGGGTTAGCTGGTGGTATTCTCTTACTGGAAAGATACGCAAATTACATGAGATGTGCAGCACCCCCACAAACATTTAGTGCATTGCTTTTTATGAGAAGAACAAGTGTGGTATTGAAAACAGTGTTAGATTTGGGCTCAAATCCCTACTCAGTCATCAAACTTGAAAGGTGAATTGGCCATGCTGGCTGGGGCTGATGGGAGTTGTATTCAATCATCTGGAGGGCACCACGTTGGGGAAGGCTACTGGAAGCCACTCATTTACTCTAAGTCTAATTTAACCTGCCACTTCATTCTTAAAATGCATTGCTAGATAACTGAAATGATTCAGCTGGCCCTGGAAGTTCGCCCTTAGCAGCTCTGTTACATCAGCTTCTCCTTACAGAAATACAAAGAGGAAAAGTATTTCAGTGCATATGTGCATATGCTATTTATAACATGAAGACTACAGACACAAACAGGACTGTACAAATCATGATCTGCTTCTTTTTTTAATGGGACAAAATTAGTAACATAAAATGCATTAATGAAAGTCTTATAGCCTAAATATCATAACAGAAAATTGAGAGTGATGGCTAAATGAATGCCTCAGAAGACAGGAATTAAATTTGAATGGAAAACTGGTTGAAACTAGCAAAGTTATGTATTTAATACAAAACTCTGTGTTCAAGGATGGGGAAATCAGATACACAGGTATTAATACGGAACAAGTGATTTGGCAGTAGTACTTGTGAAAACAATCTTGGCATGGTCAATAAAAAGCAGAGGTGCTACTCAAACTTAAAGCTCCCTCTTCTGGCAAATATTAAATAAAAATAATAAAAAGAAATATATATATCAGCTTCCTTGGGAAACAAAGTTTTCTTTAAACGCCCTTTAGCAGGCTAAAAAGCTACCAAAAATCAAGTATTTTCTAACTAGTACAAGTCCAGATCTGGCAAATAAAATTAGTGCTTCATACTAACAGATAAGCTATGCAGCACTGCATAAACAACTGTACATTGCAAGGACAGCAAACCATTCCCATCTTTGGATATTAAATATTTAAATTAAATTAACATCCAGAGATGCTTATTCGCTATCTGAGATTTCACCTTGTACCATTTCTGACTTCTGCAGCTTGCACATGGTGGCTTCGGTTGTCTCATTTAGTGGTTTGGCTCCTTTCCGTTGTGGCAACACAGTGAAAAATGCTTCCTCCCAGTCTCTCTTTTCCAAGAATGCAAGGATGATTTCAAACACTGCAGCAAAAAGATCACATGTTCCTTTAAAAATAACTGAAGTGTCTGACAGAATCAGAAATTTATTGAAGTTATGAAACTAAATTTAATTATAACCTCTGCAGCAAAAATAAAGGTAATTAATCATACACAGAAAGATTCAACAAGCAAAGCTTTCACACCTGCCAATATTATATAGCATTTTCAGCTATGCAAGTAGTCAGCATGTGTTTGCTGTGTAGGAAGCAATTACCAAGTTTCCCCTAGTATTTCTTGTTTAATTGTCTAATCGTCTATTTATGGGCGTGGCAATTAACATCCATCAATTGAGACATAATAACTGGGGGAGGGGAGTGGTGTGCATTGTTTGCTTAGTTTCTTAGACTTTCAGGTGTTATCATTACTGCTGAAATCCAGTGGATGTGAAGTTGAAAAATAAAAGCTAGTTTCTTGTTCTGAAAAGTTGGCTTGCTATCAAATAGTCAGCACATGTGGCAAGTAATGGTACTGGTCTCTGACATTTATGAAAAACATGCCTACTAGTAAATTTGGAAACAAATAAGAATTAGTGGAAATTAAAAAGAAAAAGAAGCATACAGCTCACTTTATGTATTTTCAAACTGTAATAAACATGAATGGGGCAGCGCGAAACAGTTTTAGAACTCTGAAAAATCAGAGCCTTAAAACGTGGGGAACCTCCAAAAGTACTGAAGGCTCCCCACTGCACTGTCCACATGTGAAGGGTGATGACAACAAAGAGTAAGAGCTAGTATGCTCATCCGCACTGCCTGCTGCCACATTTACTATATGCAGCTTCATAATCCTTCAAGAGGTCTAGAGCCACTACACACAGGTGAATTACTGCATTACCTGTGGCACTAGACCAAACGACTGTGTTTTCTCTCACTCACTGCTACAAAAATATTATTATTATTACTACTACTACTACTATCACTAATATTATCTACTGAATCACAACATGTGGGTGCTAAGTTAAAAAGACATCTGACATAATGAGATAACAGATGACAATGATCTCAGATGAATGCCACAAAGAAAGTATAGGCAAAAATCAGAAAGGTCCATATTTAAACCATCAGCTTTTAAAAGGAGAACAAAGGAAAGTGTCGTGCATTTGACTATACACACACTTATTCTTCAATGTTTCATTTTTTGTTTACTTTCATCCTTACCATGATTGACTGCCAGAACTTTCCGACTGTTCATTTTCACAAAGATCCCTAGTGGAAGTTGTGCATGACTTATGCCTTCTTCTTGTGCTCTTTTGTATGTAATGCCCTGTAATAAGACACGGAAGAAAAAGTAATTAATTCTGATTATCAGATCTGTACATTGTGACTTTCACAGAATGTTAAGAGTTTTGTCATATATATATATATAGAGCTGTGAGTACATAGAAGAAATCATATGGCACAACTAAAAAAAGTTCCATACAGCTTATATATGGTTTGTTTCAAATTAGTAAAATGTTTTGCAACTATATCCTAAGAGGCTTTACTGTTTGTGCCTTATGTGTGTTCAAACAAATAACTTGATGCAATTCATACTCAAGCAGGCAAATACAGCTCATTTACAAGCCGGACTTTTCAAGACACCTGCAGGTCAGAGGTTGCACAAAAATACTGGAAAATTCGCTCTTAAGCAAGTATTTCCCTGAAATTATTCTGTGTGCTTTAGTTGCATGCCACCTTCTTATCGATGAGAAGACCCACTATGAACCACTCAGATTTCTAAAGGAAGAACAAGATGATTAAGTGCTTGGTATGTTTACTATTATCACCCAACTGCTTGCTCTATTTGTATATTCTAAATATGTTCACTTAAGCTTATGTTCAGCATCTCTATTTGTTACAAACACTTGGATATGCTACTTGGGAGTCTATTCTTAGTTACTACCATTACTACATTAAATATGATTAAAATAACCATCACAGAGAATGATCTGTTAATATCAGCAGCAACCACAGAAACACTGCTGATGTGGGCATTTGCTGTAGCTGTTTTAGGGATCATACTGCAGCATAGGCTGCAAATGCCAAATTGTAAATTTCATGTACAGAATGATGGAGGGGGGAAGAAGAAGAAGAAGAAGAGTTTTGGATTTGATATCCCGCCTTTCACTCCCTTTAAGGAGTCCCAAAGCGGCTAACATTCTCCTTTCCCTTCCTCCCCCACAACAAACACTCTGTGAGGTGAGCGGGGCTGAGAGACTTCAGAGAAGTGTGACTGGCCCAACGTCACCCAGCAGCTGCATGTGGAGGAGCGGAGACGCGAACCCGGTTCCCCAGATTACGTGACTACCGTAATCTGAAGCCAACCTGAAAACTCAGTATTCCTTCAAATTTGTTTTATGAGTCCTGGTGCAGGGTGATTAAATGCACTGTAAGCGCCTCACATCATACTTCATCAGAGAACAGTGTAGCTTTTTAACCCCTCTGCTTTTCCAGTACATCCCTCATGCACAGAAAGATTTCTCTGGCAAGTGAAGTATGATGATTTATTAATGTCTTCTCTTCCCATCCTTCCCACAACTGTGGGGCAGTAGATAGTCTGTCTTTCTTAGTTTATTTGCCTTTAGTTTGACCTCTCTGTCTTTCCAAATATAAATTGCTGACACAAAGAATTTGCATTCCAAATGCTCAGTCTGATGTGACTGGCTACTGAAGGAGGCAAAAATGTGCAGAAGCAACCACCAATTCTAAAAGAGCAAAGCCAAAAAAAAGGGGGGGGGCTTTTAACAGAATGTTTGCTGCTCAGTTTCAAAGCATTCAATGAGGAAGTAACTCAAGAATGAAAAATCCACTACTTTAGTAGATGTTGCCAGGTGCCCAGAAAAGCAGCAGCCTGCCTTTCACATTATAACACAAAACAGCAGCTTAAAATAATCATGTTCCATAGCATTCTACGCACATTAACGGAGTTCAACGGGACTTCTTTCCAAGTAAAGATACACAGGATTCCACACATTAGTTCTCTACCTTGTGATGATTGTGATCCACAAGGCCTCCAATGACATAGGCTTTGGACTCATCTAGTTCACTCAGGACTTCAGGAGAGTCCGATGTAAGGTACACAAGGTCTTCTTTCTTCATCAGTTCACTATAATGTTCTGATTTAATGTGGATATCCTTCAAGATACAAATACACACAAATGTATTAAATAAATTGTCTAAATATTCAAGGACTTTCTCAGAGAACCAGTCAAAGTGGTAGACACAGTTACAAAAAGCAGCTACATTCGAGACTGTTTTTTCTACATGTGCTATAATGTGGTGGGTGTGATTTTAACAATGTCACTGGCTCTACTTGGAAGACTAGATGAGATTTTTACTTCCACCTCCAAGGCAGAAGGAAGTCAATCAGTCTGTCTCAAGAGAACCTGCCCAACATTACATCTTGAGCAGATCCTCTGAATCAAACTACTTTCTTGTCAAGAAACATGTCCCAATCAGCCTGGATACAGAGCAGAAAAACTTGATTCATGGCTGGCTTCAAAACAGCAGAATTTTTTTAAAACAGCAATTGAAAAAGCTGCAACAAGGTCCTTTTGTACATATGCTCATTCACTTAGGAACTGCAATACTGTTCTTTTCTTCAAATTTATCAATCTTCACTTATAATTCAGAAACCCAGATATAAACAAAGCAGCCTTCTCACTCAAACTACCATTTCATAACTGACTGGACAGAAAATCATCAGACAAAAAAGGAGGAATTAAAAGAGTTCACGACCCAATCTAATAAGCTAGAAATGATGTGGTTGAGAATTCCCACCTCATGTGTTTCCTAAAAGCTAGTAGTGATGTGGTTGCAGCTGCCAGACTGGTGACTGGGAGCATATGGCTAGAACCATATAACAACGTTCCTAAAAGATCTACACTGGCTCTCAGTATGGTTCCAAACACAATTCAAAGTGTTGGTATTGACCTTTAAAACCCTAAACAGCCTCGGCGCTGTATAACTGAAGGAGCATTTGCACTCACATCATTTAGCCCAGGCACTAAGGTTCAGTTCCATGGGCCTTCTGGCAGTTCCCTCACTGCAAGAAGTGATGTTACCGGGAACCAGGCAGAGGGCCTTCTCAGTAGTGGCACCTGCCCTGTAGAAGGCCCTCCCATCAGATGCCAAAGAGATAAACAATTATACAACTTTCTGAAGACATATGAAGGCAGCCCTGTATCTGCAAGTTTTTAATGTCTGATGTTTTGCTGTGTTTTTTATATTCTGTTGGAAGCCTCTCAGAGTGGTTGGGGCATTCATGTAAACACACAAACAAGGTGAAAAAGTGTTCACAACAAAAGGTAAGCAAATCTGAAATTGCTAGTACCTTCCAGTTTACCCATCCTTTGTCAGTTTCATTCATGTTGTCCTTCAGCTGGCCTCCATGGCTAGTCAAGTAAAACTTTGGAAGACAAAAAGGCAAAAGAAGTGTATAATGTTGACTGCTAATATCTAACTTCTAATTAGGTACTCCTCCGTCCCTAACAATACAAACATATATTATTTTTGAAGGTGTTCAAATGAATTTTGATTATTTTAGCTTTATTAGTTTGAGTAAAACTCAAAACAGGATTTAACAAAACAGGATTTTGCCCAAAATGTTCCACAGCAAAACAAAACACACAAGTACTCTAAAATATTAACTGCATGACAAGATTATACCTGTTTTTAGGCATACACAGATATTTGCACTGTCTTCTTAATAATATATTGAAATGGAAGTCTGACAAAAATACTATCAAATTATGTCTATGTTATTAAAGAATATATTTTCATTTTTGGAAGGAGTGGCCTTTCACATTTCATGTATATAACTAACCGGTCCGAACACAAAAATCAGAAAATAGTTTACAACAACATACCTGTACAGGATGGAGTGCTTTGCGATTTTCTGCATAACATCTCTGAATTTGCTTGTGAAGTTTCTTGACATCCTGTATACAACACAATTTGTTTTTATATTTTCCTTCAGAGAAAGCACCACAAAATGCTTTAACCAAGAGATTCAGAGACGCTAAAGAGAGAGAAAGGAAACTTTTAACTGACAAAAAGTTATTTCTGAATAGAACATTTTTGGAAAAGAAATATTAAGTCACTATAAAAAATAACATTGCAATTAAATAATTTTTCTAAGATCTCACATATTCACTATTGTACTTTACTTAAAATTCATCATGTTGAAAATAAAAATTAATACTAATTTACAAACAAGTTAAAACTGAAAAGGAAATATCTAAGCTGCAATTCTATGGGTGCTTATTTGAGAACAAGCCCCTCTGAAATCAGTGGAACTTTCTTATAATTAAGTGTGTACAGGACAGTAATCCTAGTCTAACCACTGTAATAATTAACAGTGATGCACAACTCCTAATAGAATTAGAAGGAATTTCTTCACCATGTGCTTTCAACTGCCATTCATTATTAAGTACAGTAGAACAAACATTTTTATTCTTGGAATTAGTCAACTAAAATAGTATTTAGGAAAGTGAGATGCAAATGTCTCCAAGCCTATTGGACACCAGTGGTACTCACTAAATACCAGGGTTACATACTACCCACTGTTGTAAAACAGAAACATTATACATTAGTTTCAATCTCAATAGCCTTATTTTACTAACATATCTGTATGGACCTACAGCCCTACACCAAAGCTTTCCAAACTTTTCATGTTGGTGACACACCTTTTAGACATGCATCATTTCGTGAGACAGTAATTCAGTTTTACTAGGAAACCAGAGATTAAACTACCGTATTTTTTGCTCTATAAGACGCACCAGACCACAAGACGCACCTAGTTTTTGGAGGAGGAAAACAAGGGGGGGAAAAATCTGAATCTCAGAAGCCAGAACAGCAAGAGGGATCGCTGCGCAGTGAAAGCAGCAATCCCTTTTGCTGTTCTGGCTTCTGCAATAGCTGCACAGCCTGTATTCGCTCCATAAGACGCACACACATTTCCCCTTACTTTTTAGGAGGGAAAAAGTGAGTCTTATAGAGCAAAAAATACGGTAACCCCTTTCTAGCCCTGGGAGGAGTGCTAAGAGTGTACACGCGACACACCTACACGCGACACCCAACACACTAACATGTGGCAACACACAGTTTGGAAAGCTCTGACCTACACTATTATAGGCATACCCTAATAACCAAACAAAAGCACCCTAAGTAACTTGCTTCTGAAAAGTATAACTTTCATTTACCTTTAACTCCATTAAATTGTCAAAACTGCAATCTATAATAAGGCGAAGGGTACTAGGAACAACATCTCTACGCAAACGTTTCCTGAAACTTCCGTCGTTGCTAGATTCCAACTGAGACTGGCGCTCTTGTTTTCTCTTCAGGCGTTTTTCTTTACGTTTCTGTCTGAAAGATAGCAATTAACACCCAAGTGCCATGGTATTAATTATACAATGATTCTGCACACATATGCAACATAAAGAGATGGTAGTAGAAGAGTTAAGCACTCTAGCTCACCCATCTTGTCTCAAATGGCTTTTAGCACTAGAGTACAAACACTTTTATACAGTCTTTCTCTTCAAGTGTTTTGTGTTTTGACCTGCAGTGCTCTGGCCTCTCTGACTTGCTGTCTTGTGCCCCTGCACTCGCAATGCCTAGTTCTACATACACACCCTTTCTTTAAATGTTCATCCATTTCATCACCTTCATCCCAGGGGAAAGATTTGCTGTTATCCTTTTGCAAGACAAATAATAGCTTTACTCTTAGTCTTTCATAAGCAACTGTCTATAAAAAATGATTTTTAGAGAAAGCTGCTGCTCAAGGAGAAACAGTTAATCAACGCAGAAGTACAACTGAACCTATTCTGCCTTCCAGTGTCTTGACTGGGACAAAACAAAAGCTTCACACAAACTGCAGCACAGAAAAAATGGAAGAGGGATTTGAAGAGAGTGTTGGTTAAAGCTCAAGAACTCCATTGCAACTGTTAGCCATGTTGTGGGATAGAAATGCCAAGGTCAAGAAGAATAAATGCACAATTTCCTTCTTCCATATCTGAATAATGGAAGGCATGAAAACTAAAACATGATACACACATTAAATCATATGTGAAATGTATTAGATTCCTGTGTCTCATTTATTCTAATCAGGTGATTATATCAACTGCCTAGTGTAATGTAAAACAAACATAGATTTTGCAGTAGTTTCTAAGCAGGTTTTTATCATGCAATCCTGCATTTAAATAAATGTTAGTTTTCCCTAACACGTTTTTTCACTTCTCCCCACAGTAATGGGAATAAAAGAAAGGGCATGGGAGAAAGAAGTCCACTTCTGATCTTTTCTTTTATACAAATTGGGGATAGAGAGAAGAATATAACCCGAACCTGCTCAGTTATTAACCCACACTTGTAGCAAAAAAATAACCCATACTTGCGCAAGTTTCTTTGTTCTTCCCACTGTTTCTGTTTCATTAGCTTCTTTCTTTGCCTCTTTGACATAGCTTCAATATTCTCCATCTTTTCCAGTAATTCATTTCCCATTTGATCAAGGCTGCACTTCCCATCTCCTTTTACATCAGTAAGCTTGGATGCCTCAAGGTTTTCTGGTAGCATTCCTGATGACATGAGCTTTCTAACTATCTCACTTTCCTTTTTTCCCTGAAGATGCTACAAATGTTGGAATCAATATATTGTACAACTTCTGCTTCCAGTACTGTGGATAAAATAGAAGATTTAATATTATTTTAAAAGTATGCATAGAAATCTTTGTTTGTTAGAACTATAACCGCAGACAAATTTACAAGACTAGGAATGTAACATATTGTTTCCAACCTATTTTCCTATTATGTTGTAAATGAACCAACATGGAGGATAACAAGAAAACAAAAAAAAGCCACCAGTATATTTCTAAAATCAGTATGCTTTAATGTCAAATCGGTGGTTATGAACAAAGGATAGCACACGTTTAAGGCACGAGGCAAACAATCTGTCACCTCAAATAAGCCATACGATGGGCGGATGTCCTAAACTGGCAAGAAGCTTAAGGAAGTGTGTTCAGTTTGTGAAATTAAGAGCCTTGAGGAGGCTTACTGAAGACGGACATAATTCGCTGCGGAAGAAGCTTCAGCCAAGTCCGCCTCCTCTTTTACCTGAAGCTGCGGCCTCTGGCCTTTTATGTTTATTTTTACGACAGCTTCAACCCATTTGTAGCCTCTTAAGACACTTGGAGCTGCTCTCGCAGCGACAGACTAAACGCGGCTAAGCCGTCTGTGGATTCACTTGTTATTATTACTACTGTTTAAAAAGAGAGAGAAAAGCCCAAGCGTGTGTGTGGGGGGGTCCGTTATCAACAGCTTTCCCTTCGCTACCAATCGCCGCCCTGAGGCGGGTGGGGAGGGAGGGAGGAAGGAGCGCCCGGCCGAATGCTGAAGCGGGGAGGGATACGAAGAAACGCGGCTTCCCGCGCTTAAGAAACAGGAAAGGAAAGGAAAGCACCTGCCTGCACCCCCGCGCGCCAACCCGCAGCAACCGCCACCAACAAACGCGGTGGGCCGCGCGGCGCCAACCGTCTCCTCACGCGCTACCTCAGGCTGAGCGGCGGAAGCGGGAGATGCCGGCGCGGGCAGTGACGCAAATCCCCTCGCGACCACGGGCGGGGCTCAGGGAAGGAAGCTCCGCCCCTGGCGGACGGGCGGGCGAGCGACTAGCGCGATGTTTTAGGGTCCTAAGGTTGACGCGCCGACGTGTTGCGACTTGTACTTTAGCTGACCTCGTCGCTGCCTGCGTGTGCCCGGCTTTACCAACCTATACGAAAGTTAACACGGCAGTGTTGGGAACACGCTCTCTCTCTCACGAAAAAGAGAGAGTCGGTGTTTCTCAAACTTGGGTCCCCAACTGCTGTTTGACTACAATTCCCATCACCCCTAGCTAGCAGGACCAGTGGTCAGGCATGATGGGAGTTGTAGTCCAGCAACACCCGAGGACCTAAGTTTGAGAAACATCGTGAAAGAGAACCTCCATTTTCAGAGGCAGTGTTTACCTGGGCAGTTGCTGCGGGGGTGGGGAGAGTAGTGGGTCAGCCTTACTTGATGTACTGAGTTGACTAAGATCCAAAAGGCAGCAGTCTGATTGGTCCTAGAACAATAGGGTCCAGAATGCAGCAGTCTGATTGGTCCACAGGAGCCACCCAATCCAGCTCCAGGTGGAAGTGAATCCGCAACCTGATTGGCCTACAGGATAATCCTGAAATTAGCCCATTGTGTAAATAATGTATATAATGCAGACATTCTGGGGGAACTTCCATTCATCCTCACTACTATGAGCTGAATAAAGAGCATGAAATCCACACTCGACTATATATACAGTGGTGCCTCGCAAGACAAAATTAATTCGTTCCGCGAGTTTTGTCGTCTTGCGATTTTTTTCATCTTGCGAAGCACGGTGTCGGGAAAGTTTTGGAAAAGCTTCAAAAATCACCAAAGTCTTTAAAAACCTCAAAAAAGTCTTTAAAAACCTCAAAAAAGACATTTAAAAGTCTTTAAAAACCTCAAAAAAGGCTACCACACCGCGTTCTATGAGTTGCTCCTCGAAGTCAAGTCGCAACTGTATTAACGGTGTTAAGAAAAAGGAAACAAACTTGCAAGACGTTTCCGTCTTGCGAAGCAAGCCCATAGGGAAAATTGTCTTGCGAAGCAGCTCAAAAAACAAAAAACCCTTTCGTCTAGCGAGTTTTTTGTCTTGCGAGGCATTCGTCTTGCGAGGTACCTGAAATATACTCAGAGTCGCAAAGTGATTTCATGCTCTTTATTCAGCTCATAGTGGTGAGGAGGAATGAATGAAAGTCCCCTCAAAGTATCTGCTTAATATACATTATTTACACAATGGGCTGCACATGATTGGTTAATTCTGGAATTCTACTGTAAGCCAATCAGGTTGTGGATTCACTTATATCTGGAGCATGATTGGGTGGTTCCTGCCAACCAATCATACTGCTGCATTGTTCTTGGACCAATCAGACTGCTGCATTCTGAATCCTATTGTTCTAGGACCAATCAGACTGCTGCAATTTGGATCCTATTGTTCTAGGACCAATCAGACTGCTGCAGTTTGGATCCTATTCAACTCAGTACATAACACCCCTCCCCTCTAAGTTCCAGTCCTGCCCGGGAGGTCGCATTCATAGTCCTCGAGGTACGCCGGCGGCCTACCTGTGCGTTGCGGCCTGTGGTGTTCCCTGGTCCGGGGTTCAGGTTCTGGCTCGTGTTCCAAGGATGCTGGCTGTGATGGGCCTGTTTGGTCTGGCGCAACTGGCTCGCTCAGTCGTGGTTCTGGTTCCGGTGTCCTTTCGGCCTCGCGGGTCCTCTCTGTATTTACTGATTCTGCCTCTCCTGCTGGCCCCTCCTGCTTTATGGGCCTCAGTGCCCCTCTGTTCCCTTGGGACTCCTCTGACCTTTCCTCCTCCTGGTTTTCTCCTGGGAATCGTCGCCGTATCTGGTCGCAGTGGCGGCGCCAGCATTGCCCCCCCATCCGTTAGCACCTCGTACAACACGGGGCCAGTGACCCTGGTGACTGTGGCGGGTACCCATGCTGGGCCTGCCCCAAAATTCTTTGCGTACACTGGGTCCTGGGCCTCGAAGGTCCGGGGGTGCCTGCCTTCCCCCACCACTACCTCATCCTGAGCTCTATCGGGGTGAAGGCGGTCCAATCTGATTGCAAGGCGCCGACCCATTAGTAGTTCAGCGGGGCTCCGGCCAGTCGTTGAGCTGGGGGTGCTGTGCTAGGAGGAATGTGGCAAGGCGGTACTCCCAATCCCCTTGCGTCATGCGGCGAAGGGTGTCCTTGGTGGTCCGCACCATGCGTTCTGCTTGGCCATTGGTGGCAGGGTGGAATGGCGCCGAACGGATGTGGCGGATGGCGTTCTGCGCTGTGAAGCTTTGGAATTCTCCTGACGTAAATGCAGTCCCGTTGTCTGAGACGAGAGTGTCAGGGAGCCCGTGGGTTGCAAACAGCCTGCGTAGTACCCGGATGGCTGCGGATGTAGAAGTGGACGGTACCAGTGCGACTTCCAGCCATTTGGTGTAGGAGTCCACCACTATGAAGAATGTTTTCCCCTGAAAGGGGCCAGCGAAGTCCACATGCAGGCGTGACCATGGTGCTCGGGCGGACTCCCAGGACTGGACTGGGGCCCTTGGGGGATCTGGGCGGGATTCTTGGCAGGCCTGGCAGTGGCCTCTATCTCTCCGTCGATCCCTGGCCACCACACATAACTCCTGGCAAGGGTCTTCATTCTTACTACCCCTGGGTGTGTCTCGTGTAGGGCTGTGAGGACCCTTTTGCGGAGGGGCTGGGGAACAACGACCCTGCTTCCCCATAACAGGCTCCCCTTGTGGGCCGACAGTTCATGTTTGCGGGTTGTGTAGCCAGCGAATTCTGGCCCAGGGCTGCTGCTGGGCCATCCCCTCCACACCCAGTCCAGGACCCGGGAGATGACCCTATCTTTCTTGGAATGGTGTGCAACTTCTTGTGCCTGAATGGGGTGGTCGGGAAGCAGCTCCAGGCTCATAACCTCTTGTGCAGGTGCTGGGTCGGGGCCTGTTTCCGGTAGTGGTAGCCTGCTGAGGGCATCCGCATGGCCCATCGCCTTCCCCGGGTGGTGAATCAGTGCATACTGGTAGCTGGCAAGGAAAATTGACCACCTGAGGATGCGAGGAGACAGCACTTGGGGGGTCTGCTTTCGGGGCAAACAAGCCAAGCAACGGCTTGTGGTCAGTCACCACGGTGAAGGGCCGCCCGTACAAGAAATCATGGAATTTTTTTACTCCCTTCACGATTGCCAGACCCTCCTTGTCTATTTGCGAGTAGTTCCGCTCGGTTGCGTTGAGTGTCTGGGAAAAGTATGCCACCGGTACCTCTCTTCCATCCGGGAGTTGGTGTCCCAGGACAGCGCCAATGTCATAGGGCGAGGTGTCGCATGCTAGCACCACCGGCAGCCTCTCGTCGAAGTGTGCCAAGACCGAGTTTGAGACAAGCAAGTCCTTGACTGCCTGGAATGCAGCCTCCTTCCTGTCAGATCCTGAGTCGTCGGTGAGGTCTTCATGGTGGACCCTCGGTTGGGATGGCAGGCTCAGCCGTGCCTCTTGCATCGACTGCTTGGCAGCTTCCGTTGCCAGGGCCTCCTCCAGAGCGACCTGGAACGTTAGGTCCTTCTTGGCGTAGAGGCGTCGTTGCAGCTTCTCATCCTTCAGGCCACCGACGAGGCAGTCACGAAGCATGTTCTCCAGCTCTGAGAAGTTGCAGAACCGGGCGGCTTGGCGGAGAGAGGTCACAAACCCAGTTATGGTTTCCCCAGGGGCTTGCCGCTTTGCGTAGAAGGCATTTCGACGAGCCACCACTGAGGGCTGCGGCGAAAAGTGCCCCTTCAGCTGTTCCATTATTGTTTTGTATGGAACAGTAGCTACGTCTTCAGGTTCAAGGAGAGCCCGGGCGATTTCAAATGTCTCCTCTCCGCAGATGCTGAAGAATATCGCCCTCTTCTTGGCGTCTTCTTCATCGGTGACCCCTTTGGCTTCTAGGAGGAAGGTGAAACGGGAGGCGTACGCTTCCCAGTCTCCAGATGCTGGGTTGAACGGCGAGAAGCTGCTGTCGGTTGCCATTCTGAGTTCCTTGTGTCCCGGAGCTGAAGCCTGGATACACGGTGCGAGGCAGCGGTGCGGCAGGTGGCGGTGCTGCGGTGCTGTGTGTGGCAGTCAGCTCAGCGGGATCCCATCCTCGTCGCCAGTGAAATATACTCAGAGTCGCAAAGTGATTTCATGCTCTTTATTCAGCTCATAGTGGTGAGGAGGAATGAATGAAAGTCCCTCAAAGTATCTGCTTTATATACATTATTTACACAATGGGCTGCACATGATTGGTTAATTCTGGAATTCTACTGTAAGCCAATCAGGTTGTGGATTCACTTATATCTGGAGCATGATTGGGTGGTTCCTGCCAACCAATCATACTGCTGCATTGTTCTTGGACCAATCAGACTGCTGCATTCTGAATCCTATTGTTCTAGGACCAATCAGACTGCTGCAATTTGGATCCTATTGTTCTAGGACCAATCAGACTGCTGCAGTTTGGATCCTATTCAACTCAGTACATAACAGTACCACTATATTTCACTTGAGGACTTATTGGGAAATAGTGGTCGAGTGGCTCTCTGCTTGCACAGCTGTCAACTTTTCCCTTTTTTATATATTGAAGGATGCATTGCAGGGGGCGGGTTGGACTAGATGACCCTTGGATCTCTTAAGATTCTATGATATGGGAGGTGTGTGTTGAAACCAGCTACTGTGTCACGTTAGTCCAAAAGCATGAACACATTGGGAGCCGTTCTCTTGCGTAAAGATAGATAGTTGTGAGAGTAGCAGATGGGTGGATTTCCTTTATTACATTTTTATCCCATTGTTCCACCAAGGAGCTCAACCTTCGTTTTATCCTTTCAACAATCCTGCGAAGTAGTTATCTGAGAGATGGTGATTGTTCCAGTGTAACCCAGTGAGCTTCTTGTCATGTCTAAGTGGTGATTGTGAACCTAGATCTGCCTGAACTAAATTCAGCACTCTGGCCATTAAACTTTTGGCTCTCAAAACTTCTTAAAGCTGCAGACCTGACTTCCCCCTACACCTGAATAGAACCAGATTTAAACCAGCACTGCATACCACATTGTCACAACTCATCCAGAACCAACCCATTTTTATGTGTTACATGGTGAAGCATGGGAAAGAAGGAAGTTAAAGAGTTATTTCATATCAGCTTTATGAATCGTAAAAAAATGTGATCTTGTGCATCATTGTGTGTGTCTTTAAATTCATGTGGTGGCACAGCAGATTTAGGACCACAGTGCATGATGTGTAGCCTGCTTGATTTCAAAAGTCCACGCTGGCCAGTGAATCTGCAGCTTTATTGTCTGATTAGATAGAAAGTGTGTTATGCAAGTCTTGTCTTTCCCAATCAAATATTTTCTGGGAAGAATACTGTACTAAAGTTACTGTATCACAGCAGAAGCAGGCAATATAAAATGAAGCTGTGTGTTATGTGTAGTGCATGTTAAAGACATATTCACCTAGCTCTTGAAATAAAGCATATGAAGCCGGTAAGCGTATTTATATATCGTAGCCATAATATATATTTCATATCAATATGAACATCTAAATATTTATCTTGTTTCAGCTTGATATGCTCATTCATTCCTGGAATATGAATGGTTTTAGATTTAGGACAGTATAGTTTTTGTTCTGAATTTCAGTTTTTACAATTATTAGTGTGAATAGATCATCATTCAATAATCAAGGCATGTTTTCAAAATAACATAATATAAATTAATGCACATTTTATGCTTTTTAAAGTGAAATCCTAAACATGTCTACTCAGAAGCATATTGTGATGGCCATTAGCTATAAATTTCCAGGTAAATCAGTACAGAACTACATCATTAATAATGGTCTTTGGGAATTTGATATACCATTGTAAAGAGATTAATCTTGTATCATTTATTTAATTATTGTTTCCTCACATTTTGAATAAAGTACTAGTGCCTCAGAGTCATTTATTTGAATTAGAATTGCCAATCATAAAGTACTGTGAGAACATTCCTATCGCTGCAGTCAAAGAGTTACATAAATGTATGGTAATTTCCATTCTATACAAACCATTTCTGCTTGGCTGAAAAACAGTTAATTTGGAATGACAATATAGAAATGACAAATATGCAAGTGACATTTGCCCCACTAACTGCTTACTTTGTCTTCTGTGAGGAGTAGAATGAGAATGTTTTATTGAAGTCAGCATGGTCAAAGGAAGCACAATTAGTTTTATTAGGTGATAATGGTAGTACATTTATTGCTTGGACTCTGGAAATTTATGACAGTGGTCGTACTTTAACCCTAGAGCACTGGCCACCACGACTTAACTGAAGTGTACCGGAAGAGACCATCATGCAGCCTTTGTTCAAATCAAGGGTAATAACTGCAATTACTTGATTGTATAGCAAGTTCATCCTGAAACTATGAATGCGGTTGTTCTCTGGAAGCTCTTCTACAGAGTAATGTGGTCACTTCTGATTTTCTTTTCATTGGAATTCTATGGAGCTGCCTTATCCTCAAGATCAAACTCCATGGTTCACTATATACCATATTATTTCCAGGATCAGATGCAGTATACCTCGGAATAAAGGGAAACAACAGTTGGAGATGGCTGGTGTCCTCACCTTCTGCTTGTAAGCTCTCCATAGACATCTGGTTAGCTGCTTGCCAGATCAGTTGTTGGACTTGACGGGTCTCCATTCTGATCCATCAGGGCTTTTATTATGTTCTTATATTCCAGAGATGTTACCATGATTCACATGGTGTGAATGGAAGGTGGCTTGTATATTACAAGGTTTCTGAGCACCTATAGATCAGCTTTCCAGTTGCCCCACTTTTCTTCTCATAATGATTGTCTCTCAAGGACATATAGATTATATTCTCAAGAAGAAAACTGCCCGTGATCTGTGTCCTCTTTCCAAAGCCACATTCAGGCAGCAGCTGTGGAACCTGATGACTTTTGAACAATGGCAGTCAAAAGAGTAATGCGCTGATCACTCACAGAATCCTATTCCAATTTCACCCAACTGCCAACATGCGTGTGAGCATTTGTGTGCATTTCTGAAATATTACCTCTGTAATAGAGGAGGAACAGATACTTTCTGGTGAATATGTCATTATTCCTTACCTTATAGAGATTTTAAACATGAACTAAGTGTTGAGATACAAGTTAAGCTAGCATGGCAGAGAAGCACACAATTTCCCCCTTTTACAAAGGTGTCCCCCTCCTCCAGTTTCCATTGGGGCTGCAGCATGCTGGAAGGGGAGGCTTAATCCTCTCCCCTACAGCTGCCATCCTGTCAGAGGAAGAGTTTTCCTTATTTCCCCCATGTAACCCAGCTGTTAGGGTCATGAGTGTTTTGGTTCTGCAGTTTCTCCACACATCTTGCACACCATAAATGAACGAATCAGTCAAAACGGCAATAATAATCCTGGCCAGCCTTTACAGAGGAGTTGTAAGAATTTACAGAATTATCCATGTGAAGGATGATTTTACACATCAATGGGCGAGACTGTAGGATGTTTTATCATCAGATGGTGAGAGGGCATGGAGGAGGGGTTCTGTTCAACAACAAAAGCAAAATTCCCACATAGCATGTTTGAAGTAGCTCTTTGGGTCCCAGCTTAAATGTCATTAGCATTACCTAGCGAGCATGCCCTCACCTGACCCTAATTTGATTTTCAATATTGCCGGTATTAATTAAAAACAGTTATTCAGAAAAGCAGACTTTCACTGAATTGGAAATAAGGGATGATGTGAGAAAAATGTGTGCAATTTTTGCCAGTGGTGGCAATGAAATATGTGGGGAGGATGACACAGGAAGTGCAAAATAGGTTATGAAGTGAAACAATCTGCCATACAGGGGTGGTCAGTAGGGTGGCACCGTGGAGCTGGCCTCCTAGCAGCAGTGTTACTCCCACTTACCAGGGTGTTGTGGTGAGGTTGGAGCAGTACAGGTGCCCTGGCAGAGACAAACTGGTCCTTCCACTCATGCACCTGAGCTGCCTCCACCTCATCACTGCTCTGCTTGTCCCAGGAAGGAACAATAATGCTGCTGTCAGGCGGCCACCCCTGCTGTTCTGTATTGCTCAAGTTATTTGGGAAATGAGGCCATGCAATGCAGAGGGCTTTCTGGTCCATTACAAAGAACCCTAAGAGGAAGAACAGATGCCTTGAAGTTGCCTTCCGATAGTCAGCACCTGGACAACAGACTGAGCAAGGCACACAGGCCACCTGGTCACAATCTTTCCCAATGTGGTCTGATGTATTCTATTTCGATTAGGGTTGCCATGTGTCCTTTTTTTCCAGGACACGTCCTCTTTTTCACGGGTAAAATTTCTGTCCGGGTAGTTTTTTTAAAATTTACCAAAATGTCTCTGGCTAAACAGTGGTACCTCTGGTTAATAACTCGTTCTGGAGGTCCATTCTTAACCTGAAACTGTTCTTAACCTGAAGCACCACTTTAGCTAATGGGGTCTCCCGCTGCCGCCGTGCCGCTGGTGCGCGATTTCCATTCTCTCCTGAAGCAAAGTTCTTAACCCGAGGTACTATTTCTGGGTTAGCGAAGTCTGTAACCTGAAGCGTCTGTAACCTGAAGTATCCGAGGTACCACTGTACTTTCTGGATGAGACATAACTGGTGGTTGAAGACTTGCTTTCCTCTTTTCTTCTCCTGTCCCCCTCAGCAATACATCACAGCTTCGATAGCCTACATATAGTAGGGGTATTTAAAATGAGAGTCGTCATGGCGTCCTCTTTTTTGTTCCTCAAAATATAGCAACCCTAAAATTAAAATCATTATTTCTAAATTTGCAATTTCTATATGAATTGGCATTTACACACTTCTTTGGTCCTTTTTAATGGTAAATTTCCTGTCTCTTTTTGTTGTTGTTTAGTCATTTAGTCATGTCCGACCCTTCGTGACCCCATGGACCAGAGCACGCCAGGCACTCCTATTTTCCACTGCCTCCCACAGTTTGGTCAAATTCATGTTAGTAGCTTCGATAACACTGTCCAACCATCTCGTCCTCTGTCCTCTGTCGTCCCCTTCTCCCCTTGTGCCTTCAATCTTTCCCAACATCAGGGTCTTTTCCAGGGAGTCTTTTTGGCAAAGTGTAAATGGTCTAGACAAAGAAGAAGTCAGTATGGTACTTTCCCCCAGAAAGTGCTTGTCTATCCTTGACTTCCTATCGTGCAGCCTACAGGCTTTGCATTGACTAAATTTACAAGGAGATGAACTAAGTCATATATGAGCTACATGCCAGCATGTATTTTAGTAAAGAGCACACACCTGAGGAGAACAATGAAACTTCAGAATGCCACCAGTTACCTCAGTTCTTAATAATTAACTGGAAAGGCCTTCAATGAACTTAGTACCCAAGTGTGGAGTTTGGAATCTGACCCTTACTACATCTAGATAAACATTATTGTGACAGATTCCGAAGCCCTCTTTTCAGGCTTCACTCCAATCGGAACAGTTCACTTCTCCATAGCCTTGAAATATTTCACAGTATTACAGCTGTTAGACAGGGCAAGCATGATTCTTCTTACTGTGCTTTTCCCGTGCATCATTTCCACCTACTCAGCATCTGTGAAAGGTAAGTTACTTATTTAGATAATATTTTGTTATTTCCTTTGGTAATTTTGATGAAAAAGGGGGCAGTAAAGGGTGCCAATCTGAGACTTTTTGTTTTTAGATCATATTAAATTTGCATTATGCTTAGATCACCCAACTGTGGCTCGTGAGCCATGTCAAGAGCAGCTTTTCTGTAGTTTGAAAAAGAAAGTGCCAAAGGCATTTATATTATCAGTGTATTTGTCCCTCTCCGGTGGAGTCTGGATCTGGGCTTCAATTCTGTAGCCATTAACAGGGATCTATATGGAAATGGTGTTAGGAAAGTGGCGCTGCCATTGTAACCCCACTAACCTGAGAGTAAACCTGACTGAATGCACTATGAATCCCTACTGAATAGACATGGTTAGGATTGCAATGTGCTTTTATTAATTTAGTCTGCAATGTTATACCCACTTACTTGTTAGGAGTGAGTCCCACTGAACCCAATGGAGTTTATTTCTGAATGTATAGGAATGTATTGTTCACCACAGTTCTTGAATAACTGTGTATAATAGTTATTATAGTAATAGAAATAATAGTTATTAGCTGAATAAATATTTAACACCCCCCCAAAAAAGCCAGTATAAAATTAAGCTGTTACATATCTTCGTAAAAATAGTCTTCTTACAAAGATTGGAGATAATACTCTGACACTAGACCAGATGTTGCTTTTTATGACTTCCAAAAGATTATTATTATGCTCATGATTATGAATTCATCTGAATCACTTTATGGGATTCATATCAAGAGTGCTCACCATGTTTGTATTGTCAATCTGCCTTTGAATAACATTTAAGAAAAGAAAAGAAGACTCCAGTCCATTTGGGCTTTGAATCTGGCAGAGTTCTGAGGATGGACTATTCAAGATTCACCTCTAATTGTGTACTATAACAAACCCCACCTGTCTTCTTCAGCTCTTCCATGCTGCTGAAAATCCTGAAGTATCCTTTCATAACAGTGATGTGTAGGCAGTCTGCTGGCCCTTGCAAATGGCAGGCTAAATTGATGGGAGTGCACTCAGGATGACAGCTATGTGATATGACACCTTTCTGTGACGTAGAGGAGGATGAAACTCCACTTTTCCAATGTCTAGGTAAACTCTAGGTCCATAAGTGAAATGAAAAAGTGGCTTGCTACCTTCTTACACATGAGGTCAGCCAGGCCATCCGTCTACATAAATACAATGTGCACAGCTACATAGCACAAGGACCAGAGTAAGAACTTCTATGAGCTTTTACAGCCAGAATGTCCCCTAGACTTTGAGACTAGAGATCAGAACATGAGTTGCAATCAGTCCTCAAAGAGGATTAGGAAGATATGCTGACTAGGTTCAATTCTCAGGACAAAATGGCTTTCGGTTTTCCATGAATGGTCGTTTAGTACAGAACGTTTAACGATAAAAGATGGGAGGAAAGATAATTAATTTTGATACTTTGTGTGAGGATTTTTCTAGTCACCATTTTGGTTCCAGGAATTCTCAAAGGCCCATGGGATCTCTTCAGAAACCATTTGGTGGATCCCTTAGCCCATGGGCACCTGTGTCATAACCTGATCCTGCCCCTATTCATACAGTTTCTGTAGTGTAGTGTCCCTGTCTAGCCTTCTGCTATCTTTCTCGGTTCACCACTGGGATTCGCAGTCCTAGACCCTTTCTACATTCTTACTTTTGCCTCCACTTCTCCCCTGAGATAAAGCTCTCCTTATTCCCCCCTCCTCCTTTCTGCTTGTCTTTCTCAGTCCGTTCTCTTCATTCTCCTTGTTTCCTTCTAGACCCCCCAGGCTCCCACTCCAGCTGCCTGGGGCCTTGTTTTGCAGTGTCTGCAGCCTCTGTTTTATGAGACTTCTTCCTCCCCATTTCTAAGCCTGTTCTGGTCAGCTTCTGGTCAGCCAAGCAGATACTGTCACACTGTTGACTCTCAACACTTTGCTTTTACAAGGCTGCTTTCCGCTTGCTGCACAGAGAGAAGGTTGTTCACCCTGTTCTACATGGGGTCGCACTGCTTGAAGGCTGACATTCACAAATCTTAGGGTGCTTATTGACCCAACGTTGTCATTAGAAGTTCACATGACCTCTGTGGCTCAAAGTGTCTTTTATCAGCTTTGGCTGATAAAGGTCACTAGCTATGACCATAACTGAATGGAGATAGCTTGGCCACAATTACCCATGCTCTGGGAACCTCTCTTCTAGACTCTTGCAATATCACCCCCAATCTCCACAACAGTGCAATATTCCCGAGAGATCCAGGCTCTTGTCTGGGGTCTGTGTTTCATTTTGGACAATGAGGCATAGCAGAGACTGTGGTGTCTTTTAGGACTGGGCGATTTATCGATATATTGTCCAAAAGCAGTTTGAAGTCCATATTGTGATATCGGTTTCATAGTTTTTGACCTGGCAATATATTGCAAATCATGATGTGTGTTAGGGCTGGGCAATATATTTTCCAAAACCAGTTTCAAGTCCATATCATGATTTCGGTTTCATAATTTTTGACCTGGCAATATACTGTGAATCATGGCGTGTGTGTTGGGGGAGGGATTGCTATGCAAAAATCACAATGTGGGAAAACCGTGAAGCCAGTCAATGCCTCAACATAACTCCATCGTTATTTCAGACATTGTGTGATATATTGGTATATCGTGGTGTTTAGCTGGTGATATATTGCCCAGATATTGCCCAGCCGTAGTGTCTTTATGATATATGGTTTATTTACACGTATGCACAACCTGAGCCTAGGATAGGGGGGTGCACAGCATTGCATTCCAAAAGGGTCTTGCTTCTATCATAGGCACAGTCCTGGGTTCAAACAGGCATGAGACATCCTGCCTGTTGCCCCACAGCTTGCCTTGCTTTCCCACTCACATAAATCCTAACTTTTCAGTAGGCAGCTGCCTAGATTGCATTGCTGCTTACTGATTCATAAACCTTTTCCCTTAGAGCACACCAGGCATACAATACAGCAATCCTGAAATTGTACTACTTTCCTTTGTTCTTCTACGGAACCTTAAGCTCAGGGAGGGACTTCACCCATCTTTCTGGCTGGCACAGAATCAGCTTTGTTAAGCACCCATCTCCCTGCACCCTTTGTTTGCTTAACCATTATCAGGCTGGCCTGGACATGGGAAGCTGAGCCCAGCTATTAAGGGTCTGGCTTCCAGTTTAGCTCTCTAAGCATTGATTAAATTCTAGCACTTACTAAATCCAGTCAGCCAGAAACTCTAGCTCTCAAAACCCCATAACAGTGTTATACACAGGGCTCCCTATGTTTAACAGACTTTATGAAAACAGGCTTCTCTCATGAATAGTGAGCAGTGGAAAGAACTGAAAAGGTCATGGTTGTGCATTGCTGCTTCTCTATTTCACATTAAGCACCAAAAATAACCAGCTTTCTTTAAATATTTCTGACGTATAACAGGGTTTAATGTATCTCTTCCTCTAAGAAAAGATTCTGTCAGTTGCTGCCACAAGGCTCCTCCATAAGCATGTTTATTTAGAAGCAAATCCCAAGTTGAAGAGACAGAAAGTACTGTGCACAAGCTTTATATAGTTTACACAAACTTTATGTAGTTAAGTGTATTTATAAAAAGGTCCCATTGGAGCAATGTGTGAGACAGCCATACTCCCGTGTATAATCAACTAAGGACTGGAGTGGTTTGGTAACACTTCTTTCATTTAAAAAATGAATGTTGTGCTGGTGGCCAAGACAGTGGTCCTCATCCGCGTTACGTAATGCCTCATCATGTTCTTTGTTTCTCTTGCTTCAACCACAAACAGAGCTCAAGCACCTATTCCTGCCAGGCAAAAGCACCCAAAAATAGTGCAAAGCAGGAACAATAAGGGAGAATGTAATCTCTCATACCTGCATGCTGCTTCTGTGGACAGCTATAATACTGCTCAAGTATAGTGGATTTTGGTGGTGTCATAGGCGCCTCTACCCTATGAGCCAATTTGATTCCCTCCCTCCCTCTCTTTCTTTTTTCTTTTCCTTCTCCTCCTGCGATGAGGCTACATTTTAATATTTTAATGTTCCATTATTTTAATGTTGTATTTTATTTTTGTTTTTAAGTTGTAATCATTCATCTTGTTTTTATTATTGCTTGTAAGCCGCTCTGAGCCCGGCCTTGGCTGGGGAGGGCGGGGTATAAATAAATAATAATAATAATAATTATTATTATTATTATTACCCACACCTGTGACAAGCCCCATCGGGCATTCTTGCAGCCTGCTGCAGGTGTGGGAAAGCATGGCAAGGCTTGCTGCAGCGAGGCCAGGACACACAAGGTTGGGAGGGGCGCTTAGTAGTTTCCCAATTTGGGGGAGGGAGCCTAAGGTCCCCTCAGCCACAGGGAGTTGGCACCTATGGGTGGTGTGGTCAGATGAGGGCTGCCATCTTAAACCTTCCTTCATCTAGGTAAGTGCTTCACGAAATTCCATGCTTAAAAAAATCCCTGAATTGCAACAAGTGACGCTGAAGCCCATCAGAAGGGATTTTTCTTTCTGTTTTTTCTAAATCCCACTACAGTGGTACCTTGGGTTACAGACACTTCAGGTTACAGATGCTTCAGGTTACAGACTCCGCTAACCCAGAAATAGTACCTCGGGTTAAGAACTTTGCTTCAGGATGAGAACAGAAATCGCATGGTGGCAGCGGGAGGCCCCATTAGTGAAAGTGGTACCTCAGGTTAAGAACAGTTTCAGGTTAAGAACGGACCTCCAGAATGAATTAAGTTCTTAACCCGAGGTACCACTGTAGTTCCTTTCAGCCTGAAAGGTTCTACACTTAGGCAGGAATAACCAGCTGCACCAATATAAGGTGGGGGACACTTGGCTTACCAGCAATACATGATTAAAAGGATCTAGGAGGCTTAGTAGACCACAACATGAGTCAACAATGTGATGCTGCAGCAAAAAAGAGCTAATACTGTTCCAGGCTGCATCAATAGAAGTCTAGTCTCTAGATCAAGTTCCACTCTATTCTTCCTTGGTCAGACCACACCTGGGATACTGTGTCCAGTTCTAGGTGCCACAGTTTAAGAAGGATACTGACAAAGCTGGAACATGTGCAGAAGATAGTGACCAAGATGATAAAGGGTCTGGAAAGCAAGCCTTATGAGGAATGGTTGAGGGAGCTTGGTATGTTTAGCCTGGAAAAGAAGAGACTAAGAGAAGATGTGACAGCCATGTTCATATATCTGAAGGGCTGTCACATGGAGCAAGGTTTTTTTCTCCCACTCTGGAGGGTAGGACATGAACCAGTGGCTTCAAGTTACGAAAAAGGAGATTCCAACTAAACATTCGAAAAAAACTTTCTGACACTAAGAGCTGTTCGACAGTGGAACAGACTCCTTTGGGAGGTTTTGCACTCTCCCTCCTTGGAGGTTTATAAGCAGAGGTTGGATGGCCATCTGTTATGTATGCTTTCGTTGAGTAGCAAACCTAGTCATTCCCAAACAACTATGATGACAGAATACATTGTCTGCATCCCTTAAGAACAAAGCAAGCTGTCTTTTACTGAAGCCAAGCCATTGGTCCATCAAGCTCAATGTTTCGTACACCAGGAATGGTCAACCTTTTCAGACCTAGGACTCACTTTTAAGCCAAACATGCATTTGGAGACCCAATTCTTAATCTGTTAGTTGCATCTATTTACATAGTTGCTGTGCTCCTGTTGTGACCCACCTTCCCAGGTATTGAACCTGGGAACTTCTGCATGCAAAGCAAGCTCTCTGCCACTGAGCTACAGCCCTTACCAGGGCGGGATTTAGGTTTGATGAGGCCCTAAGCTACTGAAGGTAATGGGGCCCTTTATATGTCTAGCTGTACTTTGTCAACAACAAATTGTCACTGATTTTTGTGTTGAATATTTGCTATATGGTAATTGGTGGACCTATTAGGTATCTAAAGCCACTTGCACATAACAAATAGGAGCCTACACAACACAAAACACTGTTGCTGTATGCAGGTTTTATTTTATTTGCTTTTTATCTTATATTTTGGAAATGTACATCCAGGTGGTTTTTTCCTTTAAATTTTTTTGGGGCCCCCAAGAGAGTGGGGCCCTAAGCTATAGTTTATATAGCTTATACGTAAATCCGGCACTGGCCCTTCCCTTTGTCCACATTAGCTGTCTCTTTGCTCTGCTGCAATCTTCAGTTAGAAGCAGTTGCACTGAACTCAGGTCACAGAGAGCAACCTCTTCCTGTGTGTTGCCTAGGCAACCAGACAAAGCAAGATGCTAGCTTTCACATAACTCTGTCCTTAACACCCAGTGTGCTCAGGCAAGCACTCTCTTCTTTTTTGCTGAAAAGAACCAGACAGATAGTGAAGACTTCTCTAAACAAAGAATAATTAGGTTTGATAAATTCTATGCAGGTGGCGCTGCGGGTTAAACCACAGAGCCTAGGGCTTGCCGATCAAAAGGTCGGCAGTTCAAATCCCCGCGACGGGGTGAGCTCCCATTGCTTGATCCCTGCTCCTGCCAACTTAGCAGTTTGAAAGCACGTCAAAGTGCAATTAGATAAATAGGTAAACCAGCGGGAAGGTAAACGGCGTTTCCATGTGCTGCTCTGGTTCACCAGAAGCAGCTTAGTCATGCTGGCCACATGACCCGGAAGCTGTACCCCGGCTCCCTTGGCCAATAAAGCGAGATGAGGGCCGCAACCCCAGAGTCATCCACGACTGGACCTAATGGTCAGGGGTCCCCTTACCTTTACCTTTACTTGAGTAGAAACACTGGCCTCCCCAATCCTCACATACAGGCAAACCATGTTTTTGCTGGGTTAATTTTCTTGCACATTGAGGTTGCTTGTTTGCCCTCTCCCTTGAGTTCTGAGAAGGGCTTTGAAATATTTCTGCTACCCCTACACCCAAGGAATCAAGGGCACCAGGCATATTCTGCCCAGTTCCAAGTCTTCTTAGGGTGGGATCACAATGTCTTTATCCTGAATCACCTGCCCCATAAACTAGAAAAGTATCAGCTTTAATTGTTGAATCAAACACATATTCCTGGTAACCTAAGAAATCTTCCAGTAGGAGGCCTTAGGAGGTTATCAAGAAGATGGCAATCTGAATAATCTGATGGTTAGTGTCAGAACTGGGCCAAGATTAACCTTTCTTTTTATTTTGTATTTATATTTATTAAATTTGTATAGCACTCTTCATCTGGTTCACACATTAAAAATATAAGATAAAAACAACAAAACAAAACCATAATAAAATTAAGAACCCCACCCCCAACCAATAAACCTTCCTCCAAACCCCCATATTTCTTCAGGAAATCCGGTTTCATCTGCTTGGAAATATTCCATCAGATTATAAATATGCATTGCTCGCTACACATTAATATTATTTTCTAATAAAGCTGCTTTTTTGATTCGCTGAGATTACAGCAAATTATGAGTTGTTACCAAGCAATGCATTTTAATAGTATTTTCTAATAAATAGCTTGCTGCTTTTTTTATCTTTTTAGAAAAAAAATTCTAAATTTACAAGAGCCAGTGCAAGCTTACGATCTAACCCAAGCCAGCTAGTGGTTAGCACATGTTGTGCATGCCGAGAGTACTAATATAAGGCACAGGCCCTGACAGCTGTCCCAATTCAGGCAGCATAACTTTGTGTATTATACGACAGTATCATGATTTAATTATAGACAGCCGTAATGGCAGACACTAGGGTTGCAAGTCAAGCTGTATATCTACCCACTCCTTCCTGCAAGAACCCAGAGGCACACTTGACCCTAAGTCAGTATATCAAATACTGTACTAAAGTCCAGGTCTGGCACTATTTAAGGAGATGGGAACCCAAAGGGCATATGATTGCCCTTCTGCAAATATATCAGAAGGGGGGCAACAAAATCAAAAGGGAAAGCAGCTTGGGTTAAGTAAGTTCTTTTGAATGTTAAGAATGGATGGCTACGAAGAGGACATTTGCACACTGACTTTTAATTGTGCATTAAAACTGGGAACCATTTTGGAAGACCAAATTTCCACGTGTTTCGAGGGAAAACTGGAAGGCAGCACTTCTGAGAGAAATTACTAATGTGAAATACTAATCCTAGAATTGCAAACCCTCTGACATTTTTCTGATGAAAATAGGGATGTCCTATATTATTATTATTATTATTTTGCTGTTTATACACCACCCATCTGATTGGGTTGCCCCAGCCACTCTGAGCGGCTTCCAACATATATAGAAACATAACAAAACATTAAACATTAAACAACTTCCCTATACAGGGCTGCCTTCAGATGGGTCGGGGCTCAGAGAACTCCATACCCTCCAACATTTCTCCGATGAAAATAGGGATGTCCTAAGGAAAAGGGGTACATTCTAGGATCAATTCCAAAACTGGGACAGCTTCTGTAAATCCGGGACTCTCCCTAGAAAACAGGGACATTTGGAGGGTCTGGAATTATAGAATTGGAAAGGACCCGGAAGACCAACTTGTCCAATCCCCTGCCATGCAGGGATATGCAGCTGTCTCGTACGGGGATCGAACCTGCAACCTTGGCAATATCAGCACCACACTCAAACCAACTAAGGTTGCCTGGCTGGCAAACCAGAGAGTCCGTCTGACTTTTAAGTTTTCTGCTGCGCTGGGAGAAGAAGCCAATGTGGTGGTGTCAGTAATAAGAGAAGCTGCTGATACAGTGACTCATGGTGGGCCCTGCTGGCCAGTCAACAGCTGTGTGCTTGTACATTGCTGCCTCAGCTCCCCCACCCCTGCCCCATGGCCATCTCTTGAAGTCTTCTGCTGTAAAGGTGGCTGGGGGCTTCCCCACCCAGTAGCCAAAAACTACCCCCCACTCCACCTTTAGCGGGGGACTTGGAAGGTAAAACGTTCTCCAAGTTGCCAGACTAATAATAAGGGAGTGTTTTTGAGCACTCAAAGAGTCTTGTATCTTCATCTAGCACTCTGGACTTAGGGACAGGCATGTCCAGGCTTGTGGAGGGCATGACTCAGAGAGAGGCAGGCTGGTGCGTCATCTCTCATTTTTAAGCAAAGCTTTAGGGAGAAGAGCATGAGACAGGCAGTTTGGATTTATGTTGGTCACTGACCCTGTGCTTTCCACTTTTCTTTCCCCACCCTCACAGGCCACAATACTGGTCCACGAATAAACAATGACAAGTTATATAAGTTCACCTACTCCACAGATGTGCTTCTAGACAGGGTGAAAGGCTCATCCCTGGAGAGCGCGGGCTACCGAATTTCATGTGGCGTGGATGTCAACTTAGTATGGAGAAATCCTGATAATGATGACGATCAGCTGATTAAAATTGCGGTAGGCAAGCAGTGGACGCAAAAGGACGAATTTAATGTGTTTTCTGCCAGTTGGTTTAAGTAAGAAAAGTGAACCCCATGTATAACGTGGGAGGCAGAGTTAAAATTGAGTTAATTTTTTCGCTCGTGTAAACAGTAAATACATGCTGCATTTAAGTAACTTAAGATACAGTCTTAAGCATTCAGGGTTGCACTGCTAAGTTTACATAAATGGAAGTATGGCCCAGTATATTCAATAAGTTACTGGTTCCCACCCCAATCACCGAGGGTCTTAATAATGGTGCGCTAGAGGTTGCATGCTTTTTAATTGCATTTTATTTCTTCTTTTCTTTCTGATATATTTTATTATATTGCAGTTGGGATTCCATAGACTGTAGTACAGTAAAATACAACATAAGAGAAAAAAAGAAGCAATGGAACACAATTAAAAACCAGTTTGAATATTTTATGCAATAGATGTGCCGTCTCCCATCTTCAACCACAAATAGACAGGCACACCATGGACCGCTGGTGGTCTGTGAATCACAGTTTGGATACCCCGGCTTACGCTTCCAGTAGGCAGAGTCAGGTGGCTGCCATAGACAGGAGATGGTGGGGGTGGAGGGCAGAGAATGATGGCAGGGTATTGGAATTACTGAGAATTACCACCCTTAGTCTGCTGCCCTCAGGTAAAGGATGCTGTTACACTGCCGGTGTTGAAGTAAGAGTCAATTGCCAGGCTGTTTGGCTGGTAGAATTGATGGGGGAGAAAATCCTGTCCTTTGCCTCAGGCGGTAAATTGTCTTGGGCCAGACCCAGATCAACGAGATATACTCCCAGATGAGCACATTTAACTGTGATGCCCTTAACACAAGGTACTCTTGGAATGGAAGTTTGATGAGACACCCAGAGATCTTAATGGGAGAATTTCCAGTGCCTGAAATTTCCAGCGCACCAAAGTCAGATGTGGGGCCACTGGACATGATCACACCCTCCCATTCCATGTACAGTATCCACATGCACAGTAGAAGATGTGAAAGGGCATAAAGGGTGTCTTATTATATGGAAGACCACATGTACACAGTTGTGTGCAGGTACGTCTTTCACATCTTCTGCTGAATGTTCAGAGGCTAAGGTGGGGGCTATAGAAATATGAAGGCCAGTCATGGGGTCACTGGGCACAATGCTATTTTCTCCTCCCTAGAGTGCTTTGTATACCCCTAGAAGGAAGGTATGATCCTGTGTATGGGTCATAACTTAGAAGTACGCTTTGTGTGAATAAGACTCCAGGTTCTGTCCCTAGTATTTCTAATTAAACATATCTCTGGCAATATTAGAATCCAAAAGATATCTGAATAGGCCTTAGTGGGCCTTATCCAACGTTAGTCATACTCCTCATAGACCTATTGAAATTAGTGGATATGACCAACTTGGCTCCATTCATTTCAGTGTGTTTGCACTGAGTAGAAACCAGTTGGATACAATTCAATGTTAGAAGAACAGCCTGTGGCAACAGTAATATAAATTCCACATAGTACATTGGATTACCGCAGAATATGCATACTGAAAGTAAATTGGAGTGGGTGAGGTGAAAATCTCAGTAGGTAATCTTCCCCTGTCAGCAGAGGTGCCAAGCTGCCCCCAAGATTGAGGGGGCCAGCCTGCGTTGTGTGTGTGTGACATCAGGCATGCAGTGCGCATGTGTTGTTGTGTCGTCTGGAGGAGGTTGAGTGCTCTGGATGAGCCGGCCACTGAAGCTGTGCCACACTCAGCTCTGTGCTCAGCCTCTTCCACCACTGTGACTGCCTGTCAGGTAAGTGTAGGTGTCTTCATTCTGCCTTTCCCATTTGCTTTTTCAGATTACAGATGCAAAACTTGAAAACGTGCATGAGCGTCCAAAAAAGAAAAACATTTTCGAAGGAAAAAATACAGCTGCAGTCATTGGAAAAGAGCACCTGGCAGCTTTAAAAAGGCCTGTAGTTCTGCAGTGGACTCGTGGAAAGGTAAGGAGTGAGAAGACTTTATTTCACAGTCCCTGTCCATTCCTTGAACATATTTACACATAATCTCTTCACTTCTTGATATACAGTGGTACCTTGGGTTACAGACGCTTCAGGTTACAGACGCTTCAGGTTACAAACTCCGCTAACCCAGAAATAGTACATTGGGTTAAGAACTTTGCTTCAGGATGAGAACAGAAATTGTGTGGCGGTGGCGCAGTGGCAATGACAGGCCCCATTAGTGAAAGTGGTACCTCAGGTTAAGAACAGTTTCAGGTTAAGAACGGACCTCCAGAACGAATTGAGTTCTTAACCAGATGTACCACTGTATTGTGTTAGGAAAAGTGTAGGCTCCAAGGCTTATTAGCCAACGCTGTGTCATAACTTGTGATGTTGCTTTAATGATGGAAGTTGAATCAAGTGTTAGGCAGCTGCAGCAGCAAGTGGAAAGATCACAGGTCAGGGGTGAGATAAGGCAGGGCTTGAGGTGACTCTCCTCCAATGCTTTTTTTTCTAAAAAATAATGTTTAGGCGTACTCTCATTTTCCTACTCATATTGAAATACAGCCCCTCAATGAGGCCAAACTTAGATTCACAAAATGTTTAGGGGTATGCGTACCCCCTGCATCCCCCCAGAAAGAAAACACTGCTTGCCCGCCTCTATACCTGGTTTTAAGCAGCACAGGAAAATAGATTTTTCCCACCTGTATCACATAGGATATTGCTTCACTATGATGACACAAAACACTGCTGTCACAATGGTGTAAATCTTTAGCAGTCGGATGCCCAAAATAGATAACAGACTTTCTTGATGTCATCGTTTTTAGAGGTAGAAAAGCCCTTTTCTTAAGCACTAGCTAAAGGTGCAAAGTCTTGATTTAAGTTCAGATGTAGCAGGACTGTCTGGCAGGTCGAAGTTCACTGTGTTTTCGACACGTCTCCATGCCGTTGATTTGGTTACTGTTCATTTTTGCCTGATGAGGTTAAAGTACAAGATATACGTTATCTTGAAATTCTGCTGGGGTAGTAAGAGAGGGATGACTATAAAACGTGAGAGCATTCTATATCGTTTCCCCAAGACTATAGCACTTTTCACACAACTATTATAAGGGTTCTAAAGTTATGGACAGTGGATGCTGCCTTGCACCAGGTCAGAGTCATCCGTCTAGCCCAGAATGTCTACTCTGACCATCAGCAGCTCTTCAGGGTTCAGACAGAGGCCATTCCATCATCGGAACCTTTTTAGATTGGAGATGTCAAAGATGGTACCTAGGATTTCCTGTACGCAAAAGTATGTACTGTGAGAAAACCAAGCATTTATTCCCCCATATGTACACAACTGTCTAAAGATTTTTTCATGTCACAACTGTCTAAAGATTTTTTCATGTCATCAGGCCTGAGTTCTGGATGACAATTTTCAGGTGAAAAAAATATTCCACGTTGTTGTTTTCCCTCTTCACTCAGGTTAAGAACTTCTACTCCTACGAAAATGAACCTGCTGTTATTCAGAATCTCAAGAGAGGCCTGGCTAGCTTGTTTCAGATACAGATGAACTCTGGGACTGTCAATGAGGTACTGCATCATGTTATGCAAGCTGCACAATCTCTCAAATGTTCACTGCTAGTATGAAATGTATTTGACTTTGCACACAATACAGAAGCAAATGTGTTATTGAATCAAAGAGCTAACTGTAAGGCAGTTAATAACCTCTGCCTAAGGCCCAGTCACATCACCCTCGGAAATGCCACTCAGCAACATGTGAACAAGTGCATGGTTGATGGTTTTAGTTCCTTAATTTTCGTATGTGTGTGTGAAGTTTTAAGACCCATATGGATTTTATTGTACTGGTGTCAATATCATGTCTACATTGGCCCTGACACTCTGGCCCAGAGGCTTTTAGGTATTCCAATGTGATAACGCCTTTGCCATTTTTTTTATTGATTATTATTTAAATTTTCTAGGTGGATATTTCCGGCAAATGCGATGTTACTTACCGGGCTCAGGAAAATGAAATCACTAAAATTAAAGCCTTGAAATCTTGTAAATTAGAACGGACAGGATTTACCAGCCACAGTCAGGTATAGTATGGATAATATCTTCAACACATACTGTAGGCATGCGCAGAAGCACTGAATCATGCTTTGTGCATGTGCAGAAGTGCCAAATCGTGTGACATGCGTGCGCAGATGTGGCGCTGCAGGTTATGAATGCTGCAGGTTGCGGACGTTCCTCTGTCACGGATTACGTTCGCAACCCGAGATTCCACTGTACATGTTTCAGACCATTGGTTCAATGCAATTTCTAACTAAGCAGTGCGTACTAAAATGCAGATACTGGGACAAAATATGCATAACATTGAATATACTAGTGAAAACAACATATGGAAATGCATTATATTAGGGGAAATCGCATGCAAAGATGTGTACATTAGAATAAATTTGGACTAAAATGAGGATTTTTTTAAAAAATAGCAAACCTGTGTGTATATCTGGGGACCCTGGCCTAATCACAATTGTTCATAAAGTCATTACACATGCAACTATACTGTAATTATAATCATTACACATACAACCATACTGTAGTACATATCTAGCATACCATAGCTATGTTTTGGCATGTTTTGCGCTGACTTTGTTTCTGCATTTCCTGGTCCTAACAAAATTATATTTCAGCTCTTTGACATCAGCCAAAAATCAGTTTCTGCCACAACGTATGTGCTGGAGGACACTTTTATTAAATCAGTGCGAGCAGAAGAAAATCACATTTTGAACGTGAATATTCAGCGAGCAATTGATGTGAAAGTAGTTTCGAAGTAAGCTGGCTTGTTTAACTATTTTGCAGAACATTTTTAGTGGCGAAATGATATGTTTCATAACCTGCTACCCTTTGCTGCCATCCCAAGCGCCGTGAATTAAAGCAAATACATCAGTACTTTGAAAATTATTTAGTATTGTGTGGAAGTTAAGAGTTGTTGTTGTTGTTTAGTCATGTCCGACTCTTTGTGACCCCCATGGACCTAATTTGATCATTGCTTTCATCAGTCTGTTGCATTTCTTCCATTTCCTCAATCATTGGCAGCAAATGTCATAATCCATGTTACAATTTAAAGAGCCATGTGATCTTGGAGTCAATGAGTCCCCCCCCCACCCGCCACACTTTAAACTGAGTTTCTTGGACTGCTGCAGCTGAACCCAGTGTCTAAATGCTTACTTGTATGGTGTGGCCTGTCACTGAATATAGAAACAGTCTGCTTATTGCCATCACTTGGCTATAGAAAGCTTAGAATGTGAAAGTCTTTAAGTCCCTACTTACACATGGTGACATGAAGTAATGCATACAGTAATAATTACAAGCTACTGTTTGGGATGGAATTGGGGATATATATTAAGGTGGCCATCTGCAGAAAAGCCAGGGCTTTTGAACCTTTAATAGCTTGCATGATACATTATGCCTACTGAAATTCCCTCTTCTACACAACTATTAGCACAGCTATTAAAGGTAGAGAAGTCTGGCTACCTGGATATGTCTTCAAGTTGCAACCAAGATGTAAAGCTCTGTTTCAATATGTGTACCTAACAGGCAGAAACTGGAACTGAAGTCAACGGAAGCTGGCCCAAGAGTGATGGCTGGGAAGCAAGTTGCTAAGATTATTAAGGCTCTGGATTCAAATTACGTTGCAATTTCACTTGCAGCAGAGCCTGTCTCGGATGAATGTAAAAGTTGCCCCACAGTAAGTAAATAAAAGAGCAAGTTGTGCATGCCTTAAGTTCAAGTTCATAAGTAAAAGCACTCCTTGAAAAGAAATTACTGTTTACCAAGATGTTAGTGAGATATTAGATTTGTAATTATCGAACACAGACATTTTCGGATTTATCGAATATTCTACAGCAACTTGGCTGACCTCATGACACCGCAGCAACACATTAAGGCATGTTACATTGTTTTATCAGTCAGTGTTATCTGCCTTAATTACTGTTAGAATCAGGTCTCACAAATGTTATGCTTGCTACTAATATGCATTTTTAATGGGGCGAGAAATGTACCCATCTGTGAATGCCAAAGCTGTGATACAGCACAGCTGAACTGTGGTATAATATTTGAAAGATCTTGTGGAAGAAATGGCTGTAATTCTAAAGAGCCATCCCTGATCCCATTGAAGTCTTAATTGGGCTGTGTTTGACCTGAATGCCAGGTCAATAAGGGCTTACACACAATGTTGAGTATGTCATCTGTAAAGGTAAAGGTAACCCTGACCATTAGGTCCAGTCATGACCGACTCTGGGGTTGCAGTGCTCATCTCGCTTTATTGGCTGAGGGAGCCGGCGTACAGCTTCCGGGTCATATGGCCAGCATGACTAAGCCGCTTCTGGCGAACCAGAGCAGCACACGGAAACGCCGTTTACCTTCCCGCCAGAGCGGTACCTATTTATCTACTTGCACTTTGACGTGCTTTCAAACTGCTAGGTTGGCAGGAGCAGGGACCGAGCAATGGGAGCTCACCCCGTCATCTGTAGTGCTGTGTAAAGTTTTTTTTTTTTGTACTGAGGGGGGGAGGTCCATTATGAATCAGAACCACTTGACCACATAACATAAAGAGGGAAATTTTTAACCTTCTCCCTTACCTGCCATAATCCCAACAAAATTCCTCTTGTGCTGTCATCAGCAACAGAAAAACACGTACCTCTTATTGGCACCAATGTTTCCCAATTGTTGTGTTAAGAGCTGCTTTATTACTGTTGGAAAGCTGTTATTGTAAGCAGCCCTGTGCTTCATGCAGGGAGGGGATTTGATTAGGTTATTTGACAAATATTGTTGTAGTGTGTCTTTTGCAGTCAGCTGCATGCTTCGTTTGCTGTTTAAAACTTTGAAAAAGCTGAACCAAGGTATTGTTAATTAAGTAGAAGAGGCCTTCTCCTTGTCCTTGTTGCTTTCTTGGTGACTTCTGTGGCCGCTGGTACCTTCTGTTCAATTGTTCTGTCTAGCAGAAGCCATTTAGATCTATAATTACAGCCATACTCATCTGGGGGCCTTACAGAGGGCTGTAAGGGGAAGGGGGTGTCAGATTGTTATGGTAAACCTAAAGGAGCTCTTCCTATTAGCTCTGCTCTCTCACTGGTTACTGTATTTTACTGTAAGTGCTATGAAAAGATTGGGGTTATAAATAGAGTATGGTATTTAGAGGGACAATAATAGTATCCAGCAGTTGCATATCTCAATGCGTATATTAATATCACTCTGTTATGGCATGTAGCACAGCCTTACATATACCAAAGTCCCACATTTTTTTTTTAAATGATATTTATTGAAAGAATTTTTTTTAAAGTTACAAAAGAAAACAAAGTAGAAAAAGAGAAAAACAAGCCACTTCCAACCATACAAATACACAAAATAAGAGAGAAAAAAACAAAAATACACCACAAAAATTTAAAAACATTTAAAAACAAATCCATTATTCTCAACTCCTCAACTGTCATTACCCTCTTTCCTTGACCTCCTCCTCCTCCCCTTCCTTGTGTCCTGGTTGTTAATTGTCACAGCAAATCCTTTCCATATTTCATAATATTCTGTCATTACATTACCTTAAACTATTTTAATCTTATCTTACTATAAAAACCTTGGAACTTAAAACTTAAATCTTATTTTTACCAACTTCTCATAACCATAATATTCTTACATAATTCTTTAAACATTTTTACTAAAGCCAAATAATTTCATTCCAACATTTTTCTAACATTCATCAATTTTATAAAACAGTCCTAGTAATGAAAAAATAAAATAAAAACAAATCCAATCTTCATCCAGCGTCCCTTCCTCCTGGTCCTGGGTTTGTCAGTCCTTATTATCCCATCGATCTGGCGCATTAACCTGGTGACCTTATATCCGAGGCCCTTAAGTCTCTTCCATGTCCCTTCCGCAGCTCTTCTTCATATTTGTAACTGTATTTTCCCTTGTCTCCTGCTCGTTTCACTCGTGGGAACTCCAGCTTAGCAATATTTTTGACCCTTCTCGACAGATCAGCCCCTTTTCCATAATCGACACTAAATTCCATGTGGTATTTAAAAACATGTTTCAAAACCCTCCAAAATTGAGAGCCCCCACAATCCCAAACATCTCACGGCCCATTGCCAGACTTGAAAAGTCCAAACATCCCTGCATAGGAGGGTCTATCCAACCCCCCATTTCCAAACCAAACCAAACTTTTTCTTTCCAAATCTGGCTTTTTCCAAGTTCATTTGTCAAATCCAAAGCTCATATTCCTGTTGGGCCTGTTCTGTCAGGGCACACTCCTGATTTAATTCCTGGGTGGGCTCCACATATTTTCCCACTGCCTGTTCAAAATTTCCCACTGCCTGTTCAAAATTTCTAATCGAATCAGCCATCAAATTCGTCTTCTCATGTAGCTGTTCCAGTAGGGCATTTGTTTTATAGAAAGCACACAACAGAGCTTCTGAATACATTGTCCTGCAAGGTCAGATGTCTATTCCCACGATTGTAATCTGTAACAGCTGCCAGCTCCCAGGAGTTGGTTACAGTTTCACAGTCTCCCTCTAGGGGGAAAACTTCTATTTGATCTTTCTTTTAAAGACAAGTCTAGCAACAGAGTTTCCTTTTTTCAGATATTTTGTCAATATTTGTTCCTTTAAGGTGCGAAAGGAAACAATGGAATCACTATGTTCCTCTTCTTTTAGCTATCTGTCAAAAGCGTTTATCTCTGGTCAATGAGCTTCAAACGTCAGTCCTGACACCCCGCTCCAGGATCAGGACGGTGGAAAGTTACTTTACTTTAAACTCACTTCTGCAGGTTTAAACAGTCCAAAAAAAGATCCCCCTTCTTCTCCTGCTGCCGAAGGGGGGTTCAACAATTTTAAATGATGAAAGCCAATCCTTTAGAGGCGATTTTCTGAGCTCTAGTTTACGTTGTCTTTGCTTTATTCTGTCTACAAAGAAACGGAAGGCTGACTTCCTGTTTAGACCTTCCCGTTTCAGTACCAAATTGAAGTAAAATTTTAATGTCCAATTCCTTTCTGCTCGCAAGTCCTTATTTAAAGTCCAATTGTTCAAAGTTTAAGTACTCACGGGTGCTTATTTTAGAAGCCAAATTGTCCCAGGAAAAGGCAGCGCTCTCCGGAAACGGCTTTGCTGCTTCGATCCACGTAAATAGAAGTTGACTCACAGCACCGCGCCGCTTCCCCTCTTCGCTCGGAGCCCGTTCGTGGGTTCCTTTGCGGGTTGGGGGGGCGCTAAGGGTGCCTGCCGAGTCCCATGGTCACAGGCTTCATCCGCCTGTGATTTTTAAAAGGGTCCCCGCTTCGCCGTAGCGGAAAAGACCCGTTTCGCGCGGAGCTAGTCCCTCCAGTTCAGAGGGAGTCCGCCATTGCCGATGGCGCCACCCTGGAAGTCCCCAAAGTCCCACATCTTGCCTCTTTGTCAGCGTTTCTTAAATGTTTTGAAGCCTGCTCCAATTCCACCCTGCTTCTGAGTGTATTCTACTTTACGAGATCCCAGTATAAGATGAGATTCAGAGAGGTGCATGTGGAACGCCCCATGAACATGAGGGCTTTGAAGAACCTACCTTGCCTTTGCAGATCCTTGGTCCTTCCAAGTGTTTCATTGGAAACTTAGAAAGTCACTGCCTCTGAGTCCTTCCAGACTCAGCAAAGGAAAAGCAATCACACAGTCACAAAGCAACCAGCAAGGGAAAGAGTGTGAGAGCAGGGCTGGATCTAGACACGTCAAAGAAGTGATTCAGTTAAACACACTGCAGACTCATACAGGGAAATTTGGTAGGGAAAGACAGAGCTCCACAGTGCCATCTGGTGCCACAGTGTTATATCACATATACAACACATGTAAAACACTTTTTCTTTACGAGCCCAGCTGAGTCCCAGGACAATTTTCTCCCTTTCCCTGCACCACTCGATTCAAGGAAGCAGGTTAGGATCATAGCATTTGCTTTTTTTTATAAGATATTTATTAGGATTTTTAAAATATTACAATAAAAAATGAAAAAGAAAAACAGCAACAAAATAAAAATGATTAAAAACACTCAGATTTTCTATTACTTATTTTTCCTTAGCTTGTTTCCCGGACCTCCTCATACCTCCCTTTTTTGTATTCCAGTTCAGTTTGTTGGTTCAGCAAATCCTTACCCTCTTTATTTATCCTAATCTTTAGTCTTAAAATAGTAACTTTAGATTTTTATCTCTTAACAACCCATTTTTCATAATCCCTTAAAGCATTACAGCTGGAAACCACTTAATTTCTATCCTACATCGTTCTAACATTCATTAATTTTACAGTATTTCTGTAGATAATCTTTGAACTTCTTCCAATCTTCTTCCACCGACTCAGGATCATAGCATTTGCTTTCTGAAGCCAGCTAAATCTGCTTATACCTTTTCAAAAGCAATGAACTTATGAATGCATGAAACTGTTATGTACAGTCAGACTACTGACCCATCTAGTCCAATATTGTCTATTCTGATTGGCAGGGTCAAAGGCAGAGGTCTTTAAAATAATAATAATAACAAAACCCTGCTACCTGTTCCTTTTATCAAGCTGACTTTTGGTTCGAACTGATAGAGCATGGCATCTTATAGGATTCGATTTGAGTATCCTGACAGCAAACAAAACAACAGCTGGTAGCCTCACATAATTTCTGGGCCAGATCCACTCCCACCATACTGTTTCTCAGCTGGTGACTGCAGAAACTTGCTTGAGGCATTGGGGATGTGGAAGGAAAGGAGTTTGGCTGCCCCCACAGTGTTCCTATAATCCAAAGACCACTTGCATCAAAGAAAATCAGTGGAACTGTGTGTCAGCCTTTACTTGGAATAAGGCAAGGGTGTGTCCACAGCAGGGAGCCAAGCCAACCAGTTCTGTCTTGGTTGCCAGTAATCAGATGCTGCTGTAACTGTAGCCATGCAAGCCAGAGTTTGCTCGCCTACAAGCGAAGCATATCTATAGCGTCAGATATAAATAACACGGCTACATTTCAGAATTTTGGGTTGTCCATAGTTGCACTGGACAGGTGATAGCCTCTGGGGGATGGTGGAACAACCCATTTCACAGTTTCATTGAACAACTCTGGTCTAGATATATGTAATTACAAAGCCCATAAAAAGGATGAAAGGACACACTGAATTAAAACTGTGAGGTGAAACACCGCAATGGAAAACAGTGTCATTTATTTATGAGTCCATCTATCCTTCCACAGTATATTGTGGTTTTTTATTTTTTTTATTTTTTATTATATATATAATACAGATTACAAACACAAGCCCCCAAGTTCACATTATATTGTTGACCATTCTAAGCTTCACTAAAGCCCTGTTGATCATTGTGCTGCACATTGATAGAGAGGTTGGAGAATTCTGATGGGAATGGGAACAGAAATCATCACTTATTTGTCCCAAGTCCGAGACAGACATCAATCCAGCACATACAATCTGTATTTGCCGTTGTTGCTTTCAGTCTGCAAACAATACATAATTGGTTATATGGCCCCCCCCACATTTGCATTACATTTCCTTTGCATTGAATGGGGTACGATAATGTAATAACAGTGTAATTAAGTACTTAAGTTATCTAAGTTATGTAATTTTGCCATAGTGGATAGTGGGACAAGCTGTAGTTTTTGGGAAAAGGTGAGCAAACGGAAACAGTGCTGTGTGTTACAAATACAGAATGGAAAATGATGCCTTCTTGCACATTAGTGACCACCATTTGAGATTAATAGTCTCCACCTGTGTTCTGGGTCATTAATACACCCCTGCTGAGCATTAATCCACAGGAAATAGCCTCCACCTCACTCATAATTACCTAATGGCTTAGCTACAATTCATGGAAGATGAACTCAGTACTGCTGAAATTGTAGGGCTATTTGTGGGTAGCAACACAGACCTTATGGAGATAGGATATTTTAGCAAAGGCTGAGCTGGTATTGATGTGGTTTCCCGATAAAGAGAGCTGAAATAAATATTGTTGAGGGAAAACAGCTGCACCTTTTCTGAGGAATGCTATAGATAATGTTAGATAACAGGAGTGGAGACATGACATGTGAGACCACAGGCCAAAATACCCGCTCTGTTTCTTTGTGGAAGGTTGTTTGAAATGACAAAGCTCAACCTTCTGTTTTTCTCATGATTGTTTTTTCTCTCTATGTTTTTAGCTGTTATTTTTTATCTGTAAGCCGCCTTGAGTCCTTGTCAGGGAAGAAGGCAGATTTAAAATGTTGGTTGGCATCTAGGCAGCATATAGTTCATAATTTCTGCAGGGCAATGGGAATCCGTTGCTGTGGCACTAGCTTTGTGCAACATGGATAGTTCACCCCAGTGCTTAAAGTGGGGAGGGGACAGGTTTATTTCTTTTTCATATTCTAATATATTTAGGTCCTGCTTATTCTATATAAAGGGACGTGGGTGGTGCTGTGGGTTATACCACATAACCTAGGACTTGCCGATCAGAAAGTTAGTGGTTTGAATCCCCATGACGGGGCGAGCTCCCGTTACTCGGTCCCAGCTCCTGCCAACCTAGCAGTTTGAAAGCACGTCAAAGTGCAAGTAGATAAATAGGTATCACTCCAGCAGGAAGGTAAACGGTGTTTCCGTGCGCTGCTCTGGTTCACCAGAAGCGGCTTAGTCATGCTGGCCACATGACCCAGAAGCTGTATGCCGGCTCCCTCGGCCAATAAAGTGAGATGAGCGCCGCAACCCCAGAGTCGGCCACGACGGGACCTAATGGTCAGGGGTCCCTTTACCTTTATTCTATATAAACTAATGGATAACGAACTGCACCTAGCGATAGTATAAAACATAACATTATATAAGGTATAAAAATGCTCATTGTGTTGAAAGAGTATACAAAAAAATGGCAGCATCAAAAAATGGCAGCATCAAAAAGAACATCAGCTGCAGATAAAAAGATTTATGTATCTGTCAATCATCACCCCAAGGCGCAATGAGCTGAAGTAAGACTTGCTGTCCTTTCAAAGCCAAGCAAATATGGAACCGGACTGAAAAAGCATGGAATCACCACTACAGAAAAGGTCATGTGTATTGTATCCATTCACTATACATTTAAAGGCCACCCCCCCCCCACAGTGTTCCTTAACAGACTGTACTTGCTTCCTCATTGCCTCCCAATTAGTTCTATGGAAGACATGGGACAGGCTGCAACAATAAGGTATGGGGAGACCAATGTGTTAAAGTTGTCCCTTTCATTTCAGCTACTGTCAGAAAACATGCAGTTGCGTTTTTGACCTGTTACGATCAGCACATAGAAATACTAACCAGTGGGGAAGATTTACCACCAATTTTGTCCATTTTTGGCAGCTCACTCAGCAGTGGAAGACTATCCGGCCACAGATGGAACCCGAAAACCTTTCCAAAGCTGATGCTGTGAAAGGATTTTTGTCATTCATTCAGAACTTGAGGAAAGCTATGACAGAAGAGATTCTTCAGATTCTGAGAAGTGAAAGCAATGTGGAAGTCCTGTGAGTTTCTGGCAACCTATTTTCCCATCTCTAGCATATCCATCTTAAATGTGTGAATACACAGAAGGAGAATCAACACGTTCATTTGTGTTTATCTATCTAGGTGAAATCTACACATACATAAAAACGCTGTGAAAATGCTTTTTAAAAAAGCGTTTTGAAAAATACATTGAATTTTTCATAGCTCACTGTCGCCATCTAGTGTCACATTTGTATATTGAACTTTACAAACACATTGAGAACGTTTTATTTGTAGCTGTGTCCCTAAGCTACAACAGCTAATATTTTCTTCTCTTTGACGTTAGCAGAAAATTAAAGCACTGTTGTAGGGGCCTTGCTTCTATAATAACCTTTGGCACAGTGCTCAGGCCGGGAGACCCTTTTAAATTGCCTCCCAAAGTAGAAACCTCTGTGGATTGATATAGATGCAGTGTCCCCAATCTCATCGGGGCATTTAAGAGACTGGAAGTAGGATGTGGAATTGCGGCAAACCTTCATTTCCAAGGAACAGCGCCTCAACCACAGTGACTGCTTAAACAAGCTCTTTCTTAGCTAGGCTTCAATACTTTGCTTTTAAATCCAGCTTCAAACCCTGGTTAAGCAGATAACCTGGTTGAAGTTTGTTGTTGTTGTTGTTGTTTAGTCGTTTAGTCGTGTCCGACTCTTCGTGACCCCATGGACCAGAGCACACCAGGCACTCTTGTCTTCCACTGCCTCCCGCAGTTTGGTCAGACTCATGTTCGTAGGTTCGAGAACACTGTCCAACCATCTCGTCCTCTGTCGTCCCCTTCTCCTTGTGCCCTCAATCTTTCCCAACATCAGGGTCTTTTCCAGGTAACCATCACTCTGCCAAAAAAAATGCCTTACAATTTTTTAATTTTTTTTTAATCCCTTCCCTTTTCATACAGTCCCCAGTTGGTTGATGCTGTAGCCTCTGCACAGACCTCAGCCTCTCTGAAAGCTATGCTGGATTTCCTGGATTTCAAGAACAAGAGTGGATCTGTCCTTCAGGAGAGGTTCCTCTATGCCTGTGGATTTGCTTCTCATCCCAACGAGTTCCTACTCAGATCTCTAATTGTAAGTCTCAGTGGTGGTAAAGGGAACATTGGTTTTTCGTGCTCAGAAAAGGAATTGCCCAGTCTTTCAGAAGAGCTGAAGATGAGCTCATGAAAGTGTGGAGAAAGTGGACAGAGAAAAACTTTTATCCTTCTTTCTTCACACTAGAACTTGGGGACATCCAGTGAAGCTCAGTGTTGGAAGAAAAGTACTTTTTCATACAGCATATAGTGAAACTCTGGAATTCACTCTCACAAGGGATCTTAGACAAATTCATGGAGAATAATGGTATCAATGGCTATGAGCCATGATGCCTGTGTTCTACCTCCACTGTCAGAGGCTGTATTTATTTGTTTGCAGTTGTTTCTGAATGGAGACTCGGTACAATGAAACTAAAAATGAGTTAAAGCAGCCTGCCTCTGAAAGCCAATTGCTGGGAATCACAAGGGAGAAAGAGTGTTGCAGACTTCCCATAGGCATCTGGTTGGCCACTGGGAGAATAAGATGCTGGACTAGATGGGCCATTGGCCTGATCCAGCGGTCTCTTCATACATTTTAAAAACAAGACCATAAGGCTGATATATTATGTACTTAACATGGAAGCAAACCCCACTGAACTCAGTGCTCTGATTTAGCCCTCATGTTTCTGTACCACGAGCCTCACTTTCAACCGAGACAATAGCAAGGATGTGTACTCTTGTGAGTGGATGTCCTGACCTGCCTTGTGAAGCAGTAGGCTGGGCTAATTATTTGCAATGGGAAGCAATTCAATATGTCATTTATCCCTTCTCGTCCAGCAGATTGCCTGCAGCTCTTTGTGGAGATATTTTCACGATGGCTGTTTGGCTATTGCACATGGCGTGGCTGGGAAATGAGTTCCTTTTCGATAAGGAACTCCGTTTTCCACAACCAAACCTCAGAGTGGAACACAAAAGCACCTGAGATTGGTCTGAAACACCACCAGCTTTTCCTGGGAAGGAATAATCCTGTGGGAAAGGGAACCCAGTGAAACACATCTGAGGGGGATTGACTATACATCCAAGGGTCAGGGCTAAGAGGCAGAGACCAATAAAATCTTTTCTTCTTCATCATATAACAGAATACATATAACAGCCAGATCGGCAGCAGCGAAATCCGAGAAACAGTTGTCATCGTTATTGGGGCCCTCATCAAAAAGCTGTGTGACAAGGGAGGCTGCAAACTGCCTGTATGTATTTTCTTCTTGGTGCTGGAAGCAAAAGCAAATATGAAGCTCCATCCAAGCTGACCTCTTTGTCTGCTTCCATCTTTCTGGCTTCTTTCATGGTGTTCCTTACATCTGGAACAGCCTTTCAATATTTATGCCCCAAGCCAACTCCCCGCTCATGAAGCATTTCTTTCTCAGAACTGTTCTCAAATCATCCTTATTTTGTCTTACCTGCTCTTTCGGTGTAATTCACCTGTTCCTTCCTCGGACCTCTCTCTTGCCTGTCTATCCCAGGTTTGTCCATCTGATGAAGGTTGCAAATCCTCTGAGGTGAAGAGATCATGTCACTTCCATATTCTGTACAGCAACACAGCACACTGGTTTACATAAAATCTAATATTGTATCAGCAACAACAATAGCTTTTGCTCTCATGGGTGTCTCTTCCCACCACTGCCACCACTAGCCCCTCCCTAAATGGTAGACCTACTTGATTCTTTGCAGTGATCTCAAGGCTGGGTGCTGTGTTGATAATAGTGAGTATATATTGCTAGATTTTATGGGATCCGGTAAGGAACTCATTCTATCATCCATCCATCCATCTGTCTATCTATCTATCTATCTATCTATCTATCTATCTATCTATCTGCTGTACTCCTAGGTGTAATTTTGCCAGATTTCCCAAGTATCATTATCATTGATTTACTACCCAATCGCATGGATTCCCCACTCCCACCCCCGCTACCCCCTCTATATAACAGTGTTTTAGGAAGTTTTGCATTTTCTTTCCAGGCTGTTATGGAAGCCAAGAAGCTGATCTCTGGAGGTTTGAACAGGGCAAAGACAGCTGATGATGTGAAGGTCTACCTTCTGGCATTGAAGAATGCTGTTTTGCCTGAAGCTATTCCAGACCTTCTGAAATACGCTGAGTCGGGAGAAGGCCCCATCAGCAATGTTGCTGTTTCTGCTCTGCAGAGATATCACCACTCTTTCATTACCAGTGAGGTAAAATAATAGAAAATTGCCCAAAGAAAAGATGGCGCAGGTGGACATTTCAAATAATAAGTGTCTTTCTCTGCCTGATAGTCCCTCATTTAAATATCAGGTGTTTCTAAGTAAGATAAATATTCTATTATTATTATTATTATTATTATTATTATTATTATCATTCTATGTCCTGAAGAGTCTGGAAAGACAATTTTGAAAGCAACCCCAAAGTCTTTCCCATAAGCCTCATTGACAGATATTTTGGGGACATAGGCAAGGTAGCACTAGGTCCTTGTCCTCTGCCCTGGACCAGTGAGCAGGATTTGCATTGTAGGAGACATTTGTCCATCTATCCATCTGCATATCACAAGAAACTGTAAAATGCTATCTCAATTTCGGCTTATAGCCCTAAAAAGCATGAGGCTCTTTCTAGAAGGGGTGAAAAGAAGAATTAGGTGGGTAGTTATATGGGAATTGTATCTATCATTCACTCCTACAGCTTCCAGGTAAGACTCATGACTCACATGATTTCCCATCATCCCCCCCACCTCCCAGAACAAGCTGCATGTCAGTCAGAAATTCTTCCTGATTTTACTTTCGCATCCAGTCTGGGGCTGGATGAGTCCCATTGTTTTGGACTGGTCCTAGTATAATATTCATGAATTTTCGTAATATACTTGTACCGTATTTTTCGCCCCATAGGACGCACTGCCCCATAGGATGCACCTAGTTTTTTTTGGGGGGGGGGGGAAATAAAGAAAAAAAAATATTTCCTCCCCAGGTGCGGGGCTGGCGCGGGGGAAGCCCGAGCTTCCCCCGACCCCAGCCCCGAGAACAGCCTGCTATCCGCAAGCCTAGGGAGCCCGGTGGGAAGTTGCGCCAGTCTCCCCAGGCTTGCAGAGAGCTGCGTGAAGCCCGGGCGCGCTCTTCAGCGTGCCCCAGGCTTCAGAATGCAGGCAGCTCTGCGCAATCCTTGGGAGACCGGCGCGACTTCGCGCCGGTCTCCCGAGGGTTGCGCAGAGCTTCCTGAAGCCTGGAGAGCGAGAGGGTTCGGTGCGCACCGACCCCTCTCGCTCTCTAAGCTTCAGCGAAAGCCTGCATTCACCCCATAGGACGCACACACATTTCCCCTTCATTTTTGGAGGGGAAAAAGTGCGTCCTATAGGGCGAAAAATACGGTATATTGTTCCTTGAGAAGCTATCCCACTGATCTGTTCTTATTTATTGGTGATATACTTCCTTTTCCTGCTTTTGTTATGTTGCCAATTATGTACAGGTGATGAAACTTGACTAGATTGTGTCCCCATTAGGTGAAGAAAACCATGAACAGGATTTATCACCAGAACCATAAAGTTCACGAGAAGACGGTACGCACCACAGCAGCTTCCATCATCTTCAGCAACAATCCTTCCTTCATGGAAGTAAAAAACCTCCTGCTCTCTATTGGAGAGCTGCCTCTGGAAATGAATAAGTACATGCTTTCGCTAATCCAGGACATTCTACGTTTTGAAATGCCTTCCAGGTATATCAAGTTTCATTTGTTATTTATGTTTCTCCACTTGCCTGTGCATAGTGTTGTTTGAGGGCAAAGGCAAGAGCACTATATGGTGGGGTGGAAGCTGTACTGGAAGCATTTCCACCATGTTCAGTATAAATCCACCTTTTTAGACTGGGGGGGGGGAGGACTCAGAAGAAACTGCAAAGTATTGAGGCAAAAATATCTGTCTGGTATTTAATGGATTGGTTGTTTTTTTTCCTAAAAGAAGGGACAGACAGCAGATCTAACGTTTAAAATAATTTCATTATCGTTCTCTTTATAGGTAAACAACAAAAAATGCATTGAGATGTTAATTTTTCATTTCTATTGTTTTTATTATTATGCTAGAAAATCCAGGATCTTTGGCCTAGAGCAGGCATCCCCAAACTCGGCCCTCCAGCTGTTTTGGGACTACAGTTCCCATCATCCCTGACCACTGGTCTTGTTAGCTAGGGATGATGGGAGTTGTAGTCCCAAAACAGCTGGAGGGCCAAGTTTGGGAAACACTGGCCTAGAGCCCTTGTGGCAATGCCACATTCGCTGCCTCCCTCAAGCCTCCTCACCACATCTGAATATTCCTATAATTGTTATTCCTTTACTGTTCTTTTAACCAGTGAATTTCTTACATAAATAAGCAACTTCATCTAACAATTTCCTCCAGTGGTTCTTATGTAGTGATTAGAACTTTACAGAATCATCAGTGATTTCAGCAACTTTTGTCTTAAGACCTTTTGCAATTTGTAGGCCAATATAATAATAGCATTTTTATCTTCTGGTTGTGGTCTTTTGATTACACTACTCAAGCAACACAAACCTTCCCATTTGCTGCATGTTGCCATTTGTAGAAGATATTTAATTTTCTGATGGTTAAGGACACTTTTTTGTGTTTCAGCAAAATGATCCGCAAAGCTCTGAAGGATATCTCCATTCATAACTACGACCGATTTGCGAAAACAGGTTCTTCCTCAGCTTTCTCGGGTTACCTAACACGTAAGCGACTAACAAACTAGATAGTAGGTTTTAATTACATTTATTGACACTCAGTTTCACCAGAAATCCTTACAACTTGTCTCTCTGTTTAATCAAGGTTCTCCGGATGTGTCATCCATCTATAGCCTTGACATACTCTACTCTGGCTCTGGAATCTTAAGAAGAAGTAACCTGAATATCTTTCTTTTCAATAAATACGCTCAACTTCATGCCAACCAGGTAAGTCCCATGCGCTACTAGAGTAATAACTCAGCAAAAAAGTATAAGTGTGCAGCTTGGACATAATGTGGTCGCTCCATTATACCATACTGTGAACCAATGTGCTGTAGCAGCTGGTGGGTTGAGCCCCTCAAATGGAAATGTAAGAAGCTGCCTTATAGTTTGGGGTCAGACTGTTGGCTAGGTCAGTATCCTCTGTTGTGACTGGCAGAGCCTTTCCAGGGTTTCAGGCAGAGGTCTTCCTTATCAGCCTCCTAATCAGAGATGCAAGAGAATAAACCTGGGACATTCTGCATGCACTCAGCTACGGTGTCTCCCTTAAGAGTGTTCCCTTATCCAAGGTTTGTTATAGAAGTAGCACTACCATTTTTGTTTGAGCTTTTGTTTTTTTGATGACAGTGGGAGAGTGTTGTTGCACTCATATCCTGCTTGTGAAATTCCCACAGTCTTCTGGTTGGACAATACAGTCATACCTTGGGTTACAGATGCTTCAGGTTGCGCTCTTTCAGGTTATGGACCTCTGAAACCCAGAAGTACTGGAACGGATTACTTCCAGGTTTGGGCGGTTGTGCATGCACAGAAGTGCTAAATCGCACTTTGCGCATGCGCAGAAGCGCAGAATCGCTACCCGCGCATGCACAGACACGCCACTGCGGGTTGCGAATGTGCCTCCCACACGGATCACGTTCGCAACCCGAGCATCCACTGTACAGGAGTAGATGGCCCTTTTGTCTGCTCCAACAAGACTCTTCCTATGTTCTTACAGAGGCTGTGTTTATATGTAATACTAAACCACAGTGTAGCCCTAAGTGGATGAACCTCCACAAGCCCAAGCCCAATGCCTGGCTTGCATGTTCCTTCCCTGCCTTCTCCTCCTCCTGCTTAGTTCTCCCCCGCCCTCCTATGATGGCATTCAATTTCCTCAAATCCTTACTGTCCAAATAAACCAGGAATCCTGTTCTAATCAATTTCAAACTAAGACAATTTCAAACTATGAGATATCAGTTTGCTTTATTGAACAGAGTTATTTTTAATCCAGAATTCCAGATTTGTATATAACACTAAGATGACATTCAAGGAAAATCGGCAGTCATCTTGGCAGCTTTCCTCTGGTCACATTGGAGGTGTACAGTCATACCTCAGGTTACAGATGCTTCAGGTTATGTTTTTTTGGGTTACGGACCTGCCGAAACCCAGAAGTACTGGAACGGGTTACTTCCAGGTTTTGGCGGTCGCACATGCACAGAAGTGCTAAATTGCAACCCACGCGTGCGCAGATGCACCACTGTGGGTAGCGAATGCTGCGGGTTGCGAATGTGCATCCTGCACGGATCATGGTCGCAACCCGAGCGTCCACTGTACTATGCTCTGACTTTCTGAGGGCTCACCCAGTAGCATTGAACCATGATGATTTAGCATTACATGTGAACCAGTCTAGACAGCAAGTGTCCAGATGCAAAGGAGAACAGGCCTATTCCATCTAATAGTTGTGCAGAAGAAGGAATTTCAGCAGCTGCAGTTTTTCACACCCTTGGATTAAAAAGCCACATTGATAAAACTTTCTGTGCAACTCTGACCTAAAAGGAGCCATGCCATGCCTCTCTTTTGGACACCTAGATATAAAAGCAGGGCATGGTCTGATGGCAAATTCTGCAGCTACCTTGTGGACTTTAAAGAGGTATGGATGGCATGTGCTTGCCTGCAAGTGGTCATCATTCATCATGCAAGCTGTGTGCTCCTATCTCCTTTTAGGTGGTGATTGAGGCTCAGGGCCTAGAATCCATTATAGCTGCATCTGCTGATGAAGGTGAAGAAAATCTAGAGTCCTTCGCTGGTGTGTCAGCGCTCATGTTCGATGTTCAGCTTAGACCCGTTACCTTTTTCCAAGGGTATGGCGATCTCATGTCTAAAATGTTCTCAGCCACTGGAGACCCCATAAGTGTGGTGAAAGGACTCATCCTTCTGATGGATTACTCACAGGTGAGTTCTGCATACTGGGCAATTAAATAGCTTCCGTGCATAGATAATATCCCTTACTCCCCATTTGACATGCACTTACGGGGAGATCACAAGTAAGAACAACCAGAACTGCATTAATTAATTTTGACTGCAATCCTGTGCAGGATTTGCTATTTTGGAGCAGATTCCATTGAGCTTGATAAGAATTGCTTCTGAGTAGACAAGCATAGAGTTTGGATTTGATATCCCGCTTTATCACTACCCGAAGGAGTCTCAAAGCGGCTAACATTCTCCTTTCCCTTCCTCCCCCATAACAAACACTCTGTGAGGTGAGTGAGGCTGAGAGACTTCAGAGAAGTGTGACTAGCCCAAGGTCACCCAGCAGCTGCATGTGGAGGAGCAGGGAATCGAACCCAGTTCACCAGATTACGAGTCTACCACTCTTAACCACTACACCACACTAGCTCCAATAGGGTTGCTGTGGGCTTGTCCACACTTCTGCTTGTCCCTTGCTTAGGAAGAATGGGTCCAAGTAGTTTTCCGCTTGTCTCATTCTTTCTAGGCAGGGGTCCGAGTGGTTTTGCCTTTGGCCTATTGCTTTCCTCTAGAAAATCTGCTCTTTAGTGCTAAATTGAAGCAAAGCCAACGGGAGTGTGAGAGGGGGGTGGGGAATTGACATTTGCTCCAGTTCTGTGGGTTTTCCCAGGGAAAACAGCAGAAAGTGGAAGTGTGGATGAGCCGTCTATATTCCCATTGGCAGGAAGTGGGAGATGCTATCCTCCCATTAAGTTATTCAGAGTCTACATGCAGCCAACTGACAAATGCTAAGCTCAAATGCTTAAACCTCATCAAGGGGAGAAATCACTGACATTCATAGTTTCACAAAAACAAGAAACAAGCCACATTTTTTATAACTGTGCTTAGATGTGACGTAACACAATACACCATTTTATGTATTGCTGTTTCCCCCCCAGTGTCTTATTTCTTATTCACCATATGATTGCATATTCCGAAGTGCATGTAGTCATGGGGAAATGTCAGGTATTTTTCAACCCATGGCAACAGTTTCCTGTAGCATTTGATTGTATTTCATTAAAATCTCATATGAATGAGTACTTTAAACCTCCCTTTTTGATATAAATCCCGTTGCTGCAACTAAGTGTAATTGAAAATCAGATGGAGTTATGAATCTAGACTAAGATTCATATGTTTGTTTAGAAATGTACAGAGAGCCACCATTACCCAGTATGGTTATATCGAGTATCAGACAAGGACTGGGGCAAGCCAGGTTCATATCCCCATTTAACCATGAAGCTCCCTGGGTGATCTTGGGTCAGACACTCTTTTCCAGCTCAACGGACCTCACAGGGCTAGTGTAAGGATTAAATGGGGGGGGGGGTCACAGGAGCAAGCCCTACCCCCAACATACACACACATAAAAGAAAGAGGAATCTCTGCCCTTTCCCCAGGACTAGAGCAGCTCCATGGCTAGCAACGTGAAGTCACATTTATTTGCTTATATTTTACAAATTTATAAATCACCTCATAGCATGAAGCCATGGGAGTGGTGTGCAGGATAAAAATAGAATAAAGCAGAAAAACACAAGCTCTAAAAGCAAATGAGCCCAATGTGCAGATTTGCTATTATTTAAAGCATCTTTAAAAATCTGCCTTGCTGAATTACAGTAAAAAACCTAGCCGTTCCCCCATTATTATTATTATTTTAACAAAGCAAAGGACAGTGGGGAAAAGTGCTCTTTTCAGTGCCATCTGCTTCTCCCATTTTATACACCTTCCATTTTGATGGGTCTTACTTCAGCGTAAATTGTGCATCGGATCTGGACACATCATGCCTTGTCTCAGGCCATGTAGTATGGCTATATTTAAAGTTAATCTGATTTCCAAGTCCTGTGAACTTTAAAATCTTGGCTGTCTATCAGCATTCAAATGAAATGACTTGCTCTGACCCTGAGCTATTATCACTTCCAAAATTGACTCAGTGCGATGGACTTCCAGTCCAGCTGTAAAAGATTCTGACAGCTGTGAGCCTCAGCCTTGGCAGAAAACTCTGTGAATGCAACTATCTCCTCCTGCCTGCCCATAAAGCTGTATCTCCAACCAAATTCTGCAGAAAACCATTTGGCACTTCTTGCAACAGCTCTTTTGCACAAATTCTTGCTGCAGGTGGCCTAATACTGGAGAGAAGTGGTTTCTTTTTTGTGTCATCCCAACTTCCTCTAGAAGGCATGCAGGGGTCAGCAAACTTTTTCAGTTGGGGGCCGTTCCATTGTCCCCCAGACCTTGTGGGGGGCTGGGCTATATTCTGGGGAAAAAATATGAACGAATTCCTATGCCCCACAAATAACTCAGAGATGCATTTTAAATAAAAAGCACACATTCTACTCATGTAAAAACATGCTGATTCCTGGATCGTCTGTGGGCCGGATTGAGAAGGCGATTGGGCCAGATCCGGCCCCCGGGCCTTAGTTTGCCTACCCATGGCATAGAGAGAGCCTTGTGATTAGCAACCTCAAGTTTTGCAGGCATTCAGATAATCTCATGCAAATGGGGCTTGAATTTTCTGGATTGGAAACTTAATAATAATAATAATTTTATTATGCCACCCATCTGACTGGGTTGCCCCAGCCATTCTGGGCAGCTTCCTGCAAGAAATGCTGAATTGGCTGAAGAGGCTGAATTGAGTGGAGATACATGCTTGTTTTTTAAAATGTCTCACTTTCCGCACAGCATTAACAGCATTCCCAAGAGATGCATTTTGGTCTGAAAGGTGTCCCTAAGGCAACTCCTGGTGTGGTGGTCTCACGCTGCCAGCCTTATCTATGGTTACTTCTGTATTTAGCTGGCACTGCAAGACTTTCACAACCAGATGATTGGAATTTGTGAATGGTAGTTGGTAGCTGATGTACCTTTCTTACATAACTTTTCCTGTTCTGTATGGGATTTCTGTGCCAGAAGCTGATCTTTCTTAAAAGCTGTTGGTGTTCCTGCAGCAGGTCAGGGGGAAGAAGATTGTCAGGAAGCCTGTGGAGAATTCTCCTATGTCTCTTAAATGCAGTGTAGACAAGGACCGTAAAATCTATTTAAATCTGCAGGTGAAAGATGCCCTTGACTTTAGCCCCATCACTTCACCCTGTTTCTGAAGCTAAGTCAAGAAAATCAAGACAGGTCTTTAAAATATTTCCATTCCTTCACATTCTGCTCTTAAACTCATGCTAAAACAGTAATGATGTAAGCTTAAATAATGCCCAATCCAGGTAACAATAATTCAACAATAAAGAAGAACCTAATTCACAAACAAGTAAGCAATATCACAATAAAACCAGTTAAGAACAGATTTTAAATATTGGTCATATATTGAATAAAACAAGAAATGTTCATTGTGCACCATTTTGCATCTAGGTAATTCAGCTACAGTCTGGGCTGGTTTGCAGCACGGAATTCCAGGGAGGCCTGGCCATTGATATTTCTGGAGGAATGGAATTCAGCCTTTGGTACAGAGAATCCAAAACCAATGTTAAAAACCGGTGAGATGACGTAACTCCAGACATCCTTAAAGGAAACGCATCAAATGATTTTGTCAACATAGGGAATTTTAAATCTGAGGAAAGCGTGGAAATCTTAAAACACTTAGCAATATGAACTGAATCCCTGTTTTAGACAGAAATATTCATGTTTCTTTCTTTGGGGGGGACTGTTTTTGTCTAACTGGTTTCAAAAACTATGCTGGCAGCGATGCAGTTGTAATCCTTATCAAACTTACCTGGAAGTCAGTCAGTCCCATTTAACACTCATTTTTTCTGAGCAGACTTTGACTTTCATAGGATTTTGCTGCAAAGGTAGAAGGGCAATCACCATGCTTACGCAAAGGTTAGGCTTTGTTGAGGTTGTGGGGAAGATATTGACAGCCCTTCTATGTAAAACTGGATTTCATTCGTTGCCATATTGGTAAGAGGAGTTTCTCAGACTATCTGTGGGATTTGAGGATGGCTTTATCAAATTGAGATTCAGAGTGGAATTCGATGTGGCAATTGAATTGGAACTGCAGCCACATGTCGAGTACTCCCTCCCTGCTGTTTAGGCATATTTACTTGTCTTGGGATGTCCTAAGATGTTTTTTTTCCTACCACTAGGAGCCAGTGATACAGAGACGTTGGGGAGGTGGCATGATGTGGTGGCCTGACGGACGGGAGGGATGCTCCTGTTCTTTGGGTGCTGGAATGTTATCTAATACATGACGTCCTGGTTTATCTTAATCTCTTCTTGCAGGGGAGCTGTGGTGATAGTCGGCAACATTGTTGTGGATGCACTCTTTGTCAAGGCTGGCATGGAAAGCAGTGTTGAAGCCGAAACAACTCTGGACTTTGTCTCTACAGTGCAGTTTTCACAATATCCGTTTTTAGTTTGCTTGCAGATGGACAAAATTGAAAGTCCTTCCAGGTAGGAAGCAGGGGGAGCTATTTGTCTTAGTGTTAACAGTGTACAGTGGTACCTCGGTTTAAGAACTTAATCCGTTCCTGAAGTTCGTTCTTAAACCAAATCCGTTCTTAAACCGAGGCAAGCTTTCCCTAATGAGGCCTCCCGCCGCTGGTGCCCTTCCACCGTTTAGCTTCAGTTTGTAGACCGATGTAAATTCCGCAAACTGGAACACTACTTCTGGTTTTGTGGAGTTTGTAAACTGAATAGTTCATAAACAGGACTCTTCATAAACCGAGGTACCACTGTACTCTAACTAGACTTAGGGAGGGTTGGCTTAGGAAGGGTGTCAGGAAGTGGATTCAGAGGCTGGTGGGTCTGGAGGCTTCTACCAACCCTGGTGAAATCCTGAAAATTGGCTTCTAAATATCTTTAGAATATGCTGGGTGGGAAGAGATTTTGCCACAAAAATGTGCAGTTGGGCTTATCATTAAGAACTACTACTCATAGGATAGATACTTTATGCCAACCGAGTTACAATATATAATGCAATATTATTATTATTATTTTGCAGGAGATACTTAATTAAATATGAAAGTCTACCATCAGGAGAATCTTATACCTCCCGGAAAGGAAAAGTGAGGCTGCTGGCTGGTTCCGAATATCCCCTTCACCAAGAGAACTCCAACATGTGCAAGAAAGTTTTCAGTGATCAGCCCGACTCCTCGGAAAGCTGGTTTTGAAACAGGCGCCTGATCTTTCATTTGACCCCAACCGTGGCTGATGTTGGCTTTTACACGTACTGCCGTGCTGGCTTAGGGCCTGAATCTGTGATACTTGAGCCCATGAAAACTTTACTGTCAACTTCAAGAGGCCCAGAATCTTGAGTGCGTGTTCACTGTGTTTACATATTTACATATATTTAAAGAAACCCTTTTTTATGTGACAAGTTAAGGAAATCATACAAATTGATGCAATTCTAGGCATTCATTGAGGGTCCAGTTAGATGCGTTGTGTGTTCATGTGCAGATCTTCCTGAGTCCCTTTGTTTGGTTTTAAAAACACCTGGGGGCAGGCACTTTGGATTGGGGCCACAGTGAAGGAACAGAGAGAGCTTAACCCATTTCTCGCACCTCATTTCTGCAACTTAAATCACTGCTCCTCAGCCATGAAGCTCCTTTTACCCATGGGAAGGGATTGGAAGGGGGGCACTTGTCCTTGTCTTTTCTTGCTTCATAGCAGCATTAGAGATGTAACAGCAGCAATTTAAGTAAAGGACATGATTCAGGGGGAAAGGGGGGGATTTTCCTTTCTTAAATATCACAACCCCATTCCCAGTCTTCCCCACCACCCACCTCCAGCTACTTTTAACCGAAGAAAAAGACCACAGGAGTTCCAATTATCTGATTTTTCCCTGGGGGCCAGTATCACTCTGGCGTTGACATTAAAAACACTGCAAACACACACTGTTTCTTAAAGCAAGAAACAGAAAGGTCTGTGGTTCTCCCAGGCGTTTTTAAAATCTGCACAGTAAAAATAATGATTATTTATTATTTCAGTTGTAATCCTGCCTTTAGTGGAACCCATTTTTTAAAGTGCAGTAGTGTTCCATGCTAAGGTAGCACAAATAAACATTAATGCAACCCAAACTGAAACCTTGCACCAGTTCCCGGACAATTCCTGCTCATTTTAATGGGACATGAGCAGAAGATTTAGCTGGATGCTGTTGTGTGGTTTAACTGAAAAACAAAAAATATTGGAGTTAGGATAATGGATGGAAATATGCTAATGCATGCTGTACAAAAGAGATAGAATTGTGTGTTCATAAATATTTTCCATGTATTATACTAACCCCAGGCTTTTTTAATGTACTGTTTGCAAGATGAAGAACAATGCTGTGCATATGTACTTACTTGAAAGTAAATCCTACTGTGTTCATTAGGACTTAGTCCCTAGTTATGTGGTTAAGGATGGAGGAAGACATTTGAATCAGGTCACAGATTTGCACTTCCTGAAACAATGTGAACCAAAACACAGCCATCCTCTGAAATTCACACTTCTCTGAATGTCGCAATGCAGTTCTCCAACCAGATAATGTAAATGCATATAAAGCTTATATTAGTGTCATAGAAAAATTGCAGTATAATGGAGAAAATTGTTTGCGACAAAACTGTTTTGTAGGCAAAACTGGATATAAAACGTGCAAGGAGAAATGCACACTAAACTACTGGCCTATTTGATGTGGAAATATAGGGAACTGGATTTAAGACTGGGGGGAAATGAGATTCTGAGAAAATCCTGAAATTGACAGATTTGCCCATCGTTATTTAGGATTGCACCCTTAGGCTAGTACTCCTTTTCGTTTTGTGGTTTGTTTAATCAGCACTGTGTTTGAAAGGACTTGGGTTGTTAACCTATGTGTTCGTAAATGCTTGCTTATCTTTTTTTTAAAAAAATTGTGTGCAGTTGGAGACAGTTCTGATTTGGGAGAGGGTAAAATCCCAAGTCGTAAATTTGCTCTTCTGAAAGCCAGTAGGTGGCTTTCAGTAGAAATAAACATGGTTCACACTGGTGCTTTTAAATGATCTCATCCTGAAATGTGGTGGAAGTAGGAATGTGTTCACACAGACATCACTCAATTGGGCCAGGAGAGGACAGGACAACATCAGGACTCGAAAGAGCCTCCTCTCTGTCTCACCTTCTAATTACCCTTTTTACAACCTCATGGTTTTGACATAGTGTGATTTTTGGGTAGTCATGGGCCCCATTAATGGTAGACTTGCATTCTGGGCAATGAGCAATATGGCATGTAAATAGATTTAAATAATTCAGTATTTGCAGCTGAGAAGTTGCTGGGGTTTACCTCCCCCTTCTGTAGTTAAAGTATCTACTGTGCATAGAATCACTCACAAAGCTACCACACTGAATTTAGTTTTGTGATGGGTAGAAACCATTAGGGAGAGACTGGATTTATTGGGAGCATCTGCAGAGGATTACAAGGATGACCAAACACCATTGACCAATCTATTTCCTCTAATCCTGAACCATATACACACACATATGCACAGACTGAGTGTAGTTTTTCTGCCACACTCTTGACATCATCTCAAAAATGTTTTACCACCCTAGATGCAGATAAGTGATCATTATTATGATTATGGTGCTATTTTAGGCTGCATCAATAAAAGTATAGTATCCCGATCAAGGGACGTAATAGTACCACCCCATTCTGCCTTGGTCAGACCACACCTGGAGTATTGGGTCCAGTTCTCGAGACCACAGTTTCAGAAGAATATTGACAAGCTGGGCGGCAACCAAGATGATCAAGGGCCTGGAAACCAAGCCTTATGAGGAACTGTTGAGGGAGCTGGGTATGTTTAGCCTGGAAAAGAGGAGACTGAGAGGAGCTATGATAGCCATCTTCAAGTATCTAATGGACTGTCACATGGAAGATGAAGCAAGCTTCTTTTCCCCTGCTCTGGAAGATAGGGCCTAAACCCAGGGATTCAAGTTAAAAGAAACTCACCATCAGAAGGTTCTTCCTGATGTTAAGAGCTGTTTGGAATGGTATCTCTTGGGAGGTGGTGGGCTCTCCTCCATTGGAAGTTTTTAAGCAGAGGTTGGATAGCCATCGGTCAGGGATGCTTTAGTTGAGATTCCTGCCTTGTTGGTGTCCCTTCCAACTATGATTCTGAGGTTGTTCTGCCAGGGCCCAAATGGTTGGCAATGGGGCTGCTGCCAAGCTATTCCTTACAACACCATTCCTAGGTGTGAAGGTCAAAGTACTCCTGTTAAGTTGTAGTGATGGGGATGAGAAGTGGTTTAATTTTGTTTGGAGGGCTGGGGTTGGTACTACTTAAGCAGTTTTATTGTGCTGATAATTTTGTTTATTGGTTGTCTGGCTGTGCAAAACTGTCCTGGCAATTGCAGACCCACTAAGGTATCTGGTCAGCTGTTCCCACACAGAATATTCCATTTTACTCTTCAGGGTTAGTCTAGCATTGCCATAATTATCAGTAAAGTGTCAGATTTTTGGGGAAAGATCTTTAAACACACCACATATAGCTTTGTACCTTATAATCTAGAAGAAGCTAATTGCCTTTCCTCATAAATTGGTAAAAAATATTTAACACAGCAGCTGAAGCTAACAGAAGCAATCCCATACCTTTGATGCAACTGATTTTCTTCACGGCAGTAGGATTTGCAGCTAATGGTCATAACTTGGGGGGAAAACAAGGTGCTCTCCTGTAAAGGCATTGCAGGATCACGACCTCTTCATTAGGAAAAATGAATGGAATTTGTTCCTGGCTATTCCTCAAATGCTCCACATGCTTAATTCTTCAGAGATGAGTGGCTGGAGTTGTCCCCCCTCCCCCACTGATAACTGTGTTAGAAAAAAGAAATACATACTCCAACAACAACAAAATCCAAATCCCCAATTTGGTAATCCTGAGATGACATCACTTATTTATATTTTCTTGTCAGATAAAATATTTACTTCATATGTTGGTCACAAGATGCTGAGAGAAATGAAAGAGCCACTATTGGACTTTGACATGGGTTCAGTTCTCCACTCCGCCACAAAGCTTACTGGGTGACCTTGGGCCAATCACCAACCTACCTCACAGGGCTGTTGTGAGGATGAAAAATGGGTGCATATGCTGCCTTGAGCTTCTTGGAGGAAGAATAAATAAAAATGTTTAACATTTTTCATCACTAACATGACTGTGGTATCAAGGAGACACTGTCCAACTAATCCAGAGCTTTTATGTGAAAGGGCTTGCATACTTACTTCAATTTCAATGCACTTCCTCTGTGTGTGCAACTGCTGCTCTTGTGTTGAAAGAATGCAGAGCTCACAACAGAGCTCCATGTGTGCCCTGCAACTCCTTTGGCCGCAAGGAGAAGTTGCATTTCCCAGGACTTGTAAAAACCTCATCTGCTCCCATAGTCTAGATGCCCAGGAGGGATAGAGGGAAAGACCTCTCTGCTCTGCCATAGCGAGATAAGATGAGGTGGAAAGAGCAGTCCTGCAGTCACAACAACTGTAGATGGAGTCAGATATTGAAATTTGGGATTGGGAGAAATTGAGAGGGATAGGACACATGGGGATGCATCTGGCTCAGAAATTAACTGAGCTATTTTCTGACCTGGCTTGCTTGGTTGGCGTAGCACAGCCCAAGTCTGAATTGAGCCTAGGAAGGTTCATCCATCACTAATTATTAGCTGTGTGTGCAGAGGTGACAGCAGCCATGAAATTAAAAGACGCCTGCTTCTTGGGAGAAAAGCAATGACAAACCTAGACAGCATCTTAAAAAGTAGAGACATCACCTTGCCAACAAAGGTCCATGCAGTAAAAGCTATGGTTTTCCCAGTAGTGATGTATGGAAGTGAGAGCTGGACCATAAAAAAGGCTGATCGCCGAAGAATTGATGCTTTTGAATTATGGTGCTGGAGGAGATTCTTGAGAGTCCCATGGACTGCAAGAAGATCAAACCTATCCATTCTTAAGGAAATCAGCCCTGAGTGCTCACTGGAAGGACAGATCGTGAAGCTGAGGCTCCAATACTTTGGCCACTTCATGAGAAGAGAAGACTCTCTGGAAAAGACCCTGATGTTGGGAAAGATGGAGGGCACAAAGAGAAGGGGATGACAGAGGATGAGATGGTTGGATAGTGTTCTCGAAGCTACCAGCATGAGTTTGACCAAACTGCGGGAGGCAGTGGAAGACAGATGTGCCTGGCGTGCTCTGGTCCATGGGGTCACAAAGAGTCGGACACGACTAAACGACGAAACAACAACAACAGTGCAGAGGTCTGTGTTGCTGCCAATAGAACTTGAGCTGTACAAGGACAAAGGTAATTTTGTAGGGTAGGATATTGACCATGTGCATCTCCTGTTCCCTTCACTGTGGGTTGTGCACTCTAACATACCAACACTTTTTGGAATTGTTCTATGAAGCTTATCTGGCAATGGCGCAGACTATGGTAGGGCAGAAAGCCGTGGGAATTAGTGGAAATTAGCCCTTTGCAATCAAACAGCTGGTCTGCTCAATCATCCTCCAACCACCACGAACTCTTGAAAGTGCTCTGTGAAATCAAAACAGAGCTGTCAGCAAATGGAAGCTTCTGAACCCAGTTTTACTCCTTCAGCGGTGATAAATGCCCTTCTGGATTTTCTCTCCTATCAGAGTCATGCACTTGATTCTGAAGATATCTGACCCCAACAGCTGGACATAATGGGGATTCCAGGAAGAGAGTTAGCTCAACAGCTGGGTATCGGAAGGTAATGGTTTACTTGCTTGGAGGACTATGTTGCTATGGCAACCCTACAACAGACAAAAATATGTTTGCAGCCATATGCAGTCTAAACTCACATATGAAAGTCATAAAACCCCATGGAGCTTCTTCATACAGTACAGGCAAATCTATGCAACTGGAGAAATGATATGGTGCAGATTCTACTACTGGAGAGCGCAGATGGCAATGTTTATTCAAATGCTGTCCTAAAATCCTACACTGCATGTAGAAAAGTAACATGGAAGAGCTAAGGACTGTAGTCTATTTGTTACACTGGGGGGAAAAATACATGCAGGAAAGCATCTGTTTTCATCACTACCCCTGACCTGGGCACTCTTTTTACAAATATTTTTCCAGCCCAATGCTCCAAGCAGTGCCAGGCAGGTGAGTCTAACCACTATTTTCAGTTTCCATAATGCCACGGACAAAGCGTCAGTCAGAAGTATCGTGGGAAACTTAAATGGGCCTAGCACTGCTGCTGCCTGGGTCCACTAACAGGAAGGGTTCTTTCAGAGAGCAGTTTGCCCAGGATTCCTTCAAAGATGGGTTCAGTCCTGTGTCTGGAAAATATTGTCCTAGGAGGCTCTCTGAAGGTTCTTCCCTCCGTACCATTCCAGGGCAACCGAGTCATGTGATTTCAGTGGAATTTTTCTCCAAACGCATATGGAAATTCCCATTTGCCCCAGTAAGTTCATGTGTTGTTCTCCGCATGACAGCAATTCATGTACAAAGTGACTCATAAGAGCAAGTGTGATACAGGGGCTTAAGAGTGTCAGACTAGGAGACCAGGGTTACAATCTCTACCTGGGCATGAAGCTCACTGGATGACCTTGGCCCAAGCACCGCCTCCTAGCCTAACCTTCCTCACAAGGTTTAATTGTGGGGATTGTGATACACAACACCTTGAGGTTCTTAGAGAAAAAGGAGGGATATAAATGCAATTAATTAATGTTGTAATAAAGAAGTATGCAAAAAAACAGTTAAGACTCCACCTCTCATGGAGTATATGTGTGTTTGTGTGTGCACATGTACTTATCATGCAGTTTTGCCCTGCAATCACTCAACCACCATGGATAGTAGGCAGCCATCCTGGTTCCTGTACAAGATGGAACTGCAACAGCGAAAAATATCACTGGTGGAAAGCACTTTAGAACTGGTATCTTCACTGCACCTAAGAAAGTGACTCTGATGTCGGTGGTGCTTATAAGCTCATTATTCAGGAGAATGCTTATTTTAATCTCATGCCTGCAAGTGGTCTGTGACAGCCTGAAACATACTCGGCGCTAGTTAACCAGGAATGTCTTTACTAAGCAACCCTTTAAAAGCCCATTGCTAACTTTAACTTTGCAAGTTTTCCACCTGCTGCTAGAGGAGCAGTTAAAAACAACAACCCTCTACCGTGTCACCATCATTTCTTCCCACTTAAGTTTGTTAAATAAAAACTTTTATTTCACTTATTAGCATGGCAGTGGTGACACTTTCGGATTGTTTTATGTTGGTTTTCTCATTTTATAGGCTGAAAGGAGAAAATGTTCTTTTCAAATAAACGGAACCTTTCAATCTACATCCTATTTTTAGCTGAAGTTTAATTCACAGCAGTGTTGGAAGGAATTACATGGTTCCATTGATGGGCTTGAGCTGTAACAGTACAGCTGCACTCCATTAGCAAAAGTGCAATCCTTTTTCTGATACTGTAATGTGTATAGTGTTTTATTATCATCACCATTATTATTATTAAAGAGTTTTACACCATCTTTCAGTCCAGGACCAGGCCCAAGTTTGTTCCAGGAATTTTTTTTTTACAGAAACACACACATTAAAATCAGACATAAAACAAAAAATACACATAATAAAAATAACTGAAAGAGATAACTAGTTAAAAATAGTTTACAAAGCCAATCCAAATGCCATCTTGAAAAGGTCTTCTTGTAGGCCTGGAAAGAACAGGCTGTGCCAATTTTTGCTGATCAGCAAGCATCCGTCAGCTAGCCTCCCACCCTATCATTCTGAAAAATACCCACTCAATCTGCTGTGCTCCCTTATGCTTTGCTTTAGAAGTTAAAGAGAATTCTATCAAGATGGTACAACTGCCCTTCTGTAGTAGAGTGCAAAGTGCTGAACTACCACTCAGTGCTTTTTTAAAGGGGGTACTCAGGGGTACTCTTTTGTTGTTGTTGTTAAAACTTGTGGTACTTACTGTAACAACTTCACAGTGAGTGCAGTACACCTATTTTTTCTAGGGAAAAAGCATGGCTCCCACTTATCCCTCATAAGAAGACAGGGAATGGCCATTAGTAATGACCCATTTTTCTATACTCTAGTCTTCATACCTCTTGTGTGTTCAGTTGCTATTTTTTAAATTTTTATTAAAGATTTTCTTGTTTACAGAAGTGTAATGTCTCTCATATTTTTTCCATGTAACATTTTTACAAATCTGTTTCATTTGTTGAGACATTAGGTGGAGGAAAAAGAAAAAAGAAGGGGTGGAGGGAGGGAAGATGGGTGGGGGTGGGGTCGGGTGGCGATGTTTCTGTTATGCTTAATGTATGTAGGGTTTGGTGTCAGCGCTGCTTGTTCTGTTCACTTGTGTTTCTTTGGTGGTGAGAGAGGTTGGGGTTGGCCTAGGGTGTGGTTGTTTGTTAGTGATTGGCTGCAGTGATCTTTGTTTTCGTGTGTGAGTGGGGTGGGTGGGTGTTTTGGATCAGGTTAGCCATATTGATTTGTATGCTGTTGGTGGATTATTGTCGTTGTCTTGTTGGGCTGTGTATGTGATAAAGGGGAGCCATACCGGGGTAAAGGCGTCTTCTTCTGTTTGTCCCCGTGTCAGTTTGTTTATTGGTTAATTTTTCTAGTAGGGCTGTTTCCCATACTATTTGGTACCATTGGTCCATGCTTACTCTATTAGAGGATGTACTGCTGGCGCAAAGGCAATAGGCGATCAAATAAGAAAATAAATTGTGCTGCTACATGTGTCATGCTACCAACACAAAGACAGTACATTAACCACTAGGTAGCAGTGCAAATGGTTCTAATCTGAAATTGTTTGCTGCAAATCTCTCTTTTCTGTGGGTCACTTTGTGAAACTGTTGTTGAGAACTATTCTGAGTCTGGAAACACAACATAATTTATAGCTTTTGAAATAATTAAAACTCCCTTAGAGTATGATTTAAAAGCACAAGCAGCTTTATTAACTGGGAAGGTATATGTATTTTTGTCCAAGCTGGATCCACTATAATGTAGAGAGCTTTTTAAGAACCTAAGTCAGACACTAGGTTAATATAAAGGGAAAACATTGTAAGGACATGTACCGATAAAATGTATTTTGTTTAGATGACAAAGAGTAAAATGCTAACAGTAACAATGTTCTGTTGTTACATTTTGCAATGCAAATCAGGATTTGGTGAACTGTCCAGCGATTAAGCTTTTCTGGGGTAAAAGAGCTCATATAATACATCTTATGCTAATATTTTATATAAATCTTACTCCACTCCTAATTGTTTCTAACTTAATAACTACAGCCAGAATGTTGGTTGCAAAGAAAGTAGCATGAATCTACTCATCTTCACTAAAGGAATGGCTAGCATTACAATGATGTGTTGCATTTAATTAACTTTTACTCAGTGCAATTAATTACCATGACTTGACTTAGGTCTATTTCAGCGGCTCTACCCTGTATAAAAGATTAATATAACCCAACATGAATAATTCTTGTCGTATGTTTTGTGTGTATAGACTGAAAATAAAACATAAAAAACCATGGTGTACTTAAGAGGTTGTTTATAATATAGTTTAATGAAAAATACATTTTATTTGTCATAACATTCAAAAAATATACAAATGCTTGCTTGTTTGCATACAAAGGTTGATGCTTAAAGCATTTAAACAGTTTATTATATTCTTGTGATCCTCATACAATTAAATCTTCGCTATGTGCAACACACCCGTAGTGCAATTCCCAGAGCGCTTTTGCTGGGTTTGCTGTCCTTGAATTCCAAGCTCACAGCATTCTGTAATGGGATCACGCCAGACTTCAGCCAATAACTCGCTACAATGTCATCTATGTTGAAAGCAGCATAGAGTCAACATTTTCTAGATAATTGTCTTTAGGTTTTCCACAAACAGCAGTCCATTTCACCAAAACAGTCTTCAAAGCATTCTGCCCTTACCATTTTGCTCAACTGCACTCAAGCCCAACATACAACTGACATTATCATTCATTACCATTGCACTTTCTTTATGTCTCCCCGCTCTTTAAATTACTTGACGCTGATCTTCCCTTATCTAGAAGATGGAGAGAGGCGGAGAACCACCACCACAGATCATTTTAAAAATCAAGCACTTTAGAATTCACTGCCCTTAGGTAATTTGCTGCCGTTTGTAACAGGAAAAGAAATGACACCACAGCCATCAAAACTAGGTGGCAAAGGCATCTTTCTGGGGACAGAAAACAAAGTTATCTGAAGCAGCTACCAAAAAGAAAATAGTAACAAACATAATAGTGTAAAAGTCTTTCCAGTATATAGACATTCAGCACAACATCTCAGGCTTGAAAAGGCAGCCTCGTACAAGACCCAGGGAAACCAATCAGAAATTTCCCTGTGGATTGATTGCGTGGGCTCTGATGCTGACCCAAACCACTAAAGTGATGCCTACACGCTATCATAGCTTCTTAACTGAGAGTAATCTTACCTGCAAAATGATATGGCTGCAATGTGTAAAATATATAAACCTATTAGCATGTTAACCCTTTTATGGGGAGACCATGGCTTACATTACAGTAAATCAAAAGCCGAACTACTTGTGACCTGGAAACTTAAATTCTGCCAGATACTGTAAGCAGGCAATATAAATTACACCTGTTCTACAAATGTTGTTAGCTGATTTTATATAATCAACTAATTTGGCTTATTCATAGGCTTGAATCTGAAGCTGATCTTCCTCGTACGGAAGGGTTGTTTTACAGTTTGTGTGAGAATGTGGATGATGAAAAAAGGAAATCCAAAGAGGTTTGCTTGTACAACTGCCTACACAAAGCAAACAAACACAAGTGTTTGCAAAACAGCACCAGCAACCATTTCCCTTCTGCTCACGGTTCCTTTTATGCAACCCCATAGTCTGGATTCAAAGCACAGTTAATAAATCAAAAATTGATTTATTAAATGATGTTCTGCATCAGCACTCATAATAGTAACTAATATGAAGTAGGACCAACCAGGTTCGGTTTTCTGTCTTAATTTGTATTAATTTGAAAAGATGTAGGATGATATGTTAGCCATACTCAGGGTAGATCCACAAAGATCAATGAACTTAAGAAACATGTCCATTTATTTCAATGGGTCTACTCTGAGTATGACTTAATTGGATATCAGACGAAATAAATAAATACATGGATAATGCAAGGCATTAAGGATAGGGGAAGAAAAGTTGGAGCAGGGCTCCAGTGGGCAGGTATACAGACTTGTGAAAGGGAGGGGGATCTGATCCTTGAAGCCCTTCCCAGACTACATACAGTTCAACTTTTAAAGCTGGCTTATAGCAGACCAGTAATCAATTTAGAGGGACGTGGCCACAGAGCCTAGGACTTGCCGATCAGAAGGTCGGCGGTTCGAATCCCCGCCATGGGGTGAGCTCCCGTTGCCCGGTCCCAGCTCCTGCCAACCTAGCAGTTCGAAAGCATGTCAAAGTGCAAGTAGATAAATAGGTACCACTCCGGCGGGAAGGTAAACAGCGTTTCCATGCGCTGCTCTGGTTTGCCAGAAGCAGCTTAGTCATGCTGGCCACATGACCTGGAAGCTGTACGCCGGCTCCCTCGGCCAATAAAGCAAGATGAGTGCCGCAACCCCAGAGTCAGCCACGACTGGACCTAATAGTCAGGGGTCCCTTTACCCTTTACTAATCAATTTAGTGCAGTGCTGCTATGCTGACTGTCCTTGGCTCTCCAGAGTTTTAGGGAGACAGTCTTTGCAGCTCTGCTACATGAGTTCCATTAACTGCGCTGAATCTGAAATATGATACAAACCAAGCATGTGCTCTACTACTGAACTACGACCCCTCCCTAATAACATGAGGCATATGCAGAGCACCACATTTATTGGATTTTTCCAGCTTCTTGGACCAGTATTTTTAGAGAGGGCCAACTCCACAAACCTGCCTGTCTACACGTAAAAATTGGGGGGAATAATCCTGCAAAGTAAACCTCTGACCCTGATGCAGTAAAGTATTTACTCCTGTGCTTTCACCAAGACCATTCCTGTCACATAGTTAATTGCTTTCCTGGCTTGGGTCCAGAATATTGTCAGGAAATCTCACAGCAATCTTACAGAATCAAGTTCTCTCTACAATCACAAAAGTGTAGTTAGTATATAACAGTAAAAATTAAGCATAACCTGATATTATGACTGAAATGCGCCAAGTGAAGAGATTTGCCCTGAGAAAAGTTTTTTTAAAAAACAGGCACTAAAAATCTGTACAAACATTTAAATATAGGGTGCCTGGTCTTTTTATAACAGCAGAACTACACATTATCAGAAACACTTCCCTGGTGGTTTTGGGTCATTATACTGTTTCCCCAACACTGCCAGCTAAAAATGAAGGATTGGTCAAAAATGCTCAGTGTAATGATGTCAAGACATGAGGTAATTTGAATCATGTGCTACTGAGGAGGGGAAGGGGGATCTGACACAGGGCTGCTGTGTTTTTGGCAGTAAGTAGCCCTGTGTTTCTGACCACATGCAGTTCCACTCTTATTTTCAAGTACACTGGGCAAAATTGTAACCCCTGAGACCTTCTGGCCACAATACAAGACAGAATTAAGTGTGCCTAACTCTGCGCAGGGTTGTGGTGTGTGTTTGTGTGTGCAAACATGTATCTTGTAAACTGTACAGAGAAACATTTTCATGAGCACCGAGATAGAGGAAATATGTCACTGATTACACGGGTTCTAATATTATGTGCATGAGAATATGACTGAGCTACTGTGGTATCCATACTGTCCGGCAGTCTGAAAACATCATACAAGTCTTTTGTGCATCACATGCAGGCTTTGAAAAATAGCAGAGAATACTTTGAGAATTAGATATTTTTTTTAGAAAGAAAGAAAGAAAAGAATGAATGAATTCATTTTCTGTTAAGAAGCATTAAACTGAAAAAACAAACCCCAAGCTAGAAAAATAAAATACCATACAAAAAGATGGGGTTGTGACCCATTCATTTTCAGAGTTGGTACAATTTCATTTCATACAGGAAAATGGGAAATGCACATATTAAATCACCCCTAATTAGAGATATGCTTGCAGAGTATTTAATAAGGATGTAAGATTTCAGAGCTTTTTCACACATGCCATAGAAATTATCTTTGAGCCCCTCTCATGCTATTTGTAAGCACATGTGAATGGTGATAATGCAGCTCTGACTGTGCAGGAATCCCATTTTGAAATAGATAGACTGAAGGAAGGTGGATTGCCCTTTTAGACTTCATTTGGTGCCATGTGTGAACTGGTTTTCCATTCACCATTAATACCATCGAGGTGAATACTTTCTGGAGCAGGTAAGTGAAGGACTCTCCTGTCCTACACTTAAATTGGCACTGGCACTTGTAATCATTCAGCTTCCGTAGTTGTGGTTGAAGGAAATACGAATAAAGTCAGGGGGTGTCTTGGGTAAATGGCTTGCATGAAAACACTTTTACACTGCAACAGATCAAATAGTCTACCCCTATACTATCAAAAAGTTTTACATTTAGTGTTCAAAGCAAGTTGACAATCAAGGCCACTGTGATGCTCACTTAAACCCATTGTGATGGAACGTGGCCCGATAAATATGTACCTTTGAGCTCATCAAACTAACTAGTTCAATAAGAAAAGAAAAGAAAACCTCCAACAATGTGAAAAAATAGAACCCATCCTTAGAGTACCATAGCTTATTTATTTGGGCTGGGAGCTGCTGCAAATGCTCCCATCAGTTACACAAAGCACCAGTAAGCATGTCTAGTCTTTGGGGGGACTTGGCTGCTGGTTTTATCAGCCTAGCATGGCACAGTTATGGGACATGCCCTTAGTTTTGACATGCCTTGGCCATTTATTAAGACTGATACAGCGGCCCGCTTTTCCTAATGAACTATTCAATAAAAGATCTGCTTCTCCTTTAAGCTCTGTATCGTAAAGTACTGCACAGCAATAACATGAAATGGAATTGTATGTATAGCCTTTAGTATCTCTATTGAGTATATTTTTCTTACACAGGCTTTGCGTGTTTCAAGTTTCACTTTCTAGTATATCCTCATTACAGGTGCAGCAAATGAACTCAACTTAGACTGACCGGTAATGTTGTGTGAACACACAAGGCCTTCACTAAAATCTTAGGGTGTGTGAAATCTCCCCTGAGAAATGTTACAATTCCTGTACAGTGGTACCTCGGGTTACGTACTTAATTCGTTACGGAGGTCCGTTCTTAACCTGAAACTGTTCTTAACCTGAGGCACCACTTTAGCTAATGGGGACTCCTGCTGCTGCCGCACCACTGGAGCACGATTTCTGTTCTCATCCTGAAGCAAAGTTCTTAACCTGAATCACTATTTCTGGGTTAGTGGAGTCTGTAACCTGAAGCGTATGTAACCTGAAGCGTATGTAACCTGAGGTACCACTGTATTGAAACTACTCCGGGCTTCCCTTGAAATTCCTTATACAGTGCTACCTCGGGTTACAAACACTTCGGGTTACAGACTCCGCTAACCCGGAAGTAGTACCTTGGGTTAAGAACTTTACCTCAGGATGAGAACAGAAATCGTGCAGTGGCGGCGCGGCGGCAGGCCCCATTAGCTAAAATGGTACCTCAGGTTAAGAACGGTTTGAGGTTAGGAATGGACCTTCGGAACGAATTAAGTTCGTAACCAGAGGTACCACTGCAATTTCTGCAAATTCACTTTAGGCAATATACCATGACAGCGAAATGATGTGCAGAACAGCCCTTAGAGCATCTTAAAGAAACCCTGTGTTTTGCTTTCCTCAGATGTTTCACCTGAGGAGGAAGGTCCAAATTCACTCCAGTGGCAACGCAACTAAAATCACAATAGGCAAATGACAAACCTCCCCTCAAGAGAAACGCAGCACCTCATCCCTAACTAAATGATCTAGTCCAAAAAATATTGATTGCAATGCAACAAACAGTGAACGGAAGGTATGTCTGTATGTTTGGGGGATGGGTACAGGGTTAGCATATCTGACAGAGCATATTCTGTCTCTCTCAGCTATAGATGGCACATATGCCCAGTAATCATGGCAGGCCTGGGAAAGTCTCAAGTTCTCCTGGGTGGGTCCTAAGTGTAGCTAAGATTGCAGTGCCTGCATCAAGTAAACTTCCTACAACATTTCTCGATTTCAAAAGCTCACTAAAGTGTTCATTCTCCTCCCTTGAGAAAGCTTTGAGGTAAATCTTTGAGCTTTAGCTTGATGCCAAACATACATGTAACTGGCGTAGGACACTGACAAGAAATAGCAGGTTACGTTAACATTCATAAAATACTTTCTAAAGAGTCTCTCCAAAATCCATACATTTGCAAAAACACAAACACAAAAAACATGTTTAGCTTAAACACTTGGATAGAAGGGAAAATAAAAATTATCTTCACCTTTAAAATTAAAGGTGAACGCCTTTTGCATACCTAAATACAAGACTAGAATATCAACGAGAATACCACTTTTTTCTACATGAAGATTAAGTGATGGGGTAAACTTCACCAGTTGAATGTCTGTCTGTTGCAAAACTCTTAAAGGCACCCAGCCTACTAAAGAAAATTAGTATCCCTAGATTTAAGTACATTCTTTTTCTAGTTTTCTGATCTTTTTTTTTTAATGTGGTCAAGGCTCCTTATAAAATCACACAAAATAGTACAAAGCGGCAAATTTTGAATTATAAGGCAATCAAAGCAAATTTCCAGTTATTTTTACAACCAAGTCTGGAAAAAAACATAATTAGTGATTAAGGCCCAATCCATCTAAATCATAACTAAAAGTGTGATCCTATTCACCTGTATTTGGCACTATTCCCCAATAACTTAATGTGATTTGCTTCAAAGTAAACATGCATAGGATTGGGCTTCACATATTGCTAAAATCAATGCAATCCCATCCATATATAATCTGAAGTAAATTCAATTGATTTCAATAGGTCTTACACTTGAGTGAGTGGTTTTATGCTTGCAGTCTTCGTCTTGCAACTAACAGGAGGAATCCAAGGAGATCTCTTTGTCAATGCAAGCATTTCTGTTTGCCTGATGGGATGATCTCCCCTTTCCTTCCCTGTGTGCTATTCTTTGGGTCCTCCTGTGCGCCCTTAGCAAATTTGGGGTGCGGGGAGAGGTGGGGAAAGCTTTGCTGTGCTAGCTCAAGTCCTATTGTGGGCTTCTGCTAGCAGGACCTGTTAGTTGAATCTGGCCCAGGAGCGCCAACTGCTGGGGGCTGAACCCTTTTGACCCCCCATATTTGTTTGGGAGGGCATCCTCCCAATGTTAGGTGAGGTCAGAGGAGCCAGGAACACTGCAGCAGAGCGGCTTCAGTGGCCAGTTCCTTCTCCTTCTCCTGTCCTGGAAGGGAAGGAGAGGGAAGCAGCCTCAGGCCGGTGACAACAGGAGGAGGAGGAGGAGGAGGAGCTGTCAGCCACTGAAGTCATGCTGCTGCCACAATCCTAGCTCCTCCGACCTAGCGCAATGTGGGTACATTGCACATCACACATGCATCACCTGCAGAAGGAACAATGGTCCCCCAATCTGCCTCACAAGCTGGTGCCTCTGATTGGGCCCTGTATGTTTTCACTGGGGGATAGACACGACTGGCTTTAGCTAAACTGGAACCGAGGTGCACTGAACCAAGCTCATCAAAGTGCATACCTATAATGTAAACCACGTCCTAACTCAGCTCCTACTGAAGATTATTTCAAGAATACAACTTGTGTATTCTTTCAGGGGAAGCAACATGTGTTGGCTGTTACTTGCAAACTTTTAATACCTTTGAAGAAATGGAACTAAATTTGAAATGACTTTACATCATCTTTACATGTCTTTTTCTCAATGGAGTGAATCCCTGAAAAATAGTTCAAGTTAAAGCTTAAGGAAAACTACATGTTACACACAAATGTGTGTATCAAATTCCTTCCAATCAATTTTTTAAAAAAAGAAACACAGATGAGGGAGGGGCATCTAACCCTTCCCGTGTCCAGTTTTTGTAGTTATGTCAGGAAAAAGGTTAAACGCTTGCCTTCTTTCTGCATTCTGTTGTTTTTCCATTCAAAGCTGCTTTTCATTAAAAAGCAAATGGCTCGTATTGTTTCTTTACATGCATTTGCATGTAACATGTAGTTAGCCACCTGTGTTAGCAGGCATAACAATTACCTTGCATTATATATAGACAGTTTACAAAACATACCACAACTCACCCACCCACCCTTGCATAATTAAATTTACGCACACTTAAAAAACAGGGGGAAGGGGTGTTATACAAACATGAACATCATCAACACTTGTGTTGTACAAAAATGCATGAGAAATACATGACAAAGAGAAAAAGCAGCTTAAATGAGAGCTTAGCATTACCAAGTCGTTTTCAGATTAAGGGAAAGAAATTCTCGTTGTTTGTGCCTGTAAGATAAAGTACAAACAAAAAAATAAATCCTTGATTTACAAAACAAAGTTTGTTAGAAAGCATCTTAGAATAAAGGTCCAATTATTAATCTCTCTCTCTCTCTCTCTCTCTCTCTCTCTCTCTCTCTCTCTCACACACACACACACACACACACATCATTGGATATGCTGCTTTACCATTCTTGATAGGGCTATATCCAACTCAGTCATACTCACCCTAGACTAGCCATCTCCATTAAATACAGTGGCTTTAAATACAGTGGGAGTACTCTGAGCATGGGTTATATTAGATACAACTCGTAATATTAGATACAATTCATAAATTCTCCAGTCCAAAATCTGATCTCAGAATCATACAGTTGGAAGGAACCTTGAAGGTTTCCCAGTCCAACCCTGACATGCTTACATCACTCTCTGCTTCTGCATCTTAAATATGTGTTAAATTCCTCATTCACAAAAACAAGATTTGCAACCAAAGTTTGTAGTTAAAAAAGTGCAGGAAATTTCTACCTTTGAAGACACTCCCAAAATGATTTCTATTATGCTGAGGGCCACCAGTTTCTATTTTTATACCAAAAACATCTTTAGACAAAGCCCAAGCAGAATGTACCTCTTAAGTTTGAATCTTAGTGTATGTGATTGGATAAAAGCATATAAAATTATGCATTTTGTGGAGAAAGAAAGAAAAATATCCCCCTCTCATTACACTAGAACTTGTGGGCATCCAATGAAGCTCAATATAAGAAGATTTGGGATAGATCAAAGAAAGTACTTCTTCACACAGGGCATAGTGAAATTGTAGCATTCACCCCCACAAGAGCTAGTGATGACTACCAACTTGGATTGCTTTAAAAGAGAATTAAACAAATTCATGGAGGATAAGGCTAGCAATGGCTATTAGCCATGTTGGCTACGTTCTACATTTAAGATCAGAGTCAATATGTCTTTGAATACCACTTGCTGGGAATCCAAGACTCACAACCTGCTTGGGCAGGTTGCTTTCGTGATTACGCCTTGCACTGAATCCACAAAGTAAAAGGTTACTCTAGATGAGATAGTGGACCTCTTGCATTAAAAAAAGAATACCAGCTGCCTATACTGGATTAGAGCCACAGCAGCAGGGGATGGGTAGCCCTTTCACTCAAAGCTCCTCCTCCCCACTCACGCTGGGCAAGTAGCTGCTTCACGGCAGGGGGGATGATTTAAAAATTAAAGGAAGGCGTTGGAGGGGTGTGCTGTGAGCCCAACCTGGTTACCCTATAGCTGTTTTTAACCTTTTTAAAAAGAAAGAGTGGGAGGTGTCCTCCTGCCATCTCATCTAAGTGCACACTTAGCTTGCTTGAAGTTCTAGTGTACAGAGAATCGGCAAGGCTATTTGTGTAACCACAAATATAGAGTATCCACTCCCCCATTAAGATGAAAGATTTATTACACTCAACTCAAGCTTATCCCTCCGTACACAGCTACACCTCTTTAAGAAAGAAGATGAGACACTTCAAGTGGGGGGAAAGCATCCTAGAAAATGAAGTACAATATGATGCAGGAGAATCTTTTGCTGATATTGAACCTTGGCCAAGACATACAGCAGACTCCAGGCTTACCCTCCTCTCAGCCACTGGGTGCAATGAGGGCCAAACTAAACATTGCTTTAATAACCATTTTTGAATACCGTGGGTCTAGCCAGGTCTCATTTTTTGCAAAAAGCCACCACAAGTGAGCCCAGTCCAGATCAAGAGCTTGACATGGTGGTGAACTCTTTTCATTTCACTGTTTCCCTGCTGAAACCTAAGCTGCTATATGCCCTAGGCTTTTTTTTTTAAACCTATGGGTTGTAAGCAACTGGGGGGCGCCAGTCACAAAATAGCTGCTATGGGGGGACATAGCATAACACATGGGGAGCATTGCATAGCACAAAGTTAGATAGCTACCTCCAGCAACCTTATACTTACCATGAGAAATCAGCTATGTGCTGCTGGTCCTAATTGTGGAGATCATACAATATTGATTTTACACGCGCACACGCACACTGATAGTGGCCACAGTACACCCACTCTCATTTCACAGAAGTCACTTAGAAGTTATCTGTGCATTTTACCCCATAGATTTTTTTTCTAGGCATGCTAGAGTGAAAGCCATGGTACCCATGGGTGCTGGGTTGGTGACCCTTGAGATAAATGCTTCTCAGGGTAGATCCATTGAAGTTACAGTAAATGGCCTAAGTAAGTCATGCACTCTAATTTCAATGGGCCTACTCTGAGCATGGCTAACATTAAAATGTTCTGAGCTGGCAAGACCTCTCTGAGGTAATTTGCTGAATGTTATGATTGCCAACTTTCTTTTCCTGGCAAGACTCCTCTACCTTTATCTATACATAATGAACAAAAACTCCACCTGCAGAATCTTTGCTTGTCAAGCAGCTGTTAAAGCCCTACCAGAAAAAAAGTTGGCAACTCTACTGTTAGTATGAACAGTCTCATATGTCACAGATGAGTGATGAAACTGCAGCTCAGTGGCTCTTGGCATTTCTTTGAAGTGTGTAGTGTGAGCCAGGTGGTGATCTACAATCTCACCACTTCTGTGATATGTCAGAGCATTCACGCTAACAGTCAATACACACAGACACTCTTCACTTTCTTCAGCTCAGCTGTTCCTCTGAATTTACCCTGCCTTAATCAAACACTAAGAATCTGATGCCTCTCATCTTCCAAAACCTTCTTCTGCTAACCCTCTCTCTTGACAAAACCCCCCAAAAAACTATCTTTGGGGAAGATGCAAGTGGGTGCATTAACCAATAAACCTGAAAGTGCTCAGATACAGAGTTTGATTAATCCATTACAGAAAACTTTAACCCCCCCCCCCATTCATTACAGGACTACTACACACATGCAACAATGACTACCTTTAAGGACATCGCTTTCTGCACAGGAAACATATATAAACCTCATGTACACCATCATGTGAGTGCACACATATTATTACATATTATTCCCCTTTGGCAACTGCTTCCTGGTGTGAATATACGAGAGAGCCACTTGTGACAAATTTAATAACTAATCGTCATAAGTACCAGCTTATTCATGTGGATCGAGAAAGGGCTGCTCAAGTTGTTAGCGTGATGACCAGCTGCCCTGAATCAAAGGTAAAGGTAAAAGCACTCAATGTGCACAGTGCCTTACCCCACAGGGCTTCCACCTCACAACTCACACATTTGTAGGAAGTAGGGTTGCCACCTTTGTTCTGGCAAAATACAGGACAAGATTGTGACTGGAAGAGTGTGGTTGTTTTTTTTAAATCTGATGCTGAAGTGACTTCAAAGCAATCCATTACAATTCATTGCACCTAACCAGGATGGCTCCTCTGGAATTTGTAGGTGTGCACACACATGAATTCGTAAAATCTCTCAGTGCTTGGCTACCCAGAGCTGAAATACATTACCGTTCACACACCCTTTCAAACCCATGCAACTTGGCAGAGATTGAGAGAGAGAGAAGACCTGACACCCAGGTCAAAATTGCACCCATACAGGATGTACCCTTTTGCTCTGAAACACAGGACAATCCTGTATTATGAAGGGCAGGTGGCTATCCTAGGATGAGTGGGCGTGCATGGGTGTGTGTGTGGAGAGGAAGCCCTTTCCATAAGTTGCCTGTTAGGAGGCCTGGTATAACAAACACGAGGCCCTGGCTTGCTGGCCAAGAGCCCAACTCACCCGTGGCAGCAGCAGCAGCGAGCAGCAGCATCCCTGGCCGGGCTCTCCATCACCGGTGCTCCACGACGAAGCGCATGGTGGTGCCGTCGAAGGAAGGAGGCGCGATGATCCTGGGCCCCAGAGGCTGCGAGGTGATGCTGATGAGGGGCGCCTTCCCCTCGCCAGGAACCCCTTGCTGCTGCTGTGGCGGCTGCTGTGGCTGCTGCTGCTGAGCAGCTTTGCCCGTGGGCATGTAGTAAGGGCTGTCCGCCCCGGGGCTGGCGGGGCCGAGCTCTCCGCCCGGCTGCTGGGCGAGCTGGCCCTGCAGGGCGCTGGCGGGCAAGACAGCCGGCAAGAAGCCCGGGTAGATCATGTAGGCCGCGGCCGGGGCGCCGTAGGCTCCCGGCGCGCCCAGCGCCAGGGAGGACACCGGGAGAGTCATGGGGGCCACGGCCGGAGGTGGTGCCTGGGCCGGCAGGGGCACCTCCACGTACTGCCCGGTCTCGGGGTCGAAGAGGCGCCTCTTCTGAGGCGGCGGCGGCGGCTGCAGCGGCGCGTCCACCACGTAGCACTGCCCGGTGCTGAGGTCCAGCAGCACTTTGCGCTGCGTCTGAGGCGCCGGGAAAGCGGCGGGCTCGGCGGCTGCGGGCGGAGAGAAGCACAGCAGAGGCGCGGGCTGGGCAGCGCCCGAGAAAGCGGCGGCCGCCGCGGCCAAGGACAAGGCCTGAGGGAAGAGCTGCGCGGGGGACACTTCGAACTGAGGCGGCGGCTGCTGCTGCTGCTGCGGAGGAGGAGGATGGGTGGCCTGAGGCTGCGGGGCGGCTGCCTCTCCGCGCTGCTGTTGCTTGGCCGCCTCCTGCCCGTGGGTCTTGCCGGTGCTGAAGGGCTGGTGGCTGCACAGGGCCGCCGCTGCCGCCGCCGCGGAGACTAGGCCCGGGCGGCCGCCTCGGTCTCCTGACAGGGCTGCCCCCGGCTGCTCCGTCGACGCCTTGAGAGGGATGGCCAGGTAGTTCCCGCAGTCGGGAGCCGCCGCCGCCACCTTGGGCACCCTGTCGGGCTCCACGAGGCTCCCCTGCCTGTCCCCAAAGAGCTTGATGGAGCGAGGCCCGGCCTGGCCTTTCAGGCCTCTTGGTGGCGGGTCAGGAGATGGCTCCTGAGGTGGCTGCTGCTGTTGCTTGGGCTTCTGGGCCTGGGCATTGAAGGTGAAGGTGCTGCGGGGTGCCACCGGGGCCCTGCCTCTCTCCGTGCCCCCTGCGGCCTCCCCACGGAAGCCCGGCCCGCGTGCCCGCTCCCGAGCCTGTGCCAAGCTTTCGAAGGTCGCCATCTTGGCTGACACCTTCTCTGCGTTCTTGGTTGGGTTGGCAGTCTGGCTGCGGGGTTGGCGCTCGGGCGCAGGCCTGCTGCCGGCGATGCTGCTGGGGGAAGTCGTCAAGGCCGCACTCTGACTGGCATCCTGGTCCTCTGCCTTGGTGCCGGCCGTGGACTCTTCCCTGGTTCCCGTGGCCGTGGCTCCCCCCGTGGCCTTTTCCTCGCTGGCGATGAGGGACAGGACGTGGCTGTCGGTGATGGGCAGCGGGTCGCTCTTGCGCTTCCACTCGTTCTTGTGGAAGCTGTAGAGCTCCTCCATGCTCCGGACGGCCGCTGTAAGTTTCTCCAGCGCTTGGTGGTTCGCTGTGAGGGGTGCCTTGGCCACTTCTTCTCGTGGAATTTCTTCTTCGCTAGCCACCACCAGTGGGCCTACCTTGCTGCTTTTCTCCACTGGCGTAGGTTGAATTGGTGGCAGTGGCGGCGGCTGTGGTTGCTGCCTCCAGGGCACAGATGTTTTGGAGACTATCTTCAGCACAGCAGGCTGGCGAGGGTCGCTTTTGTTAGGGGCGATTGTAGCTACGGGCAGCCTCCCTGAGGTCCTGTGCACCAGGATTGTCCCATCTTGGCTGGATGGCAGCATCTTGCCCCCGCTACTTGCTTTGGCCCCTGTCTCTGAAGCCTTGCTGGCCCTCTTGTCTTCCTTGCTGTTGCTTACTGCCTGACAGGTTATCACCATGGGAGACAGAGGCCTGGAAATGCCTGCTGTCACCAGCTGCTTGGGTTTCTGCTCAGATGTTCCCTGGTCAGAGTTGACACTGCCTCTGTCACTGTTGTTATCCCCCGACTCATGGCTGTAGCTACTCTTAATTAGTTTCCTGACATCTGTAACCTGATGGATAGGCCCTTGCACCTTGTGTTTGTTTTCTCTTACATCGCGTACCAGAAATTGAGGCACTTTGTCCATACCTTCCCCTTTGAATTGTTTTTGATGCTGGCTTCTGGCGTCTTCAGCTGCCTTGAAAAAGTTTGGGACACTTCCAGATAGCTTGGGTGTGAGGAGCTTAGCAATATTGAAAGGGTGATCTTTATTCTGCTGCATGCTACCCAAGCTGATCTTGATCTCAGGAGGTTTGGGCTTTATCATTGTGGTAGCGATGGCAGTCTGAGCTGCTGTGTTGGTTGCTGTAGAATATTTTGTCACTTGTGTGCTGGATTGCTTTTCTTTGGTTGTTTGTTGAATATTTGGAACAAAGAGACGAGACATTTTAGTTGATTTGCTGGCTGATAATTCTCCCAAATCAGCCTTCCTGTCACCTTTGGATGAAATTTTCAGTTTCCCCACAGGAGCTTTCTCCTCCTTTTTCTCTGCTTCTTTTTCTTTCCATGTTCTAAATGCACTGTTCTGACTGCGGAGAAAAGTTGCCTTGAGAGTTTCAGAAGCACTCTCTTTTATTTTACATGCCTCGTCTAAGAATGTTTCAGAAAGGGATCGATCCAGGCTAACATTTCCATCCCGGGGAGTAGATGGCTTGGAGGTAGGGGACTTGCTGTCAAAAAACTCCCCCAAATCATCTGCTGTTACAATAGTGTATTCAGAGCTGCCTTCTGAATATCTAGAATTCTGTCTCTGCAAACCCCCATCCTTTAACTTTTCTTTGAAAGCACCATCTACCTCTTTAGAAGATAAGGAATTGGACATACCAGAATATGTGGTGTCCGAGATTTCACCCCTTTCCATTTTGAATTCGTGCTCCAGTTGCATTTTCTTTGAGATAACATTTTTGAGGAGACTAGATGCAAACTTTGATTTATTCTGTGTGCCTTCCATGGTTTCTGCAGCCAGCCCAGTTTGTTTGCAAGTTTCATTGCCCAGCTCCTTTGGCAGTGTTTCTGTAACTTCATCTGTGCAACTTGATCCAGCAGCAGCATTTTCAGAAGGTTTAGCAGGTCTGGGGACACCCGCTTTTATATTGCTGCTAAAATTCAGAGTCTCCAACAAAGTAACAACCCGAGAGCCTGACTGGATCCGTTTTTCAAAGCAAGGTGGTGTCTCAACATGCGTTATTTCCCCATCAAGCTTGCTGACAACAAACTCTAATGCTTTCGTCTGTGACTTATTGGAGTGAATGTAGAACTGGTCACTGGATGTCTTTGTCCCAGTGCTTCTGTTCCATCCTGCAGATGCGGTGCTGCTTTTGAAAAGATTTTGCTCTGCTTTCTGCCCAAGGCTGCCACACTTTAAATCCAAGTAAGTTGACCACCGGTTGATTCCTAGTGTGTGATCCGAAAGAGATGTGGAGGATTCACTGGAGCTCAGGTTCAAGGTATCAAAGTAGGGATAAGCTAAGCTGCGGAATGCCCTTGCCGTCAGGCTTCTTACTTCTTTATCTGCATCATCCAACTCACTCACCACGCTTGAGGCACCGCTTGAATATCCTCCCAATTCTCTTGCTCTTATGGCTCCACACCTTGTTTGCAAACGTGCAGGAACTGCAATAAATTTTTTTGCATAGTCATGAAACACATCTTGTTTCAAACTTGAATTTCGTTCATGAGCTGTGGAGACACAGAGGCTCATGTCGCCTTCATGCTTGGCAGCATAAATAATGTTTTGCTTTTCGTGCTGGTTGCTAGGCTCATTTATAGCCCTGGAAGTTGGTTTGATTGATAGGAGTATCTGGCCTGCAGAATTCTCACTCATGTTGCTGAGGTTCTTGGACTGACTTTCTTCCGAGCTGGCGCATTTGTCTGTGCTAGGGGTATCATTTTCAGAATTAATGCTGACTATCTCTGTACTGCTAGTATTATCGATACTGTCTGTCTGATTATTGGGATCACTGGTGGTCGTGCTGAGATAACAGCTATTGTCCTCTTCTGTCTGGGTATCCGCAAGAGTCTCGTCACTCCCAAAGGAAGCGTAATCCACAAAGGAATAAATCACATTGTTGTCCTCGAAATCCCACCGAGAGGCTAACCCATAATCAAAGTCCATGTCATGGTCCACTTCGCTAAGCTGGATTTCATGGGTTGTAATATAATGTGCTTCATCATTACTGTTACAGTTCTCACTGGTGTAGCTTTGCTGCGAGGGCATCAGTTGTGAAGCACGCCTGCACCCTCCTCTCTGGTTACTCAGACAGATTTCTTTGCAGTCTGCATCATCGTCCTCATCACTTTCATATCCAAATGAAGAAGAGGAGGTTTTCCCCTCCGTTCCCATGTCATCCATTTTTGGAAAGCTGCCTGTCTCTTGTACTGGCGAAGGACAAGAGGATGAGGATGATTCTGGGCAGCCATTTGTGTAAAGCTGAATGTTGGAGATACTAGGGGACAAAGTGTTCTCAGACCCTTCTGAGCTGGTGCCAGTGATGCTTCCCCCCACCTCATCAGCCTTCATCCCCACAGGGGAAGGAGTGCCTTCCATTTTAGATTTATAATCCTGGGGTGCTTCATTTGCAGATTTGTCTGCCAGCATATTGTTAGCCAATCTGTTAACCTCACTGATCCCATAAGGTCCATTTTTAGGTTTGATAAAGGCCACTTTACTTCCATTCCCTGCCAAAGTCAGTTTTAGAGCTTGGGGACTCTCTCCCCTCCCTCCAGGGAAATCATAAATCTCCACATATTTTGATTCCTCAGATGAGGATGTTGATGGCTCTTGAGAATGGTGCTTCATCATCCGGCTGTTGCTTTCTCCAGCACTCCCTTTTTGAGTGATGATCTGCTCAGCAGGCGATTTTGTAAGCAGTTCCATTCCGATCACTGCAAGTTGACTGGAGGGAACAAAGAGATTTCGACCAAGACTCGAAGCTGGGACACACACACACGTGTCTCCAGTGGTTAGTTCCCCACTTCACTCCCTGCAATTTAGCGGAAGACCCTGGAGAGACGCCCGATAGTCCCGCAGTGGTAGTAAGGCGGGTGGCTGCTGTTGTCTCTGCGGAGATGGGGGGGTAGCTGCTGCTGCCAGTGTCTTATTCCAGAGCTATGAAGTACAGTTGTTGGTTTGGCACGAAGAGCTGTCAGTCTGAATGCCATTGGTAACTGAAGTAGCAGTATTAGCAGCATCTGCAGCTCAGCTTCCCCAGACATCCCAAAATGAAGAGAAAGCATATGGAAATTCTTGTACTTCTAGTTATGAAAGGGGCGGGGGCGGGGGGGTCCTGTTCAGTATATAGTCGTTATATAGTTAGAGGAATATTAGCCTTATTTATTACGTAGTATTTGGACGGAGAGAATGCTCTGTGACAAGAAGAAGGGTGGAAAGCATATACTGCTGTTTGAAGTGCTAATTTTAAATATATAAATAAAAATTCCAGACACTGTTTGCATGGACAAGAGGCCCACATTGAACTAAGTTTTCATACAGCATTGAAGACAACAAATTACTTGCATTTTTAATAGTAAACTTTTAAAAACTTCCGATTTTTAGTTCATATTAGAGAAGTTAGTTTGTCTAGCACCTGGTTGAAATTCCATGCAAAAATGTTTAAAGTATTTCATGCTCAAAGTATTTCAAAAAGTTTTTCTTTAGTGTAGCCCCATATCAAAATTATTGTTTTCCTCCAAAATACTTGAAGCAGACACCTTCTGGATATCTTAGAACACATCTAGTTAAATAAACGAATTTAGGTAATTTTAAATTACACAGAATCTATCAGTTAAATTCTCAATCCTGTAAACTGAGTACAGGAGGAAAGAGTTTTAGGCAAGGCATGTCAGCCACAATTAATTGCACTTAATTCCCATTAGAGTAAGGGGACTTAAGCATGTCTAACCTTAAACTGGATTATGGCCACCTGTTATAATCAGATCTAATCACATTTCAGCACAGAATACAATTGATAATCTTGGGTAACAAATCATTTACCTTCTCTCTGACTCTTGTAAAGCTGTTCCTTGGATAGCAAGCAACTTTTTGTACCTCACAAGAAGAAAATAATTTCCTACTGAATCTTCAGATATGTCTTTAACCGTCTGGAAAGGGAAGGTGAAGAGAAGCACTGGGAAAATGTTAAACTGGTTTGGATTTTCATAGCCACTTTGGTGAGAGTAATGAAACTGTGGAGCATTTTTGTAAGATCAGTGTAGCTTGCTAGGTCAAAACTATTAACTATACATAGACTGTGTGTCATATCATCCGATTGAATAAAGTACTATTTTAAACTATCACATTTGTACATAGCAGAAATAAACGTGTTCAGCCATCAGTCACAGCAAGAATCCCAACCCCCGCTAATAAAATGTTCTTGCCCATCTTTCTACTTTCAAATATTTAAGGTGGAAAGCTGTTACTGAGAGCAAGGAAAATACAAACAAAAGATGTGCAATTGTGGATCAGGTAGAATTAAGTGACATTTGCGTAGGAACTGTAGTTTGGAAAAATTCTTCATTTGGGTAACCTGTGGTTGGAAAAACCATGTTCCAAATGTGTATCTTCTTCTGGACCAGATGCAATGTTCTTTACCATGTTTTTTCTTTACAGTGTTCTGCTTTAAGACAATGTTGGCCAATAAGAAGATTAAGGAAACAGTTCCATAACCATATAATTTATTTCTATTCACTTTCTTTGAAAAAGAGTGTAGTACAGAAATGCTAAATATTTAGAATTATAAAACTTCCAAAGAATAAACACTTGAGCAGCACTAAAACAGCATATAACTTTTAAAACAGCAGGGGATGGGGCATACATCAAGTGCCTGGCTGGATAAAAAATGTGTTTATCGACTTCCTGAAAGCAGGAAGTAAGGAAGCCTGTCAGATCTATTCAGGGAGAAAGTTCCATGACCATGGCACGACCACCCAGAAGACCCTTTCCATGGTGCCCAAGTACTTCAGATATGTCTGTAAATGGTTGGAAAGGGGAGTCAAACCCACATCCTCTCTTTCCACTGGAGACAGGCTAAAGACTGCCCAAAGCCTATCTTCGGACTAAGGAAAATTAATATTGGCAAAGGTAGACCTTTAGGTAACCTGGGTGTTTTTATTGTTATGCAACAGGGATTTGTTTGTTGTGAGAAGGATCCTTTGAAGACATTTCCTTTCCATCGGTGGGAAAAGGAACAGCAGTAGTGTTATGTACTGAGTTGAATAGGATCCAAAATGCAGCAGTCTGATTGGTCCTAGAACAATAGGATCCAAAATGCCGCAGTCTGATTGGTCCTAGAACAATAGGATTCAGAATGCAGCAGTCTGATTGGTCCTAGAACAGTGCAGCAGTATGATTGGTCCAGCTCTGGGTGTAAGTGAATCCACAACCTGATTGGCCTACAGGAGAATCCCGGAATTAGCCAATCACGTGCAGCCCATTGTGTAAATAATGTATATAAAGCAGAAATTTTGGGGGAACTTTCATTCCTCCTCCTCACCACTATGAGCTGAATAAAGAGCCTGAAATTCACTCTCGACTCCGAGTATATTTCAAGTAGAAAACTCAAAAAAGGAAGAAGTGATGTGTTCCACAGTGAATGTTTCTTTTTATCTATGACAGCTCAGTTTTGGTCAGTAACATTTCCTCATAACATCAGGTAGCTGGTTGGGGTAGACTTCTATTTAACATTGGCAATACTGCGTAAGGTAAAACTTGTGAAACAATGTAAGATGGAGTCTTATGTGTCTGTAGTAGATAGAAAGATTACTAACATTAAAGATGATTAATATTGAAATTGAATGAAAATAGATCTGTAAGAAAGGAGGGAAAGAGAGTGCCACGTGCCACATTCCATATTTTTTAGGAGAAGAACTTTGATGATACTCAACAATGGGAGAATATCCAGATAAGAGGGTGGTTTTTTTTTACTAATTTACCCACTATAGTCTATTAATAACTGATAATTTTGAAGTAATTGTTGTCCAGAAGCATTCTGTGACTACAAAATAAGACAGTTTTAAAATTATAGTTAGAACGAAGACAGCATTTCTAGGAAAATGGAATGCTCAGGTTATATTACAGGCTGGACATTCAATCAGAGTAAGGCACTGAGCCAGTCATACAGTGTTCATAATGTAACAACCTGCCGTACAGGATAGCCAAATTTGGGAATCAATTTGGATCACGAATCACTTCTCAGGACATCTGTGTCTAAGATCAGGTGGGAGGGATTTAAGTCCCTGGGCAGTAGAAAGGAAAAGCATCACAATTTCACACTTTAGCATCTGGTCATGGAGAGCTATTTCAAGTGTCCAGGAAGGTCCAGTGGGAGAAAGATAATTTCCAGGGAGGAAATTGATTATGAAGGGCAAAAACTGGTTTGGAAGGACGTCTTGTTTTAAGAGTTGCCTGCAAAAAAATATCCCCAGTTACAACCTGTCATCTCTGTACCCAGTATGAAAATACAACACATTTAATGAAGTTTCCACTACATGCCAGGGATTCAGAGGGGTTTTGAGGTTTGCAAGTCACCATGGTCTGACTGGATAGCACCAAGAATTCCATATCCATTAGCTTGTACAAAACGGCCCTCTAGTGTTGAAATACTATATTGTATTAGTTTCTTGGTGTTTCAGAAGATAAAGACACACCTTCAAAAAAATATGTAATCTCTTACTTTAGTCTGCAACATGGTTGCTACTAGGAAAGTTTAATGTAGAGCATTTTTCATAAGTATTAGATACGGATGCAAAAAAAATAAATTAAAAAAATTAATACATAAGGTGAGCCCTGCTGCATCACACCACAGGACCATCTAGTCCAGCATCCTATTTTTACAGTGGCCAACCGGAATGCCTACAAGAAACCCACAAGCAGGACCTCAGTGCAATAGCACTCTTCCCACATGGTCTGGTTTAGCCTGGGAAGAGTCTTAAGGGCCAGCTAAAGACGCCTGATACAATTAATACTGCAGACTTTGGTGTGCAGCAGAATTTATTTGATAGAGTGTAATAAAAAAAAACACGAAAAAATGAAGATCATGGCCACTGGTCCCATCACCTCCTGGCAAATAGAAGGGGAAGAAATGGAGGCAGTGAGAGATTTTACTTTCTTGGGCTCCATGATCACTGCAGATGGTGACAGCAGCCACGAAATTAAAAGACGCCTGCTCCTTGGGAGAAAGGCAATGGCAAACCTAGACAGCATCTTAAAAAGCAGAGACATCACCTTGCCAACAAAGGTCAGTATAGTAAAAGCTATGGTTTTCCCAGTAGTGATGTATGGAAGTGAAAGCTGGACCATAAAGAAGGCTGATCGCCAAAGAATTGATGCTTTTGAATTATGGTGCTGGAGAAGACTCCTGAGAGTCCCATGGACTGCAAGAAGATCAAACGTATCCATTCTTAAGGAAATCAGCCCTGAGTGCTCACTGGAAGGACAGATCGTGAAGCTGAGGCTCCAATACTTTGGCCACCTCATGAGAAGAGAAGACTCCCTGGAAAAGACCCTGATGTTGGGAAAGATTGAGGGCACAAGGAGAAGGGGACGACAGAGGACGAGATGGTTGGAAAGTGTTCTCAAAGCTACCAGCATGAGTTTGACCAAACTGCAGGAGGCAGTGGAAGACAGGAGTGCCTGGCGTGGTTTGGTCCATGGGGTCACGAAGAGTCGGACACGACTAAACGACTAAACAACAACAACAAAGTGATTTACTTTACATAAGCACCTATTCCAGAGAGAGAGGGGGGTGGGGAAGGGAAGCAGGGCCACTCCATCTGTTCAACTGAGAGACCAGCTTCTGGTGCCTCTTTAATTATTTTTTTTCTAGTCAGTTATAAAAACTAAGATCAAGTGGCTGAGTTTCCTTTTATTAATGATTTTTATAGCCACTATATGTTTTTTTCTGGTTGAAAGGTGGGACAAAACGGCTTCGAAAACATCTAAATGTAGAGCCACTTTGGGCCTTCTTGCAGGTCAAACTCTGCTGAAAACACTATACAGTGTACCAATGTCTTCCTTCTTGGTTCGTGAATCTTACGCTTGTTGGAAGCTTCCCAAATAGTGGAACTGTTTTCTTTTCATGCTAACTTTTTTGTCAGGAAAATAATAACCGGTATATATTTAATAATGAGTGGGATCCACTGAAATTTAAAGAATTAGGAAACTGATTATGAGAAGGAGGAGGAGGAAGAGTGCGGAATCTGTTTCAGTTAAAATAATCTGTTGCAGCTAAGATAATTACACAGGGGCAAAATCTTGTTATCCTTAGTGTAATCCTTAGCAGTTTGGCTTAAGTAGTACCTGTCATTTAGATGGATAGTTAACAGGACAAATGCATGTAAGAACTGGAATTGGAAATGGGAAGAATTTGGGTTTTTTTGAGATGGGTTGTTTCTTGTGGTGTACTTGAATAACTACTATCATTAACTTAATTTATTTTTATATGCATGTTGTAATGTTGAGTTACATTTCTTTAAAAGCAGGAACAAAAATTGTAACTTCATTTTGAAGTGGCACAAACATTTCACTGCCATTCTGCTACATTTGCAGATCTGACCTTATTGCTGAACAACTTATACTAGATTGTCTTTTCTGTTAAAGCATTCTGAACATCTCAAAACCAGGACTTCTGTGCATTAGAGACCTATTTTCAGGACCTTAATTTTTTTAAAAAAACAAACCCAAACACCCAAATCTTTAGTCCTTGTTTCATTTGAGAGATTAGGATCATAATAAGCTATTTTGCACATGTCAAACACTCCTGGCAACCTTTTCAGATTTGCCTTTCCCTGCAAGCGCAACCCTCTTCCAAGGAATGGAACTGTAAACCTGGACAGGTTTCAAGACCTTAACCTGAGTGAGATTAAAAGGATTTAGAGGCCTTACATTGCCCCTTAGAATGGGAGACTGCATTTCCTCTCCAGGATGAGAACGGATCATATTCTGGCATGCTGTATTACACAGTGCAATGTGCTGCCTTGTAACTGAAGCCCTGTTAGTGTCAGGGGCAGAAGTACTTGCGAAATAACAGATACAAAAAAGTACTCCCTTTCCCCTTAATCAAGTCACACCATCACACCAGATGCTCTTTGCAAACACGCTGACCAAGGCATGATGAAGTTATTAAATTGTTAACCTTTCGCATCCCCCCCCCCCCGCCCCGGCTCATCATGCTGCATTTATTTTAGAAAGAAGCACCTTTTAAAGAAAGCAGAACTACTGCTCGATTTCTGTTGCATGAATGCCTTTCCACCAAACAGATTAAGAGCTAAACACCTGCCATCCTGACATGCAAATAATCTTCACTACATCCATCTAGAATTTACAGTGCTGTTGGCATGAAAGAGTATTTATGGGAATAGCTGGCTTTACTGAAATCCAAGGAGATAGCATTTCAAGCACAAGCAGCGTGTATCATGAGAAAAATTAAATACAAGAAGTTTTGTGGACACACACGCTTTTATGTGCTTCCTTTTAGCCCCTTGTGTCCTTGGAACAGAGGATAAAAGGCCTTCATTGGGTGGGGTGGGGGAATCAGTGAGGTGAAAATCTAGGAGTACTTCAAATATTTTGGCTTGGACAAGAATAAAGGACAAAATGGTTGCCTCTCTCCCATTTCCACATACAGAAGGTGACTGGACTTACTTATTTAAATATGACAAGGGAATGTATTTCTTCACCCAGAGCATAGCCAAACTATGGAATATGCTTCCACAAGAAGTAGTGATGGGCGCTAACTTGGGCCATTTTTTAGAGGATTCAACAAATTCATGGAGAATAATGGCTACTAGCTAACATGACATTTTCTACCTCCACTGTTGGAGGCATTATGGACTTTGAATAGGAGTTGCTGGGAATTGTAGGTAGGGAGAGTGCTCTTGTGCTTAGGTCCCGCTTATGGTCTTCCTGTAGGCATCTCATTGACCACTGTGAGAACGGGATGCTGGACTTGACGAGCCACTGGCCTTATCCAGCAGGACTCATGTTCTTACTTCAACAATAGCAGAGAGACAGTGTCTTACACTGCACCTGAGGCCACCTGGTGGGGCTGATGGGAATGATAGTCCAACAAAATCTGGAGAGCACCATGTTGGCAAAGGAGACAAGTTTTTACGGAAGCCCCAGCCCAAGCTAATGGATGAAATCATTCTCTCACCAGCCCTAAATCCCATACCCTTGGTAACCACTCACAGACAATGAGAGACACTAAAAAAATGCTTATCCCACTTAGAGGTATTATCTGGTGCTGTCACCTCTACCACCCCATTCTAACTACTCAAGGATTCCGGATGAACAAGCAATCCATGTAAATAACTACTCAAAAAACAAACAATTAAAAAAACAAAAAGACTGGGAGCTCAGCCTTTATTAATGGATGGCAAAATGGGAGAGAATTCAGTAATTTGCCCAAAGTTTCCTAGTCAAGTACAATCTCCTCCCTAAAGAAAAGGATGTGGCCCTTGTGCAAACTCAACAGGTTGACACAAAAGGAGAAACACCTTCGACGGGGATCCGCACCAGTTGTGCC